ATGCAGTGCGCAGATTAGATGGATATCGTGCATGGATTAGATTGATACAGTGCATGGATTAGATGATGCAGTGCAATTAGATTGATACAGTGCATGGATTAGATGGATGCAGCGCACTGATAAAATGGATGCAGTGCGCGGTTTAGTGGGTGGATTAGACGGATGCAGTGCAATTAGATGGATACAGTGCGTGGATTAGATACAGTGCGCGGATTAGATGGATGCAGTGCAATTAGATGGATGCAGTGCACTGATTAGATGGATGTAGTGCAATTAGATGGATACGGTGCATGGATTAGATGGATACAGTGCATAGATTAGATGGATGCTGTGCGTGGATTAGATGATGCAGTGCATGGATTAGATGGATGCAGTGCACTGATAAAATGGATGCAGTGCGTGGTTTAGACGGGTACAGTGGGTGGATTAGACGGATGCAGTGCGTTGATTAGATGGATGCAGTGCGCGGATTGGATGGATGCAATGTGTGGATTAGATGGATACAGTGCGTGGATTAGATGGATAAAGTGCATGAATTAGATGGATGCAGTGCGCAGATTAGATGGATATCGTGCATGGATTAGATTGATACAGTGCATGGATTAGATGATGCAGTGCAATTAGATTGATACAGTGCATGGATTAGATGGATCCAGCGCACTGATAAAATGGATGCAGTGCGTGGTTTAGACAGGTACAGTGGGTGGATTAGACGGATGCAGTGCAATTAGATGGATACAGTGCGTGGATTAGATACAGTGCGCGGATTAGATGGATGCAGTGCAATTAGATGGATGCAGTGCACTGATTAGATGGATGTAGTGCAATTAGATGGATACGGTGCATGGATTAGATGGATACAGTGCATGGATTAGATGGATGCTGTGCGTGGATTAGATGGATGCAGTGCGTGGATTAGATGGATGCAGTGCGTAGATTAGACGGATACAGTGCATGGATTAGATTGATGCAGTGTGCGAATTAAATGGATGCAGTGCGTGGATTAGATGGATGCAGTGTGTGGATTAGACAGTGAGTGGTTTAGACGGGTACAGTAGGTGCATTAGACGGATGCAGTGCGCAAATTAGTTGGATGCAGTTCGTGGATTAGATTGATGCAGTGTGCGAATTAAATGGATGCAGTGCGTGGATTAGATGGATGCAGTGTGTGGATTAGACAGTGCGTGGTTTAGACGGGTACAGTAGGTGCATTAGACGGATGCAGTGCGCAAATTATTTGGATGCAGTGCGTGGATTAGATGGATGCAGTGCACGGATTAGATAGATACAGTGTGTGGAGTAGATGGATACAGTGCACGGATAAGATGGATGCAGTGCGCGGATTAGATGGATGCATTGTGTGGTTTAGATGGATACAGTGTGTGGATTAGATGGATGCAGTGCACGGATTAGATGGATGCAGTGTGTGGATTAGATGGATACAGTGCGCGGATTAGATGCATGCAGTGTGTGGATTAGATGGATGTAGTGCACGGAGTAGATGGATGCAGTGCACGGATTAGATGGATACAGTGCACGGATTAGATGGATACAGTGCGCGGATTAGATGGATACAGTGCGCGGATTAGATAGTGTGTGTGGATTAGATGGATGCAGTGCACGGATTAGATGGATACAGTGTGTGGATTAGATGGATACAGTGCACGGATTAGATGGATGCAGTGCGCGGATTAGATGGATACAGTGCGCGGATTAGATAGTGTGTGGATTAGATGGATACAGTGTGTGGATTAGATGGATACAGTGCACGGATTAGATGGATACAGTGTGTGGATTAGATGGATACAGTGCACGGATTAGATGGATGCAGTGCGCGGATTAGATGGATGCAGTGTGCGGATTAGATGGATACAGTGTGTGGATTAGATGGATACAGTGCACGGATTAGATGGATGCAGTGCGCGGATTAGATGGATGCAGTGTGTGGATTAGATGGATGCAGTGTGTGGATTAGATGGATACAGTGCATGGATTAGATGGATACAGTGTGTGGATTAGATGGATGCAGTGCACGGATTAAATGGATGCAGTGTGTGGATTAGATGGATGCAGTGTGTGGATTAGATGGATACAGTGCATGGATTAGATGGATACAGTGTGTGGATTAGAGGGATGCAGTGCTTGTGTGATAGATTATTTTGATTGGTTGGTTGGGAGGACAGATAGATTATGTTGATGTATGATAGATAGAATGGATGGTAGATTAGATCGAATGGTTTGATGGAATACACAGATCAATTGATTTATCAGTTTTGACTCTTATGTCCACCAAGGTTATAAATCTTCTTTGATAACGCAGCCTTCCTTAGCTAAACTCTGCTCGCTGCCATTAACCCCTGGATGTCAGTGCTCCCTCTAAGTATTGTTTGTGAGTTGATCAGTTAAGAGACTTTCTCTGTCACTGGGTGATATCTGATCGTGGTGACATTAAGATAATCGAGGCCTTCGTAGGCAGGGTTTCCCAATGTCAGATGCCAGGAAATGTTTTGTGTTCTGATTTGTACAAATTACAACCAGTACAGTGGCGTCTGCATGCTAACCCTTCCCATGTACCATGCCAGACTAGAGCAAGGCGCCAACTCATTCCATGGCGCAGAATAACAAAGACTGTGGTAACCCCTTCCATGCTGGAGGAGAGCGGTAACCCCTTCCATGCTGGAGGAGAGCGGTAACCCCTTCCATGCTGGCAGTAAGCCCTTCCATGCTGGAGGAGAGCAGTAACCCCTTCCATGCTGGAGGAAGGCGGTAACCCCTTCCATGCTGGAGGAGGGCGGTAACCCCTTCCATGCTGGAGGAGAGCAGTAATCCCTTCCATGCTGGAGGAGGGCAGAGAGAGCAGTAAATCTTTCCATGCTGGAGGAGAGCAGTAACCCCTTCCATGCTGGAGGAGGGCGGTAACCCCTTCCATGCTGGAGGAGAGCAGTAATCCCTTCCATGCTGGAGGAGGCCAGTAAATCTTTCCATGCTGGAGGAGGGCGTAACCCCTTCCATGCTGGAGGAGAGCGTAACCCCTTCCATGCTGGAAGACGGCAGAGAGAGCAGTAAATCCTTCCATGCTGGAGGAGAGCAGTAACCCCTTCCATGCTGGAGGAGGGCAGTAAGCCCTTCCATGCTGGAGGAGGGCGTAACCCTTTCCATGCTGGAGGAGGCATGCTGAGGAGGGCGTAACCCCTTCCATGCTGGAGGAGGGCGGTAACCCTTCCATGCTGAGGAGAGCGGTAACCCCTTCCATGCTGGAGGAGGGCGGTAACCCCTTCCATGCTGGAGGAGAGCGGTAACCCCTTCCATGCTGGAGGAGATCGGTAAGCCCTTCCATGCTGGAGGAGGGCGGTAACCCCTTCCATGCTGGAGGAGAGCGGTAACCCCTTCCATGCTGGAGGAGGGCGGTAACCCCTTCCATGCTGGAGGAGAGCGGTAACCCCTTCCATGCTGGAGGAGATCGGTAAGCCCTTCCATGCTGGAGGAGGGCGGTAACCCCTTCCATGCTGGAGGAGATCGGTAACCCCTTCCATGCTGGAGGAGGGCGGTAACCCCTTCCATGCTTGAGTAGGGCGGTAATCCCTTCCATGCTGGAGGACAACGGTAACCCCTTCCATGCTGGAGGAGAGCAGTAACCCCTTCCATGCTGAAGGAGGGCAGTAACCCCTTCCTTGCTGGAGGAGGGCGGTAACCTCTTCCATGCTGGAGGAGGGAGCAGTAACCCCTTCCATGCCGGAGGAGAGCGGTAACCCCTTCCATGCCGGAGGAGAGCGGTAACCCCTTACATGCTGGAGGAGAGCAGTAACCCCTTCGATGCTTGATAAAAGGAGTATATGTAGTTTAGTATGACCTTTAATAACCCTTTCAATGCTAGAGCAGAACAATACGAGAACACACTCTTCTTGCCAGAGAGGTGTTGTGTGCAGTACCCCCTTGCACACATGGGGAACAATGCAAATATTAACCCCTTCCATGAACTGCATGCAGTAACCTCTTGCATGCTGGAGAGGTGGGTGTCTATAGTAGCCCTCTAGCCCATTCCAAGCCAGAGTAAAGCAGTGTGTGCAGTAACCCATTAATTGCCAAGGAAGAAAAACAGTGCATCAGTGCCATGGGGGAGCAATGCATAATTTAACACTTTCTGTGCTGGGGAAGAATAATAGGTGTTGTAGCCCCTTCCATGCCAGGTAAGAGCGGTATCTGCAGTCTCCTATCTCATGGTTATTAACTCATTGCATGCTGGACCAGTGTGTTTTTCACTCCTCTCTGTTTTAGAAAGAATGGTTATAGTACATGAGTCACATCCCTGTCTGGAAAAAGCAGTATGTTAGTGGAAAGCCACACACCAGGAAAAAAGTGTCTCAGTGTGCCAGTCACACAATGTATGTGGGTTTATCATTCAGATACCCCTCAATAATGGCTGCAGGACATTCTGAATTATTTTAACTATAGGAGGACATGCAGTGAGGGTCTATCAGGCATAAACTGGGGCAGGAATGTACCCCCTTCTCCTACCCATGATTCACTGTAGAGTGATGCAGAGTATCTGGTTCAGCTGTCACTACCCCTTCTCCTATTCACACTGGAATGTGCAGGCTGTGCTTTATTACAGTCTAACCAGCCGCCTATCCTTCTCCATGCCTCCCCCTTGCCCTTCTAATCTCACCCATTTCAACCCAAGAAATCATTCCATATTCAGGCTTTAGTCCTGAAATTATTCCTCCCTACCACCTCTGCTGGGAGTCCCTTCCATGTGTCTGGGCAGTCCATGTTTCAGCAGTTTACTTGCCTCCAGTTGGGCTGTGAAGTTTTGTAACATTGTCTTGTTGGCCAAGAAAAACTCGGATTATTTTTAGTAGCCAATGAAAGTCTCTCCCAGAGAGGAGACAAAATTGTGGAGTGTGTGTTGAGGACAGAGCAGGCTTTGAGTTTGTGGCGAGATTACACCCATCCTTCACCAGCACTCCTGGGAGGGTTTATTTCCTCTGCTAGCTAAACCGATGGAGTCCAACAAATACCTCCTTCTCCTGCTCCCCTTCCTCCTTGGACAAGGTAAGGGGACTTCTCCCTGTCTGCGACACCATCTCTCCCATCTGTCCTGAAAAAAACACCCAAAATGTTCTTTAACCCTTTGCATCTTTGCCTGGCATGTTAGGGTAGTGTGTGACATTGTGTGTCACTTCAGATGGACAGTTTGACATTTAATGGAGGGGGGTTTAAACAAATTTCACTAAAAGAAAATTGATGCAAAGTTCTAAAAAGTTAAGCCATCACCATGGAAACCTGCTACTAGGATTGCTCCAGTTTTAGATATTTGCACAATTTTCTCAGTAGTGACATTTTATAGATCCTGTCTTTAGTGATGGTTTATTTTTTATTTTTTTTAAATCAGAAAAATTGATGTAATGTGGTTACAAATATTCTTTAACTGCAGAATTAAAAAAATAAATAAAAAAATGTTAAACTTTAAAACTGGTTACGGTTATTTTAACCCCTTGAGGAAAAAATGTTAAGCAGATCCTTTGATTTCAATCTTGGCATATCATCTGTCGTAAAGGGGTTACATGTGTTCTCTTCTGTCCCTTAATATTTTCATTCTAATTCTAAAGGGGTGCATTAAAGCCAGAAACGCATATGTTCTACTAATGTTTATATAGTGGGACTGAGTTATATAGATGGTAAGCTCTTTGGGGCCAGCCTCTTTTGATACCTTTACTTTACCTTACTTGTCAAATTGTACCTGATTTGCTTGTATACCCTTTGTAGCATTGCAGAATATGTTGGTTTTCTACAGATGTCTAGTGAAGGGGTGGCTTGCTGGTATCTGTCCATTTCATACAGAACTACATTTAATGCTTAGCAAGTCTTATTTCATGGGAATAACGGTGTGACAACAGCCGCCTGTCACCCTTCACCTATAGATATAAATGATATTATTTGTAATATATTTGTAGACACACCACCAATCTCTTCGCTCCCTCATTGAAGAATATCCAATTTACTGATGCTTGGATAGACTATTCAAAAATAAGGATTTCAATTTATCGGTGTTAGAATCATCACTACTGTTTAACACAAGTTTAAAAACACCCTGACGTGTTGAGAATTTCATAGTATCTTCTCTAAAACTCTGATCTGATTAAACAGGGTTCAGATAGTAGAATAATGTGCATCAGATCCCTGTTAGATAGTTTTTGTTACCTAAAAATTGTTGGAAGATGTCATAATGGTTCAATCTTGCTTTTACAATATTGATTTATTTTTCGATACTAAATAGTGCATTCAGCTGTAGAACAGGATGGTATTTTTCCTGAACCCTCTCCTGGTATTTAGTGTATTTTTCTATCCTCTTTCATCTTGTGTTGTATGTCGGAGTAAGACATCGCAGGAGCATGGACCTGGTACTATAATTAAAGGCATACTATAGGCACCTGGACAACTTTAGCTTAAAGGGACACTATAGGCACCCAGAACACTTCATCTCATGGAAGTGGTGTGAGTGCGGTGTCCATGCCCTACTTGGTTCTGCAATGTAAAACTTTGCATTTTTTGAGAAACTGCAATAATTACATTGCAGGAAAAGACGGTCTCTAGTGGCTGTCAATTACACAGCCACTTGAGGTGCTTTCTGGTTGCCAACGGACCTTTAGTCGCCTGACGCTGGACGTCTTCATACTCTTCATGAGGTCATTCAGTGTCCGTAAAATCCTCATAGGAAAGCACCGCTCGCCATGCATATGCATTAGACCCCTCTGTTGGTTGACATCCGAGTATGCAGGGCACCCACCCAGCACCAAGGGACATCGACGCTGGAATCGGATAAGTGACTAAAGCTTTTTTTACCATTTAGCTGCTGGAGGATGGAGCGCGAGGGAGAGGGGAACCAGGTGGCTCAGTCTATAGTGTTAGGAATACAGATTTGTGTTCCTAACACCATGGAATCCCTTTACTGAAGCAGTTTTGGTGTATAGATCATGCCTCTGCATTCTCACTGCTCAATTTTTTGCCAAGTAGGAGTTAAAATACTTTGATTTTGCAGGCCTAGTCACACCTCCCTGCATGTAACTTACACAGCATTCTAAACACAGCAGTGAAGTAGTAGATAAAAACGTCTAACACAAGCTAAAATCTGATTGAAAATGAAACCTTTTTTTATGCAGACTGTGTGAGTCACAGCCAGGAGAGGTGTAACTAGAGCTGCATAATCAGAAACAAAACTGATTTAACTCCTAAATGGCAGAGAATTGAGCAGTGAGACTGCCGGGGCATGATCGATACACCAAAACTGCTTCATTAAGCTCAAGTTGTTCATGTGACTATAGTGTCCCTTTAAAGCAGCAATGACACTTGTGGGGTATTCGCTTCCATGGTGGAGCATGGGGGAGAAAGGAATAGTGAAATACTTATCTCATTACTTGGAACCCCATCTTCCATAGCACAGGTATCTTAAGCTCCTGTCACATGTCTATCAAAGTACAGTCTATAAAAGATCCCTTGAGACAGCCGGACCGCAATAGATGCTTCTGCGCAGGCACAGTGACATACCATGGGCATCTTTTACTCATTGCGTGAAAAGGTGCCTGTTCCCATTAGACATCACAAGTAACTACTGATGGGAAATGGCAAGATGAGGTGACAGAAACTGATTGGAAGTCAGCCCTTTGCCATATGTAGCCAATATTCTGCATCTGCATAGGACAATATTGTCCCTACTTTAATTATATCTCTTGATTGCACTGGAATTTCATTGAAATCTACATTATTATCATTAACGCTCTGGGGAACCATAACACATTTATTATAATTAAGTTGTTATGGTGTAAGGAGGTCTCCGGATGCTGGATTACCTCAAGGTGTTAAAGGGACACTATAGGCACCCAGGCCACTTCATCTCATTAAAGTGGTCTGGGTGCAGTGTCCAATTCCACTTAGTCCAGCAATGTTTAACATTAAGTAATTAACTGGCAGGACTAAGATGGCCTTGCTAACAGACCTTTGGACGGCTAACTGACGCTGGACATCCTCACGGTCTGCATGAGCTCATCCACCATCAGTTTAAACCCCCATAGGAAAGCATTGATTCAATATGTTTTTTTTAACCCTTTAGCTGCCAGAGGTTGGGGGCACAAACGGGGGAATGGGGGATGATTTGTATTCCTAACACGATATAATCCCCTCAAACTGTTTAACTCCAAAGTTCTAAATCCAGAATCGTTAACACATTCCATGAACATGCGCTGGAGTCCAGGGATTGTAACAGGAAATCACAGACAGGAGTGTGACTGATTGGCCGAGAGTGTCAGCTGATGCTCTCGGCCTATCAGTAACTCCCCATTTAGAAAACAGTTAGGGAAAAAAGTAGGTTTCAAGCCTCGGACTGCAGCTGATGTTCGTACTAACAAGAAAGTTGATATGGTTCTCCGAGTGTCCCTTTAAGGTTCTATCCTACAGTGAGAGTGCCTCCTTCCTTACTAAAAGTGTGTGTTTGGGGGAGAGGGGGAAACACTGAGACGGTATAGCCCCATATTGCTTACTGGGCACTAAAGTAGATCAGCCTCCATATTTCAATTACCCATAACCATGTCTCTGCAGTTATTTGTGAGATATTTTTTCAACGCAGCTCGGTCAGCCTTTCTCTTACAAATGTCTGCAATGTGGAGTTTATCCATCAGTGCCCAAGGCTGTGTGTAATCAATTTCACTTTAATGATGTTTGCAAAATACAGGCTAATCAAAATGCAATGAAGTATTAATACAGATAAATAATCCTATAGTTAAATAGCTGAAAAGAGACTTGGGTCCATCAAATAACATTAATGTATTGGATCATCAACACTGTCATAAAATATCAGAATCATTCTGATAGCATCACGCTTCTATTATACAGAATATTGTACAGAAATCTTATCTGCTGGTAACATCTGTAGTTCCTTTTGATCAATGTCTAGACTTGTCATGTTATAAATATTTATTAAAACATTGTTTATATTTACAACTTAATTCGTATCATGCACCCCCAAGTGTTCATAAATTTTACTGCACAGGATTTTTTAATTAAATGGGCTCTCTCTTGTTCAAAGTGGCGTTGCCTATTGCAATGTTGCAAGTACTGCTGGGAGTTTTCCATTTTTTTAAATTTATATCTAGATACATCTAAGGCGGTTTGCTTGTTCTTGAATTGTTACAATAGTCTCATTGTGATTTCTTTGATAATCTGATATGCTAATTTAACCGCACAGGTATTTTCAATATAATTTCGATTTACTGACATGGTTTTACCAAAATTTTGGCAATGACATACAGTTTTTGCTGTGCCGTATATAATACTAAATGGTTAGTTGTGATGGTTTGAAAACTACATTAAAAAATGGAGGTGGTTTTGAATGGTTTAACACTTGTGTTCCCTGGGCCTGTCCAGTCTTGACGATGCCTTTTTAATATATCTAAAGTGAAAGTTACTTTGACAATAGCTGTATCAATTGCGTCCCATTGTGCAGCGCTACAGAATTTGCTGGCGCTATATAAATAATAAAATAATAATGATCCTGACTTGGATGGAATTTGGTGGCTGAGACCTCCAGTTGACGCCAATTAAATCTGTGCAACACACAGGGGGAACAGATGTCACTAATTCCAAACTGTACAGAAACAGTTTGATTCTTACTCAGGAGACATCGCCAGGAGAATCCTGACACCATAACCACTGCAATAGGCTGTGTGATTTGGTGAATAGACTATCAAAAGAAAACATTCCCAACAATGCTAAATTAGAAGTTTTTTTTCCAATCTGCTACTACTGCAACCTAAATTTTAAAGGTCCTTTCAAAGTCGTCACAACTTGCGGTTCAATGTACAACCTATACAAAAACGGACTAATCTTAGTACATGCATACAAACAATAGTGTGTTAATGTTACACAAAGACAGCTGAGATATCAATATGTTGGTGTAATGTGCAGTGCTATTGGTGTAACACAGACACAGCTGCAGTGTGAATACATTGGTGAAACGTGACGTATTAGTGTAACACAGACACAGCTACAGTGTGAATACATTGGTGAAACGTGAAATATTGCTAGTGTAACACAAACACAGCTGCAGTGTGAATACATTGGTGAAACGTGAAATATTGCTAGTGTAACACAGACACAGCTGCAGTGTGAATACATTGGTGAAACGTGACGTATTAGTGTAACACAGACAGCTGCAGTGTGAATACATTGGTGAAACGTGACGTATTAGTGTAACACAAACACAGCTGCAGTGTGAATACATTGGTGAAACGTGAAATATTGCTGGTGTAACACAGAGCCAGTTGCAGAATAAATTGAATCTGACATGAATTCTCCACCATAATAGCGTCTCCCAGCCCACACCCGCCACCCAGTCATCGTACCCAGATCCACGGGATATTTATACATTTGCAGCTTATATTTAGGGCTGAGCTCAGCCTTTAATTTACTATCTAGAGAAACACAAAAGCATTTTAATGACAGTCTGTACATTTTAACTTTTTCCACCAAACCTAGAAGGCTTTTATCCATTGAAGGGTTAACCCTGTCACCACAGCAGTTGGATGTTTTAATTATCTTTGATATTACACTATTTTTAAAAGTGAGGTTAGGGCTCGGATTGGTGGGAGCTTCACTGCTAGATTCTGCTTCTGTTCTTAATTCAGCCTTTCTTTCCCTAGTAATATTCTGGGGAGAGGAGATGGAGAGAGGGAATGCCAATGTCTGTGTAGCTCCTGTCGTGGCGTATTTAGTAGAGGGGCTGAAATAATGGTGTGAGCTACAAGTAGAACGCCTCTAATATTCTGCAGGCCTGGTGCTGTCCTGTGTTTAGAACCCACACACGCCTTTGCAATTACTGTGTGACAAACCCCAGCAGTGCATCATGGGATTTAGAAACATGATCTACGTATTGAGTTTTCTTAATCACCACATACAAGGCATTTCATGCAAATTAGCTCTCTCCTCCCATCAACCTCTGGGGCAGAGAAATTACGTTATGGCATTAGAGCATATGTTTTGTTGGTGTATATGATTTGCCAGTGTTGACATTTGGTTTTAAAGAGGACATGTCTGTAGGAGCTCTCTGCTTTCAAACTTGTCACGGGATCTAGCCATGTTCAATGTCTCACTGTATTTCTTGAGTATCCAGATCCCCCCTTTCACCATTAAAATAAAATATTGATGTCGGCGGCCGCAACCATCTTCCTCAGCCTGGCAGTGACATTATGTCTTTGCTCCCTCTTTCTGTGAGGGCATCAGATCTCATGCATGGCTTCTGCTCCCTCTACCGCAGTGGTCATGGGAGACTCGAGACATGCAAGCCGGAGGGATAATGGCCTAAAATAAGGACTATCCCTTCTAAATAGGGACTCTTGGGAAGTATTCTCTTTGGTTGCTTGTTAAGAAAGAACAGAAACAAAGTAAAAAGGATGGCTTTGGAGACATTAAAAGTAGAAGAATGGATTGAGGAAACATAAATGTGATCTGAAGGAGCGGTCATTGCACTCTGACTGAGCCTATCAAAGCTTTGTATGATTCCTACCTGGTCTTTATGTGGGGCTTAGAACTCGATTATTTGTACACCTGACGCAGCTATAAGATAGTCCCTCTGGGTTATCTATCATGTCTTTCATTTTGTCCAACCTGTGTGAACTGAGTTTCCTCTCTTCCAATGAGAGATGCAACTGAATAAAAATCTCTTCCTGCATTAAATTACTATATACCACACGATACATTAAAAATAGGAGGTATTTTATCTCACATTGTTTCTTACTAATGAAACTTGAGTAAATTTTACTGTCCTGGAGGATCTTGTGAATGGTAAACAAAGTTGCTTGAAAAATACTTTTCCCATTATTGAGTTGTAATGTTACAATGCAGTTTTAATAATCAAAATACAGGGAAAAAAAACAAAAACCTAGAGTCATGAGTGTACTGAATGAGTAAGAAGGTTTTATAAGCTGGATTACAAAGTACTGTAATGGTAAAATGTGACAGGCGGGCTCTCAGACACCCGCCCTGGCCTGGCTGGAACTCAGGAAGTGAAAATGTTGGAATTGGCTAAGGTCTAGTCCAAGCATTGCCATTTCTTTTTTAAATAAAGCATTTTCAGTAAACAAAAAACCAACACGCTTTGGGTACTTTGCAGAAAATAAATATCTCTGACTCTGTCCTAAAAAGTGGGTACAATTAATTTTTCTCTTTCTGATGGTATTTGTTTGGTCCAGTCACTTGAAGAACCATTAACACATGTTGCTGTTTCATTGTCCCATATTCCTTCCTTCTGGAACACCTTACAAGCAGGGGTTTATTCCAAATTTTACACATCTGCATTATGATTGGTTGTATAGACAGCCAATCACATTGTATATTTACCAACTTTCCATCCAGGTCTGTTACTTTAGTGGTCAAACTTAAAGGAACAATATTGTGTTAGGAATACTAAACTGTATTCGTAACACTATAGTGTCCCTCTGTCCCTGTACCCATTCCCCACAACCTCAGGGGATAAACGGTTTTAAAAAATCTTTTTTCAATGACCTGATTTCAGTGCTGAGGTCCCTTGGGCGGGGTGAATGGTTTCTCCTATTTCACTGTTCAGACCCTATGCCATTGGGCACCTTGTTTTTTTGTGACCTCTTTAGTCTGTCTCTTACCTTTCTTAGCTCATGATTTACTTGATTTTTTTTATTCTTATTGCGTTCAGCAAGTTGATACAATAACAAGCATCATAGTGCCAATAAGTATGTAGTAAATTGGTACAGTAATACAGATCACAGTCACTGAATTTGCAGATGTAGCTAGGTTACAGAAACCTCAAATATATTGCCGGTAAGGACCATGGATGCATCGGAGTTCTCTGGTGTGTTGGTGGCATCCAGTTGTCTATTCTATCACGAGTACCAGTTGACGATAGTCTGGCTAGTATTTAATGGTGAACACTTTATTATTATTATTATTTTTTTATTATTATTTTATAAATAATGATTCGGTGGAGTTTAGGTGGAATGATAGTTTCCCAGTTGTGGAGGGCTATATGTGACTGAATCCACAGTAGAAGCGAGTGATCGGTAGATATGAACCAAACGGGTCCAAGAGTGTGTGGAAGGGGTCGGTCGCTGCGTTCACTCTGGGGGAGGGAGAGGGCCTGGAGGAGGAGAATCATCGAAATGTAGTTGTGATGTGGTTGTTGTCAATTTGCAGTGTCTGTTCTGCATTTTGTGACCACCACAGCAGCCCATTCTTTTTTTTTGGTACTTGTAATTTTGTTACTGGTCTATCCATTAGTTTTCTAAACTCTTACAATCTATTAATCTTTACCTTCTCTGCTGGAAAGCCATTCTATGTATGTGCAGCTTTTCATAAATCTAGTATTTGGCTATTGTAGGTTTTATTGCTGTTATTATATTTATGTAAAGGTGCAATGCATGAGCAATAGGGTTATAATAACGCAGTGCGTGACGACTTTCACATAGATGGAAAAGGAAATAGGATAATGTGTGTTTGTATAAACAGCCATCGTAAATGGAAAAATATAGACGGTTGTAGTTTGTTTAACATGGAATAAAATGCACATTGTACAGATTATCACATGTTTTAATGAGAGGTGATATTTGATATAAGAATGAATCATGACATGAATTGGTTTATACAGTGAGAAGATATAATTCTTATTACACAGCTGCAAATCTACAGAATAAACACAATAAATCATTCAATAATAAATAGTAATAAATCATTCTGACTGTGCTGGGGCCACGTGTTCATAATCTCTCCCATATAATAGCATGACAAATCTGCAGATATAAAAATAAATAACACTATGTGGGGTAATATTGCATATAGAGCCGTTAAGAATTATTTCTATTGCATTTATTGAGAAGAAGTGGATAGAAGGCACGCACAACTGCCCAATTATGGGTACTCCTCTAAGGCCTGATATTATTTTTAAACCTTTGCCCCTCTAATTTAAGACTATGTCCTCTTGTTGTGGTAGTTTTTCTTCTTTTAAATATAATCTCCTCCTTTACCGTGTTGATTCCCTTTTTGTATTTAAATGTTTCTATCATATCCCCCTGTCTCGTCTTTCCTCCAAGCTATACATGTTAAGATCCTTTAACCTTTCCTGGTAAGTTTTATCCTGCAATCCATGAACCAGTTTAGTAGCCCTTCTCTGAACTCTCTCTAAGGTATCAATATCCTTCTGAAGATACGGTCTCCAGTACTGTGTACAATACTCCAAGTGAGGTCTCACCAGTGTTCTGTACAATGGCATGAGCACTTCCCTCTTTCTACTGCTAATACCTCTCCCTATACAACCAAGCATTCTGCTAGCATTTCCTGCTGCTCTATTACATTGTCTGCCTATATCGCTGCCTATATCGCTGTTAGTCTCTACTGCTCCCACAGGAAGGCTATTCCAGGTACCTACTATTTTTTATATATTACTGTAAGAAGATACTTCCAAGAAACTACTGCCCTATCAAGTGTAATTGCCTCCCCTTACCCCTAATCTAGAATTATCCTACGTCAGCAATCTAATAAGGTTCTAGATTCTATTTACATCAGACCCAGGTCCAGACTGGAAGCATCAAGGTCGGCCCTGAGAGAGCAGCTAGGCGTGAGGCCCACCCCATTATAATTGCTTGTGTAAGGTTTCTTAAATCCCTTGCCTGTTTGGTTGACAGAGAGTCTCTGTCTGTCTTGGGTCTACACCCTTTGCATACATAGCCCCCTCTCAATCCGCAGACTGTACTGCAGGTGCCTTTTTTAATTAACCCTAATTATACCATGCTGTTTAACATTCTCTACTTCCTCGAACAGAGAAAAGGAGACTGGGACATGTTACTGAGCAACAGAGTTAGAAATGAAACCTGTTTTACAATCTTTTAATGACCTGTGACAATACGTGTAAATCTAGGTAATCAGGTGTTGGCTAGTTCACTGACAACATTAAGCTGGCAGGGAATTATGGGAATTGTAGTCCAACAGTAGCTGACATTGCAATGCCCTACCATATAATCTTAAGGGGTATGCTGAAAATGGGAGATAGAAAGTCTGCATGGAAGCTCTGTGTTCTAATATGGAACGCTGTCACACGTATACAGTACATAAAGACATGTTTACTCATGAGAATGTTGCGTCTAGTTCCCTATGGGACATTATGGATGTTGCTGCAGCTTTGATACATTTTGTTTGTTAACTACAGACTCTAAGGAAAACCATACAATATTTTTTGTAAAGTTTGGTATCCATTGTAGCGGAGTAGTAGTATTATCCACGGTATCTCCGCTGGTAGACAGAGTGAAGCAGGTAAAGAGTAGTCAAAATGCAGGTAGCGTAGTTACAATCCCTTTCTCCCAAGAACTAGACAACACATAGCTTGGAGGTCAGCTGAGAGCTTTAATGAAACAATCCTCAATTTATGTGATTTTACTTCACATGGTTTCCAGCAAGGGTTTTAATCATGTGGACTGTTTGGGAAACTGACCATTCAAGGTTGTTTCCCAGCAGCCCCTGCGGTACAGGCACCAAGATGACATCAGCAAGTACATATAATTACATTACCAGAGGTTACAGAAATATTCAAGTTTTTACATTAAAATCTATAAGTCTCCCAATTTCCCACTGATTTGGGTGAATGACCTATTAACCGAATGCAGGGATCGGCAGGTACAATATACCGAAGTACCGTTCTGATCCCTGCAGAAATAACCGAACGCCACTCGTAATACACATTTGCACGAACTGGGGTTTAGAAGAGAAAACTCACGAATACCTTTATTTCCCCGCAAGAGCGAGTCTCCCGAACGCTATGGAAGTCCAGCGAACGGCGGCCACACACAAAACATTAACGGATGGATACAATGTTTCAGTTTTACTAACGAGCAGCACACGACCTTCTGGGGTGGTCTCCCATTCCACTGTTTGTGTTAGCGGCATTCGTGCGCTGTAACACACGAATGCATAGGAACATTAGGTGAAATCTTTACCTACAGATAACTTTAACATGGGGTAAAGTTTCTCACGGATAGAGACACAATGGAAGCAACAATCAGGCATATATATATAAAAATCTGTAAGTGGCTAGGTTTGCCACATCCATACTTGATGCACCTAGACACCAAAAACTCAACAACCTTTAAATATACCTCCCGGTACATTCTATGTCAAACTAAAATGTATGTCTATGTTTCTGCAACATATTGATCATTACTATATCCTTGGCTATCTCACCTGTATTTGCCAGGAACTCTAACACCCCAGGGGATTATGAGAGATCTCAACGTATTCAAATAGTTTTCATATTTAGAGGTTTTCTGTACTTTGTTCTATTGTTTAATATGTAACTATGTAACACAGTTATTTGGTGTACAGATTGCTTTGTAGACAAACTTAAAAATATATGAAGGGCGGAGCCTAACTGGCTTCCTGAGAAGATGCACAATTGCTGAGCTCCTGCAGCCAAAACTGAGAAATCGCCCAAAACTCGTTGTTAAAGGCTCGCACCTACACGAGCTTGCAATACCTGAGCTCAGAGTGCCTCACTGAATCTCTGGATACTTCCCGATTGAGAATCGGTGCACAGCAACCCGAGATGTTTAACCGCGGTCTGCAGGCACTGGATCTGGGGAGAGACGGACACTTTCCCTGTCCTCTGGCTGGCGGCCCGGAAGACACGACACTCCCCTCCCACCCCCCGGACCGGTGGGGATTATCCCGGTCCAACCATGGGAGAAAGCCCGGCCATACTGTGAGCAGCCGACCAGATCACGCGGACAACCTGCAACAACTGGGCAAACTACAATGGTGGACGCCACGTGGATAACAAGCCACGGCACAGAGGAGCCTGATATCTTGAAGCGGCTAGAGCGCACTGTGGCGAAACCGACCTCGCCACTGGGCATTGGAGAAGACTAAATGCCAGCCTCCTGCCATGTGACTATGGCCCCTGGGATGTATTGCCCTTTAAAGACATGATTTGGGCATAATGGATTTGTATTCTGCTGCTGCTGGCCCTTTAAGAACCATCTGGGGACATACTGTGGAGATACTGGGTGGCCACCATTTCCTGTATCAGAGGCACATGGTGAGAACAATGGAAGAAGCACATGGTAAGAACAATGGATGGCGGCCATTTTAACTCACAGACACTGTTTGGACTTTTCACGGTGCCATCTCGCCGTTATTTGGTGCACAGAGACATCGTGCAGTGGTTTTGGACTATACAACAGGGGGCACATTATACAGTAATTGTTTTTCATTTAGCCTGCATATGTTCTGTGGAATCTGCATTAAACTATATCTTCCAAAGTACTGAACGGATCTGGGTGAATTTTGGATATGTGGTTCACCCAGATCCCCTGGTTCCATTTTTTTTTATGGGGTTATTGCATGTTTTGGGGTCCTTGTGATGTGTTTTATGATACTGTATTTCTCTGCCTGTGATAATTAGATTAACCGTTGTGTTCAGTAATCATATCACAGGCAGAGGGGAGGATTTTGTGTGGGAGTGTCTGTGTGTATATTGATTGGTTGTTCTGTAAAACCCTGTGGGCAGTACTAAGTTTGTGGATTGGGAATAAAAGAGGCTGTATGTGCCAGTACAGTCAGTTCTGCTTGACCCTCAAAACGAAGTGTCGTTACTGGGGGAATCTGCTACAAGGGATTGCTATGCTAGTCATACCCCCTTGCTATATCACTACTAAGCTCTTGTAAGAGCTTGTTCCTGTCTTGCTCTCTGGAGGAGTCTACAGTGGTTATGGTGTCTGCTGCAGTGCTTGGAGCCCTCAGGAAGCACTAGGAGCATCCTTCCACGAAGGTACCCAGTCGGGGTGCCAGGTGATCCGTTACACGCACCTTTGCAGCCTTTTGGGTAAAACTAGCTGACAAACTGGAACAGGTACAGCCCTGCTAGCCAAAAGTTACCTTGCCCGACATACCATCACCCAGCACCCACCATCGACAAGCTACCCCCAAGCGGAAGAGTGTTGGAAAATGGCGCCGGAGACGACGACACCTCCAGCCTGCTCGCAACCCTGCTCGCACTCACAGAGCAAGGGATGAGAACCTTTCTGAGAGACTGCCGCGACATCGATGGGGATACAACAGAAGGCACAACACCAAGAAGGCAAGCAACAGAAGGCACAATACCAAGGCGGCAAGCAACATAGATGCGGGACACTGTACACCCACAGGCAGGCATCGGGTAAAGTGTCTAAACTGTACAAACTCTATGGCCACCCACTATAACTACAGATTATGGCATAAACTCACACAAAAACGAACGCTATCCTGTTGCTCATTCCTCTTTTATTTCTTCCTGTGTAATACATCTGTAGTCTCATTAGGGTATGTGAGCACATCTCTCAAATGACAACCAAAGTACCCACAATTGCACACTACCTATCTCGTAGTACTACTAATACTGCTTAACATGCTTAAAAATACAGCCTTACCGGAGGGGGCGTGGCCAACCGCCGAGCAACCTGGCTGCTTAGGAAATTGCTCCGGCACCCGGGCTCTCTCAATCCGCTACCATCCGCTGTCAGAACGCGGGGAAACCCCTCAAAACTTACCATGTCGCAGCCCAAGGGGATGAAGAACAACCAGAAGGCTGAAAAACTTAGCTTTTTCAACCAAAAATCGGCGGCAGTCTCTGAAACTGATCGGAGCATAATCCAAGATGGCGCCGACGAGATACCGGCGGGAAACATTCAGCAGGCTAACTCCCATCAAGGAGAGCAAGAAAACCTGACTAGAGCACACCTAGAGGATGCATTAAACAACATGGCAGAAAAACTAGTGAAAACATGGCAATCCTCAATAGAACTACTTCGCAAAGAAGTTCAAGACATCGGGACCAGAACAGCGCACGTGGAACATAAACTCAGTGAGTTTGCCACAGCACACAACGAGGTGGCAGACCACGTGGCGGCCTTGGAACACAAAGTGGTAGCCATGGAGGCACGCATGGCGGACGCAGAAGACCGGTCACGGAGGAACAACCTGCGGCTGCGGGGAGTTCCAGAGACTGTCCTCCCTTGTGACCTGCAAACCTATGTACGAGGCCTCCTTAGGGCGTACGCCCCCGACATACCCGTGGACATGCTCCTGGTGGATAGAGTACACAGGGTCCCCAAACCCAGGAACCTACCGGACAACGTGCCCAGGGACATCCTCCTCAGGGCACACTACTTCCACATAAAGGAAGCCGTGCTGCGCGCTAGCAGGAACAGAGCGGACCCACCAGAAGAATTTGCAAAAATCAAAATCCTGGCAGATCTCTCTGCAGCAACTTTGAAACGCAGAAAAGAATTCCATGCAATCACCGACGAATTGCGACAAGCTGGGATCAGATATCGCTGGGGATACCCCACCAAACTACTGGTCACAAAGAATGGAGGACTGACAATTATTCAAACTCCCGAAGACGGAGTGAAACAAATGCGCGAATGGGGACTTATGAAAGACTCCACTCACACGCCAGCAGGCCCAACGGGTCGTCTAACACCAGAATGGCGACAAATCCCGATGAAATCCAGGCTGCCATAAGATCCGACGACACGAAACCCACATCCGATACAACCTGGGAGCACGTGAGATAACTGTACACACCAAAATCTAGCTTAAAATATCATATTATAGCCAAGATTAATCGTTTCTGATTAGCATGTTGTTGTTACTGTTACTGCAGTGTTTATATGTGAAATGTTATTCACCTTGTACCATACATGATATCCTCACCTGCTTATGATACAGGCAAGCTTACAATCCTCAAGAAACAAAGGCATAGCCTCAACTAAGGCGAAGCAGGGACCCATAGTTAAACCAAAAAACAGGGTCTCCACCACCCGAGGTACTGCGCAGCGCCCTGGATACTTCCTGTGGCGCCTTTAAAGAAGCCCCGCTCCAAGTACTACCAGTACCCCTGAGCGAGCTACCCCAGTTTTAACTACCCACTTACATACTCAGCTAAAAACGCTACCTTACCCCCCCCTAACGTTCTGACACATCTGAAAATGTGACAATATGAGAGCCCATTGGCCACACTACCAGAGACGCAACCCGAGCGTCCAACCCCCATGGCACTGAGCCTCAGGGCCAGGACCCCAAGTTGGGTCACTCTGTATATACTTTCTTTTACGTTAACCCCCAACACCCTCCCTACACTACCCACAATTCCCAGGCTACAAGTCACCGTTCTAAGACTGCCCAACAGGCAGCACGTTGATCTAACACTATCTACCAAGTCGCCCACTGTGGAAATAACAAGCCCACAAACGAGCTATCTCTACCATACATCTATAACATGAGAATATATTCACATAATAGTAGGGGATTGAATACACCCCACAAAAGACGCATGGTACTGGAGGAGGCTAGGAAGAATAAAGCAGATATCATCTGCCTTCAAGAAACACACTTTGTCACCTCCAAGGTGCCAAAATTTGGTATAAAGGACTATCCCCACCAATACCATGCCACCCACTCCTCAAAGTCGAAAGGAGTATCGATCCTCCTTCATGCCTCACTAACTGTAGAAATCTTACGAGTTAAAACAGACAGCCAGGGGAGATATGTGATGCTTCAATGCCTACTTAATGGCTCCCCGTACGTTGTAATTAGCTTCTACAGTCCAAACGTGCATCAACGTAATTTTCTGCATAAGGTATTATCTATGATCCCAGACCACCAAACGGCTGCTACCATACTATGCGGGGACCTGAACCATCCTTTAGATCCCAATATGGACACCACGCTAAATCCCACAGCCCCTAGACAGGCAACACTACGACCACAAAGCAAAGCCCTAAATAAACTGCTGGGGGAATACGGACTATACGACTCATGGAGAATGTTCCACCCGACCGAAAAATCTTTCTCATACTATTCGGCAGTACATAAATCCCACTCGAGAATAGATTTCATTTTTATTGCAGGCACCCTCTTACCTAAGGTCACTGATAGCAACATTGGGGACATCACCTGGTCGGATCATGCCCCGACCATGGTAGAAATATCTGGAGAATACCAGCACAGGGGGCGACCACCTTGGCGCCTAAACGACTCACTCCTCCACGACCACACCTTCTCTCAAACACTAACGGATGCCCTGTGTACATACTTCCAAATCAATGACACCCCAGACATACACCCAACAACGCTATGGCAAGCCCATAAGGCGGTAATACGAGGCTTATTGATCAGTCGAGCGTCCTATGTAAAGAAAAAAGCCCAAGAGGAATACCTGAATCTGCTGCGCACCCTAAGAGATGCTACTGCGGCAAACATAGTGAACCCTACCCCGCAACAAGCACAGATAATCAAAGACACCACAGCACACCTCAACAACATAGCACTAGCAAAAACTGCATACATCCTACACAAACTAAAACAAACTTCATACTCCCAAGGCAACAGAGCAGGTAAACACCTGGCAACCTTACTGAGACAAAAACAATCCAACGCCAAAATACCCTACCTACTTACAAACAAAGAAACTAAAATCCACAATCCACAGGACATTAACGATACTATGGCGACATACTACCACTCACTATACAACCTCAAGGACGATCCAGACTTACACCAACCCACCCCCTCAGACATACAAGACTTCCTCCGGCAAACCACACTACCGGCACTTTCAGCTCAACAAAAAACAACTTTACAAAACCCAGTCACGACACAAGAAATCCAACACGCCATCCAATCTCTCCCTCACGGGAAGTCGCCAGGACCTGACGGCTTGACAAATTCCTATTACAAGTCACAGACCGCATCCCTCGTCCCATACCTAGAGAGGTCCTTTAACCATATTATCACAACCGACCAGATGCCCCAGGAAATGCTCATGGCGCATGTGGCCACACTGCCAAAACCAGGCAAACCCCCGACCAAATGCCAGAACCTAAGGCCAATATCTCTCCTCAACACCGACACTAAACTACTAGCCAAAATATTCTCGAATCGTCTAGCAAACATCATACCGACCATAATACATAAAGATCAGGTAGGCTTTGTCAGTGGTAGACAGGGGGCAGATGGAACCAGGAAGGTTTTGGACTTGCTAGGGGGGGGGTGCGGAGGGGGGGCCCAATGTGTACTCCTGTCGCTTGATGCAGAAAAAGCCTTCGATAGGCTGCACTGGCCCTTCCTCCGCGCGGTCCTCAACAAATATGGCTTTCCTGATAACTTCCTAAAACTGGTAGAGGCACTATATTCCAAACCGACTGCGAAAGTCACGAACGGAGGCTTCATCTCCAAACAATTCAACATAACCAATGGAACGTGGCAGGGATGCCCGCTCTCTCCTCTATTATACATTCTATCCCTGGAACCGCTCACACAGCTCATCAGGGACAACCCGAACATACATGGTATCACTAAACAAGGCAAGGAGTACAAACTTACACTATTTGCGGATGACGTGCTACTAACGTTGGAGCAACCACATATTTCCCTGCCAAACTTTCATTCTGTCCTATCCCAATACAGCAAATGTTCACACTATAAGTTAAATGTGACCAAAACCCAAGCAATGGGCATAAATATTCCCACTGACACATTAGAGAGCCTACGCAACTCCTTTCACTATGACTGGAGAACTGACTATCTAAAATTCCTAGGAATTAACATCACACAGAAGCCAGCCCTATTATATAAAACAAACTACCAAAAAACACTGTCCGATATAAAAACAGTGCTAACAGGATGGAAAGGTAAATACATCTCGTGGTCAGGCAGAATAGCTGCGATCAAAATGATTGTTTTACCGAAACTACAATATTTATTCAGAACACTGCCAATAAAACTACCCCCCCATTTCCTTCGGGAAGCACAACAAATACTAATGGAATTTATATGGGACAAGCACAAACCACGGGTAGCAAAAAGCACACTATACCTGCCACGGGAGAAAGGGGGGATGGGCGTACCCAATCTAGATAGCTACCATCGTGCAGCCATACTGAGTCCACTCTTAGCAGCATGCCACAGAACTCACCCAACTCCATGGGAAGAGATAGAGACATACCATGCAAACAACACCCCCCTAACAATATTGGCATGGCTCCCAAAAACCCACAGACCATCGACGAGCGTGATGCTCCCAGTCACGGCACTAACACTGCACATTTGGGACACACACTGCCGTAAAATGGGCTGGACAGGGAAAACATCACAAGCCATGCCCCTAAAAACATTACAATACATAATCCCCAATTTCAACCACGCATTGTGGCATGAATACGGCATCACGCACCTATATCACCTCATACAAGGTCAGGAACTTAGAAGTTTCAAGGATATACAAGACTCCTACCACCTCAACGCACAGGTTTCCTTTTCCTATTTACAAATAAAATCCTGGTTCCACAAGCAAACTGTAAATGGGTCTGGAAATGTACAGGAACCACAGCTGACGGCGGTAGAAAAAATATGCCTACGCCTCTCGCCCCCCAAAAAACTAATCTCTGAAATCTATCAATCAATGCACGCACACACTGGCCATACCAAATTTTCTTTCACAACTGCATGGGAGAAAGAATTCAAATATAACCTAACTCCACAGCAGTGGAAAGACATCTTAAAGGCGCACAACTCCCTCTCTAAATGTGCTTCACATATGGAGCTCTCTCGCAAAATCCTATACCGGTGGTATTTAGTGCCCACTCGCATTAAAGCGGCGCACCTCCAAGCATCTGATGTATGCTGGAGATGCCAGCAGCATAAAGGCACGATGCTCCATATCTGGTGGACCTGTCCCATCCTAACCCCATTCTGGGACGAAACATACCTCCTCCAACTATTCCCAAAAAGGATGGGGTGGAAGCAAAAATACTTAATATATCAACTACTCATGGCAGCCCTCACTGTAATTAGCAGGCACTGGAAATCACCCCTACCAATGCCAACCACCGAACTCACACAATTATTAGACACCACAAGGCTATATGAAATAGCGGCCAGGCAAACCTCCCGCACAAAGAAGGTCTGGCAAGAGGCATGGGAGGAATGGCAGCAATATATGGAGCGCAACAATCTCCTCCACCCCCTTCCCCCACCCCAAAAATGAATGGGAAGGAAGAAGGCTAGGACGTGTATCTGCTAACCGACAGCTGTGTTCCTAATGAGTGCACCAAGGCACAAGAATGTACAAACATGTAAAAATACGTTACTTAAAAAGGTCAATGTTAGTCACCTCAGGCCTGGGAGTGACACCTACTTCCCCGTTACCCCCCCCCCCTGTTACTTCTATAACTGTTTTCATCCTCTCCCAGTGGCACCCTAGATAGGGAATATCCGAATCACCAATGCCATATCTAGAGGAAACATGACTAAATTGTTGAACTATGTAAACTAATGTAACATGTCTCTCGAAATGGAAAATGTGAACCCAATCTGTATATGGCAGAACATACAAGCATTACTGACAACGAGGCACCACTGGTGTGCCCACACCAAAGTACAAAGATATGAATGTATACCACTGTCCTCTAACTATTGTCCTTTTCCCCTACCCCTTTTTCTTTCTGTACCCCCCCCCAAAAAAAGATCAATAAAAATTGTCAAAGTTAAAAATAAAAAAATACAGCCTTACCAACATATATGCTCCACCTATGCCTATTATGCTCTAGCTAATATATTAACGTACTGGCAGAACGCATGGAGACCTATGGCCTGGAACTTAATCCCGTGTAACTTCAACGTGTTACATAGAGTGCTAATCATTATTTTATGCAGATCACGTCTATTACCTCTCTTCTTTGTGAAACGTTAAATGCTAAAAATTGTCCAAACGTGTTATAACAGCTTGTCTATCTTTATATTTTAAAAATTGTGCTGAGACCAAACTGTCATACAAATGTACAACCGTGTCAAAACTTTGCTTGCATATTATGTCATGGCAGTGTAAGATGCATTGTTATTACTTGCACAACGAAAAAAAATAAATTAAAAAAAAATATATATATATAAATATACAACAAAAAAAGTTTCACTTATTTGTGCATCCCTTATAAAATTATTTGAGAAATTAAATTCTTTAGACGGTATACAATGCGCTTTATATTGTAATATTTTACACAGGGTCTGAAAAGTTCGTATTACAGCAATTATTGTCACATACAGTAGGTGTGTCAACCGTATATAATGCTCATATCTCAAAATCATATATTTCTCAAATATAGGTATTTAAAACTGCTATAGCAAGCTTTATCACTGTTCAGAATGCTAATGTAAGCTTGACAAAGACCGTTCAGGTCAAGACGTTGTGAGTGGCGGTGGGTTCAATAAATTTGCCTTTTTTTTTGTATCCTGGAGTGCCTGGACCTTTTTCCAATTTTGCCTCATCAAGTATTTGGTTCTTGGTACTGGGGCCGGCCTGGCTGCACCCAGATACATATTATGTGGGGTTTGAGTGCATTTCCACACCCTTGTTTTTTGGTCAATGTAATGCTAACAGTCATATGGTAGAGTCCATAAATAATTATCTAAACCAGAATCAAATAGTAGCTTCACAATATCCCACAGAAGGAATAATATCAATAATGAGTCCAGAGGTAAAACCTTCTTGGTAACAGTCTCTGTAACATCACTGGTGTAAATAAAAGTTGCAAATTAAAGTTCACTGTGCTCTAAACAGTGGCACTAAAATGAATACAGTTCACAACAAAGTATTGAGATAAAAGTGAATCGATAGGGGAACAATGTCCCCAGCTAGACCAGATACTCAGTATCCTACCCGGGTTAATGAGATGTGGGGTGGGAAAACTGTTAATAGTTTAATTGATGAGCCTTCTTGAAGAAGTTTTCAGTAATTTAATTTATTTTTTTAAAGCTATCGGACATTCTTGTGTATTAACGAGGACAGTCAGATAGGATCAGTGTTGTGAAAAGATTTGTAAGTAAGGACCAGAATTTGATATTAAGCCCTAGATCTTATGGGAAAGCAATTTAAAGACCGATAGAAAGGGGAAGGTGTGGGAGGTGCGAGAAGATAAGAAGATGAGACCGTCTGCAGCATCCATTATTAACTGTTGTGGGGCAAGCTGGAAATGCATTAGACCAATTAGATGTGGCTTGAAGTAGTCATGGTGGGAGAGGATTGCAGCTTCTACAAGCACCTGAGTTGCATTCAGTGTTCAGTGGGGTCAGACGCAAACTGTGTTATTTAGATGAAAGAAGCAGGAGATTGGGGATTGGATGTGAGCAGTGACGGAGAGGTTGGAATCAGAAACAATGCCAAGGCAGCGAGTCAGTGAGGTAGTGTTGATGGTAGTACTATCGACTTGGAGGGAGATAGACACAGGAGTAGTACTGCTCAAAGGAGGAAATACGAGAAGTTCTGTTTTGGAGAGAATGAGTTTAAAAAAGTGAGCAGTCATCTAGTTGGAGACACAATTCGAGAGACGTGGAAAAAATAGGATAGGACACACACATGAAAATGGAAACCAAAGAAACCATTTATTTTACTCCCATTGGCATTATAAGTTGAGGACAGTATAAATTGAGAACAAAAGAACCCCTGAATTTTTAAGATCGAAAAACGTAAAAATATACTTTACTCCCTCTACAAGGGTTAGGTTTAAAAAGGATTAAGATCTCACAGGACCCTCGTCAAGTCACTTGTTTGGGACCCCCTTCATATTCAGCCCTCATCTAAACCTTGGGCGCTATGGTTAATCCTGCTCTGGTTAATACGCTGTTATGTTACAATATCGTTTAACAAGCCTAATGGTATCCCATCTTTTATTGGTCTTTATTTTTTTTCTTTTATTTGCAAGGTTTCGTTTTCTCCTTCAATATCGACACACGGAGGCCACAAGTTTTCCGTGGACCAGAGGCAGCGCAGTTTGGGTACAAGGTTTTACAACATGAAGCTAATGGACAAAAATGGTAAGTGGCAGTGTCTCCAAAACCCAGGGGTTTTCTTCATGTTCCATCCATGGATGTTTCATCTTAAAAATGGGCACTGATGCCAAGTTCCATTTTATGTTTAATTAAAGATTTATTAAGACCTACTTATCCCAGGATAGTGTCTTCTTTTGCCAGACTTTACCCATATTTTGTTACAGTTAACTTGCCTCTCTGATTGTAGACTCTGGACTCTGTTTATACTCTCTTCTTGATAGCTTAGATGACATCTTCCTACCCAAAGTACTGTTCTGTTTATTCATACCTTGACCTATTGACCACATTCTTGCTTCCACCCGAACAAGTCCTAATTAACTCAGTGACATTTTACCACATTTGCTCAGTGAGGTTTAAGTTTGCGTGGGATAGGTGTAAGGCTATCCTAGACTTAAGATAAGGCCAGGGACTAATGAAAATATTTAGAAAATTGGGCAGACTAGATGGGTCAAACGGTTCTTATCTGCCGTCACATTCTATGTTTCTAAGATTCCATACTGGAACTTTGACAATGGTTCTGCATAATAAACTTGGTCGCTTACAGCAAAGTCTTCAAACCTTGTGTTTTTCATGTCAAATCATGTTCTGTTAACCTTGACTTTGTGTATTTACTCTTTTTCTAATCCCTCTACTGTCCCAATATTTTAAATTTATTCTGCTGTAGATGCATGACATAAACCAGCGAATGTTTTGGTCTGAAACTAGAATCATTCCAACCCCTGTCTAATAATGTGTGATCTGTCTAATAACTCCCATATGCCAAATGCATCGGACAGAGGTTCCCTGTACATAGAGATCATATTTTACGTATAGGAAGTGGGTGTCTCTCTGGGGGTATATAGATGACTGTCCTAAACACGGAAATGTTGGAAAAAGAGAACTTACTTTACTCCATCTGGATTTTAAATCTGAATTAATACACAGTTGAAAGAACGTTGTTTATGGAATAGTCAGTCCAGAGACACCTTCGATCATCTTGTAATGGAATTACCAGACTTGGGTTCCTTTTAATGATATTTACAGGTATCAGTGATGGGAACTTGTAACACATGAATAAAAAACCTGCAGGAAAAAATGTTAATCACGACTTTAATGGGAATGTTAACAAACCAAACATCTGTTTAAGTGACCTACTGGCGCACACAGTCTTTCCTTGCAGTGTACCACGGGTCTGCCCTGCTTAAAAAACTCTTTCCCTCTTTTGCTATAATGTGTTTTGTGATGCAGATTGTAAGCTCTTCAGAACAGTCATTTTCACCCATTCTCCATGCAGTCACTCATGGTCAGATCTGTTGTCTTTCTGCCTATCTATCCATCCATAGTAAGCCCTGTTATTGGCAATCATTCTACTGTCCAAACTTGCTGATTAAACAAGTTCAAGTGCAAGCTAACGATAAATGTGGTCTTAAAAAGAGGAGAGGTTCTATATAACGTTGAAATCTCTTACCTTCAGCATTAATTTGTTTATTGCATTAACACTGGAACACTATAGCTTTAGGAATACAGAGTAGTATTCCTCAAACACTAATGTCCATCTGCCTATTATAGGTCTGTGCCCCCCCCCACAAGGTGAAAAAAAAAGGGTTTAAAAAAACACTTACCTCTTTCCAGTGCCAATGTCCCGCTGAGCTGGAATGCTATCCTCCTCCACCAACATTATGCTGATGGGGGAACCTAATTCGCATTCTCAACAAGTGGCACACACATTACTTTCCCCATAGGAAAGAAATGATTCAATACTGTCACATGGGGATTTTGAAGACGGTGGACATCCTCCTGCAAAGCGTGAGGGCATCCAATGTCGTTTCATACAGTTAACATACGTTCGAATCCAGGAAGTGCCTCTAGTAGCTGTCTGGTAGACAGCCACTAGAGGTCGTCTTAACCTTGCAAAATAAACATTGCAGGGTTAAGGGGACAGGGGCATTGAACCCAGACCACTATAATGAGATGAAGTGGTCTGGGTGCCTATAGTGTCCCTTTCGTATTAAAAATCTGCAAATTAGCAAGAGGTAAAGCCTCCTTTAATTTTGCTAATATGTCCCCTTTTGCCATAAATTTGCCTTTTTCCATGTTAAAAGAGTTATAGATTCCATTAGTTGCATTTTTTTCTTTTATTTACACTTTAAACCAGGACTGGATACTATTAAACATATGTTTCTCATGTTTAGAAGAAAATTGGATTCCCAGCTAACAGTGTACGTACGTCTCTGAAAAAATCCCATCTAGGCAGCAGCCAGAGGAAGGTGGGAGGGAGGAAATGGTGACCTTTTATGGAGTCCTCTCTCTTTTCACAGCCTGTTTTGGGGTCACATTACACAGAGAGTAGTTGGATCTATATCCGGATGTTTGTCAAACCACTTAATGACGTCTCATTCCCTTAAAATATCAGCTTCCAGACCAGGTATTGCATTGTTGCCATATACCGGTTTAAAGAATGTTATTCTGCCTATATTTGCCATATCCATAATATCACATTATGAGCGTCAGAAGAGGATTGGGGCTAATATAATGCCCACCTTGTCCTTAATTATAGTTTATGCCAATCTTGTTCACCCTGGTTATTACTCTTGCATCTTGCCAACCTTTTACTGGAGTTAGTGTAGATCAATTTCAACTAATATTTTGCAGAATCTCATACCCACCAGTAATGAGGGATTACTTTTAATACTATCACAATAATTGGACAATGTTATGTTACCTGCACCCTTTATGAGTCAGTTTCGCTTGCTTCCTTTAATAAAATAGGGCATGCTAATCATGCATATTTTTACCTGGTTTGGTTCCAGTGCATCCTTAGACTTCCAATGTGGGGCAGCGTATTTTGGAGCAGATCAGACGAAGCAGGATAATGAAGTCGGACTCCCTGGCCTATATATTTTGAGTCTGCCTGACTAGTTCCCGTTCATGATTCCCAATACCCTTAAATGCATTCTTTGACCTGTTTTGAGCCCTTTGGTATTGACCCAGCTTGTCGTTTCGATTATTATAATGTCTGATATCCTGACTTTGGCTAAACATCCTATTAGTGTATCTCTGGCGACCATGATTTTGGCTGTGTTGTGACACTGTATTTTCACTCCTTCTGAAGTATTTTAATTAAAGGAACACTATAGGGTCAGGAACACAAACCTGTATTCCTGACCCTATAGTGCTAAACTCACCATTTAGGTGGTTTGCCCCCCCCCTTAAGCCCTGCTATTTTAGTTTAAAACTCACCTTATTTCCAGCACTGCGTGGGTCCGCCAGTGCTGGCTCTGTCCCCTTTGTGAAATAATCGAAATGGACAATTTTTAGCCAATCCCATGGGGAAAGTATTGGATTGGCTAAAAATCGACACGGAGGTGGGGCCAAATGCTGTTTTGGCGAATCAGGACCTCCTCATTGAATCAGTGCATCTCTATGAGGAAATTCAGAGTCTCCATGCAGAGAGTGGGGACGCTGAACGGCAGGGCTGCCTACTGTGCAGCCCTGAGTCAGGAAGAACCTCCAGTGACCATCTGAGGAGTGGCTATTTGGTGGTGTCCCTAGGGGCAATGTAAATACTGCCTTTTCTCTGAAAAGGCAGTGTTTACATGAAAATACCTGAAGGCAATGATTATACTCACCAGAACAACTACATTAAGCTATAGTTGTTCTGGTGACTATAGGGTCACTTTAAGTCCAGCTATTCTTTGGATTCATAACATGCCTCTCTCCGTTTTTGTCTCTAGCCCATTGTCAGGACCTTTCCCTTTCCCTGTGCTACTATGTTAACTACAACTAATTCTGACACAATGTTCTAAAGTAGAAAAGTCACCATGGGAATCAATGGAACAATCCGCAGATTCAACATCTGAATTTCCATGGTGTTTCCTCCATTGTGGCCCAGTTTCCTAAGAAAGGGGCACTCTAAACACCATAACTAGTATAGCTTATCGTAGTGGTTATGATGTTTTGAAATTTTGCGTGCCATCCATCTGTCCAACAGCTGTGAGTGGTTTGCCAAAAGTCTTAGCTCCTTCAGAAACCAGAGTACATCCCCTCTTCAGCTGCACTGATAATACAGAAGATCTACTTCTATATCATTCACTCAAAGCCATCCAACCTTGGAATAGAGGTTATAGCTGCAAGCACTGGGTGTAGAGTGGATAATGCAGAAGTGCATGTTCCACATTATCTGAGCATTTACAGAGATGCTCATATTTGATAGCCAGGAAGAGCCAAGTCTTTTGACAAACCACAAACATAGTTTGATAACAAATGGAAGGGTGGCATCCAAAGACTGTAGCCAATACAGCGAGCTACAGTTGTTATGGTGCTTAGAGTGTTCATTGAATATCATGTAGTAAATCACCCCTGCTTTGTCTTTAACAAAGTTAAAGTTTCCCATTTTTGGGAACTATATCCCAAACCGTCTACTGTTGCTGCTTTCTACGTTCTTACAGAACATGCAAATGATCAACTTGAAATGTAACCGGGTTTTTAAAATATAGTTTTTATTTTCTTGACTTAACTAAAAATTTCCTTAAACGCGATACAAGCATTCTAGATTTCAAATGTAATTGAACACCCAATGCGTTTTACACTCTTGCAGCGCTTATTGAAAAATACATTTTGTGTGTACAGGTATCTCACATTACAAAGTAAAAAATTACTTACTATTGGATGAATATCGAGGGACTGGTATTCCACAAACTAGTGCTCTAAGAGTGTGAAATGCGTCAGGTTATTCAATGGTATTTGTAGGCTTTTAAGTTTGTGCCACTTCTTTTATCACTAAATGTTTTTAAAGAAGTAAAAATAAAATTAAAATAAGCAATCTTATTTTAGTTTGTTGATTATCAAGCTACGTTTACTCTGAACGTGTGAACATATCCCACCCCTATAGCGTTAGCCCTTTTTTGGCGCGCAATGTTGCACGTTTTCATGGTGAACGATTGTTGCGTCATTCCTGTGACACGTAGAACAACAGGATCACAATTAATAGCATCACTTGCCTAATTTTCTCCTCATTCTAAATATATAACACCTGCTAAAACCACGCTTCATTGAGCAGATGTTACTAGACTCCCCAGAGTCACATATTCTGAACTCCTGTTTTATTCAATTTTTGCTACGTTTGTGACCTTTGCCCTGGATCTGTTTCATTGTTAATAAACATTTGCTGCCAGCCCTGACCTCTTGCGATCCTGACCATAAAGTTGTCTGCTTCCTGTCTGTACTGCATTATTACATGCACCTACACAGTTATACTAAATAACTAAATTAACTTCTGGGTTCCACATTTCTTCTTTGCTCTCATAAGCTTGTAGCATAATACCCAGAAACACTTGAGGCTGAAATTGCTGCCAAAGGTGCGCCAACTAGGTACTGAGTTAAGGGTCTGAATACTTAAGTCAGTGTGATATATTTTAGTTTTTTTTTTTCTGTCTAATTAATTTGCAAAGTTAAAAAAAAAAATCCATTGTTTGCTTTGCATTCTGATGCATTGATGTGAACAAATGTTTTTAAAATGTTTTAAAGAACTATAGAATAAGAATGCAACAAAAAAATTATGTTAATTAAAATGGTGGGAATATTTTCTGAATTCACGGTATGTTTCGATTACTTTTGATCTTTTTGGTGCAGGTTGCTGGTGGGCGCCCCATGGGACGGCTCTGATGATAATCGACAGGGCGACGTTTACAAATGCTCAATGGAAGCTCAGAATAATTCCTCGTGTACAAAAGTCAATCTTGGTATGTTCCAGGTGGCTTTGTTTGTGAATGATATTACGGTAAATTGGGCTGAATTTAAAATATTGTTGTATATTTTTAGATAGAATAAAGGGTTTCTATTATTCCACAACTTACACCAGTCACAAAAGACAGTCACTAATACAGGGGTTTCCAATGTTGGTCCTCCAGCAGTTGCAAAATATTTCCCATAATTCTTGCCTGACTGGCATTGGCTCAGTTCCACATACATTTTATTTTATTTACAGTTAAATCGCCTTCCACTTGTGAAGAACATAGAATTTTTTTAAGAGGCCTCAAGCCTTCCTGATTGGCTGCTTGTATTTTAGTCTTACAAATTTGTTACTTTTTTTTTTTTTAAACTCTTGTAAGGATCGAAAGGCACTTGGAAGGTTTGGTGTTTGTCAGGGTAAGATCCAGGAAAGAAACATGTTGTCTGTCTGTGTTGAAAGTTTAGCCAGATTTTAAGAGGATTTTTTAATACTTGTCATCATATTTTAATCTCAAGTATTTTAGAAAGAGGTAAACAGTAGTCATGAGTATTCGGGAAGGGAAATATATCCAACCACAACTTTACTGAAGAAGTAGATGAATCGTGGAATGGTATTCCAGCCGAGGTGGTAAATGCTTATACTGATATGGGAATTGATTTGTCACGGGTTTACAGCAGATAGTAGACTGTCGTGGGGTTAAAGGGTACACAGGCCTGTGTTTTATTTAGTACATTGCCTCTTATTGTCTTTCCTCTCGCCCCCGCATGTGCTGTTTTTGGATCCCTGCTTTAAGGGGAACTTGCTCTTAGGAATGTCTCCAAGCAAATCAAAAACATGCATTTCGGCATGTCGCTGACACCGGACACACAAGGTGGATTTGTGGTAAGTGTTTTTGCTGCCAGTCAGCTATGAATAGAATTCTCTGCCATGTTATAATACGGGCAGCCGAGAAAGGCATAATTGTGCTAACTGGCTTAGCTTCATAGGAGTTGCAGTGTAAGGCCAGCGGTTGACTGGTTCCATCTGGCTGCGTTAGAGGTTAACAGCAGGGTTCTGCGTGGCAGGGGGATGGGGGCATTTTTGTGGTATGCTGAGTGTGTGCTGAGCTCTGCTAGGAATCGGAGCCAATATAAGCATCTCGTGACCTTATGTACTCTGGCCAATACAGGTACAACATCCTGTGTTGTTCTTTAAAGCAGGAGGAACTGAGTCACACGTTTCTGTGTTTACTTGTACACAACCAGAATAAGTGGCTTTGTAATAGTGATATTTCAGAGCATAATATCTGTCTACTGTCCCGAGTGATGATTTTGGGCCTCTGTATTTCCATCTGTAGTTGGTACTCTGATCTGATGTCCTGTTTCTGGACACGCTATTGGCAAATATGCATGGAGTGCATGTTTAAGTTATTCATATGATATATGACAAATTAGGTATAAAAGGGTCTATGGTTTATGCAATAAATCAAGTAATTGGGTCATTCTACGGAAGCTGGAAATGAAAGAATGGTTTGTCACAATAATATCGCATAGACTGGAAATTAAACGATAATGGATTTAATTTTAATTGAGGTGTAAAACTAGCTCCGGTTTTATAAGTAATAAATACACAGAGATTTCTAGATATGCCATGAAATCTAAGGCAATTTTTAAACTATCAATTCCAAAATAAAGAAGTAAATATATGGAATCTTTTTTGCGTGGTGCAACATTAAAATAAAAATTCCTGAGGCGGGTCCTGACTGCCAGATCAAACGCATATTTGTATCACTCCTCCAAGCTTTTGCTTATTAGAATATTAACCAGCGATCGTCTACTATAATTCCACCTTCAGGTTTGGGATCCAAGCTATTGCACAAATGTTGGTGCCATCCTGTTTGTTATGCTAGCAGTGATGGGCCCATGTTACAGGGATTATACCTCCTGGCATTTGAGGTCTATTCTGGCGACCGAGTGAAGTTCGAATAAGTGGCCCTGTTCCCTCACCTTTGGACTGGTGGGGGTTATTGCCGTCTACACGGCAGGCTATCTGCTTTTGGGAGCACCTGAGGCTTCCCTGGAGCAAAGGAAATGACCAGAAATACAGCCCTCAGCTGGCAACGGTATTGCAAGTAGACATGTGCATTAGTTTTCAGACGAATACGATTTAGTCCGAAATTTCAGACTTTTTCGTATTTGTTTACTAAAACGTAAACGAAAGTCCTACATACGAAAAACAAACGAAACGAAAGGGCAAATTCCAAATGCATTACCTTTGCATTTCAGTTCGTTTAGTTTATTTTACCGGCGCGCAGCTTCCTCCTTGTAATGTGTGAAAATAGAAGCGGCAGGGAGCAGTGCTCCCCGCCACTTCCTAACTCCCACCATGTCCCGCCGTCATTCTATGAGAGTAAATGTGAAGAAATCCCAAAGTTATTTCATTTATTGTACTTTTTTCCATTCGGTAGCTGTAACTTCCGAACACTGACCATCCCCCTTGCTCATTAACTTCAAAGAGAACAGTCGATTAAGTGCTCTCCCTGTGTGACTGCCGTTCGTATAGTCAAACGCCACGTGTCCGAGAAAACAGCGGCCATCTTGTTCGTACGAAAGGAGGCAGTGGGACTTGGTCGTCGAGTTTCTGAAACTAAAATCGGACATTCGACTTCCCGAACACTGGTCAAACTGCACGAACGCCTGCTTCCTTTTCCCAAACAGCTAGGAGAGTGCTGTTCGGTAGTTTTGTTCCCACAAACCAGGGGAACAATCGCTACTATGAGCCAGGGGGAGCAGTCCATTCATTTATTCGTTTTTTTAGACTTGACGAAATAGACCGGCCACACAGCCTAAACTTATGGAACTGTTCTGCGCAGGAGCCTCGTGTGCGGCCGGTCAACTAAGACTTCCATAAAATTTGAAAACCCCGAAACTGATCTAGGTGATTTGGGGATATGTTGGTCACCCAGATCAAGGCTATCAGAGGATATGACATTTATGGGGATGTTATGTGTTTTAGGGTACCTTTCACGTTTTGGGGAAATTGTGGGTTTTCTGCCTGCAGATAATTAAGTTATTACTTTACCTGACCCAATTATCTCCAGGCAGAGAGGAGAAAATTATATGTTTGTATTGGGAGTGGCACAGTTTGTCACTGTATTGTTTTTGGCTGTACGCTTTGTGTCCCTGTCCCCCACAAGGTTCATCTGGGAGGTTCCCTTGCATGGGAACGTGCATAAAATCCAGTGTGGCACCATTAAAATCATTCCTGTTACACCCTTCATCTAGTTTCGGCTGATGTTTGGGTACCTGTCTGCTTTACTGGGTGAATCTACTTGGGAGGCTGTAATTTCGTATGGAGAATCGTTCACCTCAACACCCGAACTGCGAACTATAATTACTCATGCTCTGACAGTTCGGGAGGAAATAGAAGAACGGGTAGCTGTTATACCAGCGTTCGTTACAGTCATTATGACACCCATATTAGCATAAGGGAGATTAAAATCTCCTGAATGCGCCTACTTGCTACGCTGCGAGTATGGGGCATGTCTACTAAACAGTGAGCAGCCAGTGACTGCTCACTGTTAAAAAAATAAATACATTTTTAAAAAGCGCCCCCCTGGCCCCACCCATGAGCGGTGGGGACCCTAATTAATTAAAGGGGGGACCTAATGTCCCCATCCATTAGCATCGGGTGGGGACCCTAATTACATAAAAAATGGGGGGAACCTATTGTGCACCCCAGGCCCCACCCATGAACGGCAGGTGAGGGCCCTAAGTAACAAAAGGAGGGGACCTATTGTCTTCCCCCCACCTCCAGCCCCCACCCATGAGCGGTGGGGGGGGACCCTAAGTATCAATAGTGGTGGACCTATTGTCTCCCCCTGGCCCCCACCCATGAGCAGCGAGTGGGGACCCTAATTAATTAAAGGGGGGACCTAATGTCCCCCCTGGTTCCCACCCATGAGCGGCAGGTGGAGACCCTAATTAAATAAAAAATGGGGGGGGACCTAATGTGTGTCCCCCCAGGTTCCCACCCATGAGCGGCGGACAGGGACCCTAATTTTAATTAACAAGAGGGACCTAATGCCCCCCCCCCCGGTCCCCACTCATGAGTGGTGGTTGGGGACCCCCCGGCCCCCACCCATTAACAATGAGTGGGGACCTGGGTGGGAAACAACAGGCCCCCCCCACCCGCCGCTTATGGGTGGGGCCCGTGGGGGGGAGGACAATAGGCTAATTAATTACGGGTGGGGGTGCAGGGGGGACACTATGCCCCCCCCCTCATTTTAGCTATTTGTGGTCCCCACCATGGGGGAACGGGTGGACCTGTTCCAGAGAAATAGTGTTGGCTCTATTCCAAACTCAGGGTTAGTATGATGACCTGCTTTGGCCTACACAAAAAGCCTTCCTAGGTGGTGCTGAGAGCTCTTCTCTTACCTAGACTAGGTATCCGCTGACTGTTCTCTATTACTGGGATCTCAGATTTTTCCATCAGTCCTCAAATGATCTTTATTATTTGTTTTTTGTTTTGATGCTTTCCTGCGTCTCCACATTTTCTGTTGAATGTTTTTTGTATTCGATGTACAAATTATGTTCAACAAGCACGTTTTATATCTTTATCCAAATCAAAAAACCTTAAAATAACCTTATAAATGCAGTTGTGGTTGCTATGTTTTTATACCAAACAGCAACATTCTAGCATGTTTAGCTGTTTTTCATAAGACTGTGTGTGTATTCTGTGCTCAAACAAGTAATGCCTTACTAGTCTGCAACTGCACAACAAAAATTAAAATTTATTTAAAAAGTTTTATTCACTAAAAAATTAAATTTGGTGGGGAGGGCCTAAATGCAATTTTTAATTGAGGAACTTTGTTTGAGCTTTGTGAAGAAACTTGATTATGAACAAAGTTGTGGCATATTGTTTCCCAAATGTAGGCCACTGCCGTTCTAATATAGCTTGTGGGCACGGCATATAAGAATTTTGGAAGATCTCTCAGCTTGGTTGGAGTAAGCTCTGGATAAGGCGGTCCTTCCACCTTACTAAAATGTGCTAGGTTACCTAAAATGTCATGTATCCTCTGATTTATCGAGGCCTACAGTCCCAATGAGTGGCTAGCGTAGGTTAGATTTTTGGATGAAGCTATCAAGCAGACTGCAGTTCCACACACTCAAGCCAACAACTGGCAACATGCCTCAGTGCTCACACCACCCTGGGCCTCGTCTACTGGTGGATTCTGCTCAAGAAGAGGGTTCTGCATTTGACTGGACGAGGCCTCTCCAATCTCTCACCGTGACCACTCCATCCCACATATTCCAGAAATTCCAGACACCACTGTACACTCAGCATGACTGGTCCCAATATTGCAGCAACTCACTCTGCCCAGGGAATTGGTACGGGTTCCACCTTGCAAGATGGGCATTACAGAGAATGAGGATGGGACCACATTTGATGAGCTTGCAGGTGTCTGGGCCTGTGTCCCTCAAGCCTTTGTCAGCATTGCGGGACTTTGCTATGCCTCTAGTGGGTGTAGGCTAATCTTGACCTGGGTACTGGAAGTACCTCCCCAACACAGTGCACGTCTACGCAACGCTACCGCTTGGATTACTCTTATACCACCACCTCTTACAGCTAATGGTCTTCATCTGCTGTTGGGTGCTTTGTAAATTTATATTTATCATCTTTTGATTATCAAAATGCTACATTGTCTAAAAATGTGCAGTTGTCACAATTCTCTAATCGAGTTAATGCTTTGTTTAACGTGTGTGTATTTGTGTATTACATGCTGATGGTTACTCTTTTGCTTTTCTGTGACTTCAAAACCAAAAACAGATAACATTTCGAGAAAGGACAAGGAAGCTGAAGTTTTTGTCCAAAATATTTGAGCTGGAAAAAATCTTTAGTTGTTTGTATAATTTGGCTGTTTTGCTCTAATTTGGTGTAATTCTCTTCTCAGTGTTACACAATTCCTGATTTAGTGAATTAATCACTACTGATTCATGGTATTCGATTTGTTTGACTGCACCAATCTATCAGCTGGATGGCAGTCTGTACCCCACTAACACCTCCTTTTTTTTATAAATATAGCCCATGAAGTCCCACCTAACTTCCTCTTTGCTCCACTACTGTTTTACACACTGCTGCTGAGAAAATAATCTCTCTGCCAAAACTCCCTTTACATCTCTACAGAGAGACTAAAAATAGATATTCTCTCTTCCCACACTATATGCAAGTTTTTGCAGAAGTCATTTAATTGTTGCATTTGTACAAACAGGGAGGTTTTTGAGATGCTCTGACCCAGTCGTCTAGCCATCACTATTTGGCACGTGTCAAAGTCACTCAGATCTTTTTGCTTTCCGATTTGTCCTCCTTCCAACTCATTAAATTCAAGAACTGGGTGTTCATTTGCTGCCTAATATATCCCCCCATTGACAGGTGCCACTGTAACGATAGGAAATAAATATCACCCTTTGACTTGGTTTCTGACTGTAAAAGATAAAGAAAGTTACAAAATAGCAATCTATTTATACAATTACTGTTTTATCCCTCATTTATGTGCTATGTGTGTATCCGACGTTTCAAATAAATGTTATGCTTTGTTTATTTATTTCGTTATTGAAATGAGTTTGATAGAGGAGGAGTTATACAGGCGTTTTGTTTTTGTTTTTTTGAGCTTTCCAGAACCATAGCGCCACTTGGCGTCTCAGATATCAGTCCATCTAAAAATTCTGCATAGATCTTTTATCTGATGTAATTGTCAATCATTAGAATTTCTGTTTTCTCCTGTACAGACCTGTGCCCCTCTCTGGTCCCAGGAATGTGGGACATCCATGTACAGCACCGGAATTTGCGCCCAAGTTGATGGGTCTTTCCAGCCGACAGGGACCATTGCGCCAACAGCACAAAGTGAGTAATGGAAGAACTTAAAGAATAACGACTTGTATTTCCTGTGCAAGGAACTGGGTCTAACGTGTGTCTCTATTTTTTCATAGAATGTTCCACCTACCTTGATATTGTAATCCTTTTGGATGGGTCCAACAGTATTTATCCGTGGTACGAAGTACAGAATTTCCTCCATAACATTCTCAGCAAGTTCTTTATTGGACCAGACCAGATCCAGGTCAGTTGTTACATAGAACAGGCTTCCTGAACACTCACTGATACTGAATAACCCAAAAGTGGAAAGTGCCTTAGGAAAAGCAAATGTGCATGCAAATAAATAAGCTGCAATCACCTAAAGTGACAAAAATTATCCAAAAAACAAAAAAGTGTTGCTCTATAAATTATAATTAACATCCAATGATCGAAGGAATTCTGTAAAAAAAAATAATAAACACAAGTTAGTGCAGGTTATCCTTATTAAAAATCTGAAATTATTAATATACACATAAGTGGGTTGCACTCACATTTACCAGAGCCCTGGCTCTAGTTGAGAAAGGCTCAGCTTGAAAGGGAATGACTCCCCCCAACGCCCAGACCAAAAGACCTTTACTTGCAATAGTGGCAATCTTTATATGTAGTGGCTGCAGGAATGACAGAACCAGGAAAACCCAGTGGCATAGTATAATATAATTTATATAATCATAATAATAAATTATATTAATAATAATAATAAAGTGGACCTGATATCTTAAGCAGATTTATGTTAATCGTTGAAGAATAAAAAAACTCTGATAATCAATTATTATTATTAACAATATTACAGTTACCATTTATACAGCACCAACATTTTCCGCGGTGCTTCACAATTATTCCATGAAAGATGCTTAACAACAAGTAATTGACTTACAAAAATAGTATTCACAGACATAAGAGATGAAGAACTGATCTGATAAATGTAACCGGAAAGTTTTTGTAAGGATTCCTATCACTGCACCACCGAGCTGTCAATTCCCTTAATATCCCTCTTTTACTCTTCCTTGGTTGGTTAGCCAATATTGACTCCAAATATCACCCGCAATACTGCACATTCCCACATGGACTTTTTCAGCCCTGTTGTGGTTTCGGATACGTAAGCTACATAACCCATTTTTGATTATCGTTGTTTTAGTTATAAGAATCGTATGATTATCTGTTCTGAGTCTCAGACACAGGCTTACGTTACTGATGTCTATGTATCTCTCGTCTTCTGATATTGACCGTTTTTGTTCTGCCTCTCGGGGTTCAATGCCTTTTTACATTTTAGATTTTTCTATTAAAGCTGGGCTGGTAATAACAAGCAGCTACAATATCGTTTATTTTTTGTAGACAAACCTGCAGTTTGTGATCAATAGTTGGCATTATAGCCATACACACCAAATATTTAGAGCATATAGAAAAGAGGGACATAGGAATTTAGGCATAAATTAAGGACAATCCTTCTTAAATACTGAAATACTTGTTAGGTATGATTGACGTAAAGGTTTGTTAAGCTGTTTCTAAGTGACAGATAAACATTGTATAACGTCCAGGATTGGTGGCAGAGATTAAGAGTACTCTGTGTGGGCTTTTTGCTTTATAAACTTACTTGTAGACTTCGAGTTAAACAATCTGGCAATGCATGCAATCCCTTGTTGAGCCCCTGATCATAGACCATATATAGTGAAGGACACACCATCATTTGAACAATTCCGTGGTGGAGGTGGTCACATAGTCAACACATCCTGTACGTGGTTTACATCCAGCGTGTTAATCATTTTGCATATCCCTCAAAAGCTGATCACAGCGTATTTACATCAAGCATGCAAAACATTTCTAAAACCACAAACACAGCTGTACAAACCAGGTGTCCTCGTGAACTCCACTGGGACACGCACGGGATTTGGAGAAACGTGTATTTTAATGTATTATTTGAATGGTTCTTGTAATTTAAGCATGTAGAAAAATGGACACATTCAACCAGAGGCACAATAATAATAAAACATAGTACAGAAATACAGTCAATAGTATCGAATAAAACACAGTGAAACAGAGCAATAGGTTAGCTTTTATGGGGGATGGCTTTTTGGAAACCTATTTTGTAAGCCTGATACTTGTAAAGTACATACCAAAAGAGTAGTGGTGGGGAAAACAGTGTGGATGAAATCCCCTTCCACCTGAAGTAAGTGGATAGTTAAAGGAGCACTATAGTGCCCGGAAAGCAAACTCGTTTTCCTGGCGCTATAGGGTCATTAGGTCCCCCCCACCCTCAGGGCCACTTACCTTTCTCCAGCGCTGGGCTCCCTCGGTGCTGAGGAACTCACCCCCCCTGCCGACATCAGCTCCAAATGCGCATGCGCAGCAAGATCCACGCTTGCATTCAAACCGCCCATAGGAAAGCATTACTCAATGCTTTCCTATAGACAACCAAAAACAGGAATAGAAACTATCTACCCAACTAGGAGGGGTGGAGATTGACCTAGGACCTTAAGACAGAGAGAGTTGTATTGGATCCTTAAGATGGGTAAATTTTTTAATGCAGGACTCAATAAAGATCTAGGTATAGCTGCCTTTTAAAGTAAATGGAAGAGAGCTTTCTTTTACCCCTATGAGTGCATATATGCAGATGCTATATGAGTGTGTGAGTGTATGTGTATATATACACATATTACAAACCAAGAGAGTTGTGGTGGGGAAAAAGTGTGGATGAAAACACCTTCCACCTGAAGTAAGTGGATAGTTAATACATTGCCAAACACAATAAGCCATATGACTTGCTTTTCCCACATAAATCTCACTTTAACAGTGCTCTCACTACTGCAAGGGATTCTGGGTAGGAATATGCAAATGAGCTCAACAAAGAACCACATCTTTGCCTTAATTCTACTTCATACATGGATTCCTTTTCGTATGTGTTTGCTGTATACATATATATAAAAAATGAATAAGAGAAAAAGAGGACTAGCTTTTGGCCCAAGGGTATTGTAAGTGAATAATTAAAACTTAACTTTTAATATTTTTATATTAAAAGTTAAGTTTTAATTATTCATTTACAATACCCTTGAGCCAAGAGCTAGTCCCCTTTTTCTCTTATTACTTTATCATTTTGGGTTCATGTCCTGCTCTACCAGCCCTACTGTACCTACATATTATACTCCCACTTTTCCCTTTATTATATAAGAAATTAAACCGAGGGCTGCACATATCAGAACATGCATACATTATAGGGAGCTGCTGGGGCCAATTCATACAACATACAAGATCCAGCGTACTCGCTCAGTGACTAAACAGCAATTTCACGTCTCACAGGATGTTTATTTCAAAACACCTCACATAGGCAAAAAATAATTAGATAAATTACTAGTGCAAATATGTGCAAACAGAATACTGTGCCATTTTGTAACCAATATCACCTTGAGTAAATAAAATGCAAAAATATATTATTATAAAAGTGTACAATCCGTAATACACTTACATGGTAAACAATGGCTTATATCCAGTAAATAAAGTAAAATTGGTTTTGAGATGGATTTTATGTGTATAAATAAATGTGGACATATGCTTTAAGTTGCAAAATTTAAATTGCATTAAGATAGACACGGACATCTAAGGGCGGTCTTTGCAAGAATCCAATTAGTGGCGCCCACATAGGCGGACTTAAAAGGAATGGGCAGCAAAGGTCTGGCAGATCTGATGTAGCGGTCGTCACGGCAAAACGCGTCATCACGCAAGAACGTCAGAACGTAGGACATCAGAGGGCTTGAGACCATGTCTCCTGGAACTAGCGACCAGCGGTACTTGAACACAGAGTTACAATCAAGCCGGCATCTGTATCTTCACTGAGTTCGTACCTTAAAGCGTACTGGGAAGATCCTTTTTTCTGTATAAAGGGTGTTTGTGGTTCTCCTGCAATAAATTCCTGTCTACATTACCCTGCTGCCTATCCTGGTTATTTTGGAGCCATCAAAGTTAGAGCAGGCTACACTTCTCTCCTTTTGTGAGTAGTAATTTTGGCTTTTTTTAAATTCAAAGTGATTTCAGAGTTGCACGATTATGTGTTTCCATCTTCTCTTTATATACTAGATATATGACTGGATATTAGCTCTTGTTTACCATGTAAGTGTATCATGGATTTTTGTGTGATTTTTGCATGTCTTAAAGACACAGCGCACCTTTTTATATTTTTATGGTTTATTAATAGTGTGTATTACTGCTTGTTTTACACTGTAGAGGTGCAGCTCTCCCCCCCCCCCTTTTAAAATTGTATTACTATCTCTGATAATTTTAGCGCCACTTATTCACTTGCATTTGCATTTTAAAAAAATAATGGGAGTTAAGTTGCAGTATATAATCATATATTGCATAAGCCTGTCACAATGTCAATGTACCCCATTCTTGGCCGGTCCTACTCTAGCAGCCTAATGCCTGCTCTTATGAGATTGATCAAATACTCTAACTAAACCCTCATTATTTTTTGCCAAGGCTTTTGCAGTTTTATTGGTGAAATGAAACACATTAAATTGAAGTTGGTTGTCATTTACAATATGAACATTTTTGAACATATTGTCAGGAACTCCGCACGTCCAGCGTAATATTTGCACCGTCAACACGTCTTCTGCTGGACTCTCAATAATCTCATCTTTTATTGTGTTGAATGTTGACAAAGCTGTCACTCCTGTTTGAGTATCATTTGAAGCACCTGGCCTCAGCCTATTTAAGGCTTGATCTTCCTTTAGTGCATTACCAATTTGTGGTCCTTGCTTGGGTTATTCATGGCATGTGCTATTGCGGCTGTTTGTTCATGTTCTCCTGTGTTCCTGACTTGTGTTTCTTTCTTTGTAGTCACTGAACATAGAAAAAAGGTCCAAGCACTCCAGGCTTAGATAGGAATAATTTTATTAAAATTGAGTGTCCAGCAGCAACGTTTCGACCCCAGGGTCTTTTTCTGCTGGCCCAGATTTAGTTGCACCCAGGCTTTATTTATGGATTGAGTGCAGTTCCATTTTTGTTTTTTGGCACATTGACTTTCTTTGTTGGCATCCTTGTTTACTGCCTCCTCCAACTCCAGTCTGGCTTCCCTGCGTTTTGGAATCCTTGGCCGGTTTTGTGGAATTGCCTTTATTAGCTTACACCTTGCGGTGTCTTTCTTCCATGTTAAGCCTAGCCACTCTAAGTTCTGGTAATATGTCTTTCCATCCCTGGTCAACATCTGCTGTTAGGGATCCGTAAACTTACACAAATGAAAAAAAATGCTGATTTTCTAAGCCTTTACAATTATTGTTTGATAGTTTTTTTTCCACTGATGTGAGTAGTGGTCTCTCTCTGGTTAAGCCATACATTTATAGGATGACGAGGGAATTAATTCATATTTTGATAGGCTTATTTTCCATGCTTTGATAACTGAATTGATTAATTTTCATACATTTAATGTCTCTGGCCAGGTAGGGGTCCTTCAGTATGGGGAGGTAGCAGTCCATGAGTGGTCATTGAAAGACTATGCAACTTCACGAGAAGTCTTGAAAGCGGCCAAAAATATCAGTCGACAGGAAGGACGCGAAACGCGCACAGCATTCGCTATTCACAAGGCCTGGTGAGTAAGTCAGTGATAACTAAATTATTCTTGTATACAACAAATGTCTCTTTTTTTTAGAGTATTCATAGCGGTAAAGAGTAAAAGAGAAATTTAACATTTAAATGAGTCCTGACACATTCAAATTCAGCAACTTGCCTGTAACAAAAATAGTCTCTAAAATGTTGTTCTAAATTGTAACTCAAGCACCATGGAAACTGCTATTATTTTTATAAATTTGCTGCAGAATTTATCGTTACATAAAACCCATTTTGTGAAAATTGAATGTGCATTTATTCATGACATCCCACCACATTTTTCCCGTAGTTGACCAAATAAGTAATATGTTCACCAAGGTAAATATACACTAAATCTCCTTATTCTAGCACTGAAGCTTTTAGCCCCGAGCGTGGTGGAAGAGAAGACGCCACTAGACTCCTCATTGTTGTGACGGATGGAGAATCTCATGATGGAGATGAACTCCCTTTAGCTTTGTCAGAGTGTGAGAAGCGTCATATCACTCGATACGCCATTGCTGTAAGTGTTGTAGTTGAAATGATGTTCCTATAAAAAGCTATCACTGCTATTTTTTACGAGATGAATCATTTTAAATTGCAAAGACATTTAGAGAAAAGTCAATACTGAAAATAAAGTAAAGGGCTTGGTGTTATACTATGTATCTCTTCACCAGGTTTTGGGGTATTATATGAGAAGACAGAAGGACCCGGATTCATTTATCAATGAGATTAAGTACATCGCCAGCGATCCGGATGAAAAGTATTTTTTCAATGTCACTGATGAAGCTGCGCTAAATGACATCGTAGATGCTTTAGGAGACCGGATTTACAGTTTAGAAGGTATCAGAAATTGACATAGTTGGGAGGTCTGATCACAACAAAAAGTTGATAACTATAGATATTTTTTTTATTATGAATTAATTATAACATTGTTCAAAAATAGGAAAAAGTGTTGACATTTTTGAATGTTAAGTTTTGAGCAGCGACTAGTAAAGTGGATGTCCGTAAAAAATAATAATAAAAAGTCAACGTTTCCGTTCGAAACAGGAACTTTCATCGGGACATTAAAAAGCAAACATAAAAAAAAAATGCTGTTTATAGACAGAGAAATCAAATGTACCCCTAATTGCTGTTACGAGCACATCCTCCCTGCATGTGTGTGAATAAGCTCCTCCCCCTAGCGCGATGTGATGTATAACTCAGTTTGCCATTGAAACAAGTGAAGCTGCGTCCCATAGCACTACGCTTGTGTATCGTAAACATTTACGCTCGTGTATGCGTAAATGTCTCAACTACTTAAATCAAAAATATGTGCAAAGGTTAGGATGCTGTGTTGTATTCAAAAGTAATTTGTGACGAGTGATTCAAAGCGATAGAATAAGGTGTCATTTTTTTTTACGTTGTGCAAAACTATATGTATATAAGGTCTCAAAAAAACACAGTGTGGATGTGACACATAAAACAGGTAAGTGAGTAAAAAAAGTAAAATACATTTTCCAACGTTTATACCTGTATAGTCTATATTAACAACAATAAATGGTAAAATATTGTAAACTAAGGCATTATTCTAAAAAGGAAACCAATGCACAAAAAAAAGTAAAAAGTCAGGATGGATGAACGAAAGTGTTAGATATAGAGAGAATCTATGACAAAAGCACAAGAAATGAAAAATTCCCCCAAAAAGTGGAAGATTCAATAAATTAAATTTCAGATTAGAGGTGTTTTTTTTTTTTAGTACATAAAGGTTATAAAAAAAACTATAATCCTATATTCAACAAAATTATTTAAAGATTTTGTCCAAAAAAGGGAAGCTGGCATATCAGCAGGGCCGTCTTTAAGGAGGGGCAAAAGGGGCAGCTGCCCCGGGCCCAGTTACTCCTGGGGGCCCTAAGGCAGCTGCCCCATGGGCCCCCTGCAGCACCTGAGGTAATCAGGGGCCACAGCCCTTTAATCCTGCTCTGGACTGGGCCCTTGTAATATGGGGGTTGGCTGAATACAAACACACAGCTAGCCCCTCACACACTGCCCTGTGATCCCTTTTCTTCTCCGTGGCATGCTGGGAGGCAGTGAGGTCAGATCACTTCCTCCTCAGTGCCGCTGGGGAGGAGGCACACACCACACGGAGGAGGATGCAAGCATTGTTGGGGAGAGGGACTGAGAAAGCTGATGGCAGACTCCCATCAGCCTGGGCCAACAAGCTCCCACTGGACCCCAGGGAAGCCACCTTTCTGTACCCAAAAGGTAAGGAGACAGGAGGGTGGCTAAATATGTTTTGTTTTTTTGTTTTGCTTATTTCTGATATCACTTTTATTCAAGTGTTGGTGTTTGTAATGTAACACACAGGGAATAAGTACATGTTAAAAATCCTAGAAGAACCTGACAGTTCCCTATTAAATATACATTTTAAAAGTATTTATTTTAACATATTATTGCATCAAGTGTTATCAAAGGCTGTATACCATTTCCAAATGTCACTTTTGCCAAATTCTGGACCAGGGTATGTAAGAACAGAGTTGAGACATTATTATGGCCAAGGTTGCTGGGAGTTGCTGTCCAAGAGCTGCTAGAAGGCAGAGATTAAAATATGTAAATGTACACATATATGTGTGTGTGTATCTGGCTGTGTTTATGTCCTTGTGTGTATCTGGCTGTGTTTATGTCCTTGTGTGTATCTGGCTGTGTTTGTGTCAGTGTGTGTATCTGGCTGTGTTTGTGTCAGTGTTTGTATCTGGCTGTGTTTGTCTGTGTGTCAGTGTTTCTGTGTGTATGTATACCTGTGTATGTGTACTTGTGTGTCAGTGTGTATGTGTACCTGTGTGTGTGTTGTGTGTGTGTATGTATGTATGTGTCAGTGTGTGTAAGTGTGCATCTGAGTGTGTGGTAATGCATACATCCCAGCATTTTAATGCCAACACAAATACACTCCATCTCTAGCACTGTACACATATACACCCCTGCATTTATACCTTTATGTATGTGTGTATCTGAGTGTGTGTGTACATACCTGTGTCAGTGTGTGTGTGTACCTCTGTGTGTGGATGTGCCAGTGTGTGTGTGTATCAAAGTGCTTGTATCTGTGTGTCAAAGGGTGTGTATCTGAGTGTGTGTGTGTGTGTATGTGCCAGTATGTGTCAAGGTGTGAGCATGTGTCAGTGTGCCTATGTGTGTATCTGCGTGTTAATGTGTATATGTGTTAAAGAAATCACACAACATGCAAACAGAGCCCTGCAAACACAAACATTACATACAAACACACCAGTTTGCTGAAACACCAATACTACACACAGATGTACACAACACTACATCCAAACAACCCCCTGCATGCAAATACAAACATTACATACAAACACATTCCTGTATTAAAACGCTAAAATTATATACAAACACCAACTCTACACACAAAAGTACACCTGCATTTAAAAGCCAACACTACAGACAATCACACATTACTGCATTCAAACGCAAACACTACACACAAGTACACCACTGCATTCCAATGGTAACAGTACATACAAATACACCCCTACATGCACACATACACTCTATACAATAACATGCTGACATTCAATTGCACAAACACTGCTCAAAAATACAACCCTGCAAGGATGGTAGATCCCCAGCTGGCATAGCATCGCAGGAGTTGTATGACAGATGGGGATCTATCTTTTCTTTACTCTTGTGCTACAGGGCAGGCCTGAATTATTATTTTTTTTGCACCAAGGCACTCTCTACATTAGGTTGGGGTGGAGGGAGTGATTGCATGCCCAGGGGGCCCAAGCAGATGCTTGCCCAGGGTCCAATCAATATTAAAGACGGCCCTGCATATCAGGAACATTTATGGGTGCAGCTATAGCCCCCCATGTCTGCAAATGCATACATGTTACAGCTCGAAAGGAAATATATTTTGGAGAAATACAATGACATGATTGCAGGATACTTTTGCTACATCAACAATGTGTTCATTTTTTTCAAAAGGCGGTGAAGAGAAAGCAATGCGGTTTGTCGATTACATCAATGGATTACTGGCACCAATTAAAGTCACATCACAAAATAATCGAACGATTATACAATATTTGGATGTGGAAATTTCCTTACAGGAAGGAAAATTGGAATATAGTTTGTATTGCATACCTATGGATCAGAACACGATTTTACACTTTTCTAGTGCCCATCTCAATCACCTTTAAATACATAAAGGGAATCAACACAGTAAAGGAGGAGACTATATTTAAAAGAAGAAAAACTAACACAACAAGAGGACATGGTCTTACATTAGAGGGGCAAATGTTTAAAAATAATATCAGGAAGTATTACTTTACTGAGAGGGTAGTGGATGCATGGAATAGCCTTCCAGCTGAAGTGGTAGAGGTTAACACAGTGGGACAGGCATAAGGCTATCCTAGCTATAAGATAATGCCAGGGACTAATGAAAGTATTTAGAAAATTGGGCAGACTAGATGGGCCGAATGGTTCTTATCTGCCATCACATTCTGTGTTTCTATGTTTCTACAACATTCAACATACAATAATTTGCAAGTCAATCATAGCAGGGTGCAACTCAGGATGATGTACAATACATTTCTGGCAAGAAGATATAAACAATGAGATTTTGAAAAGGCAATGGAAAAAGCTGTAAACCCAGTGAACTGGTCCTCTCTGATGGAATCCAGCCGGGGTCATGGCTCTAGGCCCAAAAGGAGCCCTGGTTGACGGTCTCTTGGGGGCACACAGGGGAGGGGGGGTGAAAGAGACCATTGATGTACCCAGATTGGGACGGAAGGTCTCGAGATACGATTCTTTATGGTATCAGTTCTAGTTACCATCACCACCCCTAGGGCCAAATTCATCTTAATACTTTAACTAACAATCCAACCCACGGTGTCATAGACCTGCATTACCACTTCAGGTGGCCTGTCTTTCTGTATGTTTTATTAGGTGGGAAATTCTAGATAATTCAGGTGCCCCCTTTTTACTGCCCAAAGGAGTATAATAATCGCCGGTGTAATATTTTATGTTTTTTGCTTTTTTATTTTCTTATATGTTTTATATATAAAATCTGAGACCGTATCTACTCGTATTTATTCTCTGAGGCATAGCCCAGCAGTCTCTGTTTTACTAAAGGACATACTACTGTATCAATTGTATGTTTGAACAACTCGAACAATGATATGGATCATGAGAAATGGGCTTCTGCGTAAGCTTCAACTCAACCGCTATGTCTTTAGTAACATCTGTCGATGAAAAATAAAGAATTGAAAAATATGTTCCTTAAATTGGCTTTCAAAATACAGTGTTGATATGTCCATACAGCGGTTAGAAATGGAAATCTTCTAAAATATTGTTTGAGGGGAATTTTAAATTTTTTGTGCTTTTATTATAGATACTTTCTATATGTAACACATTCCTTCTTCCATCCTGACCCTTTTACTTATATTTGTCATTTGGTATCCTATTAGGAACAATGCCTTTGTTTACAATATTTTACCATTTATTGTTCTTAATATAGACTATATATGTATTGCTTGTTATCAGATCTATTTCACTTTTTATTTTACTCACTTTTGTTTTATGTGTCACACTAGCATTTCGATTTGTTTTTTTAGACCGTATGTGCATATAGTTTTGCACAACGTAAACAAATCACACGTTATTCTTGCACTTTAAGTCACTTGTTACTTTGTAAATGCAAAATACTTTTACATATAACACAACCTCCTAATCTTGGCACATATTTTTGCTTGAATTATTTGAAACATTTGCGCATGTTTTGTGCACTATCACCTTGTTAATACTTGTAACAATTATGATAAAGAAGCATAGTGCTCCTCGATGCGGCTTCATTTGTGTCGATGGCAACCAAATTTGCCGGTCAGATTCGCTCACGATGCTGGAAGATGTGTTCGTAACAGCACTTAGAAGGTAAGTTTGATTTTTATGTCTATAAATAGTGTTATATTTGTTATGTTTACTGTTTAATGTCCTAATGAAAGTTCCATGAAAGCAACAGACCGTCAGTTCTGAAATATTCACAGTCCTTTTTTTACCCAATATAAACCGATCTATCTAATTTCATCCAAGAATTGAATAAGTGCCAAACCGTATGATACAGTTTAGTAACAAGGTCTCTGTAAAAATATAGATCAGCGCATAAAGTAACCACAGTGCCAAAATAATCATTTGTTTCTATCAAAAGCACAAATTAGTGGGTTCCTCTAAGAAAATGTGACTTGAAAGAATTAAATAAAGAGCGGTTTTATTTGACAAAAGGGAGCCATATGCTTCTCTGTATACTACATTTACCCCTCCCAGAATGCACTTTTTTGTGGTTTATGATGTAAACAAATCTGTACTTGCTTATAGTGATGCAAATATTAAATAAAGGGTTTACAGTGTTATAAATAATTCCCGAATTTGTTTATAGTCTTATAAATAAAACTGCAGATTGTAAACTATGATGTAATTTGAGTTACATACAATATATACCGTAGAGCGCATATTTTAGCTCCAGTTATTGCAAAGAAATCACAATGTCCAGTAAATACTGAAGCGGAGATATTTGAGCTGAATACCTATATATGTGTTTTTTTCCCCACAGGAACGTATGGATTTAATGAAAGTTCTTTTGAACTGGAGATGTCACAAATAGGTTTTTCCATCCATGTACTGGAGGTGAGCTGCAAGGAGTTCTATTTTATAGATTGATTAGACAGACACTTGTGAAATTTCTGTTTGTGTGTATGCTTGTGTCTAGTGTCCTCCAAAACAATGTATTTCCCGACAGTTATACCCAAGAGCCATACATCCCCGGATAGCTCTGGTGTAGGGGGGTAAGCTGTTCAAAAAGAGCTTGGATTGGAGCTGTCTAGCATAACTGGTAAAAGTTTAGCCAGGCCTCAATCATCGTCCAATCTGACACAGAGTTCCAGACTGTTGGTTACTAATTCCCAGTCTCCATTAATGGCTTCTTGAAACCCTGTGTAAGGAGGCTCCATCAAGTCGCTAGTGTTTTTGGACATTGTGGCGTACCTACCACGGTTGCAACCCCGTCTGGATACCTTCTGTACCGGTGCATAGCCGCACCAGCTCGGGTCCACAGCACCCGGGTGTCTGGCAGGAGTGGAGAGCTAAGCTCTATGAGGTTATTTAGTTACTCCAATAGCCATTAGAGGGATTCCCACCTGCCACCTCTTAGGTGGGTCCTACACTAACCATTTACCTTGCTTTCATGAGCTTCTGGCAAAGATATCTCTAATAAGACTGAGAGGGGTATTCTTATAAACCCCTACATGCTTATTAACTCTTGTAGGTGGATATGTCACATTGTGTGTTTGGTAGTGTGTGTATGTGAGGGGCTGTTTGGGGTATTGCATGTGGGGTTGTGTGCATGTATGTGGATTGTTAGTGGTGTTGAGTTTGTGGGAATTGTGTGTATGTTTGTGTTTGTGCTGTTTGTATTATTTCTATGAGGGGAGGGTTATTCTGCATTTCTGTGTATATCTAGCAGTGTGGGAGGTTTCCCTGGGGTCCAGTGGGGACCAGGCTGGCCAAGTACAGGTCAAGGACAGGAGTTGCAACAGCCGCTGCAGGCTGCTCTACTACAGTGTGGACTCCTATTTACAAGTGCTGGGAGGAAGTGATCTGAGATCACTTCCTCTACGTGTTGCAATGCATAAATTGAGGATTGTCCTTCACCACATTTTTGTATTAGCAGATATCTGAAGTTTCACTGGGACTCCTGATAGGCCATAGCCTGTTTGGCTCTAGCAGCCTTGAGTGCCGTGCATGGCAAAGGTGCCATAGGTTGCCTACCCCTGGTATATTGAATCTTGTCACTTTATAAAGAGAATGTACTACATTGAAATGTTGTCATTAAAGAAAGAAAATAACACTATATGCAAGTTTTGTCACACACCGTATGAAAGAGATGTCCCTGTGTAGAGGTGTTGTCTCTATGTGATTTGTTGTCTAATGGAGTTTTCTCTGTTTTTCTCTGCCCAGGATGGGATTCTGTTTGGAACTGTGGGAGCTTATGATTGGGATGGCGGGGTGTTAAAGGAATCCATGCAGGGGAACATTATGCCCCCTCGTGCTGCCTTTGAGAAGGAATTCCCGGTGAAGATGAAGAATCACGCTGCTTACCTGGGTAATGCTCAACTTATGAATTCACCCCTTATCTCACCAAAATCTGTACATTAAGATGCAGTACTAAGACTTTCATTGACAGAGAGCAAGCGAGAGAGTCTGTGTGTGCGTGCGCGCGCACGCACACACTTGTATATATAAGGTCCAGCACCCTCACTCACTAAACTGCAATATATATATACAGCATCTCACAAAAGTGAGTACACCCCTCACATTTTTGTAAATATGTTATTATGTCTTTTCATGTGACAACACTGGAGAAATGACACTCTGCTACAATGTAAAGTAGTAAGTGTACAGCCTGTATAACAGTGTAAATTTGCTGTCCCCTCAAAATAACTCAACACACAAATGTCTAAACCGTTGGCAACAAAAGTGAGTACACCCCAAGTGGAAATGTATGTATATATACACACACTTGTATTTTTAATAAAGCACATACTGACTGTACATTTTTAGACAACTCGGATATCAGGCCAGGCATGTTCTACATTCAGATGTGAGAGATTACCTGTCTGACCTCTCATTCCACTACCTCAGGTGAACCTGTCTGACATGTCCTTCCATGAGTTCAGGTGAACCTGTTTGACATCTCCCTCCATGAGCTCATTTGAACCTGTCTGACATCTCCTTCCAAGAGCCCATGTGAACTTGTCTGATATCTCCTGCCATGAGTTCAGGTGAACCTATCTGACATTTCCTTCCATGAGTTTATGTGAACCTGTCTGACATCTCATTCCATGAGCTCATGTGGACCTGTCTGATATCTCCTGCCATGAGTTCAGGTGAACCTGTCAGATATCTCCTTCCATGAGCACGTGAACCTGTTTGATATTTCCACCATGAGCTCATGTGGACATGCCATATGTTTCTTTATAGGAGCTCAGGTGTACCTGTAAGAATTTCCTTTGTTGCCGTTAGAAACATAGATCTAAGCCAATGCTCATTGTCAGAAGAGACAGGCTCTGACTTTGAGAAACCCAGGTTTAAAAAGTTAACTGAATTATGATTTTCTGAGTAACTATTAGAGACTGAGATGCTTAACCAGCGGTCCAATATATTTCTTACACAAAATAGCCGACCATGGGAAATTAACAATTAATTGAGATTGCCACAAATCTCTTAGGTTACACTGTATCATCCATCTCCTTGCGGAGCGGAAAGGGTTTATACGTGGCGGGGGCACCAAGATTCAAGCACAAGGGCAAGGTGATCCTGTTTGAGATGTTTCAGAATGGCAGTGTGTCTATCTCCCAGGCTCTGGTGGGGGAACAGGTTAGTACCATGGACCATGAGCATAATGACCATCTCCATAAAGGGGTCATAATGTCTATTGTGGACAGAGCTGGAAGTGAATATTTATATCATCATAGTTCAATGTTCCCCATGTTAAAATATCCCCATGCAGCAAAATACTAAATATATTCCATACCTTCCCTTGCAGTAATTAATTTAATCAAGACTTAAGGATGACAAAATGATAATGTTCTGCAGATTGTGAAGGTGCTTTGATTTTCCAGTGCCTTTAGGCTTTTACTGCATATATCCCATTAGAGATCTGTATCCCTGGTAGGCACGCATCATTTGCTGTCTTGTGCGACCACTGCTAGAAAATATTTAGTTCTACCTGGGGCTCTTTGAAACTTATAGATACAAGATTGCAAATGGGACAAATGTAACCAATTGATCTGTCTACGTCATTCACAAACCCTTTATCTTATTTTATCCCCTATTCCCTCCCTCTCTCTCTCTCTTGACAGATCGGCTCCTACTTTGGCAGTGAAGTTTGCCCTGTGGATGTTAATGGAGATGGTGCTACAGATGTTCTGTTGGTGGCTGCTCCGATGTTCCTTGGTCCACAGAACAAAGAGACAGGACGAGTCTATATCTACAGAGTAGGCCAGGTAAAAGCAAGATTTTCATCACATCAATGAACCACTTGAAATTAATGTGACTCCAGATATCTGCCATTGAGGTGACATGCCCCATAAACCCACTGCTTCTTCTGGGCAAAAAAGCTGACATACTACAAAGACTGCAAAAAAAAAAGAGAGCGAGAGAGAGAGAGAGATTTGACATATTAGAGTCACCTACAGACCACATAATAACATAGAATCCATTTAGTGGCATTTACTACTCACAATGCTTAAAGGGACACTAATTTAAATGAAGTTATGATGCCAGGAGGCACCTGGAGGCCATCTTACCATTCTCGAACGATTTAACCCCTAAGTTGGCTCCAGCACTGATGTCCAACCCTACCCCGGCGGATTCCAGGAAACCCGCAGTGCTGTGGGCAGAGGCGCCGTTGATTGTCTGAGAGTGGTCATCGGTCATCCAGTACCGGAGTCAATCAATGACTCACCATTTACTAAACTGGCTTGGAGAGAAACATACCTTTTCCAAGCCAGTTTAGTGAATTTGGAGTCACTGATTGGCTGAGAGCGTCAACTGACCACTCCCAGCCAATCAGTTACGCCTCTGCCTGGCAGCAGTCCGTGCTTCCTGAATCTGAATATTAAGAAGCCGGAAGCAGCCGGGGGGAGTGTACATTGCCACTGGAGGCAACTTAGGAGTTAAACCGTTCAAGAACGGTTCAATCCCTTGAGGTAAGAGTGGGCTCCTGGCACCATAACAACTTAATTTAGATTAAGTTGTTTTGGTGCCTGTAGTGTCCCCTTAAATATTTAGATTATACATTCAGTATGTTAGCTGCCTGTATACATAGAATTAATATGACTCTTGTATGTCCTTTTCTATAATATAATAGCCCCAGCTTTAAATAAACAAACCTTTATATTTAGAAATATGTTTTTTCAGATCGCTGTTCTACATCCCGAGGATCAGAATGAATCTACATAATTCAGATAGGAAACATATTTTTTTGTGTTACCACTAAAAAGAAAATGATCAAGGGTCAGTAGACCCAAGTCTGGAATGTTTCTAGAAAATTGTGAAATTAAACATCTTAAATGTTCAAGCACTTTTCTCTTGAATTGTTTTATATATTTTTTTTAGTTGTATCTGACCATGAATGGCACGTTGCATGCAGACCACAAAGTTCAGGATTCCCGGTTCGGTTACTCACTGGCAACTGCCACAGATCTAAACCACGATGGATTCAATGACGTGGTGGTGGGAGCTCCTCTGGAAGATAACCACAGAGGGGCAGTATATATCTACCATGGGTATCGTAACAACATCCATCCCACCTACAAACAGGTTAGTGTATTTTCTGCTTGAGACCAGTGAGGTTGTTGCTGAGCAAATCTTGAGAAGAGGGGGTTCTTGAATGTGCCTTGAGGTTAGCCTATTAAATCTAAATCCAAACCCCAAAAATATATTTTCCTGAATGTTTGTCATTTACCGTAGAGGTTAAAGCACATTATAGTATCTATGCTGACTGCGATGCTAATATTTTCTGGGTTTTAAGCAGAAGTGAACCCATTGTTTGAAATTTGAGTCATGTGTTTTGGACCAGAAGTGATGTATGGGCCGTGTGCCCTACATGTAAGTGGAACATATTCAGGCAATTACCAAACAGAACCTAATGTGAAACTCCACAATAGGATAATGTGTATGGAATGCCTGCTTGAATTCTTTGTACAGGAATGGTTCCAGAGTTGGAACGTGTCTTAAAGTCTTTTAGTGATTAAGAACCAAGAACTCTCACTTATGAAAAAGACCTGTTTGTCTCTTGAATCTGTCCTGCAGAGAATTGACTCCTCATCCTTCAACCTTGGCCTGAGTTACTTTGGTCGCAGTGTGAGTGCCAAAATGGACCTTAATGGAGATGAGTTGGTAGACCTGACTGTTGGAAGTCAAGGAGCTGCAGTCATGTTGAGGTATCAGATTGTTGCTTTTTTTAGGGGGGGAGGGAACTTCTGAAATTTGTGCCTCATTGACATAACATATCACAAATGGCCTTAATGTGTTCTATGTGCAATTTACACTTTGTTTGTGTTAATATTTATCAGTTATCAGATATATCTGCAATAAATTGGTAAATATTGGGTATTGGTAGAGTGGAAAGAAGTGAGGTTATTCCATAGTAATCTTAAGTATAAAATAAAATAGCTGTCCAACATGGACCTCTGTGGAAGATGTGTGAGACCGCATAAACCAGAGAAATCCTTATAATAAGTATACGCATGACTATGCAGATTTGTCATGCATTAATTAAGTTCAGACAGACTTAGTAGTTATTATATTGGTTGTCCTTTTCTGCTCCATGTAGTTGTTTCTACTTTGTCTTAACTAACATTTTTTAAATGGGCAGTCTAAGCACCATAACCACTACAGCTCAGCGTACTAGTTATCGTACAAAGACACAGTGGGACTATTCAACATATTTAATTTTTTCAAACCATAAGTACCATAACCACTATGGCTCAATATAGGTGCCATGGTGCAAAGAAAAATAATGTGATTGCATTGCAATATATATATATATATATATATATCTGTGTTGCAGGTCACGGAGCATCGTTCGTGTAAATGCCTCTTTGCAGATAAATCCTTCAACCATTAACATGGTACAAAAGAACTGTCTTCGTCATGGGAAGGAGTCTGTGTGTCTCAATGCCACGCTCTGCTTTTCTGTTACCTCCAAGTCACCAGGAAAGTGGGATAATCACTTTGGTCAGTAAATCGACTTTTGTTTCGAATGCTTAATTGATTTGTTATACAATGTATTTCCTTACCACAGAGTTTGATGATGACAATGATGTGTTCCTGAACAGAGCAGAAAATGTAGGATAATGTGTTGATGATAGTTTATGAATATGAAGACCAAATGAGGTCAGGGTCTAGCCGCATACGAGCTATCTGCCACACCAAGACATTAAGTATTGTGTTTAAGGTTTCAGTAGCTTTAATAATTTATGTTACTTGTGATGATTCTAACAAACGGACAGGCAGATGGTTATTTACATCCCAATACCCGAGTCCAGAAACTATTTACATTTATTACTATTACAGATGTCCATTTAAATTAAAATAATAAGAAAGGATCTAATTACGGTTTTGCTATTATAACAGACATCATAGGAGGTACATTTTGTGATTATGTTGGTTGTAGTAGGGTTCCCTTGGCAGGATATATATACATATGTTTAAGTTAATCCACAACATTAAACTAAGTGAATACATTCAACCTTCCATCTTACCTACATGTACATGTAGAAATACACCTCCAACACAATGCTTTGCCAAATTTCTCTAGTGATGCAGCCCCAAAACTATAATTTCTAATTGGTAGGTACTAAATGTATTATAATTAAACAGATAGTCTACTCCTTTCAGGTCTTTATTACAACCTCTCCTTGGATGACAAAAAGATCACCCCTCGGGCCTTGTTTGATGAGAACTCTCAAAAGGTGCTGAGTAAGCGCATCCGAGCGAGCACAGGGAAAATTACCTGCATGATTCTAGCCTTCCATGTCATCGTGAGTATGTTCTAAAGGTTCCAATCATCTCATTGAGGTTCCTCAAGAAGATACACAGTTACTCTTCCTATGGAAGTTCCCTCACTTAGTTCTAATGGTCTTTTGTGGATATGTTTTTATGAATCCTTGTTGACAGGATCATGTTATATAAGGTCATGTCATACTATGCCCATGCTGTATCAGTATTAATGTTGTTCTTTAATATTTTCTTGATAAAATACTCATTGTCTTTCTGACATTGAAGCGTTGTCCCTGCCAACGCCACGTTGTATAATGTTTGATGTAGAATTATCTTGTCTTTTGCACTCTATGGAAATTAACTTTATTTTTGCTCACTTAGGAGACTGTTGATTATCTGAGGCCAATAGGGGTTCACCTACGTTTTAATCTGAGTGATACAGAGTCTAGCCCGGTACTGGATGACCGATGCCCTTCTACTCTTAAAAAGCTGGTGAGTTCCAGAAACAGGCACAATCTTGAAACTGTTAAAACCTTCTCCTATGGAACATACAGTGGAACCTCAGAACTCGAACGGTCCTGTTCTCGAACAATTTGAACAAAAATTTTGAGTAAAAACTGTCTCGGTACCAGTACATACAACAAAGAGCCAAATGTCTTGCTATGCAAACTATGTTCGGTACCGGAACATACAACAAAGGGCTATGTCTCATTTTCAAGTCAGACAATTAATATAAATAATTGTAATAATGGCCAACAGTAAATTTTTAGCAAGTTGAAAGGCAGGAACCACTCAAAGGTAAGGTGCTTATTCTTAGAGTGATCTCTGCATTTTTAATGCATATATATATATATAAATGTAAAATGCTGGTATTTTGGGGGTCTGGAATGGATTAATCAATTTTACATTAACCCCTTAAGGACACAACTTCTGGAATAAAAGGGAATGATGACGGAATATTTCCGTCATGTGTCCTTAAGGGGTTAATTCTTATGGGGAATGTCGATTCGGTTCTCGAACACTTCGGGATTGAACATCCTTCGGGAACGGATTAGGTTTGAGTTCCGAGGTTCCACTGTATATACTAGTGGTGGTGTTCTTTTAGATGGTTATGCAAGTTAAACAAAGGGGGAGAATACCCAACAAACAAATAAATAACACACTCTGTCCCTATAATGGTCACAGGGTGACTAAAACATAGGAGCAGTCTTGGGACCTACATAAAGTGTCCATCTTCAGCCCCCAGTGATAATGACTACTGTCACACCATCTCCACAACCCTTTTCATTTATCCTGTATGTCACTGGTGAGGAAAAGGATTGCAGTATCTCTTACAATATCTCTTACAGGTTCCATTCTTCAAGGATTGTGGTGGAGACAACGAGTGTATCACAGATTTGGTTCTTAAGGCCCATATGGATGTCTCTGGATCCAGGTCAGCTGCTTCTAGATTATACAATACATGATGAGATGCATCTTAAACTGTGGTAGATGCTCCAACACACAAATACCTCAGCTTTAACACCCATATCTCCTATTACAAGCAGAAATGTAATCACAGATTAGAGATTACTCCGCATAACTTAATTGGAAAATTCCAAGTAGCCCTCTGTAGTGATTATGGTGACATAAGTGCTCAGGTGGTGTCCCACAGTAAGTAGTAAAATCCTTTTAGTATGATTTGACAATTTAATTTGTCTTTACCCTCCTCTCAATAGTGTGGACTTGCAGACTGTGGTAGAGAATCTGCTTTATTCTTTACCCAATAGAAGCTGCTTATTCCCTGACCCCTTAATGTGAGCAGCTGACAGCTCTGTGTTAGGATAAAGAAAATCATCTACCACAGCCCATGACTTACAGGAGTGGGACTTACAGGAGTGGGAAGCTCTGGGCACCCCATTCCCACTTAGCAACTGGACATTGCACACCCTGGGCCTTCTGAAAGCACTGGCCACCTGTACTGATTTACACTAGTTTTGGGCTGCCTCCATTTCTTCATCTGTCCATTTCTCCCTCTATCTCTCAATGCACCCATTTTTCCATTCATCGGTGTCTCCACCAATCTTTCTATAGAACAGTCTACCCATCCACCTCTCCGTTTCTCCAACTATCCAGTCATCTCTCCACCAATACACCCATCTCTCTATCACTCCATTCCTCCACCCATGTCTCAATCTGCCCACCCCTTCACATGATTGACATACTGGAACAGTGTTTGAAGATAGCCCAGTTGACAATTTAAGCATGTTTATCTTCTAAAGGAGAGGAGGTGGAAGGAAATTCACTTACCAAATGTGGGCAAATAGATATAGGTGGTGTCCTGGTTTCATGTAAACTTGCTTTGGTTATTGCAGAGAAAAGCCCTATATTATTAGAAGAGACAAGAAGAAGGTGGCTGTGGATGTCCTGCTGGAGAACAGAAAGGAGAATGCCTACAACACCAGCTTGAAAATCTGGTTTTCCAAAAATCTCCTCTTCTCCAGTGTTTCAGGAAAGGTAACTTGATACCACGAGCAGATTCTAGAGGAAGACCGTTAGCTGAAGGGTTCCTAGTATAATAAAAATAAAAGCACGTACAGATTAATTCAAAGCAGCATATCGCTATTAAGGATTCCTACTGGTTTCACATTACGCTATTCTAGAGCAATACTGTACTGAGCAGCAGTTAAGCAAACACCAGCTCTATGGACCCCTTAGCAAGTATGTAAAAGGGCTGCTCCTAATCATCATATCCACTACAGCCTGCTGTAGTTATGATCCCAGGAGTATTCTGGTTCCATCCAGCGGTAATAGCGGTAAAATCATTTTGCTGCGGCTTCTTACAGTTCTTGTGACAACATTTAGAGGGGCAGAAGCTGGAAGTTGATATGCACAGAATTGACTTTAGCCAATTAGAGTCTAATTCCAGCCAGGCTAATGACATCTGTATGGACGCAGCCATAGGTGGAGGTGTTAAAATCCAAATGGGCGATGTTTCCTAGCAAAACACTGTTCATACAGACTCCAGGCACTATAACCACATTCATTCACAAAGTGGTGATGGTGCCTGGAGTAACCCTGTAGGGATGTGGTTTAAAGTTAAAACTTTATTGTAACATTTTAAAATCTCCAAACATGGAGACCAAATATAGTGTTATAGTGTTTGGTCTCTCTCATATGAAGATCTTAAAATGTTACAATAACATTAAGGTTTTAACTTTGAACCACATTGTTAATTACTTGCGGACATTTCTGTGGAACTGGTGTTTGATGTGTTTCCTAATTCCAGAAGCACGTTTGTCCCTTAGTATTGGGTCTTTGTTCTAGCACTTTCCCAGTAAAATGAAGACATAATCGTACAATATGCATGTTTCTGATAAACCAGTAGCCGTTAATGCTGGACCTGACCAACAGTACCGATCAGTTGGCACAACCTCCTGGATGGTACCCGTTTGCCTTGGAAATACAATAAACATGGTGGACAGTGCTGAAAGAATAACTGGTTTTATGTTACAGGGAAACAGCCAAACGAAGGTGGAGTGCATGGCTTTATCAGCCCATACAAGGTCTTGCAGTGTGAACTATCCTGTACTGAGGTCTAAAGCAAAGGTGAGAAAAGTGGATTCATCACATGTTGGCTTGCTGTAGCTGACAAAAAAAAAAAATAAAAAAGGCCAGAATGACTGTTAAACAAAAAAAAAAACCAGGACAGGGGGGGTCGGGACAGGCAGCCAGGAGCAAGTTGAAAAAATGAAATGAGAGGACAGGAGTTGGACAAAATCTTCTGTTATACACTAATGCACTCATGAAAAAGAATCTTTTTTTAATTTGCATTTACTTTTTAATAATAATTGTTCATCTCAATCTCAGCTCTTCCTTTGGTAGAGCACAGTTTATCATCATTGTACTTGCCTAGGCCAATCTATGGATCACAAGCGTTGCAGGTTGTCCAATAAATATTGCCTTGATATCCCTGCAGCGGAATGGTCGTAGGAGTGGGCAAAACCCCCTTCCATATATACATCAATCTATTTGTGGGGTGGCAGACTCACACAGTGTGTAGATAGACTCTTGTTCTCTTTAAAGGGGGAGGGGTTTAACCCCTTAAGGTCACATGACATGTGTGACATGTCATGATTCCCTTTTATTCCAGAAGTTTGGTCCTTAAGGGGTTAAGCCATTGTTTCATGTTAATATCTTGCTATTTATCTAGGTCTCTTTCGTTTTGGAATTCGAACTAAGCTGTACTTCTCTCCTGAATCGGGTGCAGATAAAACTTACTGCCAACAGGTAATAATGCAATGTGAAAAGATAACAAACAGACACGTTTGCCGAGTTAATAACTACGCAGGCTACAGAAGTAAACACAGGATAGGCGTTTTAATCTGGGGATCTGTAAAATCAAATATGGTATATAGTAAATTCTTACTTGCATTTAAGTCTGCAGCTGCTGCCTCTGCCACTTATCTGCCTGCTTACAGCAGACATGATCAGAAGTGATTATGTGAGCCAATCACAATGCTTTCCCATAGGCAGATCCGGGGCAGAGCCAGCATAAGTCAAACACAGACCTGGCCAATCAGCACCTCCTCACAAAGATACATTGAATCAATGCATCTCAATGAGGAAAGTTCAGTGTCTCCATGCAGAGGGTGGAGACACTGAATGGCAGTGCTGCACACTGTGCAGCACTGCTCAAGGATGCACCTGTAATGTAAACACTGCATTTTCTCTAAAAAAAAACAAAAAAAAAACAAAAAAGTGTTTACTGCAAAAAGCCTGAAGGGAGCTATTATACTCACCAGAACAAATACAATCAGCTGCAGTTGTTCTGGTGACTATAGTGTCCTTTCTAAAACAAAATTAACCCAAAGATACAGTATATCTGATCTATGCACGATCCTAATAATTAAACACTATCATGGCATGTCCTTGTTACTTGCGGGCTGGAAGTTGTTTATCGATGGGTCAATGCAATTGTAAATACAAGAGGATGAATAGCAGCTTCTATAAAACAAGATATATTTTACGAGCAATGTTTCTTATACTATCATGAACTATATCAGACAGATTATTTCAACCCCCATATTTCATGGGTTGACATCATTACTATAAATAACAACTAGCTTTGCTCAACCTTTATGAAATAGTGACAAGGAGCCATCCCGAAAAACCTTAGTGACACTTCTGGTATGCATGGCTTCTGTTTTACCCCTTCAAGTAATTTGGGAGTCATGTTCCACAAAAGATGGGCTGGTGATGAACAGATAAATTGTGATGCAGTGGCTCCCATGGGACAAAAAATTTTTATGAAAATATTCCTTACATTAGATTAACATGAATGCACATGTGACACCTCCCAACAACCATATTGTGTATAAATACTATAAAAGACTACTTTGTACATAAACAGAATCATTTTTTTCTTGTAGTGAAAATATTGAAATGAATGAGACTCTTCATGACAACATGGCTCAGCTTACAGCCAGTGTCCGATACGAGCCAGAACTCTTTATGTTAAGGTAAGAGTAGGCATCTCACAATATACAGCATGATTTGGCAAGAACCTCGCCAATGGTACCAGGAAATGCAGTCCAGTAGTAAATGTAAAGCTTATCAAATCTGAAAACCCAGATCGCTTCTTCCCACCATAGTATAAATAGGAAAGAAACCTCCAGTGGTTGTGTTATTACCATGTGTCTATTCCTGTCTCTGGTTTACAGCGGGTCCACTCTCAATCGATATGAGGTGCAACCAAGTTGGACATTCCACCACAGCCAAGGTCCAGAGTTCAGGACTAATTTCAAGGTACTGCGGAGAGCTGGTGAGATAACTGCATATGTTATAGAGTCCTGCATCAGTTTCAGGAAAGTGGTCAAGTGTTTATAGGTAAATAATAATCTGGGAAGAGTTCGATAGAGGGAACAAGGTCAGGTCAGGGAACTGGTTAGTGCATCATAGCAAGCAAACGGTTTGGAAATTGCAAATGAAGAAAAAAAAAAATTGGGAATGGTTTTATAAAAACTTTGCAACATCCTCTAGTTCTTTCTCGCCTTGACTACTGCAATCCCCTTCTTAGTGGTCTTACTTGTTCCCAGACTGCACCGCTGCAATCTTTAAAGAATGCGGCAGCGGGGCTCATTTTCCTGTCCGCCCGCATCTCCCACGCCTCCCCCCTCTGTCAGTCCCTACATTGGCTTCCAGTTAGATATAGGGCTCAATTTAAAATTATGGTGCTTGCTTACAAGTCCCTACATAATGCTGCTCCAACCTACCTATCCTCCCTAATACACACATATGTCTGGTTGAGGCCCCTACGCTCTGCCAAAGACCTACGTATATCCTCTGTCCGTACTCCCACATCTTTATGCTCGCCTCCAAGACTTCTCCAGGGCTGCACCTTTTCTGTGGAACTCCCTTCCCCACTCCTTCAAAAAATCCTTGAAAACACTTCTTTGGGAAAGCATATAATTTAAATTGTTAGCGTGTTTTCATTCTCGCCCTCCTCCCCCCGTGACTCCTCTTCTGCAACTGTCAAAAATAACCCAAGTGCCCAGTGAATACTTTTCTAGCAACCTATTTCATTACTCCTACTTATACCCTTTGTGTCACTATACCCCACTCCCTCCCATAAGCTCTTTGACCAGGGCCCTTAACCCCTCTGTTCCTGTGCGTCCATTTGTCTGGTTACAATTACATCTGTTAGTCCACCCATTGTACAGCGCTGCGGAATTTGCTGGCGCTATATAAATAATAAATTAATAACAGACCATACATAGTCTGACACAAAAATACTAAGTAATTAATAACAAATTTAAAAGGAGATGTTTAAAAGGTAACCAACCAAAACACCTACTGTGCAACATCTCAGTGATTTGTCTCAAAAATAAAATTGTTGTGCAAACTTAGTCCTGCGTATGCTAGATTTTTATCAGTAAGTTTTTAGGTTATCTCCATTGTTGATAGAGGCTTGTGACAATATGGCCCTGGTGTCTCTGGCACTGAAGGCAGGGATGTATTTACCACAAGGCAAACAAGGCATTTGCCTAGGGTGGCACTTTGGGGGGGGGGAGGGATACCAAAAAAATGCCACCCCAAGCTCCCAGACAAATGCCTTGTTTGCCTCATGTTCTGGGGCTGCCCACCTGTGAGTGAGTGAAGTGTAGCTGTCAGTGTGTGTCGGAGTGAGAATGGGTGTGCCTGTGAGGGTGTGTATGTCATTTTATGTGTCTCTGAGAGTGTGTGCCTGTCAGTGAGTGGGTGTGTCAGTGAAAGTGTGTATTGGTTAAACAGTGTGTGCCAATGACTGTCAGTGAGTGTATATCAGTGCATTTATCAATGAGGGCATGTGTCTGTCAGTCAAAAAAAAATGGCCTTGACACGAATTGGGGGGGGACAAATTTAGATTTTGGGGGTGCCCGAATTTAGTCGTGCCTAGGGCAGCACAAATCCAAACTACACCTCTGACTGAAGGTGTACCAGTCCTGGCATGCTATTGTCCGTGGGTATCTTTTACCTAACCTGCTGCCCTACTGCTGCTGCAATGCAGGAATACTGCAGAGTTGACTCCGGATACTACAGGATATTCTACCGCTAAGGGCCACTCGCCATTACCAACTAGTAACACTATCGAGAGTGATAGATGACCGTAGAAATACTTACTTCAAGAAAGACAAACAAGCTTCTTCTTGCTGCAAGTAGGAGCAACTGACTTTATTTAACAGGGTTTTTAAACACTCGGCACACAATATACAATTTTATTTTTTGTTACAGTTCCTTTCCCCCTTTGTGCATGTCCACCCTCATAACAAAGACTTATCTAGATCGGCCAGGCAGATATCTCAGCATGACACTATGTCTGTATCACAATCTCTTTTTGGTCCCAGCTGGAAGGGAGACTGTGTCATGTGCCATGTGACAGTATCTTTTGTCACAAGGTTCTATTCCTGGTGACATCTCTCCTTAATCTTTCTAAGTAGAGAGCTTGGAAATCTCATCTCTCGCTAGTTATCTTCTGATTCTATCTCAATTGTGAGATTCCATCTCCTGCTAGATATTTCATGCATTTATATGTCTTATATTGACATTTATTCACATTGATAACCATTTATTACAGTCTACTTGTTACAAGTACAGAGCGTTTCTAATTACCGGTATGCTGGTGTGGTCAGATTTATAAAACTCTGGATTCCATTTATAGACTAAATAGACAGACAGTCTTTTCAAGCATCTATTCCAAACCATAAAATGGCTAATTTAAAACTATGGTCATAATGTTAACACTATCTTCTCTTCAATTATACAAATTTACTGTAGAACTTTTTATTTTTTGCAATATTACCTTTATCCTTTACTACAAGTGAAGTCGTAGATATTAATCTCGACAGCAAACCAGTATTGAGTCAGATTAAAAATTGTAGAGCTCCCTTACTCGTTAACATTGGATGCAATGTAAGTACTTATTACATTAGCACTTACTGGGTGGTGTTGATCACTTTTCTCGTTTTCCTAACTTACATCTACAAGATTTCAATATATTTAATAAAAAAGTAATGTTTTACCAGTGGTGGAGCGTGTCTTTATTTGTTAACTTCAGTTAGGATTAAGCTCTTCAAAATTACCAAATCAACCTATTTTTTAGCTTTAGTACATTTTGAATCCAAGGCTGATTTTTAACATTTTCAGTATTTTTACTTCTACTTATCTCTAATAAATATTTGCTCCCTGTCAATCATTGCTCTGCCCTTTACATCTGGCAGTCACCATAGCGAAAGCTTAAGGAGGAGAGGAGAAATTAAAATGTTTCATTTGCATTGTTTGCCCTGGCTGTGCCTGGACTGAACTAAACTGCATAGTTGCCAAATGTCATTTGCCACAACTTTCAAATGTAAAAAGGAATGGAGCGTCACATGAAAATAGTGTAACTCCGGTTATAGGTATGTTAAATCTGTGTAAATCAGGTGTGAAATAATCAATGGCTAGAGTATCCAATGTGTCATGTTGCTGCCTCCTGGTGGTTATAAACTAGAATGCACATGGTCTCAGAATTAGCAATGTCAAAAGTCACTTGCTACTTGTAAATATTTCATTCTACATATATTGCTGTTTGCAGGAAAGGGTCCCCTTTCTTAATAAACTGTATCGTGAACCATTTTCAGACTGGGCGAATCTTGCACGGTTAGGATTAATTACTACAGGGGTGCTGAATCAGGTTGGATCCACACGTATCATTCCGAGAAGCCCCAGCTCTGATTTTGGCACATTGTTACCCAAGAGTCTTGTGCTATACTGAGAGAGAAAGTACACATCCAATTGTATAATTTGGAGTTATACAGCTCAGTGTGGGGGTACTGCTGTCTGTGGGTGCAGGTTTAAAAGAACACTTTAAGCACCATAACTACTTTGACTGATTAAGTAGTTATGGTGCTTGGAGTTTGTGGGTGCTGGGTCCTGCATTATGGTTTACTAAACGTTTTTTCAGAGATTCTTTGTCCCCAGCTGCCTGAAGCCCCGGCCTCCCCGCTTCATGTAATACCAGGGGTTGCAGACACTGCCTGTCAGAGCATCAGCTGAGCTCTTTCAGCCAATCACTGCCCCAACCACTGATATGAATTGAGCTATGCTTCCAGCAGAATATCAGAGATCAAGGCAGTGATTGGCCAAGACGGCTCAGCTAATGGAATGGTGTAAAGGGGAGAAAATCTCTGCTACATCATCACTGGAGCCGGGGACCATGAACCTCTATCACAATATGAGTAAACAATGCCCACGGCCTCCAGTCGCCATGATTAAATTGACTCCATCATTTCAAATAGGAGATTTTTAATATTATGGATTGATTGTACTAGACATATGGCCAATATATTTCTAGACCGGAGATGGACCAATTAGACAGACCCTCGCCTTAACATATTAATGGCAGTCAGGGTTGCCACCTTTCTTTGGAAAAACCATACTGGACATGCTAATTTGCATTATTAATTATCTATGTATGACATTACAGGACATGACGTCACCGGTTGTTACATAACATGATTGTGAGTTTTTTTCTTTGTCATGTCACTAACATTTGGAGTGTGATGCAGTTTCCTTAAATCAAAAAACAAACTGCTTACAACGTGTGTGTAGCATTGTGTGCATACGGTCTGCGTGTGTGTAGCACTGTGTCACTATATGTATACCTTTTGTAAGTGTGTGCATAATGGTGAGTGCATATTATCTTAGTGTCTGTGTGTATACTGCATGTGCAGTTGTGTGTATCATGTGTAGATAGCAATGTGGGAACCTCTCGTATTTAGAACAGAAGTGAATATTATGGCTCCTTTTCTCCCACTACTCTTCCGGAGTCCAGTCAGAAAAAAAAACAAAAAACCTGCCTTTGCATTGCTGGTATTTTTGCAATACCAGCACAACAACTTTAAATACTAACTGTGCCAGTAAAATACTAGCCAGGTGGCCACACGGAGAAAGTGTGTTACCAAATTAATCAGATTCTTATAAGGAATAAACCAGGCTGCTGTAACTGCGGCTGGTTCCCTTATTTACCACTATAACGTCTTAAAGCATAGAACTTAGCAGGGCTTACTATACAGATATCTTAGCCAAATTTTATATAGTTAGTAAGAGATCCTCTATTTAACATATATAAATAATTGAGAATACAATATAAAATAAGGATTGTCTTGGAAGCAATAACGTTTTGTCTTTTAGATATTTATTATATAAAAATATAGACTCATAAAATCCATTACAATAATTTATAGCAGAGTTTATAAGATTAAACTAAATGCTTGCAGATATCATTAATAGGTTAACATACCCTTCTGAACAGGTCATCATGTCAGCCTCTCTGTCATTTTAAGATGTAGCAGCGTCTGTCTCCAAGTCTCTCCTCTGTGTCTTAACATTTAAAAGTACACCTATTTATACCTTAGGTGTCGTCATTTTAGGGTTACCGTAGTTCATATATGAAAAAGTAACTTGTTTACTTTTATTCATTTTAGAACCTCCCTTAACTTGGCAAACATACAGACTTCGGTCAAGATGGCATCTTAAAGTCTGAACATCCTTATCTATTTAGGGTTACCACAGTATATTGTGTACTGAAAGTCGTAGCATAGCCTTGAAGCTTGTTTATGCATTATTGTTATTGTATGTCGTCTGGGACAAAATGGCGTAAACATAATATGCACTGAGGTTATTGCTTAAAGAAACAGTTATGAAAAACAATATGTTCCATTTCTAACAGTGTGTCAGTTTGCAATCTCTCTTAAAGACAAAGTACACAGTTTGAGGAATACAATACTTGCCCATAACACTGCCATGACAGGTTTTGGTGGGTTATGTAAAATAAAAATACATTTAAAAAGCAAAAGCAGTAAAATTGGCAACATTTTTTTTAAAAAGTCCTCAATTGTGTGGAAAGAATAGCATAGAGCCTAGGAGAGATTGGCTCAAATCTTTAGCGCTTGTGTGATTTAAAGGAGGCAAACTCCCTTCTCGTGATACTGGGGTGGATATGCACAAAATAAAGCAAAAAACTAAAAACAATTTATTAAGTGGTTTAAAGACAACTTCTGAAATAAAAGGGAATCATGACGGAATATTTCCGTCACATGTCCATAAGGGGTTAAACATATCATGTAGTGGGAAAAGAGGAGAAATATATGGTGCAGTATGTCACATTTCCAAATTAAAAAGAGAAGGAAATACTCTTACAGTGTAGGGAGCTCTCTCATAGCTCTAGATGTAGCACCTGGGCAGTGCAATCCCCGACTATGGACATGATGAAATCTTGGTCCGACTGATATTTTCCTCCATCAATACCAATTGTTTGTATATACTATACCATTGGATTTCCTATTTTGTCTTTTTTCACATATACCTACTCCATCCTGAAAACCAGCTCCAAAGACCCTCCATTTATACCCATAGACGGGGATTATTCCATCCAGGCCTTCATAATAGAGCTGAGACAGCTCTAACAAGTGTGAGTGTGCACTTTTGCCCACTTGTACTCCCTTCACAAACATCTACTGTACTGCACCATAATCTGTTTCTTGCTTTGTACTATAGATTCATATACTAAGAATATCATCTGTATCATATGTATATATAATCTTAAGCGCTGATCATCTGTTATCTGTTGTCTGTTATCTTTACTATCCACTTCACAAGGGTGGAGAGAACCCCTTGTTGGCGATATGCTGCCAATTATAGGATATTGAGCACTTATACTCACCAATTTTTCCATACCTTTCCATTTTTCTTACCAATACATCAAGGACATCCCGGGCGCTGCACCGCCCCTTGTGTTCTCTTCTGCTTTTCTACGGGACAAGAGACCACGGTTTCGGTGATTAAGCTGCCTTTTGGACTGCATCAGTATTTCATAAGCGCTGAATAATTCCTTGTTTTTCACGTTACATAATGTGCCAGTAGAACAAAAATGGTAATAGGACACTAGAGAGCTGTATGCAACAACATTTAATAACATCCCACATCACAAACATGATGAGTTGTAGACCCCCTGCTCAAGCACTGTGGGAGAGATGGCAGTAAAAATGATGGTATCATTATATTAGACACATTGAAAATGCATTCTGGTCCAGGCTTTTGCTGAGGGTACAATGTTACTCCCACTGCACAGTCTTCGCTAGTCCTGCCTTTTCCTAAATACACACCCATAGCCAGTGATATATCTTATATATTTTTGGATTTGCGCTGGCGTAGGCAAGGAGAACAGTGCTCCCTCGCCGCCTGCTACAATATGTACAGCCACCCGCCGGGGACCCTAAAAAACGAGGCTAACAAGGCATCTGCAAGGCATTTGGGGTTGCTGTTCTTCCCATCCTATATAACCATGTCTGTTTAAAAACCATATAAAAAGTCTGGAAAAGAAGGGAGTGTTAGATTTTAATTATTTATTGCCTACACCTCTAACAGCTCTACGTCCAGACATACGAAGTAGCCTTTCAGTGAAAGCTGTATAGACTAGGTGGCTTATTCACTAAAACTCAATTGTTGAAAGAAAAAAAAAAAAAATATGAAAGACAAAATTGAGCCTTAAATAGTCAAGCGGTTATTTTAGCTGAACTAGATTTTTTCTTCAGTTTATCTATTTTATAAACTTTGCCATTTGTATTTCAATGTAACAATCAGTGATATAGAAAGGGTACTGGATACATGGAATAGCTTCCTAGTGGGAGCAGTAAAGCAGTGATATAGAAAGGGTAGTGGATACATGGAATAGCTTCCTAGTGGGAGCAGTAAAGCAGTGATATAGAAAGGGTAGTGGATACATGGGATAGCTTCCTAGTGGGAGCAGTAAAGCAGTGATATAGAAAGGGTAGTGGATACATGGGATAGCTTCCTAGTGGGAGCAGTAAAGCAGTGATATAGAAAGGGTAGTGGATACATGGAATAGCTTCCTAGTGGGAGCAGTAAAGCAGTGATATAGAAAGGGTAGTGGATACATGGGATAGCTTCCTAGTGGGAGCAGTAAAGCCGTGATATAGAGAGGGTAGTGGATACATGGAATAGCTTCCTAGTGGGAGCAGTAAAGCCGTGATATAGAAAGGGTAGTGGATACATGGAATAGCTTCCTAGTGGGAGCAGTAAAGCAGTGATATAGAAAGGGTAGTGGATACATGGAATAGCTTCCTAGTGGGAGCAGTAAAGAAGTGATATAGAAAGGGTAGTGGATACATGGAATAGCTTCCTAGTGGAAGCAGTAAAGCAGTGATATAGAAAGGGTAGTGGATACATGGAATAGCTTCCTAGTGGGAGCAGTAAGCAGTGATATAGAAAGGGTAGTGGATACATGGAATAGCTTTCTAGTGGGAGCAGTAAGCAGTGATATAGAAAGGGTAGTGGATACATGGAATAGCTTTCTAGTGGGAGCAGTAAAGCAGTGATATAGAAAGGGTAGTGGATACATGGAATAGCTTCCTAGTGGGAGCAGTAAAGCAGTGATATAGAAAGGGTAGTGGATACATGGAATAGCTTCCTAGTGGGAGCAGTAAAGCAGTGATATAGAAAGGGTTGTGGATACATGGAATAGCTTTCTAGTGGGAGCAGTAAATCAGTGATATAGAAAGGGTAGTGGATACATGGAATAGCTTCCTAGTGGGAGCAGTAAAGCAGTGATATAGAAAGGGTAGTGGATACATGGAATAGCTTCCTAGTGGGAGCAGTAAAGCAGTGATATAGAAAGGGTAGTGGATACATGGAATAGCTTTCTAGTGGGAGCAGTAAAGCAGTGATATAGAAAGGGTAGTGGAATAGTCTTCCAGTGGAAGTGATAGAGGTTAACTAAGGAATTTAATGTATAGGGTGTTGTTCAAGTCTATTCTGAATGACAGATCTGTCACCATCAGTTTTCGAATTTCCTACTGTGCTGGGTGTATGGGTGATATCTGTTGCCAAAAGCTAGGTTTCTATCTATACCTCCTCCAACTAATGGTTTACCCCTTCTACCTGCATTAGCCCATGGCATTAACAGCAAGAGGTAAAGGATGGGAATCCAGACCAACATTTATAAGAAACAGCAATACGATCACATGGAAACGCACCACTTCCATGCAGTAATTACACGCCTGCCCGATGAACAGAATTATCGCCCTGCCTTGGACGGCTGGAATCCTTATATTGGGTTATTACCTGTAGTGAGACTTGTTGGGAATTCAAAGTGAATTTAACACCAAAATAGACTAACTGGAAAAACTTTTTTTTTTAAATCTACAAATCAGCTATGCTTCTTTTGGCCTTAAATTTAGATTTTATTTAATTCTCACATTGGTAAATAACCGTGATGGTGTGCAGCATCTACCAAATTAATAAACAATGGGTTATCCCTGGGTTGGTTTCTCCAGCTGGAACACTGATAACACACTAACACACCGTTGGTATTTATAGGGTTAATCATTAAAGGAAAAAAAAAAAAGTGTCCAATAAGTTAATAGGAATGTGTGACACAAACAGTTACTATTGTATCTCTCTGGCACACAAACGGTTAACACTGCAACCCTCTGGCACACAAGTAGTTCATATTCTCTCTCTGGCACAGAAATAGTAAACATTGCATCACTCTGACACACAAACAGTTAATAAAACAAGTCTGCAGCACTTAGACAGTTAACCTTAATATCTGGCGCACAAATAGTTACTGTACCACCCTCCTGGCACACAAAATGGTTAATTTTATATCCCTCTGGCAGAGAAATAGATACTGTAACACCCTCCTGGCACACAAACAGTTAATAAAACACTCCTGTCAGACCATGTAACTAAGCGTAAAGGAAAGTTTCTTACTTGAAACATACAGACACACAGGTAATGAATGATGGATACAAAGTAAATGTCCCCCTCCTCACACACCACATACCCACCCACCATGGGTGGATTTGATTTATAGATCTGGTCTCCACCCCCTTCCAAACAGAAATCAATAACACCTGGGTCCAGGGATGCATTAACTCTCTCCTGGCTGCACTGACCAATCATTAGCCCTTTCCTGATGGCACACCCAATTATTAACCCTGAAGTGGCTGCACTGACCAACCATGAACCCTTTCCTGATTACACTGTCCTATATACCATTGCTAAGCTGCATTACACAATCTTTAATCAATATCACAGCAAAGCACCCCATCTATCAGACTGCACTGATAGGGTTAATCGCTAAAATGAAATTTGCAGTGAATTCAAAGTAAGTTCCAAATTTAAATCAAAATATCGGAATTGTTCGGGAGGGACTATAGGTAACCGAATATTATTCATCAGTTATACTTTGTGTCATTTATGTAACTTTTTTTCCTTTAGATCCAGTATGTTGACTGTTACCCCCTCCACAATGTATCCGTGCAAATCCACAGCCCCGCAATGGCTTATGGGAGTTTATACTTCCTGTCCATCAGCAGAATAATTGTTGACAACGTAAGAAACTTTATTGATATGAGTGGATTATCAGATGTGATTATTTATATATTGTTTTGCTTTTTTTAACATCCTGCTCTAATGTTTCATGTTTCTCTCTGTGTCCCTTGAAGGCCACTTGTATGATTTCCAACATGACAAGGCCGAAGAAGGCGGTGTCACCATTCCGCCAAGACGATCTTCTCCACACGGACATTCTGGTGAATTCACTGTGAATTAAAGACCCCAAAAAGTTTCGCTATCATCTTGTTGTCTTATAATCATAAATCTTTGGGGTTCTATTCACTAAAGAGATTTACAATGAATTTCAAACCTTTGACTAAAATATCCGAGTAGTGACTATATCTGAGCGGAAGATTTTATTTATTTATTTTTTAATCTAAAATTTTCTGTTACAATTTTGCAGTTGTGTTTTCCATTTGATCCATTTTAGTGTTTTAGCTGTGAATTTAGGAAAACAAGCAGAAATCTACAAGAACATTCACCAAAATGAGATTTCGAGATGAAATTAAAACGAAGGTTAAAAAATAGCCGAAACGGACAAAATCTCAAATTCAACTATTCTTTCCATTTGGCTACTTTGGCCTTAAATTTGAAATTCACTTTTAATCTCATTAACCCTGTGAGAGAGTTTAAGTTACACACTTTGGTGAATTAGCCTTTTACTATACAGGTAGCCAATGATACAAAATATCTATATGGGCAAATCAGATTTAGAAAACAAAACCTCACAAGCAGACAAATATAACTGTGTACTGACAGACTTAATAATCTTGGGAAATGGTTTTGAAGCCCTCAACAGTTGAAGGTTGAAATTGCTGGTGGTGGGATGGGTGGCAATGCCTTTTCAAGAATGTTCTTGCCCATTTTCTTTCTTAGAATTGCAGTAACAGCTGGTGTGAGAGAGTAACGTGCCTGATACCGAAACTCCATCGGAATAGTGAGATATCCATCTCGATACTGAGAGTCATTCACAATCAGTTCTTCGCCAAGGTGGGATGGATCCATTTATATCTCCTTAATGTATGCTGCACCCTAACCGATACATATTGGAAATGTTATTCTTATTAATGATATTTATCAGGTGGAAAACCAAACTATATCAATGGTACGATTGAATAAAAATATTAAACACGGTCATCAAAACATCTTCAATATGATTATTTTTAATTCATATATTGCAGCTTTTGAAGAAATCGCTTGCCCACCTTTCTCACAGCCATCTAGAGGTGTCCTGTCCTTTGTTTTTGGGACCAATGTAAAAACTGCTTTATAACGTTTACAGAGGAGAGTGTGCAGTCTCTTTGCATTTAAAGGGACACTCCAGGCACCCAGACCACTTCTGCCCATTGGAGTGGTCTGGGTGCCAACTCCCACTACCCTTAACCCTGCAAGTGTAATTATTGCAGTTTTCATAAACTGCAATATTTACATTGCAGGGTTAAGTCCTCCTCTAATGGCTGTCTAGTAGACAGCCACTAGAGGAGACTTGCATGTTCATAGAACGCTATGTGAGGACCTCCAGCGTCGCCGAAATCCCTATAGGAAAGCATTATTCAATGCTTTCCTAGGGGAGGTGTAATGCGTGTGTGCGGCCATTGCCGCGCCTGCGCATTAGATCTCCCCCACTGATGGCTGTGCAGTAGGTCTCCCTTGCCGTCAGCCAGAGGAGCATAGTCCCTGAAGGGGTTTTAACCCCTTCAACAACTTAGGATGGGGGGTGGAAGGTAGAGGGGCACTAATATGTTTTCCTGGCACTGGAGAATCCATTTAATCCACTACATTAAGCTGTAATGGTTCTGGTACTTAGAATGTCCCTTTTATTTGACAGAATGCAAGTTCATGGCAAACCTTAAATGAGATTTTAAATGATTGCTGGGTTTAAACAATGCAATGTTTCATATCATGTCACAAACCAAGTGCACAGCAAGGCAAGCATTAAGCCTTGGTATACAGACAAATATAACAGATTAACAATTACATATACTGTCTGTATATAATATTTACCAGTAGGCTTCTATTCTTGTCTCCTCCTGACTATATTGCTCCAATGATATACTCCTGCCCCATTTAATCCACTGGACAATGATTCTGATTGGATGTTTAAGTACCGTATGTAAAAACTTTAATAGTTCTATATCCTAGAACTGGCTACATTAATTTGTATCCATTATCAAACCCACAATACAGCATGGGGTCTCCTAAATGAGGGACCTAAATTACCTAGAAACAAAGTATTATCTGTGCCAAAATGAACTGTGAAAAAGCAGCTTTCTCCCTAACAATACATATGATGTTTGGTGTTTAGGAGAACAGTCTCAGGAGAGCTCTATGTTAGAAAGGTTTCTCTGTTGCACGAGTATAGTTTTTCCAGCACTCGTTACAATAGTGAGTTTACCAGTTCAGCTTGAATATGATGGGAGCTGTAACCCACTCTTAACAAGCAATACAATTACAAAAAATACTTTGTAAACAAAAAGCATTTTAGAGGTACGGTGCCAGCTGGTTAATGAAGAATAGTCTATTTTAGAGAGAGTTACTCCAATCATCATAACCTCTGCAGCCCAGGCACCATAACTACTTCAAATCACTTAAGTGGTCATGGTGTTCTGAGTAACCTTTTAGGATGTAGAAAAGACGTTCTGGGAGGGAGGCGATCACTGGTGCATTTAGTAAGGGAGACCTAGCAAGAACCGAGCAAAAATCTATGAGAACGTTGATGCCAGATGACGACAAGGATATACACAAATCCACCAATCATGGACTATTTTCACCTAAAGTTTGTAATTGCTAATTTAGTAAATAACCCGAAACAAAAATACCATCTCACGATATGAGAGACACATAAAAACTATTTATAGGACAGGTAATCAGACAGTAAAACCAAAACACATAAAATGTAGGATTTACTCTTTATTGATATTATATAGTAACATTACAGTGTATAAAACATATATTGACAGATTTACATGTAGAGTCTAGAACTGAGAAAGAGGGGTGACTAGAGAGTTAAACCCAGTATAGGCACTGTAACTACTTAAAGCAAAGAGCAAAATTCTGAAGGGGAGACGGGGGCGCTTGTCCCCTTTGCCCTATGCAGCAGATGCCACGTATTATTTGTACCCCCGCCTTCTGCTTCCAGTAATAACCTTCTTATGTACAATGAAGGAGGCCCCAAAATGAACTAGTGGCATTTCAACTCTGAACAATGTCTTCCTTTGTTACTTATAGCTGATGGATATTTTTTTTCCCTTTCTCTAAGGAAGAAATTACCTCACCCTCAAAAAAATTAAAATAAAACAAAATAAAAAAAGAGGGGGTGGGGGAGTAATATATTGGGAGGAAATATTATCTGCGTTTGTGGGGAACATTAACCCATTGTGTGCCGCAGCTATTCTAACCATCTTGCAGGACAATTGACCACGTTTTTGTATGTTACAGTTCCACGAATTAAAACGAATTTGGTGCGCTCGAACAATTTAATTCTGGAATAATTGCATGCATGGTTATTCAGTAAAGTCTGCATTGTCAGGAGTTTAAAGTGAGTTTTAGATTTTAGGACACATTTGCTGAATTGGGGAAAAAAAAATTATGTTTACAGTTTGGCTATTTTAGGCCAACATTTGAAATCCCCCTTCAATGAATAGCCATGTTTGTCATCTTTAAATCCACTACCACACTTAGCATGTCGTTAATTAAACAGTGACTACAATGAGCAGATGGTTGACTTGTTTGAATCATGTTCCTGATAAGAAAAGCATTTGATCTTCCGACTGTCTGATAAAGTTATTTTCTTCATAAAACAGGCAAAATTCCGGTCAGTCAAGGTGGTCAGTACGTTCGTTCTTGACATAAAGGAAGACAGTATTCACTTCACAGATGGCGGAGGACATCGTAGGGAGGTACATAAATCCTTAAACATAAAAATGAAAAAAAAAATTTTTTTTATTTATATTATATTTATATTTGTATTTATTACCACGTGAAATGTTACCCAGAACTTACAAATATCATCAGTTATCCCATTGTAAAGCGCTGCGGAATTTGAAAGCACTATATAAATATAATAATAATCCACTAAAATTTGAATTGTCGGGAATTAAAAGTGAAGTATTGAAGTGAAAACAGTTTACCTGGAGAATTTTCCCGGAATACTTTAGTTTACAGCCCCGTGGGGTTTATTTACTGAACCGTAGTGAACTGAATGCAAAAATTAGACAAAATTAGTTCATTTGGAAAATCTCTCAAACTCAGCTATAGTCAGTTTCACTAGTTTAGCCTTAAAAGGTTTTATTTTTCCTTCCATAAAACACTGATTTTGGTTGTAGAAGCCCCTTTTGGGCTGGTCCAACTCCCAACGCAATAAAAACAAAGCTATTTTCCCTTGCTGAGGCGAAATTCTCTCTCAACCCAATCCTCCTTGCCCAACATCACTCCCACTCGCCAGAAGGGAATGGATGTCAGGGAGGACCGACAGAGGGGAGGGCAGTGGAGGCATTTCGATGTTACGTCAGACGCCAATTTGGCACAAAATGTAATTAACCATACTAGAAATGTGTTCTTGGCTGGCTAATGACGCTGCCCAGAGGCGAGTTGGACCACTGGCTGAGAGGGGGTTATCTCTGTATGTGCAGCGTTTCACAGTGAAATGCTGCACATACAGACTCCAGGCACCACAACCACTTCAAATCTTTAATCTATCCATTTGGATTTCTAGTACAATTTATTGTTTAGTGAATAAACCAGTGTTTGTTTGAACAGCCAGTAAGAGTTGCTTATCTAAAATCCTTGAAGGGACACTATATTCACCAGAACAACTGCAGCTTATTGAATTTGTTCTGGTGAGTAGAATCATTACCTTCAGGCTTTTTGCTGTAAGCACTGTCTTTTCAGAGAAAATGCAGTGTTTACATTACAGCCAAGTGATATCTTCCCCTGCCACTACTCAGATGGCTGCTAGAGGTGCTTCCTGGGGCAGTGCTGCACAGTGTGTCTGCCATTCAGTGTCTCAACCCTCTGCATGGAGACACTGAACTTTCCTCACAGAGATTCATTGATTCAATTCATCTCTATGAGAAGATGCTGATTGGCCAGGGCTGTGTTTGAATCATGCTGGCTCTGCCCCTGATCTGCCTCCTTGACAGTCTCAGCCAATCCTATGGGTAGGCATTTTGATTGGCTCACAGAATCAATTCTGATGATTTCAGCTGTAAGCAGACAGATCAGGGGCAGAGGCAGCAGCTGCTGACTTGAATACAAGTAAGATTTTACTCTATTTAGCGAGGTAAGGGGTGGAGGGACTAGATGGTGGTTTTAACACTATAGTGTCTGGAATACATGTTTGTGTACTTAACCCTATAGTGTTCCTTTAAATCAATTGTAAAGAAATCTTACCATCACGTGAGTGAGGTATTCCCTTTCAATAATTTGATTTTGATTATTATTTCCACTTGCTAAGGGAAAGTTTTCCTTTTCCCGCTGTGCGTTACTGAATGCAGCCCAGATTCTTGGATTTAATTCAGAGGCCCATTTGTTTTGGCAGTGTGTTCAAGAAGTGTGGAAAATAAGGGAAAGCAGAATCCTATTTTTTTATCCTAAATATCAATGAAAAAGGCTACCAGAAATTGTCAGATTCATCATAGTGCAGATTAGCCCAATTATATCTGGTTACAGTAGTTGTCAGCAAAAAATGAAGTGCTCAATACCGTCAGAGGAAGAACTGCATTCCTCAGATCATGGGCCATGGATTTAAAGGGCCACTCTAAGCACCATCACAACTTTGTGTAGCATAGTGCAAAAAGTAAAAATAAAATAAGTTTTTCAATTAATTAATCAGGCTGTTAAAATGCAGAGATCCGGCTGCCTAGTGTCAGTTTGTCCAAGTCGTGTGAATGGCTGCATGTTGTCACCCAACATCCAGTGGTGGCATGGTCCTGTCCTTTCCTCAGTCCGTCCTCCCTGTGAGAAGCTGATATCAGCCTAGGAGGGTCGTGTTGAGGGAGAACTTGGCCTTGGCGAGGGAACATAAGTATTTTAAGGCACTTTTCTTTTTTTCTCATTAAATTAATCTCCTTAGCAATAAAACTAATATAAACTGAAATGAAAGAAACGCTACTAAATAAATGAAGGATTACCTACATTGTCATGGTAAAAGCCTGAGGAAGTGGTTTGCTCTTTTTTTTTCGCAGAGTGTCCTGGAAATCCTTCAGCCCATCCTCCTCCCTCTCTCCTTGTGGATTCTGATTGGCAGTATTATCGGGGGGCTGCTTCTATTGGCCCTCATCATCTTTATTCTATGGAAGGTGAGTGACAGTCCATTCCTGCGTAGTGTGTTGAACGAACGTGGGAACTGTCAATTCTAAAGCTATTATACCATTACATAAAACATGGAAAATCACATATTACGTTTGATAACCTTTTTTTGGGATGCTCTGTTTTCCTTTAAGTTTATGTTAAAGGTTTGCAAAATTACATCACAATCCTGTTCTGGTAACTTAAACCAGGGCGCACATTGCAAATGAAGGTGAGAAATAGAAATAGAAAATCCATAGTGTTTAGAATACGAGACTGCATTCCCGTTCAACACAATTATCACAATAAAGAATGAGATGTTTTGTGGTTTCCCTTTAAATAATGGTGGTTCTGTCGAATATTTTCCAGAACGGTTATACAAAGGACCATATCGAACTGTAATGAATACAGCTCATTACAAACTATCTATATTGTATCTACACCATCCTTCAAGGTCAGATAAAGACCACATACCACCCATATCTATTCACAGTTTGCATATTGTCTTACAGCTGTTCCGATTTTGCGACATACAGATAGATGAGTTCCCATGACACTTCCCTTGTTATAATTTCCTTTCCAGTTCAACCATAAACTGCTAAGCACTCTAAAAAAACAATTTCTAAGGAATTCATCTAGCTAGTTGGTAAAACACTCAATACAAAGTACATAATGAGAGAGCTGAGCCATTAGCAAGGCTAATCTAGACCAGGGGAGCTTAGTAGGTAGATCCCCAGATTTTGTAGAACTACAACTCCCTTGCATGCCTTTAGAATGCGAAAACATCTGGAGATCTACCTTTATTTAGACTCTCATATGGTGAAGAGATTCCTTCAAAGACTTTGGTTCCACCTGGTGCATCTTGATTGGCAATTTTAGTTCTTAGGTGCTACCAACAGGACAGGTCTTAGGAACATCACTGTACAAGCACTGGGGAAAGCAATCCAAACAAACTAATTGATTTACAAATGTTTTCACGCAAAAACACCCAGAAATTATGATCTTGTTGAAGACTATTGGTAACTTTTGATTTTGACCACTTTCCCTCCTGTTGTAGCTGGGCTTTTTCACAAGGAAGACCCAAGGAGAGGAGGAGAAAGAGAAGGAAGAAACAGATAAGCAAGACCAATGACCACAACCAGTACTCCAGGAAAAGAGCGTATAAGATCAATCACAGACTCTTCTCTGCCAGCCCGGCTGGGTAATGAACCAAACGGCATAGGTCTTTGATCAAGTCAGGACCTTATTTAATGACTTATTACGGAAAAATCCCTGCTATTGGGTAATCATCTTTTACAGGATTTAAAAATAGTACTGAACCAGCTGGGTCGTAATTACACAAAAGAGTCGAGTCTGAAGCAGTACTTGGCAGAAGGTGACCAACCAACGCATCACAATATCATCGGGATTCAATAAGAAGACATGGCAAAGAGAAAACTGGATGCAGAAATTCTAAGGAACAACCTTCTCCAGTAACCAGCAGTTCCAGAAGCACAAATGTACCAAAGTAGTGACTTAAAGAAATGTTAATGGCCAAGAAGCATTTTAGTCCTGTCATACCACTGGGAAAATTTAGAATTTCAAGCCTTTCATGCCTTGTATTTTTTCTGTCCCCGTAGACTACAGGTTGATTCCAGGGCGAGGAACCAGGGACATGATATTTTTGGTCCTTCAAGGATTACCATGATAAAAAGATACACAGCCAATTTCACTAATGGTTTTCAGAAACATTTAGAATTGGGGTAAACCAGAATTTTATTGGCAAAGATGGAGAGGGAATTAATCGGGGGGTGGGTGGGGGGGGAGAAATATCTCTAAAACTACCATATCGATAATTTGCTTCACTTACCTTTTGCCTAAATGCAAACAGGGTATGATGTTAGAAATAGAAAGCACTTATTCGGAGATAATTTTTTTTTTCTTTTTTATTTGAAACATAATTAGTTTTTATCTGCTGAGGCTGTTATTTCTATAATGTGAGCATTCCTGTAAATAAAGACTCTTTACATCGTATGATTTCTAAAAAGTATAAAAACAGACATACTTTAATTCTTGGATGGGTGTTTGACTTGGTATGAAAAAATCTGCCTGAATTTTTCTAGAGAGATTTATCACTAGTGTGCATCTGCCCTATATCTAGGTGCTTGGATTTTGTCTGTATACTTTTGCCTACATTTTCATATATGTCGTTAATGTTGACTAAGAATCTGTTGATGCACACATACCTGATAATCCAAGCCATAATAACATCACCAGTTGCCATCTGAGGTTAATTTCTACAGCCAGTGGTTATGATAAATCACATTACCTACAAAGAGATCCAAAAAAGAGACATTTAGTAAATCATCGATAATAGGAGACGAGAGCAAGTTTTAGTCTGGTAGTCTACTGTAACTAGACTAAGAAGATTTCGTCTAAGGCAAAGGAAAGGTTTTTCTACTGTAAGAACAATCAGGATGTGGAATTCTCTGCCTGAAGAAGTGGTTTTATCAGAGTCCATACAGATGTTCAAACGGATACTAGATGCATACTTGCAAGAACAGAATATTCAAGGATATAATCTTTCAATGTAGGGTAGTAACTTCTTGATCCAAGGATAAATCTGACTGCCATTCTGGGGTCAAGAATGATTTTTTTTTCCTAGCTTGTTGCAAAATTGTGCTTCAAACTGGGTTTTTTGCCTTCTTTTGGATCAACAGCAAAAAAAAATGTGAGGAAGGCTGAACTTGATGGACACAAGTCTTTTTTTCAGCTATGTAAGAATGTAAATTTAACTCATATTTCTCTGCTTAGATTTAGAAATTAACTACTGTTAGAAACAAAAGTGCAAACCAAGAAATTTTAAACAAAATGTGCACTTGGTAAAGAAACACTCCTATAGAGGTAATGTCAGGTGCAGGCTAGTAACGTCCGTTAGGTCTCGATTTAAGACCTGTTGTACTGCTGGCCTATTGCAGCCTCAGCAGCGTTACCGGACTCTGTGCATATCTCTAAGGCAGGCCCAGGTTGTGGTGCAATTAGGCTACGGGCTCACCACCTGGTTTCAGGTAAAACCATTATTGTTTTGACCAAAACCAGGGGTCTCAAAGCAGCCTACCAATTCACTCGCCCCACTGCTCATCTATCCATAATTTAAAGCCATTCACTATCTGTATCAATCAGATGTAGCAAGTTATATACCTCTGATCAACATTTTTACCATCTATCTTAGCTATAACATAGTTACATAGACCCCAGAATGGCAGTCAGATAACTCCTTGGATCAGGAAACTATTACCCCACTAAAGAAAATGTATATCCCTCTATAATTTTTTTTTTCAACTATATATCCAATTTCTGTTTACATCTGTACAGACTCTAATAAAACCACCTATTCAGGCAGAGAATTCCATATCCACACACACCTTTTTGTGATTTATTTGCTTTTACCTTATTGAAAATCATTTTGCTCTGACATTCAATTTCGGAGAAGCAGTTTGACATTTGATATTTTGTCGGCAAATTGCGGTTTACAGATCTTTCCCCCTTTGATTCATTTTAGCCTGTTCTGGAATTACACAAAATATTTTGGACATAACAAGAAGTGTAGAGGTAGCTAACCATATTCTGTTCTTTGGAGTTTTGCACTGACTTGAAGAGATGTCACAACATGAAGAGCAAGGAAGAAATAGGAGACCTTTTGGGAAATGATGCGTTTTCAAGTAAGGTGGCTTTAGGGTGGGTTTCTAAAAAAAAAAAAAAAAAAAAAATATGGGAGTGAGAGCTTCTTCACCAGTATGATGGGATGCAGCAACCAAAGTTCCGTAGTCAAAAGTCCTTGAAAGCTTCACGAGCAACATTTTGTCACAGTCTGAACACTGCTAAGCAACTCTGAGAGAAAACCGACAAAGATAAGAAGGTCTATTAATACAAAGATGTATAAAGGTGTTTCAGGGACAAATACATACAGACCACAAAAATAAAGGTATTCTTTTGATGAATACAATAAAACAGAAATAATTTAGAGTTTGAGTATAATATTACATATTTTGTTATTCTTTTTTTTTTTTATTTTAAATATTATAGACCCAGATCTTTGAGTTTTTCACAAAAGATCTTGGGACACAGCAAGAATTCTATAAAAGTACTCTTAACTGACCTTATCTTTGAAAAGAAAGTTAAACTTATTCAGTCATCGGGAGATGTCATGTGCCAATACCTTGGTCCTGCTTAGACAAGATGGCTTCACAACTTCGAAGGACTTCACGACTTCATCAGAAGATCAAAAATGCACCACAGATGAATTCTGACTGAACAGGGAAACAAAGTATTGAGGTAAATCGAGGTTACAGTACATAGAAATAGTCCAACACGGCACGAAATACAATAAAGAAAAAAAATAAAATGACTAAAATAGCTACAAACAGAGTCCAACTCTTCCAAAGTACGTTTCACCATCTCAAAACAGTGAGTTGTATTGGGCCCATGAAATTAGACAATAACATACTAGAAGGTAAAAACTAGTCAGGAAAGTATTGAAAATGTTATCCAGATAAAAGGAAGAATGTTCTGTACGCACAACTGAAATAATAAAATGAATCATGTAGGGGATAAATGAAAGTGTTAGAATGAGGAACATCCCATCAATGTTAGGTAGAGAACAAAGAAAGTGAAAGACCATAGAAAGAATAGAGGATAAAGAACAAGGATAAGGATCGAGAAGGGAGTGAGCATGTGAATGATCAAGGAGGTGAGAAAAGCTACCCATCCAAGGGTTCGAAATTTAATTTAAAGATGTAGGTGTGCCCTTCATTAAGTTTGCAGGTTTCTCCAGCTCGGTTCCTTTAATGGTTTTTAGTGGGGCGCTATTAAATTTGGTCATTTAAATGACTCTGCATGTTTTAAGGGGTATTCTAGCTAAAGTCAATGCAAAACCCGATATACCACGATTCCTTGTAGGAGGCCCGTGATTGTGCCAGTGTGATGGAAGGGTGAAAATTGGGCATTGCCATCTTACTAAGATTTGAATGCCGTCACCTGTTAAAAAAAGTGAAGGTATATATTTTGATACTACTGCCCGCTATAAACCTCACTCCATTGTACGCTTCTATGGCATGTACTATTGTGAGAGGAAAGATCAGCTCTCCCAGCAAGAATAGTGAGAGCTCTGCTAATTATTGTTTGAATATGTTGTATGTAAGGAATGATCGACCTTACCTGACCTCTCACCTGCTTCTCTAGGTGTTCCGGATGCAATAATTAACAGGTGCAGGACTCGGATCCACTGAAGGATGGCAGATATATATTTAAAAAAAAAAAAAAAAAAACTGCTTAACAGGTGTGGTTTTTTTGTTTCTTGTTATTGTTATACAACAATGCAACAAGCAGACATTTTCGATGGTCTATCAGTTAAAGTTAAAGCAAAGTTGTTGTTGTTTTTTTAAATTTTTTTTTTTTTTAAAGGTTTTTAAATTTGCTTTCAGTTTCTTTGAACGCACTTTTGCAGTTTTACCTCTTTTAGTGAAAGGCGGTGGAGCCGGCGTTGAAAGAGACCAAATTACAGCACAGCAGAGGACACCTACAATGCTGACCTTCCTGACGCAAATTAGACTAAAACACACATTCCTGTATATATGATGTGTTTGCCATTTCTGATTTGTCTTATTATGTAATCCATGTATAATTTTATTTTATGAGCTTCTCTTCCTGATTTGTCAATTGTTTTTGTTTATGGATCTTGATTGCTGGCTAAGGTTAGCCTGAAACTCTCAACTGGCACGTTGGGAGAAAAAATATACAAAAATAGACTTTGAAGAGCACACAGTCTGATGTATGCCCCAAGAAAGAAAAGCCCATAAGGTAATAGTGCCACTAAGTTTACCTAAAGGGAAACTATAGCCCCAACACTTTAGCTTAATGAAGCAGTTTTGGTGTATAGAACATGCCCCTGCAGTCTCACTGCTCAATTCTCTGCCATTTAGGGGTTAAATCACTTTGTTTATACAGCCCTAGCCACACCTCCCTGCATGTGACTTACACAACTTTTCTAAACTTTTCCTGTGAAGAGTCATTTAATGCTGACACTTCCTACATTGCAAATCATGTTTAATTTAGAATTTATCTCCTGCTCTGCTAATAGCTTGCTAGACCCTGCACGATCCTCCCGTATGTAATTTAAGTTCAATTTACAGAGCAGGAGATAACTGTTAAAGTAAGCTACATCTGATTGAAAATGAAACCATTGTGCTTCATGAAGGCTCTGTCAGTCACAGCTAGGGGTGGTGTGGCTAGGGCTGCATAAACAGAAACAAAGTGATTTAACTCCAAAATGGCAGTGTATTGAGCAGTAAAACCTGAGCGGCAGGATCTATACACAAAAACTGCTTCATTAAGCTAAAGTTGTTTTGGTGACTATAGTGTTCCTTTAACAATAATATGAAAACAGGGGATATTAAAACATGTAGGAATGAGCACACCATATAAATAAATGTTGGGTAAATTTACCATGGATAAATACTACACAATAGTTCTGCTTAAAAGGCACCCCCGCCCCTCTCTTTCCTCCCAAAATAAAAATCACAGTGCAAAAAAAAAAGAGGGCATAATAAAAAAAAAATAATCAATCTATATTTTTCATGCAGAGCTGCAACGAATTTTATGGATGCAGAAGGTGGTTTAGAATTAATATCCCCAGTCTTTGTGCGAGGCAATCATACATCTCAGCATGCATAAATAGCTATATTACTGAAAGCATCAGGTCACATTACTGGAAGTATCCGTCCAGGCCAATGCAATGGGCTGGTTTTTGTCATTATCCGAACAGCAGCTTCTAATTCTGCTAAAGTGATATTGAAACATTTTTAAAACATTTTGTACAACCAGAGACACCCAAGTGTTTTGTCACAAGGAATCCCATTAGCCCGAGGTTAGGATCAGATCTTCTCCGACCGTTTTCATTAGAGTAAACCCCTTCAATGTGAGAGCAAGTTTATGAATCCATCCTTGGATCATTGCCATTAAACAGGAATTCCTTCTGGACTAATTAACCTTATAAGACAAACTGAGTACAACTCTATCAAACATCACTGTGTGTGCAGCAAACCCCGAAATCTCAGTGTCTCCCATAAAGAAATAAAACCCAGTAAGGACTCCGCTCTCCACAGTTCACCATCGTATATGTGTTTATTTAGTACCAGCTGGGTCGAATAGTAAAAGGGTAGGGCTAAAAAGAGTGAAGGTAAATGCAGAGTCCTTATTGTGTCCAATCACTTTACCTTATGGACATCCCTTCCTAGTTACTACATCAGAATGTGAATTGGCTGCCAGTGACGTTTCATTTGATTGATAGCTGAAATTTGCCCATGATGAAACATTTTTTTGAAAAAACAGCACGACAAAAGTGTGGGATTATTGTAAAGTTGAAGTTAAATTCAAATCATGTAAATAAAAAAGTGTCCTGATTCACCATCTCTATCATGCTTTTAGATTTGAAAAAATTCCAAATTATATTATTCCTATAATCTGCCACATTGATAGCGGCTAGCTAGACTGTTGTGTTTATGTGACTGTTAGCTAGACGGTTGTGTTTATGTGACGGTTTGCTAGACGGTTGTGTTTATGTGACTGTTTGCTAGACGGTTGTGTTTATGTGACTGTTTGCTAGACGGTTGTGTTTATGTGACTGTTTGCTAGACGGTTGTGTTTATGTGACTGTTTGCTAGACGGTTGTGTTTATGTGACTGTTTGCTAGACGGTTGTGTTTATGTGACTGTTTGCTAGACGGTTGTGTTTATGTGACTGTTTGCTAGACGGTTGTGTTTATGTGACTGTTTGCTAGACGGTTGTGTTTATGTGACTGTTTGCTAGACGGTTGTGTTTATGTGACTGTTTGCTAGACGGTTGTGTTTATGTGACTGTTTGCTAGACGGTTGTGTTTATGTGACTGTTTGCTAGACGGTTGTGTTTATGTGACTGTTTGCTAGACGGTTGTGTTTATGTGACTGTTTGCTAGACGGTTGTGTTTATGTGACTGTTTGCTAGACGGTTGTTTTTATGTGACTGTTAGCTAGACGTTTGTGTTTATGTGATATTTTAAAACATTTTGTTGCGCCTTTTAGTAACTAGTGATTTTTTGGTATTTATAAGTTCAAAACATAGGCAATACACAAAGGCTGACTTGAAATCAGGAGAATTCTTTCAATTCGGATATTCTGGGTGCAAATTTGAAATTCCATTTGAAGTCACAATTCAGTCTAGTGTATAGCTCCAGATTTTGATAAAGAATTCTAAATCCTCGGCACTATAAACGGCGGTATCTAAATTAGACAAAGATATCAGTTTTCTGCAAACCTTTTAAATACAGAGTATACTATAACAGATTTTAAAGAGACACTAAGCACTATAACCATTTCATCTCACTGGGGCCTAGTGCTGTCCTCCTGTTATCATTATTATTATTTATAAAGTGCTAACAGATTCCACAAAGCTGTTCAATTGGTTCAGTGTTTAAACAGTTTTGGAAAGGTTTAACACTAAATGAGGGCCCTCGGCTTCTTGCTTCTACATTACATCAAATAGCAACTGGCTGAAAGTGCCATCCATCACTGGCATGTACTGGTATGGCTAAAATAGAGTAACACTCTGCCTTAGCCATGCCCTCCAGAGAGGGCAGTGCCACGGACACTTGGGAACCCATTCTTTATTAAATCGTTTGAAAACCAATTAATACTCAGTTGTGGGATGGCGCAAGGAAAACCCAGGTACCATAACAACTCCAATGAGAATGAGTAGTTATGGTACCTAGAGTGTCCCCTTACATTGTTGTAATTCCTATATGGCTAATACAAAGATTCTAAAACACCTAAAAGGAACACAAACATTATTTTTGCCAAAAGAAGCAAAAAAAATAAATTTAAAAAATCAAAGCACCATGATGCAGTTAAGGTTTATTTATTTTTTTTCCTCTCAGTGTTTGTCATAAATCTTAACAAAACGGGAAGGGGGGAAACGAAAAATAAAAATCCAAATTTTTGCACTTTACTCTTTGAGATTACCAAACGCATGGCATACAAATGAACTGCTTCAGGAAGAGAATTCCAACGCATGCCACGCCACGCGGTCATGTCACAGAATTGGCGAGAACCACAAATTAAAATCCATTTCCTTTCATCTCGACTTTTTATTTCAGATTGTGTTTTTTTTACATTTTGCTTGAAATTGAAATACCACTTTTTAAAGCATGTTTTCCAAATGTCCACTTTTTACGCAGTTTTCCTTAATGTTTAAAATACCCTGTTTAATATAATCAAGGTTCTCTCTGTTACCTCTAACCGTGTTGTCCGATAAAGTGAGACTAGTTGGGAAGTCTAAGTGAATTTAAAATTATTGGCCAAACATGCAGAATGAAGAATATGAAAAATAGCTGGTCTGGTGAATGGACTAGGAGAATTTTTCAATTTTGGCTATTTTTGAAATTCACTTTGAATTCTCAACAAACTCACATTTTATGACTAACCATGAATCTGTGTTAGTAAGGCAGAGTGCAGGGCGTCTGTTAATAGGGGGTTACTAACCAGGTGACCTTCCAAATATTATTAAAAAGGAAAAGCAAAACTCAGATACAAGTGTTGGGTATCTGAACAAATTTATCTTAATTTACAAATACCAGTCTTTTCTAACAAATGTAGGTAATCTGGCAAACATATATATATCATATATATGATTTAATGTTATCAATACACATAGAACCAAATGAGAGAGAAAGAAAAAAAAAGTTAAATATGGAACAAACAGGGCAAAATTAAATGCAAAAAAATTTAAAAAAAAAAAAAAATTTCAATGAAAAATGAATCACTAAAGTCTGCTTGTATTTCTTCTTTTCCAATATGGGAGAGGTATGATGAGAGGTGCGCATGGGAGGTTGTGTCCTCTGATCGCTGAGTCGAAAGTCATGAGATGAAACCCATTAGGAACCTTACATGATACTGCTCCCCCAAACATTCTAACATATAATTTCTAGATGAATAGCTCTGAATATAACGAATCCTTCTGCTCGCTGTAGTGAGTGGACACGACTAGTTCATTGGGTTGTCTCACTTTCCCAGCCATAAGGAACCACTCCTTCCGTTATAGTCTTTGATACGATGGTTCAGATTGAGAACACCACCAATGCAGTGCCACCATCTTTAGGCATTACGGTCAATATATATTTTTATCATGTTCATAATAAGGATGGGTGGTGTGAATGTTTCCACCTGCCATTCAACAGCAACATTATGAGTCTTTAAAATTTGCAAGGCAGAACGATGGGTGGGTATAGGTGTTGAACGCCATTTTGTTTATTTTCATGGCTCAAGAGGGGTGATCGTTGCTTGCAGAGGGGACAGACAGAGGAGATGTATTCAGAGCAAAGCAACGATTGGCTGTTAGATGTCTTTATTACATGGATGCTAGTTTAGATCAGGGAGAGATGCAGCGCATAATGTGGTGGCAGCTGCTGGCATCCCCCAACCCCTTCCGGCTACCTTCCCTCGCACAATTTACAGGCTGCGGCACAGGAGCTGCAGGAAAAGCCAACTAGGGGGTTTCAGAAGGTCCATCGGTCATGCAGTTGGCTGTCACTGCTAAAGTTGTTGCTAGATGATGCCTCAGAGCCAGGTGTTTGTCGTGTCGAGTCCTCACCGTTTAAACTCTTTCTGCACACGGGACACGTATCATGCTATGGGAAAGAACGACAAAGGTTAGGGACCTTTGGAAAGAGACCTAAACCATATTTTATTTAAGAAATAAAAACAAAATAGCATGGTGCGTAAATTACTGCAGTACAATGTGAAAATATCAAAGTCATGTCACATTTTTAGTCTGTAACATACTGAAGGGTTTAAAGGTAAATTAAGAATGCAACCCAGCAAGGTAACAGCAGTGAATACATTTCTCAAATCATCTTACACTGGCCCAATTTTGCAACTTGGCTATCATCGCCCACTAAGGTGTAGAAACCCTGAAATATGTATTCGTGTCTCGTGAGAAAAAAAAAGGTGATGATTCAACATGGTGATAAATTTAAGGTCAGCCTCTGAGGCTGGTTGGGATTCAACTTGGTAACAATAAGATTGATATTCGACCATGGAGATAATAAATGGTTATGGTGTCATATGTTGTTTTTTGTATAAAGTTGATTCATTTACTGATTCCAGCACAATAAACACAATCAACAGACAAGACAAAGTATGGAACGGACAAAATCTGAAGGCGGAAGTGCTGTCCTTTTGTCAACCCCCTGGACTTTGCCAGTAAGGCACAGTAGTCTGTACGTTGTCTCATAAAATCATGACATGAAATTCCATCATAGTCAACATGAATATTTCATTTTTATAAAATACTAATAAAGTAATGAGAGGTGACCGGTCTGCTTTAATTAAAGCTATACTAATACCCCTCAGACTATAAGTCCAAAGGAATAAATTGATTTTTTTGCACATTGTATTTAATTCTTGGAATTTTCATTGTTGTCATAGTTGAATTGCACAGTATAATTAGAAGTCACTTTTGCAAACGGCAGGACATCCGTTAAGAAAAGAGCAATGGGACAAGCAATTCAATTAATTTTTTCTCCATATTATCTAAACATTGGAGAGGAATGGTGTGCACAATCATAAATTTGAATAACTTAAAAACGAATGAAAAAATGTAAAGGATGGACAAATAAATGGGGGGGAAAAAGTTTTAGCAAAGATTAGTCTTCAAAACACTCTTACCAATTCGAGCCAAGGCACAATGCAGTCTCCGTGGAAAAAATGGTTGCAGGGTAACTGTCTGACTTGTTCCTCTACAGCATAATCATCTTTACACACCGGGCACTCCAAGCCCATATCTGTGTGAAGAAGAATGGTTAGAGAAGACATGAAGATGGCTCGCAGAGAGTCAATCGGAACACATCACAGCGCACATTGCAAGACAACAGACTGAGATAAATATGATTGGAGTGCATTTATATTTCCTATTCACACTGATGTAAAGAACACCCTCATCTGTTACATAACTTTCATTGTGTTAAGGTGGTGTCAGCATAATAGACAGGGCAGTTATCAGCACGCACCAGAAATGAATCTATGCCACCAAATCACACCACCAATACAGCGGCATTTCGAACCACGGACATCATTACAGTGTGAGGTACACTCTTGGCTGGCTAAAACGGATAGTAGTTAGACCCACACTCACCCACTTGCTCCTGAGTTACAGTGACAGTCGGAAGCGACGAGATCTTGTCTTTATCTGCGGGAGGGGGGCCGGTGTTTTCGAGTTGACCCAAAAGCTAGAGAAGTAAAGTCACAGGTAAGTGGGTTATACAAGTTATTTTCCAAGGACTTCTATTTCTAAAGCAGTACATTGGATACATGGGAATTAGAATAGGAGAAACCTCTCAAATATACCAGTACAGGGGGGTGGGTTTGGGAAGATAGATACATATTACATGAGTCCTGTTACAGTCTTAAAGGGACAAAACAATAATGAAAAGGAAAAGGGGCTCTTTGTGGGGGGCGGGGATGATAAAAATCCAAACTAAACTCTACAACTACACTGGCAAAATGCCCAGCATACGTACATATAAAAAGATATACTTACCCAATTTACAGCTCCGCCTACTCAAACATACTACGTACGTACTTTAGCGCAGTGGATGTGCATGCAGCTCTCCACAATCACATTTTGTGTGAAGTATCTAACAATGTCTAGTGCACATCCACTACAGCGGACATGTTTGTTTTATACTAAAGGCAATAGTGAAAACAATGGTTTGATAACAATGTGGTTAGTGCAATGTATACATAGATATATGTATATAGATATTATCGCTATAAGATGGTGCCATGTATTTTTGCATGCCAAGCACAATGTAAAATGAAACTATCTTCATCACTGCCAAGCCAGGACTCCTGAACTGTACTGCGCACCTTCTACTGACTGTCTGGGAACACTTTGACAATCAGGGCAAGCTTGGTAAGAACGGAGCGACATTGGTCACTGCATTCCTAGAATTATGTAGTTGCTGTGATATTCCTCCAGCTTGCGTGTGATAAACTTGCTTCGATTGAACGGAGAAGAACCTGTAGGTAGTTTATTCTGTGCTGCCCTGTCCCTATATTGTCAGCCTAGACGTCTGGGCCAACAACTGATTGACAGGTGAGGGGCGGGCTCAATTTTTTAGATTTCAATAAAAATCTATACATTTGGTAGCAATTCTGCTAGCATAATGTACGGTTAAGATGGCATGGTCTGTCATTTAAAATGATGCAGTTTGTGCTATGACAGATACACTTTAAAAACAAACGGGTATTTGCTGAAATGTGAAACATAGTAATTCTGTCGTACCTGAGTGACTATTGAATCCAGGCCGCTCTGGCCCCAAGCATAATCTCCGGGGTTCGAATGTAACATCCCACTCCTTCAAGCAAGACAAAATCTCTTTTTAATAACAAGGCTGTTGCCCCTTTGCATGGACAGGATACAATAAACAGTACTGGTTAATTGACAGTTAGGTGAATGCTCTTCCTGGGACATCCCTTGTCCAGGTACCACTTTAAAAAAAAAAAAAAAAATCTAAATGGTACAAATGGTAAATTAATGACAAACACGATAAAAATTAGTGAGCAAGGCAAATGAGCTGCCAGTCACGAATATGCCATGTGCATTCTGACAGGTCACCTTTTAGCAACAGGATAATAACAAATGGGTTAAAGAAAAAAAAATATGAAAATGGAAATATCTGTTCCAGATATGCCAGACTGACCCCTAGTGGCCAAAAGAAAAAATGACAGTACGAATGAGAAATGAATTCCTTATGTCACGTTTATTTGAATGAATATATATATCAGTACTATCAGTATAAATGTGATGACAACACAACGTGTGAATACGGCAGCAGTTAAAAATTAGGACAGGGAGATAATCGCTCGTTTATTTCTTTGTATCCCATCAGGGCAGCAATGTAGCAAAAGCTATAAAAGCGGAGGTTCTCCCGTTAAGCAAAACAAGGGCTAGAAAGTTCTGGACCATTGCATGAAAGCAAGAACTTCTCAGAACCCGCTATAACACTTGGCTGGCTTTACAGGCATTTATCGAATTGTCCATTTCCACAAAAGCAAACCGTGTTAATAAATGCATAAAGATCACTAGCACAGGGTGACACGAGTCTATTCGCCACATGTCAATCTTCCAGCTGGTGTATGAGGCCGGTCATGGAAGATTACCTGTTGAGTTTCCATTACCTATAGACAACACTTCCCGCGAAGGCGATAAGGATCCCACACTCAGCGCACACACATTCAGGGCAGTCTGGGATTACAGAAGTCACAAACAACACACGCTGGAGACGTCATTCTCAGGCACCACACTGACAAGGCCCAAAACCAGAGATGGCCAAACAGCAAATATACTGCACCGACAACCAAAAATCCACACAGCATTTACACTGCACCCAAAATCTGTCGCAATTCACACAGCATAAAACGAACAAAATTGGTAAATGGTCCTTACCAAGAACATAACCTGTGAGCACAACCTGAAACTACTCACAGAGCACCTATACTGCACCCACAACCGGATAGTACTCACACAGCCCCTATACTGCACCCACAACCTGATACTACTCACACAGCCCCTATACTGCACCCACAACCTGATACTACTCACACAGCCCCTATACTGCACCCACAACCGGATACTACTCACACAGCCCCTATACTGCACCCACAACCTGATACTACTCACACAGCCCCTATACTGCACCCACAACCTGATACTACTCACACAGCCCCTACTACTCACACAGCCCCTATACTGCACCCACAACCTGATACTACTCACACAGCCCCTATACTGCACCCACAACCGGATACTACTCACACAGCCCCTATACTGCACCCACAACCTGATACTACTCACACAGCCCCTTATACTGCACCCACAACCTGATACTACTCACACAGCCCCTATACTGCACCCACAACCTGATACTACTCACACAGCCCCTATACTGCACCCACAACCTGATACTACTCACACAGCCCCTATACTGCACCCACAACCTGATACTACTCACATAGCACCTATACTGCACCCACAACCTAATACTACTCACACAGCATCTATGCGGCACCTACAACAACCAGACTATAAAAGGACAACACATATATTGCATCATCAACATGACAATGCCCACAAAGGACGACATTATATTAACAGTGCTCTCACTTTTTAACTACTTACCATGAAAAGGGATGTGGGGAACCTGGTAGAGGAGGGTTTGCAAATACTCCTGCAAAGATTTGCTGGATAATACTGTGAAAAAGAAAATTATGGAACAGGTTAGTGCTTTCATACAGTGCCCAGTCTTTACAGCACAGTGCGGATTGTACAGCCTAGGAGAATAAAACCCAAAGAGTAACAGGATAAGTGCAGGTTTAACAAATAAAGGTTAGGAAGACCACACTCACCCTTCAATAGCCGGAGATCGGTCAGGACGTGAACTAGCACGGGATCGGTACCTCGTCATGGGCTGCCTGGGTGGCCGACGGGTCACTCTCAGGTCTGTGTGAGCCTGGTGACCCCGCTCGTGGTCTCTGCCATCTTGGTCCAAAGAGCTGGTGTTTAGGAACTGTCGGAAGTCTGGAAAGAACATTGTGTGGTCTAGATGGTCCCAAAGCTGTGGAAGACAGAAGCCAAAATGAGTCAGTGGGCCTGTTAAACTCACCGCACATATCTCACAATGAGCACTAATACACACAGTTTGACTCACTTAGAACTGGAGGCTTTTCAGGTAAAACATGTAAGACCAAGGGCAGACTAGATTAGCCATTGGTTCCGATCACTCACATATACGTGTTTGTAGAAAACATTTTTGTGGTGTTGACAATGCTCTTAAAGTAGGAAACTGACAGCAATCTTGCTTTAAAATAGACTCTTGCAGAACATTCTATATAAAGCACTGATAAAGAATTCAAGCTTTAAAAGCAGAGGCTGTCAAGGAATACTAAACATGACTTGAAAGCAGATTAAAGTATCAAATGGTGCTTCTCACTCACAAGTCTGCCAGCCATGGGCATGGGATGCTTGTGTGCCAGTTCAGGTTTATTTTACCAGAATATAGATATTTAGTGTTTTTTTTACATCAAGTTTAGGCTGAAGAATGATTTATAGCAGGTGACAGGACAATCCAGGATCTGCTAATCTTGCTGTGCTTTCCGAAGCTTCATTGATGATCTGCTGCCCATGAAATTTGAATACTAGACGCCACCTACGAGAATCCTGTCCCCGAGTGTAAAGTAAGACTCTAACAAAGCATTTCTCCAGCTGTCACACACAGCAGGTTACCCTGGAATACGTGCAGGTCAGGCTGAACAAGGAGCTGTCTCTTCCAAAAAACCAGATGGTCTATCAGATCGTGAGGTGGGTGATGCACAACAGTAACTGATAGACATCTGCAATGTATCCGTATGTGCCATCTCGAGTTATAGATTAAGCCATAAATAAACTTCTCTATCGATATGCTGAAGGATTTTCCCCCCAAGAACTTTAACATTTGTAATTGTGAAATCATTAAAGGCAAACTGTCGCTTGCCTGAAAGTTACACCATTAAATAAAATATTGAAAATCACCCACATCTCTGCTGGCCAGGTGGGAAGGGAGGAGGAGGCAGGCAGAGGTGAGTTTAACTTACCTGACTGTCCCTCGCGGGCAATGCCATCCTCTTCTGCTCCTGTAGCTTTAGTGCGAGGAGCAAACATCACTACATGTGCAAGAATACAGCATTGAGGTCTATGGAGGATCATGGGAGACCGCGGGATACTCTATAGATAAAGCCAATATCACTGGCGACGGTTGACCCTTCTTGAGGTCAGTAGCTACGCCCATTGCCAAGCAGTGTTAGGTGTAGGAAATACACGGAGACAAAGAAGTCCATACTTTGTGTCAGTATATCTTCTGACTGGGTTGTAACTTCAGTGAAATTCCTGCACAGTCAGTATGAGTATTTTATGAAGATCATATGTTAAATATAAGGATAAGATAGCATGATATTAAAAAGCTCTACTTAAAAGCTTCCGTGCTCAATAAAAGTATCAACACAGCATCTTGCTGCATTCTGACAAATCTGTGAAATCCTGGGTATTATTATCCCCATCACAGTGCAAGCATTTCACTAACGTAGATCTAAGGGGTCAGGATTGCGTTCTGCCATAAAGCAGGCAATATGGTGTTGTTCATTGACATCACGATTGTCAACACTACACCGTCACACACTACATGAAATACTCAAAGGATGGCCTCAGTCTGATTGGTCAGATTACCAGATAGGTCATTCCTGCTCCTGAACCCATGATGGAGGACTTTGTAGCCAATTAGGTTGGGCATTTTGAAGGATGGCCATTCGCGTTTACAAAGAGTCAGCCACTTATGCATCAAACCACCTAGCAATCCATTGGGTACAGGAGCATGGCATGAGTACAGCATGTGACAACACCCAGCCACATTGACATACTGCAAGTCAAAAGGATGAAAACAGAAGTAGAAGAGGTCCTGCTTACAAACACATCATCCCTTCTACCTACTATAGAAATCTAGCGTTGATGAGATGGGGAGGAGGCTGTGAAGCTAATAGAAAAGGAAGGTATAGTCAAAGCATCCGCTAAAGGAAAGGATTAGCAGAACCGGTCTTAACATATCAGCACATAGGAACTGGCCTTTATAAGGACACCCCAAGCAACCACACATTTAAAATACACATCAAACTGGATATGTTCTTAATGTTTATTTAATAATGAGTTCCAAGCAGCCACACAGTGCAAACATCAGGACCTTTTTTGATTTCATGTTTTAATTGATTGCCCTTCAAAACTTGATATCTGGGGAAGACAAAGTTTAGAGGACTGCGTGCAGCACACTGCGGTGTGCGGCCATAAAAAGTGCCACTCTGGAAATCTCTATAAACCATAATCTACATACACAGAGTAAAAAAATAAATAAAAAAATTCTTTGACACTTAAAATAGCCATGAGTGGGATGGGATAAATCTAGCTGAAAAGAGAACAAAATCACATGGGTTTAGAGGGTGTCAATGCGTCCAAAGATATAGGTGGGGAGGGGAGGGAGTGTTAAACTAAAGGTAGTGGTGGGAGGATAATGAAAAATCAGACAGATTATTAAACACATTGGGAGCTTATATAAAATCGAGACTTCGGGACAGCAATGATCTGGAACATTGAACTGGTTTCCACGGTGACAGAACCACTTTGAAAACACTGACCTAGAAACACTCTCTATATTGTACCACAAAACACAGTTAATTGACACAGACACTGAAAATTGGGATAAAGCAGGGAGAAGCACAGGGGGTACGTGGGAGCATAACAGAAAAAAATATAGATTACAAATGAGATTGCTGCAATAAAGCAGTGCGCACACACAACGAAAAACAAAACAAGAAAAATGACTCACGTCTGCAAAGTGCGTTGACCCATTGTCGTCTAACGAGCTCGCTCCAGAATCTAGAAAACTAAACAATTTACAACGAGTTACACAGGTAACGCTCCACCCAGGGAAAAGGTCAGACTGTAAACATCACTTCGGAGAGACGTGTGAAGGGTTAACAAGACACAGTCCAGGAAGGACAACATAGTTTGCGTGAGTAAAGGGCAGAACGCGGTTTATTTACTGAACAGCGAATTGTTATGCCCTGGAAAGTGAGCTGCACCATTTAGGCCAAAGTAGCTGCTTTGGGAAAAAAATCTGCAATTCTATTCTAGTCACAGCTTGATTATTGCAGTCTGGTTTTCGGGTCCCTCCTATGCAGTCTTCAGTAAATAAACCCCACGGAGCAAGAATTCCCTGTCTTAGATTAACTTGCCCAGTACAGCTTTATTGACATATACCAGGTTGCAAACTTGCACTTCAGCCCTCGGCAATTGTGCTATCACAGTTTACTGTCTTTTCTAAGTGCGTGTGTTATGAACGTTTTTTTGCTTGGCTTTGTAAACAAGCACACAAAAACTAATTAAACGCTGGCAAGTTGTTTGAGAATGCAGACCTGCGAACCTAGCAGCCACATTCCCAGGGTGCGTTATAAGTCTGATCACAGGTTTACCTTGGAGCTATATAATGTGTACAGTCACCAGTTAGGAACTAAAGGTCAGACCAGAAGATCTGTTCGTTTGTTAGCAATTTTCCTTGTCTCAAATGGACCTTGACTTATACTATCAGCGTAACAGCAACCTACTGTGCCTGCCAAAATAGACTTCGGCAGGACTAGGACAAATATTCTTCAGGATTCGGAAAGGCCAGCAGATGATCCCTCAAGCTATGTGCATTATCAGGAATAAATGTTCTAGGGCAGTCTGGACCAAAAGCTATACATTTACTAAAATGTATACATTCACATCAGGTGGCTGCGTCTTTTTGAAAAATTAAATTTGTATTGGTCACTGTACATAGAATGAACACAAATTCGGGCTATACAAGCATCAACAGTGAAACCATTTTTCATACATTACATTTGAGATAAGGCAGCCACACATGGCTAAGTCAGCATATTACGGAAAGGTAAACAAGGACGCCAAGGTCACCAAGCAAATGACATATCACATTGTACAAATTAAACGCTCTTACAGAACCTAAAATGGTACCATGTTCAAATTATACCATTCACTTAAGGGGTGGCTGCGTCTTTTACACTGGGCCTTATTCGACAAAAAAAAGAAAAAAAACATTTAAAACTTTTTTTTTAAATGCTGAAAAAATAAAAACTGAAAATGAAAATGGTTGATCTAGTTAAATTTAGATGCTCAGCAACAGCATTCCTCTCCCAAGTCAGGACGAAGGTGGGCAAATTAAGGAGGGGCATGTCACTGCAACTGTTGGCATCCATGGTGAAGCCCAAAATTGTGAACACACAATGAAACAAGCTTACAGATTTTTCATTGTGAAAGTCACTGCTAATCATCCCCTTGTGGGCACACTGTTGTAGTTATAGTGTGATTAAGGAATGACTATTTCACTAGAGGGGAACTGGTACTGTACGGATATTAACCTGGGTGTGCGTACGGATATTAACCTGGGTGTGCAGGACTTGCTGATCAATTATGACACTGTGGGGATTGGACTGAGGGCATGCTAAGTTTTTTTTTCTACTGTAATATAGATTTGGATCGTACCTGCATTTCCTTTTCACAGGTTTTTTTTTTTTTTTAATACCTCCCAAGTGTCCTTATTTAGGAGGGACAGTTCCTAATTTTGGCCCAAATCCCTTTGTCCCTCTTTTCTAGGTGTATAACAGAGCTCCACAGCAATAATACTCCCAGTAATGTGTCTGAGTGGATAACAGAGCTCCACAGCAATAATACTCCCAGTAATGTGTCTGAGTGTATAACAGAGCCCCACAGCAATAATACTCCCAGTAATGTGTCTGAGTGTATAACAGAGCTCCACAGCAATAATACTCCCAGTAATGTGTCTGAGTGTATAACAGAGCTCCACAGCAATAATACTCCCAGTAATGTGTCTGAGTGTATAACAGAGCTCCACAGCAATAATACTCCCAGTAATGTGTCTGAGTGTATAACAGAGCTCCACAGCAATAATACTCCCAGTAATGTGTCTGAGTGTATAACAGAGCTCCACAGCAATAATACTCCCAGTAATGTGTCTGAGTGTATAACAGAGCTCCACAGCAATAATACTCCCAGTAATGTGTCTGAGTGTATAACAGAGCTCCACAGCAATAATACTCCCAGTAATGTGTCTGAGTGTATAACAGAGCTCCACAGCAATAATACTCCCAGTAATGTGTCTGAGTGTATAACAGAGCTCCACAGCAATAATACTCCCAGTAATGTGTCTGAGTGTATAACAGAGCTCCACAGCAATAATACTCCCAGTAATGTGTGAGTGTATAACAGAGCTCCACAGCAATAATACTCCCAGTAATGTGTCTGAGTGTATAACAGAGCCCACAGCAATAATACTCCCAGTAATGTGTCTGAGTGTATAACAGAGCTCCACAGCAATAATACTCCCAGTAATGTGTCTGAGTGTATAACAGAGCTCCACAGCAATAATACTCCCAGTAATGTGTCTGAGTGTATAACAGAGCTCCACAGCAATAATACTCCCAGTAATGTGTCTGAGTGTATAACAGAGCTCCACAGCAATAATACTCCCAGTAATGTGTCTGAGTGTATAACAGAGCTCCATAGCAAGACTACTCTCAGTAATGTGTTTTTAAACTACAAAAAAAATTGTGTTTAGAAATCAAACATACAAATTTAAGCCCTGCACTCAAACTCCCACTACTCATAGAAAGCAGCAATGACTATAATACACATCAGCCCCATACACAATAAAAAATACAAAGGAAAAGTTACTTGCGCACTATCCCAAATCCCTATGCACATTCAGCTCAAAGAAGTGGTCTGGGTGCCAGATCCCCAGGTTTTAACCCTTCAGATGTAAACATAGCAGTTTCAGTTTTCTGGGTTAATCCAGCCTCTAGTGGCGGTCTTCCCGACAGCTGCTAGAGGCACTTCTGCGACACTGAATGCGAAAATTGATTGAGCACGTAAAACGTCCATAGGAAAGCATTGAGAAATGCTTTCCTATGGGCGTTTTTAATGCGCGCGCGCGGCTCTGGCTGCGCATGCACATTCGGCTCCACTCAGGATCTGACGTCAGAGGGGGAGGAGAGGTAAGTGGCTGAAGGGGTTTTAAAAAATCAATCTGTGTAAATAAAAAACAATCCTGTTCTTGATTACATTTTAAATACACAGATTGCTATTAGCGATTCAACAAAAACTTATCAGAACAGCCTCGCCCCCGTCACACCCCTACAAATTAAAGTGCCCATCTCTGTTTATGTGGAATGTTGGGAGGTTTGCTTTAGAGCAGGGGTTCCCAACCCAGTCCTCAAGTACCCCCTTACAGTCCAAGATTTAGGGATTACCCTGTTGTGTTGAAGGTGTTTTTATAAAAGAAAAAAAGAAAAAGAAAAAACAACACTTTAGACACAACAGGGTAAACCCTAAATCTTGGACTGATCGGGATGAACTGGGTTGGGAACCCCGGTTTAAGAACATTATTCTTACACTGGTAGAGGAGATTGTGCAGATAAAAACTAAACACACTTAGGAGACTTGACTAACTGATCCAACACTGCACTGGGGGGGAACTGGACTGATCCAACACTGCACAGGGGGTAGGGGGGTTGGACAGATCTGACACTACACTGGGGGAGGCATTGGACTGACTGGGGATTGGACAGATCAGACACTGCACTGGGAGGCATTGGACTGATCCGACACTGCACTGGGGGGAACTGGATTGATGAACACTGCACAGGGGTAGGGGTTGGACAGATCTGACACTACACTGGGAGGCATTGGACTGATCCACGACACTACACTGAGAGACTGGATTGATCTAACACTGCACAGGGGGTAGGGGGTTGGACAGATCTGACACTACACTGGGGGAGAGCTGGACTGATCCGACACTGCACTGGGGGGAGAAATTGGACTGATCTGACAATGCACTGGGGGGAACTGGACTGATCTAACACTGCACAGGGGAGGTGGGGGGTTGGACAGATCTGACACTACACTGGGAGGCATTGGACTGATCCGACACTGCACTGGGGGAGGGTGGACTGATCTGACAATGCACTGGGGGAACTGGACTGATCTAACACTGGGGGTAGGGGGGTTGGACAGATCTGACACTACAGGGGGTAGGGGGGTTGGACAGATCTGACACTACACTGGGAGAGGCATTGGACTGATCCTGCACTGGCGGGGGATTGGTTTGATATGACACTGCTCTGGGGGAGGGGGGGGAATTGGACCGATCAGACACTGCACTGGGAGGGGGATTGGACTGATCCGATACTGCACTGGGAGGGGGATTGGACTGATCCGACACTGCACTGGGAGGGAGGGATTGGACTGATCCGACACTGCACTGGGAGGGAGGGATTGGACTGATCCGACACTGCACTGGGAGGGAGGGATTGGACTGATCCGACACTGCACTGGGAGGGAGGGATTGGACTGATCCGACACTGCACTGGGAGGGAGGGGTTGGACTGATCCGACACTGAGGGGGATTGGACTAATCCGACACTGCAACGGGAGGGAGGGATTGGACTAATCCGACTGACTGGGGGTAGGGGGATTGGACTGATCCGACACTGTACTGGGGGGAGGGGTAATTGGACTGATCCGACACTGTACTGGGGGGAGGGGTAATTGGACTGATCCGACACTGCACTGGGTGGGATTGGACTGATCCGACACTGCACTGGGGGGGATTGGACTCATCCGACACTGCACTGGGGGGGATTGGACTCATCCGACACTGCACTGGGGGGGATTGGACTCATCCGACACTGCACTGGGGGGGATTGGACTCATCCGACACTGCACTGGGGGGGATTGGACTCATCCGACACTGCACTGGGGGGTGCGAGAGGGACTGGACTGACTGAATATCACACTGGGAGATGGACTAATCAATATAACACTGGAGAGACTGGACTGCATGGATATTACTGGAGAAATCTAAAATAGATATATATTACATTGGGCGACTGGAGTGATTGAATATTGCACTACAAAGATTGGACTGATCATAAATTATACTGGAGGCATTAAGGGTTAACAATTACATGGGGGTGGAAAAGAGACTGCCAACCACAGAGTTATGGTTATATATGTTGGCTTACCTGGAGTCCTCTGTCACCTCTTCAATGAAACCAGAGTCACACCTTGGGCAAATGTACTCCTAAAACAAAAAATGGAGCCACGTTAGCGAGAATGCTGAACACAATTATTGGATACAGAAATAATACCACAGCAGATTACTGTAATAAACAATAGGATTGCTAAAGGCAGATTAAGCCGTGGCGCAGAAAATGCAGTGTATACACGGAGCAGATCCCAGCAGAGAGAGAGATCTGTTTCGATGATCCGAAAGTAAAGGAAGTGAACTTATAAGAAAACAAGAGTCTGAGGAAGGAGAGGTCAGAGCAGATTGAAAACAAACAGACGTTAGGGAAGAAGCAGAGACAACACCCTTTAACCCTCTGAAAGCTGTCCCCTGGTTAAAGGGTTAATAGATCAAATCACAAAAAGACGAGCAGCCAAGCTCTTACCGAGGCGGTTTCACAAACAGGCCAGTTTCTGGTGTTTGACAACACTATCCCAGGAAGGCTCTTACTGCAAAAACCTATTATCAACACATTTAAAGACTTTCAGGAAATTGGAGAAACACGAGTGCTCCACCCACAATAAACTCCTACCTGGAATAACACAGGGCACGTAACACCCCACCGCTTAAACTGTGCGTGGAATTAACCCCATCACTGCCGGGTGACCACAGAGTCCATTTATATAGCGTCAACATATACCACAGCGCTTTACAATGATAAAATGGGGATATTTGACAACAAGTAAGAGGTGAAAAAGGATCTGCTCAAACGAGCTTCCAGTCTATTAACATAACATTAACTCCATCACTGCTAGATGAATATCTGGGTATAGCATTAACCTAATCACTGCTGGGTCGATAATCACCAAGTGCTTACCATCACTATCCCAAGCACTGAAGGGTGCTCAGTGCATGTTATTAACCCCATCACCACTGGATAGCTAATCAACACGCCATTAACCCAGTCAATGCTGGATACGTCACCAGTGCGTTTAATTAACCCCATAACTGCTGGTTTGGCTAATCAGGGCATGGCATTACGTGATTGATCAAAACACAACTGTGACAAGTCATGGATGACTGGTGGCTTGCTGTATACTTTTTCAGTGTGTAACCTTCCTGGATGAATAATCTAAAGATATTCCCCATACTATTTACATGACAGTAAATAAACTATGGCCTCTCACGGTGTATATGTTAGATTTGCTTTGTGTACCCAATGTAGAGAGCTACAGAACCAACAGTAACTATAACAACAGAATCTCACAGTATCGCTCTATGGGAGAGACTGGCCAAAGCCAGCTTTTCCCTTTGAGTGCCGGGGCGGGGAAGTTTTGGTTTTTCTCCCTCACAGGAGGCCAGACAAGTTATAAGCTTTTTCCTTTTGCTTTTTCAAAGTTGTTTTCTTAAAAACTATTTATTTACGGCTTACTTACATAAACCCATACATTGTTTTGGGGTATAGATGGAGCTCTCTGTAGCAGATTTAGTATAAAAAGAAGAAGAAAACAAACAAAAAGAAGGCGGTAAGGGCTGTGGCGGAACCAGCCTCGCCACTGGGCATTGAAGAAGACTGATTGCCAGCCTCCTGCCCTGTGACTATGGCCCCATGTTTAAAGGATGGATTTTCCCCTGCAAAGACCTGAAAGCCGTGTCATTCGGTACTTTCCCTATGTGAGCAGTGTTACCCCAGATAGCTATCCCATGGAGCCCATTCGTATAACGAAAGACTATGTGAAAGACTTTGACTCCATGGCAATTGAACTGTATGTGTGTGGTCTGAGCGCCATTCAGTAATTATGTGCGTTCAGATCTAAGCTATCTGGGGATATGTGAATGTACCTGTTTTATGCAATAGCTGCACAATTATATATTTATATGTATTTTATTGTCTTTTGCTACCATGTGTTCAATGGAGTTTTCCCTCTGTCCTTGGAGATAATTGGATCACTTCCCAATTATCTCCAGGATAGAAGACTCCGTGGAACTGGTTTTGGGCAGAAAAGCCATGCTTCATTTGGTCACAAAGGACGTCGATCTAACTTTTGACCCACTGGACCAATTTGTATGATTTGATGTATGTTGGTATTTGGAGTGTGCTCATTCTAAAAGTTTATGTGAATGTGATGCATACTTTTAAAGTTATGAATATTGTGTAAAACTGTATTTTCCTGCCTGTGATAATTATATTAACCCATTGTGTAAGGTAATTGTATCACAGGCAGAGGGGAGGATTTTGTGTGGGAGTGTCTGTGTGTATTGTACGTATTGATTGGTTGTTCTGCAAAACCCTGTGGGCGGTACTATGTTTGTTAAATGGGCATAAAAGCAGAGTGTTGGTTTAAAAGCTTCAGTTCTACTTCACCCTCAATCTGAGTCCTGTCTCTTATTGGGGGAATCTGCTACAAGGGATTGCTATGCTTGTCATACTCCCTTGCTAAATCACTACTAAGCTCTTGTAATAGCTTGTTCCTGCCTTGCTCTCAGGAGGAGTCTACGGTGGTTATGGTGTCTGCTGGAGTGCTTTGAGCCCTCAGGAAGCGCTAGGAGCATCCTTCAACAGAGGTATCCAGTCGTATCCAGTCGGGGTGCCAGGTGATCCGTTACAAGGGCTACTAATATATTTAGAAAATATTTTATTTTCTGGTTTTGCCCATTATAATAAAGCAACAGGTACAGTTAAATGCAAGCCCTTACAAAACGAACCATAGGGTTAGCTAACCCTAACACTAGAGTTATAGAAATGTATGGGGTGGGAGTAAGCAGGGTCTGAAGTTATAATGCGTGGGTTGTGTCCCCAAAGCTGGTAGTGGGTACCAGCAATAACCAGTGACACCGATAACACAGAGTAGGGTTAGAGCACGGTCATCTCCAGCCAGGGCAGTGATGGGGAGCCTGTCTCTGGTTGTATTTGGACCCCGCATTGACACGGACAGTAATGATTACTCTCCGATGAGGAGATGCTGCAGCCAACTGAAATAATCGCAGGGCAATTTTTCTGCTAGAAAACCTGATGGCGGTGTGGGGGGAGCACACAGCGTGTCCTTTACAGGATTGGCTTATAAAGCCCACTGTTTTCCCATTTAAACACACAATGTAAACATGGAAAAGGCTATAAAAACAGCAGGTTCTCTACTTAGAAAATTACATGATTTCATTCACACAAACAAAATCTGAAATGACGTTTCCCAGATGAATAGACATCACAGGGCCAGAAAAGAAGTGCTCCCAGTAGTATGTAACTAACCTGCCAAGCTAAACATTCCTAGAATGGTATCGTGCCCGACAGTACACACAGGGCATACACTCTAAGGCCCTCTGAAATGCTGGGAGGGAAGCAGAAATCCATACACAGAGGGATTCCTCTCACAAAAATAGAAAGAAAAGCATTGGTCAATGTAATAAAGTAACAAAATAAACAAACAAACAAAAAACAAATAAAAACAACCAAGAACACTACTATATAATGGCAAATCTGAAACAACATCAGTACAGTTAGCTGGAAGTGATATGTTACATTGCTGAAGGAGTCTAGAAAGGAGTCGTGTACACATTGTAGTAAATGAAACACGTTTAAAGAATGCAGGTTGTAGTGGTTATGGTGCTTGGAGTGCTCCTGTCCCCCCACAAGCCTGTCAGGTAGACAGCCACTAGAGGTGGAATTAACCTATTAATTACATTTCCAGGGTTAAAGGACCTGGGAATATGCACCCAGACCACTTCAATGAGCTAAAGTGGTCTGGGTGCCTATGGTGTCCCTTTAATATGCCTTCATCTAGCTATGTTGTCCAGAGAATCCACTCTTAAGGTCAGGCCATTGCAGAGGGTATGTAGATTAGCCATTAAAGTATCAGAAATGATTTGCTGCTGGCAATAATCCAAAATGTCCTCCTCTATTGCTTAAAGGCAACCAAGTCAAGGCACTGATCGCACCAAAGAACTGCTAAGTCTGCAGCGGATAAGCTGCAAATGTCCTTTAAGAATTGGATTTTTTTCCTCTCATGGCTGAGTAGCCAGGGTGGCCCCCATGGACTTTACATATAGCCTAGTGGATGGCAGGATGTTCAAGACTCCATCTTCCAAGGTAGAGGATGATGTACGTTTGAGGCCTTTGAGGTTGAGATAGGAAGGCAGTAATGATCATTGATTTATTCGTGGAGCTATGTTTTCCACCTATGACAGAGTGAGAAATTTGTCTCTGCAGAACCAACAGGGAATATGTGTATCTGGGTGGAAATCTCATTCCATGGATGTAAACATAAAATGGTGGCCATGTGCGTGTGAAGCCAAGGAGTCAATTATAACTGCCTGAGGAGTGGGTGCTGCTAGGAGGATGCGATTGGCAACAGAATCCCTAAATCCCATCTTCTACCAGAGGATCAGTTTGTGGAAAGTCCTTCCCAAGAGTTTAGGATGGAAAATCTCTGCCATCTCAGGCACATCAGTCATAGGTCTGGCCTGAGAAGTAGGCCTGAAGAGCAGAGAAGCTGGTGGACACACCAATGCCGCATGGAAGAGATACCAGTAGTAGAGCTGGCTTGATACTTTGTCTAAATAAGTGTGAGACAAAGGCTGTATGGTCCCTAATAAAGTTTAATTATAGCAAATTGCATTTCTCAATGAGGGGGCTGTGGATCCAGAGATTGGGATTTAAATGGACACTCCAGCCACTAGAGGGCACTTCCTGGTCCATAGCACAGAAAACCTGTGCTAGAGCGTCGCTGGACGTCCTCACTCTGTGTGAGAACCTCCAACGTCGCTCAATTCCCCATAGGAAAGCTTTTTCAATGCTTTCCTATGGGGAGCTCTAATGCGCATGTGCGGCATTGCCGCGCATAAGGTCTCCCCGGCCGGTGGGCGGGATCAGTCTCGCCCACCGGCCGACGCAGAGGAGAAACGGCAGCGGAGGAAGAAGAAGCGACGTGGGACATGTCGCTGCCTCTGGTAAGTGACTGAAGGGATTTTTACCCCTTCAGCAACCGGGGATTCGGGGGTGGGAGGGAGAGGTGACCTGCAGTGCTTTTCCTGGCACTGGAGTTTCCCTTTAAACATGTACTCTGGTATTCTAGTGAAGGTGGGTAAACCGTTACGTGATTGTTCGAATAAAAAGAAAAACAAAACAAAAGGGAAAACATTTATCTAAACAGTGCCTCACTGAAACACTATATAAAAAAAAAAAAAAAAATTATATATATATATATATATATATATATATATATATATATATACTAATGATTTATGGGTACTCTACTAAAATTAGCGTTATATTTCTAGGAATAAATGGAAGACAATAAATGATCCGTGTGTCTGTCTCTTTAACTAACCCATTACATAAGCACTGCTCTACGGTTAAAAAAACTAAACAAAAAGAAAGTTAAGATATTGTAAGCAGCTAACCAGGAAGGGAAGGCCATATGCAAACTGGGTGAGAACGTGGAGATTTTTACATCAACTGGAGTACTAAGGTCACTGTATAACCACAAAACCAATCCTGACCTATACATTCCTTTATTAAAAATAATCTGTCATGGTCTTATTTAGTTTAAATGGGTTTTGGACAATCTAATGAAATGATTAGCATTTCTCTAGGCCCCCTTTTATGTTTTATTTTATGATCAAGTCATGCAGTGGTGTTACATTAGATCACCAATGACAAGGGGGAGCAAGAATAGGAACACATGCCCACTATTTAGGACATTTAGGATGATGTGAGGGAAAGGGGGAAAACACCAATCGGTGCCCTTTCCTTGTACTAAGAAGCAGTCCCAAATGTTATATTTTAGCTGTGGGATTTAGGTAGATGGGTTTTTTCGCCCACAGATCACGGCATTAATCTTCCCCCTGCTCGATGGGGCCTCACTTAGGGCTGGTGGCAGTATGAGTTGGACTGATGTGATGTTTTGCTTTGGGGAGGTTTTTCAAAGCATTTCCAGGTGTATCACAGGGAGCAGCTGTCTGGCTTAGTACTAAGCCCAGACCAGGAGTATTGTGATGTTTAGGTGATGGAGGAGAACAGGGATCGTGATTTAGAAGAGGACGTTTGTAGAACAAAATACAAGGTAATAGATGGAGCGTAAGAGCAGTCTATAAAAAGGCAGACTAAAAACGTAGCACAGAACATAAGAGATCAATGTGAGAAGTCTCGACTCCACCTCACAGCCAATCACTGCCGTCTTCTTATCTCTATAGTACCTTAAAGCCATGCTAAGGAGGAAAAGGGAAGATGGTAAGAGGACAGTGATTGGTTGTGGGGCAGAGTCATGTCAGCAGCTCACTCAACTCTCATTTGCTGAGCACATCTAGTAAGAAAGTTACTTTGTGAAATAGGGGAAGTAGCTTACCGGACAGAGTTAAACGAGGGGTGGGGGTGGGGCTAGGATACATCACAAAAAGAAGACTAAAATCCATCAAATACACTTAAAGCAACTCGGTCACCAATGATAATAAAATAAATATTGAGCCATGCTCATAAAGACTGTTTGAACTTCACTGAAATTCCAATGCAGTCAAAACACATCACATGACAAAGTATGGACTCCTTTATCTTACGGTACATGGTCAAGATGACAAAACATGACAAAAGGTGGAGCTACTGCTGTCATGTTTGGTCATTACCCACAGCCATCGCTAGCGTAAGGCATTATCACAGTTATCATGAGATAATAGCTTTGGAGTCACTTTTAGTCTTGTGTGATCCTATGTAGACACTGAAGTTATATTCTCCACAGACGTGCGTGAGAGTCCAGCACTGATGTGGACTTCTGCTGGGTGAAGTGCCAGAAGTTGAAGAAAGAAGATGGTGGTGCCCATAAGTGAAGGCATCAAGTATAACTCAATATAGCTGCACACCTGAGCCACCGCACCCCAAGTGCGAGGTCACCATCGTAGGTCTTTGAAAAACATGTAAAGACCGCAGAAGGTGACAGAGCCACTTTAGGGTGAGTTAGTGTCTTGTATTGTCCTTTTTAATGGTTATGTTTCCGGTTGTGCATGTAAACATGATAAGTATGGAGGCCATGTTTGTTTTCACATGTCTACATTTGAAATGAGAAGGTGGCTCGCTCTGTTGCAAGTGTGTATTTCCAGAATTGGACCATAAAGTAGGATAAGAGGAGGAAAATCCTAGACAGATTCCAGACTCTGTAATTGGACCTAGAAGGGAGTTATTACCTGTATCATCAGGGGGTTTACAACATGGCTGCGTTTAGAGTTGAAAAGAAGACTAGTGTGTGGTTTGTCCTAGTATGTTGTGCAGCTCAGGATAGCCTCATAACTATACAGCTTAACCCCTTAAGGACATGTGACATGTGTGACATGTCAAGATTCCCTTTTATTCCAGAAGTTTGGTCCTTAAGAGGTTAAAGCTAGCTGATGGAACAATGGGACACATATTGGATATTAGCCAATCACAGACAATACAAACAACACACTCCCAACAGTGACATCACAATCCCTCCTCTCTATCCTGGAGATAATTGGGAAGTAATCAATCAAATTATCTCCCAGTGCGGAGGTAAGACTCCATTAAGCACTTGGTTACAAAAAGACATAAAATTACACAATGCTACAATTACTACATAAAACATATACATGCAACATATCCCCAGATAGCTTAGATCTGAGCGCACATTATTACGAACTGGCGCTCAGATCACCTACATACAGTTCAATCGCCATGGAGCCAAAGTCTTTTCCATAGTCTTTTGTTACACGAATAGGCTCCATGGCATAGCTATCTGGGGTAGCACTACTCACATACTGAAAGTCCCGAACGCCCCTGGCAGAAATACACAAAACTTTCTGCAAGGGAAAATACAGCTATCAGCACAGGGGCCATAGTCGGAAGGCAGGAGGCTAGCCAGTAGTCCCCTCCAGGCACAAGTGGCGAAGGGCACTTCGTCACAGAGCTGTCATCTCCCTGACATGCCCCCCAATGATGCGGGGAGCCAAAATAGGACGTCACTCTGGCCCCCATCACTAAACAGCGTGCTAGGGAGCAGAGCAGGAAGATTACAGCAGCCCCACTGTACCCCACGGAAAGCATCCACTCCAGCAATCCCAAAGGTAAAGAGGCTGGGTGGACAAATTTAAAATAGAACAAATAATTTGTGAGTGAGTGTTGCAGTATTAGTGTGTGTGTGTGACAAATCAGTGAGTGTGCATGTGTCAGTATGTATCTTTAGATGACCTGCCCCCACTCCAATCACATGGGAAAGGTGTTTTTACTCACTTTTTTTTCCCCACGCCGTGCTGGTGATGCCACGGCTGGTCCCACCTACATGGCAGAGATCATAAATCTTGACGATCTCAGCCAATCTGATGCTTCCCCATTTGTAAGCATTGGGAGACTATTGCGCATGTGCTAGAAAATGCCACATTGCACCAATCAACTTCTCCTTCTAGAGAGGCATTAAATCAATGCATCCTAATGGGGAGCTTTAATGTAGGTGCTTCACTTCTAGTGGCGGTTTGAGTGACTGTCACTAGAGGTGTTGCTAGACAGCATTGTAAACACTGTCTTTACGTTGAAAAGCATGAAGGGACAGGATATAGACTTCAGATCAAATCCATTAAGCTGTTCTGGTGACTACAGTATCCCTTTAAGAATTGTATTTTTGACATTGAAAAACCTGGCTCCTAACTTTTTTAGCTGGCTCCTAGATTTCAAGCAAATATGTCAAGCCCTGCCTTGCATACAGGAAAAAAGAAAACCCATAAAGTGAAGGTCCAAAAGCCGTATTATCGGGCCTTAGAGTGGCCGGATTTCCAAGAAAGTATCAAAGTTAGGAGTAGCCAAGGTCAGGAAAACAGAGATACGGATACACAAAAACAAGCCAGGTCAAGATAATAGAAATGAGCAGGTCAATATACAAACTGGGACAGGATATCAGAGGTTAACAGAGTCAAAACAGGTCAAGAACAGGATATCACAAGAAAGTCGCAGGAGCACTAAACGTGTTACTAAACAAAAAACATGATATGGCAATGAGTAAGGGCCTGAATATGCTTTAAATAGGTTCACATGTGTTTTTATTGGTCCACATAATATCTACGACTGCAAACAGCATGGGGTCGCCTAGATCAGGGATAGGCAATCTTCAGTACTCCAGATGTTGTGGACTACATCCCCCATAATGCTCCTACACCAATAATACTGGCAAAGCATCATGGAAGGTGTAGTCCAAAACATCTGGAGTGCCTAAGGTTGCCTAGATGATGCGGTCCCTTTAAGGGAGTGACGGCATTTTATTTCTAAACTTATTTAAGGGCCTGTAATTTGGCATGAGAACCAGCAGAGGGAGCAGTTTGCAGGACCAAAGAGTATTATTATTATTTATAAATGCCAACAAATTCCGTAGCGCTGTACAACGGGTGGACTAACAGACACGTATTTGTAACCAGATAAATTTGACGCACAGGAACAGAGGGGTTGAGGGCCCGGCTCAATGAGTTTACATGCTAGAGGGAGTGGGGTATAGTGACACAAAAGGGTAAGGGTAGGAGGGTAGGGTAGAAAAGTAGGTTGCTACGATAGTATTCTTCCTATTCCGGTGCGTTCTGCTCATGCGGCCCAACAAGGAAGCAGCGCGGGCTCCAGGTAAGTCTGTGACACTATAGAACTGTCCTCAATCAAGTCAAAAATCCATTTCCAAATTGGTCTAGCAGAACCACCAAATGTACGGCTTGTAATTATATAATATATATGAGCAACTATGTTGGCTTTAGAACAATGAGTTATTGTTGGGTATCCTAGTCCTCCCTTTTTAATTTCCTTGAAATGCATTTACAATTAATTCTTGGATTTTTGCCTCACCAGACAAATGATGTAAAACTAGGTTGAACCAATTCCAGCCAAGCTATCATAACTACTAAAGGCAGCATTTCAAAGAGATAATTTCACTTAGGAATAACATAAGATTTCACCAAAATTGATTCTTTCCCACAATGAGATGTCCCACGTTCTCCACTCCTTCAACTGCCCATTTGTATGTTTCAACAGATTCATGAAACGGATTTCTATCAATCTCCTAATATCCCAAGTAATTGTTAATCCTAAATATTGAACATTCTTAGATGTCCAGTTATATCCAAATTCTCTCTTTATTTTATTAATAGTTATAGAGTCGATATTTAATTGTACAATAGATTTAACATTCATTCTATAGTTTGAGATTATACCGTATTTTTCTATTTCCTGCAAAAGGTTGTTTAGAGAATACATAGGATCTAAAATAGACATTAGAATATCATGCACAGAGACGTAATTTGGCTGTTCCCCTAGCCGCTGGATACCCTTTAATACATTGTCGCTAACATTTATGGCAAAACGCTCAATGGACTAACCATAAAGGAGTTGGAACAGAGGAGCTCCAACTGGAGAGTGGAACCAAACAGTATATAAATCAGGATCCACTGTTCTGGCAGAAAGACCTCTGTATAAGGTCATTAAGGCACCATGGATCTGTCCATCTAACCAACACCATAACCAGATATTCCCAGCTGACCCTGTCAAATGCATAACCAGCATTTAATATCAGGGTCAGGATAGTAGAGTTTCCTCATAAGTGCTGCTGTCTTTGGCTCAGTAAATGTGTAAAGCTTGTACTTGTCAGAGGATGTAAATGGAACAATCATTTTATAGATAACAATTCTATAGACAAATTGCACCTTACATTGTCCGGAAGATGGACAATGCCATTTCCAATGAAATTAGTAAACCGCAAACTACCTGTGTAGCCTTGACACAACACCCAGTAAACTTAGTCTTACAAAATGAGGTGTAGATGGAAGGAAGTGCAAGCCAACATTGGGGACAGACACAAGTGAGTGGATACATTTAAGGATTTTAAAGGGACACTATAGGCACCCAGACCACTTCAACTCATTGAATTGGTCTGAATGCAGTGTCCCTGTTCCATGTAATCTTGCAATGTAAATCATTGTAGTACTAAAACAGCCTCTAGTGGCTGTTTACCAGAGAGCAACTAGAGGCGCTTCTGGGAGTTTACCGGACTTTATATCGCCTAAATGCCGCTGCTCTGCTCTGCATGAGGACGTCCAGCATCATTGAAATCCCCATAGGAAAACATGTGGGGGGCCTAATGAGCTTGCCACGGGTCCCCCTGTCAGATGATGATGGAGGATGTAGGAGGAGGCGGAGTGCCGATCCAGCGCCAAGGGACATCTGTGCTGGAATCGGATTAGTAAATAATTTTTTTTAACCCTTTATGTACTGGGGGGACCAAAGGGCGCTCTAGTGTTAGGAATACAAATCTGTAATCCTAACACTAAAGAATCCCTTTAAATTCTGCAAAAAATGTGTGCTTTACTGCACCTTGTGTTTATAGTCGACTTACTATGTATAATGCTGTGTAGGAAGATACAGAATGTCACTTGGGAAACAGGTAAGCCATACTGTTGCACAATAAATCCTGAGGACATTATCTGAAACAGATAAAACACACAGTATCATTCTAGTACTTTTTTTGTTTACAGCCTCCCCCACCTCTCTCATTTTAAAAGACTCCAGGAACAGGTGACAGGCTGGTAATATGACAAGCCAGGGGATGAGGAATAGCCCTATTAAGCTACAGAGCTCCTGAAGACAGAATATCTATTAGCAGGCAGGTAACAGGGGGTGGCGAGGGTCAGACCCAGCCGACGGTTGCCAGGAGACCGCCAGCGATATCTCTATGCAGCAGCTGCCTTCTGGGAAACGAGCATCTCACAATCATCTGTCACCTAGTACACACTTGCAGTAATGCATAAAGGGATGGATTCCTCTGGCAACCACGGGAGGTAGCCAACTGCTAAAAATACAAAAAAACAACAACAAAAAAACAGCTGCAGCACCTCTGCCGGTGGATGAGCCATGCACAGATCTGGCACATAGAAAGCCTTATTTGGCAACAAGAAAACCTTTACGGCAATGGGAATTTACAGGTTATTTTGGTAGCTCAGTCTGTCCCAACCTCACTCGTACACATAATATAACTGCTAGAAAAAAAATTCTATACATTATTTATAAAGCCGCTACATAGTCTGTAACACTATACAATGGATAAACAACACTTACAATTGCAATAAAACTAGAGGTGATAAGGGTTTGGTTACAAAAGAGCTTACGATCTAAAATTACGATATTAAAATACCAAATACTATATCCCTGAGACAGGATGCAATTTCGGTGTATAATAACATTCTACTTTAATAATCACGCATAAACCACCTTGTTTCTGTATCCAAGTGTCTGAATAGGTGCTTAACCCCTTAAGTGACATGCCATGATTCCCTTTTATTCCAGAAGTTTGGTCCTTAAGGGGTTAAATCATCAGAAACACACAGAGTGCTTGTACATACTTTAAATCCCCCATGCCCCCCTCCCGCTGCAGTCCCAATATTACAATCTTTGCAGCATGCTGGGCACAGATTAGGCTTAATGCTGCAAAAATTATTCATTAAAATCTGAGTGACTAGGGTAGCGCTAAGCCTGCCAGCACGGCGAGACAGAGCTGATAAAGGAGCAGGCTCTTCTCTCAAGAGGGGGCTCAGGAGAACAACATAAGATATTTTTAGAGTCTCCTCGACAATCAGTGAAGTCCCAGTGGAACCTGTTCAGGTAGACAAACTGCTAGCTTTATTTAAATGCCCCACGTCACGCTGCTAAATTTGGATGGGGGGGGGGGGAGAGTAAAGGTTACAGTGTGCTCTGCTAAAGAACCATTGAATGACAGCAGATACATGTGCAGTACACTCTGGACAGCAGATAAGAACCCCATATATCTTGGCCTTATTTTTGTAAGATGTACAACTTCACAATGCTGGATTTTTAATCTACTTTTGTATTTTGGACTCTGATTTAATGCTTCATTTATTGTAGTCTTTGCTGTCTCAGCAGGCAGGCTGATTTTTCCACAATGACATTTCAGTAATTTATCAACAAGTTTTTAGTGGAAATCGTTATTGCATCTGAACAAGTTTGGGCCACCGAGGCATCCTGAAAACCTGCTCATGTCTTGGGTGATATATATTCAATTCTGTGTATTAGTGTTGTGACTTAAAGCACTCAAGGACACCGTCGTCACCTTTAAAACTGGAGTAAAGTCTGACGAGAACACCGTTCATTAAATCCCCACATCTGTGCGATCACCTGTGATACAGCAAGCTTTTTATCGAGACACCCAAACTGTACATAGGGAACCACAGGGAAAATGACTGAATTACAGAATTGCACAATGCCGTTTAAGTCTTTCATGAAATCTGTATTTTGGAGCAGATGATCTTCTATAGAATTATGCAATTTCCAGGGAAAGCAGTTTTGGAAACCTAATGAGAAAACATTTTGTTCTCCCTCTTATTTCTTTATTTTTAACAGTTTAGAAGCATTGAAATTCATTACACATGTAATAAGAGTTCACAAGCGGTAAAATCTTCACACCTGTCAATAAAACAAAGTCGGCAAGTTCTGGTTAACTTCGATACGCGTCGGTTTCTCTGGCACAGTAAAAGGCTTATTGAGAAAAGGTGTTTCCCCAGAACTGCTTGTGATAATCAGAGATTAACGTGTAATGCAACTCGATTTTATAAATACTTCTTGTTCTGTTTAAACCTCCGCCACTACTATATAACAAGGTACCCACGAAGCATGGGACAATTTAGTTCCCTGGTGTCCAGCATCTGCAGAAACCAAGGAACTATTCCTGGACGGCAGAGCACCCACATATTTTACATTAGCTTGCGCAGTGCGGCAGGCACTAAAAACCAATGCAGCAGCACTCTCTGCATGGTCCTGTATGTTGTAGCATGGCAGTCTTAAACCAGGCTGACATGCCACTTCAGTGGGCAGTCACAACCATATGTCTTAAAGGGACACTATAGTCACTAAAACAACTTGAGCTTCATGAAGCGGTTTTGGTGTATAGATCATGGCTCTGAGGTTTAACTGCTCAATTCTCTGCCATTTAGGAGTTAAATTAGTTTCTGGGGGCAGGGCCTAACCATCATGGCCGACAGACTTGTTTAGTGTGGGCTCCTCAGACAAGTCCTGTAATCTATAAAATTAAAGCAAAGTGGTATCCCCAGGACATACCCAAGTGACTACTTACCTAATCCTGACTGCAGGGGTGCACTTTGGAGTGATCTTGGAGTTACACTAGCAAGCCTGCGCCTTGCAACGGCTACTACTGCCTACTGACCTGGTGGAATCAACGGAGGGGATTAACTGACGATGTTCCAGTCTGGGACTACACGTGTGACACAGCGGTCACCCTCTGGACCAGTGGGGGATATCCCGTTTCACACTCTGGGAACTACTACTAAGCAATCACAGCGCTACCGTGACTGCCTGCCTACCCACAGCAAGCATTCATGGCATGGTCAAAATGGCAGACACACCGACTGAGTCATTCGTGAGCAATTGGGAGGCCAACTTCCTTGCCACTTTTGAAGAGACCTGCACAGCTTTCTGGAACAGAGTCGAATCCCACAAGAAGCCGACGCAAATAATTCAACCTCACGCCATTCAGCACACCGATGCGACCGCCTTCGCCTCTGGACTGGAAACTAGTGTGGCATAAAGTCCTACCGACTAGCACCTCTTGACACACATGTGGGCAACGCTGTTGCCCCGGCCATTTGCACTTCTTCCGAGCTGGGTGCCTATCTGGAGGTCTCGCATCACAGCCGTCCTTACACCCAGGGGGACAATCGGAAAACCCGTGGGCCCATGATCCTGATGAGGGGGATCAATGGATGAGGGTTCCCATTACGGCCCCGTGATGAAGAAGAATTATATGCAGTCGGCTGCAGGCCATACCATCCAATCTATATCACTTTGAAGTAGGGAGGGGTGGACGAAAGTCTGGAGTGAGACAGAGTTTGGTGATACAACCTGTTATTGGGACTGCCTTTCTAGGCTGACCAGCATGGGTGTCAGAAAACTTCTAATTATTGCTAATTTCTCTGCTTGTGTCATGTTTCACTTGTGTCCCTTAGTTCCCAGTGGTACTTTACAAATTATTATTTAATTTTATGTCTAAACGGTTATACAGGGCAGCATGGCACAACTGCATGCATCCGCCCTACTAACAAGCTATGGGCCCACTATTTTACTCACACTGCTGCACCGATTATTCTTACAAAGCAGATTATCTCAGAGCTTGGTGTGCCATGCAAGTCCCTTATACATTGTTAAGACAGATGTTAATACATATTAAGACCTTTTTCTTTATCTTAAAAAATTAGGCCATCTGGTTTATTGTGGAACATGCCACAAACCATACCACCACATATGGTTTGTACATCTCATGTTATGTCTGCTTATTATCGTTCCTGAGGTTTATCTACTGCTTGTTTTGAGGTGGTGGGGTCATCACAATACTGCTTTGTTTTTATGATTCAAGTCTCAATAATAACAACAACATAGATTGACCAAAAATAACCAAAACAAAGCAAAACACACACACACACACACACACACAAAAAAATGTTTTGTTTTTGTCCATGTAGGTCTAGCCACATCTCTCCTGGCTGTAAATGAATGAAAACCAAAATGGTTTAAATATTCAAAAGTTTTTACTTCCTGCTCTGTAAATTAAATGTTAATCACAAACAGGAGGCTCCTGCAAAGTCTAAGAAGCTAATAACAGAGCAGGAGACAAGAAATTGTAATTAAACAGAACATACAATAAAAGAAAACATTACACAATTCTTTACAGGAAGTATTTAGGAAGGCTGTGTAAGTCACATGAAGGGAGGTGTGGCTAAGGCTACATAAACAAAGTGATTTAACTCCTAAATTACAGAGAATTGAGCAGTGAGATTGCATAGGCCTGATCTATACACCAAAACTGCTTCATTAAGCTAAAGTTGTTTTGGTGACAATAGTATACCTTGAATAACCTGCTAGAGCAAGGAACAGCCTGCTTTGTGTTGTTATAACTAAATTACAAGAGCAGGAGATAAAACATTTAAAATAAACACACTGTGCTGTAAGATCTGATTGAAAATTTAAAAAATTTCATTGAGGCTGTGTGAGACAGCCAAGGGGTGTGTGGTTAGGACTGGATAAACATACACAGATTGCAGGGGTGTGATTTATACACCAAAACTGCTTCAGTAAGCTAAAGTTGTTATGGTGCTTAAAGGGCCACTATGGTCACCAGAGCCTCTATAGCTTAATGTAGTGGTTCTGGTGTCTACAGTGTGTACCTGCACGCTTTTCAAAGTAAACACTGCCTAGTAACACCTCTAGTGGCAGTCACTCAGGCAGGCACTAGAGGTGCTTACTATCTCAGTGCTGCACAGTGTGCAGCACCTGCATTTAGCATTGTGACGAGATGCATTGATTAAATTCATCTGCGCATGTGCAATAGCCTTCCAATGCTTTCCTATAGGAAAACATTGAAATTGACTGAGATCATCAAATAAGGCGGTGGTGAAAAGGCACGTTAAAGGCATTTTATCTACACAGAGCTCTCCTATAATGTTCCTTTAAATTCTCCCTTTAAAATTAAATTAAAGTAAGACATCCTTGTAACGATAAATCTATTTATTTTTAACGTTATAATGTTCCTTTAAAAGCAGCATCTTATAGATTGTTTACAGTCATTCTCAAGGTTTGGGGCTTGGAATGATTGGTGTTTGATTTGCAGTGCATGCAGTCACCTTGAAAGGATTGTGAGTGCTCAGAATCCCCACGTCAGCTGTAACCTGCCCGGGGCTCTATCCCAGAGGAGACACGCCAAGTCATCTCTGTGTACACGCCAAGTCATCTCTGTGTACAGAACCGGCATAGAAATACGCAGCGTCTTTCCTTATTACCAGGCTTGAGAAATTTCACTAGAATGTGAGAGGGCCAATATTTAGGAGCCAGACACAATTTGTTTAATTAGCAATACACATACAGGAGTCACTCTCTCTCTCATACCGGACAATCATACCAAATCATCCACTCTGTCACATGCTTAACTTTCCACTCACTTACAGTCTCTCCATATGCTCCACAGATACATACCCAAAGACACACCACACAGTTACCAAGTAAATTAACCTCCCTCTCTTCCCCCTGCTGCTCACCATTGTTGGTGGCAGGCTGGGGAGGTTTGCAGTACTATCCTGTGTGCTCTGACAGCACAGACAGCTTCAGGGCGATCTTGCACAGGAAGAATGTGAAATCATACAACCCCCTGCTCAGAGCAGCCAATCACAAACCTCTGCTGGAGTGCAAAGGAGCTGCGAAAGCAGTCTCTGTCACCTCAGCTTGCAGAGACAGCCTGCTCCCAGGTAGCCTATAGGTCCAGTCAAGGAAGATTGTTTTGTTACTGCCTTTGATGGGCAAGGAGTCCAAATGTTTGTTCCCAGGATGCATTTCTGTGTCAGCATGGTGACCTGGCCTTGTGGATGTGCAAACTATTATAAAAATGCTTTGACATTAAGAGCAACATATATCCAGAAGGCAAAGTGACTAAACATGTGCTGATGACAAACATTAAATGGTATCGCATGTTGCTCTTTTAGGCCTCGCCTGCTAAATGACATTCGAAAACGTATATAACTATTTACTATCTTTGGTAACATTTGGAGCTCACCCACGTATGCAAATGATCTGAAATTTGTCTACATGGAGTCACTATTTATTTTAATGCAGATTACATGTACGTGGTGTGAAAACATTACTTAATACGCTACAGATAGACTAGGACTGCATCATATTATTTATATCTGTGCTTCTGGAATACACTGAAAGAGTTAAGGATCTTGAGTTAGGGGAACTAATTTATTCTGGGTTTCTGTGGAAATTAAATAAGAAATGGCACCCTGCAGGAAGCAAGGATTACTGGCTGCTTTGTTCGTTAACAAACACGTCCACTACTTTGCTTGGAACTGCAAGCAACGTATGGGAGTAACCTTCAGGGTTTGTAGATCAGAGACATAGCTGGTAAGAAATTATGAAGAATAACGCAAAGTACCCAGGACACCACAAATCCCATAACAAATAGCGGGGAGGTGATAAGACAACAGAATGCAAATTCCTGTTGTAGTACAGAGCATTTTGTAACACTCACAAAATATATACTTTACAGTTTCCACATAGTGATAATTGAGATGTAGAAGTCATGTTCTCCATTCTATGGGGAAGGCATTTCCCTCTGCACCGTCAAGCTATGAACAGGAAGTGATGCGTAAAGGTAAACCGTGTCCCCCAAGAGCAAAAAAAACAAAAAACAAAACAAACCAAACCAAAAAAAATATAAACATGTAACTCATATCATAATGATAATAATAATAATAAGAATTTAAGTATTGTGTTTCATCCTTTGTTTAGATTGCAAAATGGGATTTTTATTTAGAAAAGGGCTTTCAATTATCTGTGGAATTGTAACTTATATTAGGCCAAGGACATTTTAGAGTGAGTGTTATTGAATAGCATATTTGACAAATAGCAGGAAAGGAGGAGTGACTGCGTGTGAATAATCACTTCTGTTTCTGTTTAATGCTAACATATCGAGCCTCCTGCTCATCTTCATTATCTGCAGAACGCTCAAGATTATGAACGAGGGACATATGGCGTGAATCAGTGGCATTGAAGGGGGCTTGATACATGCCCGCTGTCTTGATTAGCAGTCAATCTACATGGCCAACTTGGGCTAGCAATACGCAGGGCGCCGTGAAAGCTCCCTTGCATGGACTGAAACGCCAAGCAATGGCCTTGCGCTGAGCAGTTGCTTGTATCAACACACTGACACTTCTGTTGTCATGGAAACTTTCCTCTGGTGTTCCCAGAATCGATGCATAAGAGAAAATAATTATTTAAAATATAGAATGATGGAACATGAGGCCCATATCAGGACTGCCCTGTCAGATCTGGGGCTGTTGAGAGGAATGCATCTAAATAATCCCTGGAGGCACACAAAAACCCTGTTAATTTTGCTGTGTCAATGGATCCTTCTCCACCCATGGGTGCTATGCTTATACCAATTCCAAGAAAAAAGTTTATTGAATTCATTTAGTAGGTATGTGAAGCACAAGACAAGCTAAATTGTGTAAAATGAACTAAAACCAGTCGGGACATTGGAATTCTCTATACTGCCCAATACCAGCTGCTGGCACTGGTAGCATCCCCCCTCCCAGGTCTGATAACAGAAAGTGATTGTAAGCTGCACAAGTTCTGAATCATTAGGAAACATAAAGAGGGCCTGACTTCAGAGATTTCCTCTGTACTATCTCAGAGCACTTTTATACCATGTACTGAGAGCACTTAAAGGGAAACTGTTATCACTTTGTATTACTACTTAAAGTAGGAGAATACATGTAGCAGTAAAGGGAAGTAGTAACTTATTTGTAATAAACTAGCCACAGTCCATTCTTTCAACTGACCGCAGTCCACTCTTTCAAATACTTGGGTATGTTGTTAGACCCCAATCTATCTTTTTGCCTCCATATAGAAAATGCTCTGTTCTACAACAGGAATTCCAAAACTAGGTGCCATGTACAGAAACAAATCCTGCCTAAGCCCTTCAGTACAAGAAAAGATTGTACAGCAAATGCTGATGCCAATCATTGATTATGGGGATGTAGTATATGCACCTGCACCGCAAAGCTCCCTTATACCACTCAACACATTGTATAACTCGTTCTGCCGACTTGTGCTACAATGTAATTACAGGACCCACCATTGTGACATGCTAAAAGAACTAAACTGGCTGTCGCTGGAAACCAGACGCACCCTTCATCTTTCCAGCCTTGTGTTTAAGAGCTTTTCTGGGAAGCTCCCACCCTACCTGAGCAGAATGCTCCCCCCAGCTGTTCCCATCTCCTATAACCTCCGATCCAGTACCAACACTTTATTTAGTCTACCTCTATACAAAAAGAAAGCAGCCCGATCCTCCTTCTCCTACAGAGCACTGTAATTATGGAACGACCGCCCGCACACTTTCCAATCTTCCCCAAGCCTGAAGTCCTTTAAGAGATCCCTCTCTACATACCTCAAAACAGAATTCACCTGTCATGGTTGATAATATATTTTCTACCTGTTCTATGTTAAATTTTGTATCTATTGTGTATTAATATTGTTTTTGTATTTTATTGTACCCTATTGTATCAATGCAATGTTTTGTGGACCCAGGACATACTTGAAAACAAGAGAAATCTCAATGTATCTTTCCTGGTAAAATACTTTATAAATAAAAGTTAATAATTCTTTTTGGTGCGTCTCCTGATTTAGCCTTGCTTCATGGGGTCAGCCATCTTTAGTCAGAAGCACAGGTTATTAATTAAAGGGATTCTCTAGAATAAGGAAAACAAAGCTGCCCTTTGGCCCCCACCCCCACGCATTAGAAGAGTTAAAAAAAAAACGTTTACTCACCCGATTCCAGTGCCGATCTCCCTTGTCGCTGGTTGATGCTCCGCCTTCTCTGACATCATCCGATATGTAGGGAGGCATAATGCACATGCGCGGCAAGCACATTAGGCCCTCCCAATAGGAAAGAATTGCTCCACTGCTTTCTTATGGGGATTTTATGGACGCTGGAGGCAGTCTTGGTCCTGCAAAGTAATCATTGCAGTTTCTCTAAAATTGCAATGATATACATTGCAGGACTAAGGGGGACTGTGACACTGGGATGAGCTTAAGTGGTCTGGGTGCCTATAGTGTCTCAGTACCACCATTGGACACCTGTCGCGGGAACGCGGTGCACACTGACAACAGATGTCCAATATACATTGAATTGATATTAGCCATTTCGAAACTCTTGTTCCGGCCTGACTAATGACACTCCGATGATGTATTCGGAGGAGTTAGATTTGGTATGTGCAGCATTTAATAACAAAACGCTGCACAAACAAACTACAGGCACCATGACCACTTAAAATCAATGAGGTCAAGGTTATTAGAGTAACTCTTTAAGACTATGCACAATCTGACGGAGATTATCAGTTATTTACCAATGTGAGAATTCCATGTGACTTTCAAATTTAAGGCCAGAGTAGGAGAACTGAAATCATACCTGCATTAGGTTTTTTTCCAGTTTGGCTACCTTGACCTTATATCAGCACTCTCATGTTGGTGAATAACCCGGTTGGTAATTCAGCATACGGCGGCTCTGTCAACTATGAGTGTCTTTGCATATTTTCTTAAAGATCCCCAAAGCTGACATCCACGCTTTGTGTGAATTAAAGGGACATTCAAGTCACCAAAACAATTTTATCTTAATGAAGTAGTTTTTGTGTATAGTTCATGCCCCTGCAGCGTCACAGCTCAATTCTCTGCCATTTAGGAGTTAAATCTCTTTTGTTTCTGTTCATGCAGCCCTAGCCACACCTCCTCTGGCTGTGACTGACACTGCCTGAATGAAAAATAAACTTGGTTTCACTTTCAATCAGATGTAAGTGTTTTTTTTTTTTGTTTAAGTCTCCTGCTCTGTAAATTGAACTTTAATTACAGGAGGCTCTTGCAAGGTCTAGAACGCTATTAAAGGGATTCTATAGTGCCAGGAAAACAAAGCCGGTTTCCTGTTACTATAGAACCCTGCAGTGCCCCCCCTCCCGATATACAATTTTTGTACTGTATTGCACGAGGAGTTCTCTCTTTTTGTTTCCCTCTTAGATACTCTAATGAGATTACACTTTGGTTTGATACACGTGTGCTAACTGCATTATAGGTTATTTTGAATAACGCCTTCTATATATAAAGATATTGACAGAGAGTGATTATAAGACACTGCCCACCAGCACTTTTATGTGTTTGTTCTGTTTAATCCTATTACCAAGATTTGTTTTGTTGGTTGCTGCATCTTTTAAAATGAATCTTACGTTTTGCGCCAACCTATTCACACATATATATATGTACACTATTTGCAAGAAGTAGCCCGCAACGTTGTGTGAATTGATCAAAAAAGGTGATGTTAGTAACTCTGGCTTTTGCCAACAGCAAGCTTTACTATAGAACGAAGTAATGCCTACGTTGTTTTAAATATCCCTCGCTTCCAAGACAATCAATATCAGCTTTTCGTGAAGATTTTACCTTTATGATACAATGAAAAGCCACGGTGCCATGACAGAGCTGCTTCAAGGACAAGAGCATTTTATAAATACAAAGAAGAAATTTACTGACATTTAAACACACATTGCTATGAGAGGTTTTACAGTTACGCTCTAGTCTATATCTCCTACAAAGACAGGCATGAGGATCTTCTCTTCATATAGTATTTACAGCCAACATTAGGAATAGGTATTTAGAATAACATTACTTTGGTTAGGAATATTGTTTAGAACTCCAGTTGAAGAACGTCAAGTGTATTTTGATTTGGCCGTGACATAGTATGAAGCAAAAATGACAGGGGCGGGGAAACGCATTACAGCGCCTGCAGTGAGGACATGGACTGGCAATCCAGCAGAGATGGTAATGAAGGCAGCATCTGACAATTCACTAATACATGCTGAAACAGAGGTAAAAAAAGGAATACTCCAAGCCCCATAATCACTACAGAACACTGCAGTGATTGTGGTGCCAGAAGTGACCCCACCCCTCAGAAAGAAGTTGAACGGTTCTAGAACTATTCGACTTTTGACCTGGGGTCTGTCAGGTGTTGTTCCCTGTCTCCACTACTTCAAACAAAAAGCAAGAGAAGCTCATTGGCTGAGAGAGATCAGCTGATGCTCTTATTGAATGAGCTAACTCTGCACTGCAGGGCTTAGCTCGGGAGAGCTAATGGGAGCTTCCAGCTCCATGTAGTAAGTAGTGAAGGTGGAAAGCAGTACCCAGCCAGCTCCACATTTGGGGGGTACCAGGCACCATAATCACTACAGCATGCCGTATTGTATAAAGATTCATTTTAAGGGAAAAATCAAACACAAAGATAAGTGTTATTGCCTTAAGCAACAGTGTGGAGTCTCTGGAACTAGATTTTTTTATAATTTGCCGTTTTAGTTTCCTAATATTTCGGAACATTCTGACAAAGCCCATGTTGGTTCTCTTGCAGGTTACAGGTGCCCCAGCTATAACAAGAGAGAACTAAAGACTAATAAGCACAGTGAGTCTGGTTGACATGCATGTTAGTAAGTTATGTCAACCCCAGCTAAAATCAAGGAAATGTGAATAACCTATTGCCTTATCCTGAGTGACAAACAGAACTTCCAATGTAAGTGCTAAACTAAATATGGGAGAGGAAGGAAGGAGGTAGGCAGGGCTCTACAAATACTCAAATTATTTACTTTATACACATAGAGGCTCTGTACATATATGGAACGGCGGGTGTACGTTACTCAATGCCAGCTGCAAGATCGCTATTACTGATGGATCAAATAAAGAAATACAACAGGCAGTCAGGCATCAGTCAATAGTTACCTGCCAGAAACAAGACCTAACCACCAGCTCTGCTCACAGGCAGGATCTGTGTGCTTGTAACGAACGCTATAGAAAATGCAGTACAGGGTGTTATCCAATAAAAAGATACCCAACTTACAAAAATTGGGCCAAAAGAGCAAAGTTGGAAGAAAACATTAAAGGACCACTATAAGCACCCAGACCACTTCAGCTCAATGAAGTGGTCTGGGTGCCAGGTCCCTCTAGGTTTAACCCTGCAGCTGTAAACATAATGTTTACATTAGGTTTAATCCAGCCTCTAGTGGCTGTCTTCCTGATAGCCGCTAGAGGCGCTTCCGCGATTCTCAGACGCTGATGTCTTTAGGAAAGCATTGAGTAATGCTCTTGCCGCGCATGTGCATTCGGCGCTGACGTGGGCAGGAGGAGAGTAGGTCATAGCTGATGCTGCATGAAGAGCGTGAGGACGTCCAGTGACAGATACCGGATTAAAAGTCAGTTTCGATCCAGGAAGCGCCCCCAGCGGCTGTGTAAACATTGCAATTCCTCTGGGTCTGGGTGCAGTGTCCCTATTGCACTTAACATTGCATTGTTAAGTGCAATAGGGACACAGCACCCAGACCACTTCAATGAGCTGCAGTGGTCTGGTTGCCAATATTGTCCCTTTAGTATGTGATTTTAACACCTATTTCTATCAATCTACAAAATAATAATATATAAAATACAAAAAAAGGACAAAAAAAAACAAAACTAACAAAATAAATATTTCAAAACATTTCTAAAGGTGTAATGTTAGAAAATATTTATATAGATGGAATTGTTTAGATATTCCTATTTATATATATTTTTAGTTTTTCCAGATTCTCCAATTTCTACATACCATGCTGTTTGTACAAACTGTTTTGCTCCAAGATTTATCCTTATACAGAGCCCCACAGAGTGAATAAAAAAAGAAGATAAAAAATGCTAAAAGCAGGAGAAATCAGCAGGATTATCCCACTGACTGCAGCAATAATCACAACACTATTTGTGAACTACAACAACGACTTTACTACGGAACCCTCCGTATCGAATAGCTGAGCTACGGATCCTGTGGCTTGTTAACGGATTAATTAATATTCTCTTAATTAATGGACAGTTGCTAAGGTGCAGATTGCCAGGCTAAAGCTAATGGGGCATTTTTGGCACACCAGAGGCAATTTGATTTGCTGAGCATAATGGTTAGTGTAGTTCACAGTAACAGGCGTGTATGTGAAAGGCTCACTGGGCAACCCCCAACATTGCTGTGCTCTTTGTAATACAGATTCCTTTCTCTAAATATTACTTCCACTTTCTGTCTGAGAGACACAGTGCAGGGGGATTTCTGTAATCCCGGGATAAAGAAAATGAAAACATTGAGCTATCTGAAGGACAGGAATTCAAAGGGAAGCATTGCTTCCAAGCCCAGACTCTCTGGGGATTGAATAACAATCGTATAGCCTTCCATCTGTGTTTCCTGTATACAGGGGACAAGTCAAAATAAAGGGAGGGATTCTATGGATCCAACGGGTACTAAAAATCGCTTAAATGAACACTGTACTATAATAAATTCATCTAAAGCAGTTCCCTCCCTCCTTAGTGGCCCCAAATGACTTGATTTTAATAATTAGAAAACTTTGAAGTGTGGCTTCAAGACAGGACTGTTACTTCGAAGTTCTCATACCCTAGTATATTATCATTTATATTGCGCCAACAGATCCCGTAGCGCTTTACAATATTATGAGAGCGGGGATTTAACTATAAATAGGACAATTACAAGAAAATACACAGGAACGATAGGTTGAAGAGGACCCTGCTCAAACGAGCTTACAGTCTATACCGTAAAGTCATGTGAGCAAGCGCAGTGCCATCACGGTCTGTCACAGAGAAACATTTCATGAAATGATTCCCTATGGCAGAATTTTGGCAGATGTGCCCATGGTCCCCAATAGTCCTCTATGAAAAGCATTGGATTGGACCGTCATCCTGGAGGCAAGCAATCTTGCATATACAAGTCTGGGTAAGAATCTAATCTATACATTTTCTGGTCATTTTCACCAGCAGTCGAGTGCATACCTATGGCATGCAGTGGTGTCAGGACTGCAATGAAGGTTGCCGCTGTGAATACCCATGAAAGGGGGTTTTATAAGTACTGGACCATTTTTGTTTTTTCATTTGGATTTTTGGTTGGTAATTGGATGGCATCAGAGGCCATGGGGCACTCTTTTAAAAGCTGCAGTGAGTACTAGTCTATTTTCACAATTATATGTACAGTAACTGGAAGGTCCATTTGAACACCTTAAAAACATGCACACACTACATTACACACATCACCTATTAGCACCATCAATGCACATGGCTGTCTGCAACCATCGATATGTGTAGTGAAAAAACCCACAATATTTGTGGGGGGGGTTTTGTGTTAAACTTGCAATAGCAGCCTATCCAGCAGGACGTGTGATTAAAGGACCACTATAGGCACCCAGACCACTTCAGCTTAATGAAGTGGTCTGGGTGCCAGGTCCATCAAGGATTAACCCTTTTTGCTGTAAATAAAGCAGTTTCAGAGAAACTGCTTGGTTTACTTTAGGGTTAATGCAGCCTCTAGTGGCTGTCTCATTGACAGCCGCTAGAGGCGATTCTCACTGTGATTTTCACAGTGAGAAGACGCCAGCATCAATAGGAAAGCATTGAAAATGCTTTCCTATTGACTGACTGAATGCGCGTGCAGCTCTTGCCGCGCATGCGCATTCAGCCTGGGATGTCAGAAGAGTGAGGAGAGTCCCCAGCGCCGTGGGAGCCCGACGCTGGAAAAAGGGTAAGGGATTAACCACTTCCTCCCCCTTCAGCACCACGGGAGTGGGACCCTGAGGGTGGGGTCCTTTAACAAATCGCCATACTGAGCTATTATATAGGGGGACGAGAGGGAGGCCAGGGGGCTAGAAAGTGGTTTTAACACTGTAGGGTCAGGAATATGTTTGTGTTCCGGACCGAATAGTATTCTTTTACGTTACTTTATTACCCTTTTATTTTACTGTAAAAAATTCTATCTGTGCCAGTTTAGTTTCCTACATTTATTCTGTACCACCCTTACTCTGCTGTATGCTGGAAATATACTTTAATCTCAATTAAGAAAATAAAAATTTGAATTAAAGAAACAGCCACAAACGTTTACTTAATTCAGTATCGTTACCTGCAGAAAAGTAAAGGTTCTTGAAATTTGGATTGTGAAGACTTTCATAAACATTTGGGTGATATCAGTAATCATTATATATTGATTACTGACAACGGATTGTAATGTAAGCTTTTATGCTGATTGGTGAGCTGCTGACAACTAGAAGATTGAAGCTTATTAAATGAAGCATCCCAAACGGTTTCCATGATTTCTAAGCAGCCCACAGTCTAGAATCAACTGGGAATGGGGATACAATTATGAATTGTAACGCCTTCTACCGGTGGGAAAATAACAGCAAATTGTCCAGAGGCCACATTCTAGAACCAACTGCATTTATTAGAAGCAGCTCTGTTACACTATTAGCTAAGTACAAGTCTCTATGCAGTTAAGCAATACACTGGTTTAAAGTTTGCTTTCCCAAATCTGCATGTTTAATTACTATTTAAGTAAAGAAAGGGCTACACACCCCCTCCGAAGGCACAATCAGATGTTGTAGATCTTAGGCCATTCTCCTCCTCACAATGCTCTATGTCTAAATTGCTTGTTGGCTGACCTCTGCTATCAGTCACGCTGCAAAGCAGGGATAGCCAATTAACTTTTTTAAATTGCTATGAAGATTTGATAAACATAAAATCACTAAAGATAAAATAGTTCATGTGATTACAGGACAGCCCTAGTCACAACCCCCTGCGTGTGATTTTCACAGCCCTCCTGAACACTTCCTGTAAAAAGTAATCTAATGTTTAGGCTTCCTTTATTGCAAATTTTGCTTTATTTAGAATTTCTTATCTCCTGCTCTGTTAATAGCCTTCTAGAGCATGCAGAAGCCTTGTGTGTGATTAAAGTTCAATTTATATAATAGGAGATAAAAATGTCTATAGTAAATTAATATCGGATTGAAAATGAAACAATTTTTTCCATGCAGGCTGTGTGAGTCACAGCCAGTAGAGGTTTGACTAGGGCTGCATAAACAGAAACAAAAGTGATTTAACTAAATGGTAGAGAATTGAGCAGTGACATTGCAGGGGCTTGATCTATACACCAAAACTGCTTACTATAGTATCCCTGTTCGAGATCAAATGAGCACCATAAGAAATACCAAAATATGAGGCAACAACATTACATGTTTTAGGAACTGTGAGACCAAGGGGCCCCCTAATGCTTTCCTATGGGAAAGCACTGGATTGGCTGAGATCATCAATCTTGATGCTCTCAGCCAAGGGAGTAGAGCGGTGGGAGGAGCTAGCCATGAGGAGTCCCCCGGGGCACTGGAACAAGGAGAGTAAATCACTTTTTAAACAGGGTACAAAAGGGAGACCTATAGTGTATAGTGACATAGTCTTCCTTTAACCCTGTAATGTAAACAATGCATCATCTACTAAACAGCCCTGCTTTACATTTCAGTGCTAAAACTAAATGAGCACTGCATTCAGATGAACTGGTTTGGGTGGCTTTAGTGTTGGGCTACATATACAAAAATAAGGCTCTTTCCTTTCTAGCAGTACCATTATATTCCCTGTAATGATCCATGTTAATCCTGTTATTGCATCCTACCAGAATTCCCATTCAGACTAAGTTTGTAAGCTCTGTGGTGCAGGGGTCTCTTATCCAACCATATACATATGAATTGCACCTAGAGTTGCCCTATCCACAATTGTTCCCTAAAGGCAAATTATGGTACTTTGTTACATTGACAGGCACCTCTTTCAAAATGGATATCCTGCAGTACAGAGAATTGATATGGGGTAGTATTTCAGCAGAATATTGATTCTACATACTGAAGAGAAGCACTTTTCTTGCACTGCCCATCAATATCAATAATAGAAGGGATCAAGGCTATGGTGAATTTGACATCCCTAACTGTACCCCTGCCATAACATCTGTGTAATTACAGTGCTGATAGCACCTTACTAGCTACACATTATCATTAAATAAATACATGTTATCACACAATGAAATAAAACATCTCATGTAAACAAAGTGTCCTCAGCTACGGTCTGCTATAAACCAAGATGTTTGTTCACTCACTACTATACATATTGCACAACCGGATACCCAACTACAACTCATGGATTACGCAATTTTTTACATGAATACATTTTAAGTACTTTAAGTATCACGTAAGCATCCTGTCCGATGTACAAAAACAATAACAGAGAGCAAGAACAGCAGTTATAAACGGTACCTGAAACAAGATAGAACCTATAGCCAAAACAAACCAAAAATCAAGGGTAGAAGGAGGTAAGAAAGGGAGGAGATTGCCATATCAGAGCAGAACTAAAAAGGAGAGAACTCTTACCGATTAATAGAAAACTTCATTCTACGCCACATAGGGCATTAGTATTTAAACAGAGACTTCCCAAATCAAAATTATCTGTAAAAGTGGATAAGGTGCCCATGGCCTATAGGATGGCCAGAAAAAAAAAAAAAGGTACGAGAACATCGATTAGCTCCACGTATTCATTGATGCGAATAAACTCAAAGTGAACCGGTCAAGGAAAGCTTGTTGGGAAAACCTCTGGATTATTGGTGCGTGTCTGGAGTGGCCAACCACGTGTTAGCCTGTCATCTTGTAAGTCAACGCTTCCCAAACAATCCAGGATTTATGTATTCCCCGTATTTTATTCCAATGGAGATACTGACAAACCTGGACTGGTTTGGGTAGCCCCCCCTTTTTTATTCTTCACCATTTTCTATGCCTGGATGTCCTGTCACAGCTAGAGAATCCCATGCAAATTAATTGAATCCACGGTGCCACATGTGTGCACAGCACTTTGGAAGAATGCTCATCTTCCTGCCCGCCCGCACCTCTCACTCTTCCCCCCTCTGTCAGTCTCTACATTGGCTTCCCGTGAGATATAGAGCTCAATTCAAGATCCTTGTACTTGCTTACATAACTCTACATAAAGCTGCTCCAACCTACCTATCCTCACCAATACACAAATATTTCCCATCTAGGCCCCTACACTCTGCCAAAGACCTATGTCCGTACTTGCACCTCTGATGCTGTCCTTTAAGACTATTCTAGGGCTGCACTGTTCCTATGGAACTCCCTGCCCTTCTCCGTTAGACTCCCACCCAGACTCCTTTCCTTCAAAATAAATGATTGAAAACCCACTGTTTCAGGAAAGTGTATCAATTAAACTGTTAACAGCTTTTTCTCCCTGCACCCTGATTCCTCTCTGGCAACTATCAAAAAAACAAAACACTAAGCCCTCAGTGTATACTATTCTACCAACCTACTTTTTTTTACCCTACGCCCCACTCCCCCTAGCATGTAAGCTCATTGAGCAGGGCCCTAAACCCCTAGTTTCCTGTGTGTCCAATTTGTTTGGTTACAATCGTGTCTGTTAGTCCGGGGCTTGACTAATTTGATTTAAATCTAGGAGCCAACCAAAAAAAGTACTTTTTTTTTTTTTAAACAACAAAAATACAATTCTTGAAGGGACACTACGGTCATCAGGACCACTGTAGCTTAATGTAGTGTCCAAAGCTTAATGTGGTGTCTAAAGCTTAATGTGGTGTCTAAAGTCTGTTCATGCAGGTTTTACAATGTAAAAACGCCTTTTCAGAGAAAAGGCAGTGTTTACATTGCCGCCTAGTAACACTAAAGTGTGTCCTACCTCGGTGCTGCACAACGTGCAGCAATATTATTCAGCGTCTCCACACACTGCATGGAGGCGCTGAACGTGTCCTATAGAGATGCATTGATTTAATACATCTCTATCAGGAGATGCTGGTTGCTGCAGCATTTTGCCGTACATGCTCAATAGCTACCCAATGTTTTCCTGTAGGAAAGCGTTGAACTGGCTGAGATCATCAAGATTGATAATCTCAGCTATGGAGGTATGACAGCTACAGCAAGACAGATACATTGTTGGGAAAAGAGGTAAGTAAAAACACCATTCCCATGTGATCGGAGGGGAGCTAGTGACCTAAACATACACATTCACTGACAGACAGATACACACATACACAGATAGACACACACACTCACTGACAGACATTCTCTCACACCCTCAGACAAACATTTTTACACACACTAACAAAGTATTTTTTTTATTATTATTTGATACACTCAAATAGACACAGACACACACAGACAAATACATATACAGATATATACACAAAAAATAAATACATCTTTTAACCACCCTCCTGTTTCCCCAACTTGAGAGCGCAGGAAGGTGGCTTTTCTGGTGGACTGGGCAGTAGCAGGTTACAGTTTGGCTGGATGCGGCTGATGGAGTTGGTTGCGGGTAGTCTAGACCAGTGGTCTCCAACCCAGTCCATATGCACCACCAACAGTCCAGGTTTTGTCAGTATCTCCATTGGAATAAAGCAGGGAAATACATAAAACCTGGACTGTTTGGTGGTCCATGAGGACTGGATTGGAGACCACTAGTCTAGACTACTCCACATGACTCTGTATCCCCATGCAACTGTCTGAGTACCGGGAGGAAGTCAAGGGATCTGAACTACTCCCTCTCCCCCCCCATGCTGAACCAGCGCAGGCGAATAAGTGGGCGGGTGGCTCGGCAGAATGGACAAATGCACAAGTAGGCGGGCGGCTCTCCAGAATGGGCAAGTGCACAAGTAGGCGGGTGGCTCTCCGGAATGGGCGTGCAGAGACACGTGGTGCCCTGCCAGCTTGTCATTCATCTGCGAGACCTCAGCGCGGGGAGGAAGTAATTACAGTTCGCTTCCTCCCGGCGCTCACTATTCTAAAGACAGGAAGAGGGGAGAACGGGGCTGACAAATCCCAGACGCCAGGGCAAAATTCTTAGTTACCATGGCACCCTGGAATTTGTCGAGACCTTTGTTAGTCCACCCATTGTACAGCACTGATGAATTTGTGGGTGCTTTAATAATAATAATGCTCTAATATGGCATTTCTCTGCAGATGAATGAGCACTCCCAGAGTATCACAGGACAAGGACATCACCCTGGCCATGGAAAAAGTGTGCTTTTGACTTACATAAACTGTACTTATCACGCTAGTTGCATTTGTTGGAATGAGGAACTGACATTTTTATAGACTACATATTTTGTTAAAGATTTCTAGGTCTGGCTTTGTATCTATAAACAAAGATCAGTTTATTACTTGTTAAAACGAATACTCGACGCAGTATAACCACCAACGTTCTGTGCATGGTTACAGCTCAGTGTAGTGGGTATGTTGCCTAGAGTCTCCAGGTGTTGTCCTCTGGTTATATGTAACTGTATTTAGACGCGATCTAACAAAATATGGGCTCTCTATGGCACCCAAAACATGCCCCACTCCACAGCACATTGTTAATGTGCAATTTAAATTCAATATAGGCGTGATGGGCTTACAATACGCTTAGGCAATCAGTGCTGTTTGTATTAAGTTGAGATTGCTAATATGGAAGTGTAAAATCAAATATCAATGCTGCCAAGGAGGAGGTGATCATTAAGCCATCATATTATGTTGCTTAGAGCCCCTATAAATTTACTGAAAGGACAGTTAATATCTACCTGTAGCATGTCACTGGAGGCTACTTGAGAATAGTTACTTATCTTATACTATGCACAACTGACCAAACGTTGTAGCCAAAGTAAACTCAGCTGCTGTGCTGCCGGTATGTTAAAGGGACAAAAGTCACCAGTGTTCACTTCTTGAATTTACATTATGAGTTACTAACATTAAATAAAACTTAAAAGGTAGACTATAGGGTCAGGAACACAAACAGAATATAGAAAAGTCTTACCTTTACTGCAGCCTGCTGCTGGCGCTGCTCCTGATCTGCCTTCGTGGCTGACATCATCAGAAGTGATTCTCTCAGCCAATCACAATGCTTTCCCATTGAATTGGCTGAGATTGTTAAGGAGGCAGATCAGGGGCAGAGCCAGCATAAGCACAAGCCAAACACAGCCCTGGCCAATCAGCATCTCCTTACAGAGATGCATTGAATCGATGCATCTCTACGAGGAAAGCTCAGTGTCTCAATGCAGAGCGTGGATATACTGAATGGCAGTGCTGCAAAAACAGTGTTTACTGCAAAAAGCCTGAAAGGAATAATTATACTCGCCAGATCAAATACAATAAGCTGTAGTTGTTCTGGTGACTATAGTGTCCCTTTGAACATTTAATTTTTAATAATATATACTGATTCTTTTTTGAGAAAATTCCGTTTTTTGTTTTTTTTTGTTTTTTTTAATCTGACTGCCTAGCAATGTCAGGTTGAGCAGCAGACGGTCAGATAACAGCACCCAACATGGCTAGAGTTTAAAAAAACAAACAAAACAAAACGTGAAAATGTTATAACAGCTGTCCTTTAACCCCTTAAGACTGCAGCCAAATGTACATGTTGTGATCAAAACAAAACGTAAACAAAACCTGGAATTTGCGCTATATGTCTGTCCAACCGTAATTCACCTCTTTCGTATTAAATGCACCCACCCTTATTATATAAAATTTTATTTAGGGGAAACAGGGCTTTCATTTAACATCAAATATTTAGGTATGGAACATAATTTAATATGAATATAATATTAAAAAAAAAAAATGGGAGAAAAGATTTTTTTAAAAATGTTCTTAGTTCTACGTGACATTTTAACTGTGAATGTAAAAATACAGTTTGCTTTTTCTGCAATAAAATACACATATTTGTATTCGGCGACATCTCACGTGTAAAACAGTACCCCCTATGTACAGGTTTTATGGTGTTTTGGGAAGTTACAGGGTCAAATATAGCGTGTTACATTTTTCATTTTTTTCACATTGAAATTTGCCTTTGAGACCATATGGTAGCCCAGGAATAAGAATTACCCCCATGATGGCATACCATTTGCAAAAGTAGACAACCCAAGGTATTGCAAATGGGGTATGTCCAGTCATTTTTTAGTAGCCACTTGGTCTCAAAGGCAACGTAACCAACCTAACCAACCTAGGAGAGAGAGAGAAGAGAGAGAGAGAGAAGAGAGAGAGAGAGAGAGAGAGAGAGAGAGAGAGAGAGAGAGAGAAAAGAGAGAGAGAGAGAGAGAGAGAGAGAAAAGAGAAGAGAGAGGGAAGAGAGAGAGAATAAAAATAAATATAACTTTTTTTAATTATTTATATATATTGATATATACGTATATACTTATGTATATAGATATATTATTTCGTTCTACATGTATTTTGATATATAAATTTTAAAATACAGTTAGATCGAAATTACACATGTTCATATATTGTTTATTTTTTTAATTTAATTTTATTTAACGTATTTACATATTTATTATTACATATAAACATACATACATATATATATATATATATGTATTTACAGGAAGCTCTCTTTACAGGAAGTGTTTATAGAAGGCTGTGCAAGTCACATGCAGGGAGGTGTGACTAGGGTTCATAAACAAAGGGATTTAACTCCTAAATGGCAGAGGATTGAGCAGTGAGGCTGCAGGGGCATGTTCTATACACCAAAACTGCTTCATTAAGCTAAAGTTGTTCAGGTGACTAGAGTGTCCCTTTAACATCACAGTACTGTTGTATCACAATATTTTCCCTGTTATTCTACACTGATCTATTTGCCAAAAATGACACAGAATTGCGAAACACAACTTGCATCATATTTTCAGATTGATCATAAACACCATAGTTTACCCAGGAACTGCTATTAACACATAATCTCCAAAGTACGTATGGAAATTATCACTGTGAACTTTGATCACACGGAAATATAATACCTCAAGAGCTGGATGACAAGCCATACTGTCACACCCCTGCGCTTAATTTAACCCCTTAAGGACCAAACTTCTGGAATAAAAAGGGAATCATGACATGTCACATGTCATGTGTCCTCAAGGGGTTAATCGAAGGAGAGAAAGAGAAAATGAAAACAGAAAGCCATTTAACAGACTGACAAGACAATTTATAGGACGTCAAATTCAAACAGCCTCTCCTTCTGCAGTTATTTTAAGTGAATTGAAGCTGGGGATTTCCACTTCGCTCCCCATCCTCCCCCCTTCCTTCACCCCACGTTCAAATGCTCCTATCAGAAACCACAGCACAAATTTAGTGGATGCGCCATACAAACAGTACATGGCATTACTCTATAACGTATTCAAAGCAAATTGCTGGTAAGTGAAGGGAGTAAATGTGAATCCCATATATTTAATTCCCATCTTTACTTTTCTTACGGTTCAAATAAAAAACACCAAAGAAATTTAAAACGTAAAAAAAAAAAGCGGTGGCTTTAAAAAAAATTCAGCATTTAAAAAAAGAAAAGAAAAAAAAAGAAAGAAGATAGGACTTTATAGAAACTGTAATCAGAGATTGATTTATCAAATGACTCAATAAATAGGTATGAAGCTGGGCTAACCGAAAAGGCACTTAAAAAGAAGCACTGAGTAATCATCTTTAATAAAAAATGTGGCTCTTCCCGCACTGCCTTTATAACTACGCGGACAGCATTTGTTTTCCAATATTTACAAACAGAACACACAAAATAACTTGCAATGGAACAGCCATCTTGTTTTTATAGCAGATGATTTGACGGGTGCTGATTAAGTGTGTGTGCCACTATTACAGGAGACAACTAAACTCTCACCCATTTCCTCCCATAAGAGAGGCAGTCATATCCCACAATTCCTCTCATGAGGCCATTAGCTATGTATTCATGAACGCCGGCTGTTTCACCAGCACAATCTAGATTCTATTCCTGTAGCTAGATCAGTAGATTTTGGCATTCACACCTTTTTGCAGATGACAGTTCCAGTCCACTCCATGTTTAGAACGTATTAAACAAAGGAAAAAAAAAAAAACATGTTGGTTAAATAAGGTATGCATAGTATTTGTTGTTAATACGTTTAAACATGTATAACGGTCAAAGGGAATAATTTGTTTCTTAACATCAAATCTAGTATGTTTCAAATCATAACTTAAAAAGAATAAATAAATGCTCTCCACACCTGCCTTGCAGATTTAAAAACCATGGCCAGATGATCTGGGAAAATAGTCTATTTTGGTTTCAAATTTGCAATCAAGTTCAGTAAATAAACTTATATCCCCACCCCTTAATTAAAAACTGCAACCACAAGCATAGATAAGGGACGGGGTGCAGTACTGTCTAAATATCGCTGAAACGCACACATGCAGCAAGGATAAGTATAATACACCTACACAGAGGCCGCTTTGCTTCAAGCAATATCTATCAGTTGAGACTTGCATGATAGGGAGGCTGCCAATGACCGCTGGTTGATATGGCTACATAAACATACAGCAGTTTCTAAGACATATCATTCTTTGCCTTTCCAATGGGCTGAATGGAACGTGCTAGCTGTTACTGGTACAGGACTCTGAAACATGTCTGGCTTTGTGCCATAAATGTCCTTCGTGTAATGAGTTTAACGGCCAACAGGCAAAAAAATCTATTTTAAAAACCCTTGGAACCGGACACAGGTCTTTCATATGAATACAGCATTCTAGAGTTTGATTTCAGTTAATTCTACTGATAAAACATTGAGTTTTTTGTCTGTTTAACTTTCTAAAATAAAAGGGAAAATTGCACTTATTCACAAAGAAGCGATATTCAGAAGGATAAAGGCAAACAGGACAAATGTCCTGTGACACAGACAAAACTTTGTGCTATTTACACAGACGGATTTTAATTCATACAATATTAATTTGGCAGAGCTGCACTTTTCTAATGATAACAAGTAGAACCTGATATTCGAATGTCTCACCAAATACATATGGGATCTTCTTACACACGTTTTGTAAACCTCTCATGGAAGTCTAAATAGTTACTGGAGATGTAGAGTGTTTCAATATGTAAAAAAAGGCATCTTTCGGGGAAGAAATCTAATTTCAATCACCACTACTAAAAAAACAAGGTCCACTTCTGTTAACGAATCAGTACTGTGACGCATGTTGGCCAGCTACAGAAGGTCTGACAGATGATAACACTGTGAGCCATGTCTAGTGATGAGGTTTTATAAAGTTTGAAAAATACAAAGCTATCCAATCCAATTTCTGCAACATCCCTCTGTGAAGAATAACCCTTTGTTACGGAACTACGCTCAAAGTCAGGGACACTCTGCCCTACAAGAACCATGTGACAATGATAAAACTTAAAGCCGTTGTTGATAAGTCCATAATGATAAACATTTAAATATAGCTCAACGGACCAGGCTCTCCCAACAACATCCACACACTTTAAATAATGCAAAAGGAATACACAAAAATGGATAAGCGCTAAGGAAACAACTGACTAGCCTAGCAGCAAACACTGGGTATAGGGGATACTTTCAAACCCTAAAAATTGACAGCATAAAATACAAAAAAAAGGCTGCGCCAAAAGGTGTAAAACGAAAGAAATAATATAATTAAAAATATTTTAAAATGTCCAAATAATTAAAGTCCAAATATCAAACGCCTAGCTGTTTCTGAATTCTTGGGGAATGTTGGTTCTTGGTTAAGATGCTTGCAAATATATATAGGGAGACACAACATGACCAATAATAATGCAGACTGCGTTGGCAGAAAAAATAAATGAATAAATGGTACAATGTTACAGAACGCGTTTCACCAATAAAGGCTTTTTCAAGTGTAATATTGGATTTATTTATTTTTTTCATTCTTTTAAGCATTAAAACATATAATTTGTTTTAATTCACTTTGTTATGATAGACCATTTATTACATTTTGTATGCAATTTTTAATTTTATTTGTTCCTGGCACACCTAACTTCAATGCTGGACAACTATTTACCAACATATCCCTGGTAGGGATTATAGAAACATAGAATGTGACGGCAGATGAGAACCATTTGGCCCATCTAGTATGTCCAATTTTCTAAATACTTTCATTAGTCCCTGGCCTTATCTTATAGTTAGGATAGCCTTATGCCTATCCCACGCATGCTTAAACTCCTTTACTGTGTTAACCTCTACCGCTTCAGCTGGAAGGCTATTCCATGCATCCACTACCCTCTCAGTAAAGTAATACTTCCTGATATTATTTTTAAACCTTTGTCCCTCTAATTTAAGACTATGTCCTCTTGTTGTGGTAGTTTTTCTTTTTTTAAATATAGTCTCCTACTTTACTGTGTTGATTCCCTTTATATATTTAAATGTTTCTATCATATCCCCCCTGTCTCGTCTTTCCTCCAAGCTATACATGTTATATCCTTTAAAGGACCACTCTAGGCACCCAGACCACTTCAGCTTAACGAAGTGGTCTGGGTGCCAGGTCCAGCTAGGGTTAGCCCATTTTTTCATAAACATAGCAGTTTCAGAGAAACTATGTTTATGAATGGGTTAAGCCTTCCCCCTAATCCTCTAGTGGCTGTCTCATTGACAGCCAGTAGAGGCGCTTGCGTGCTTCTCACTGTGATTTTCACAGTGAGAGCACGCAAGCGTCCATAGGAAAGCATTATGAATGCTTTCCTATGTGACTGGCTGAATGCGCGCGCAGCTCTTGCCGCGTGTGCGCATTCAGCCGACAGGGAGGAGAGAAGGAGGATCGGAGGAGGAGAGCTCTCCGCCCAGCGCTGGAAAAAGGTAAGTTTAAACCCCTTTCCCCTTTCCAGAGCTGGGCGGGAGGGGGACCCTGAGGGTGGGGGCACCCTCAGGGCACTATAGTGTCAGGAAAACGAGTATGTTTTCCTGGCACTATAGTGGTCCTTTAACCTTTCCTGGTAAGTTTTATCCCGCAATCCATGAACCAGTTTAGTAGCCCTTCTCTGAACTCTCTCTAAGGTATTAATATCCTTCTGAAGATACGGTCTCCAGTACTGTGTACAATACTCCAAGTGAGGTCTCACCAGTGTTCTGTACAATGGTATGAGCACTTCCCTCTTTCTACTGCTAATACCTCTCCTTATACAACCAAGCATTCTGCTAGCATTTCCTGCTGCTCTATTACATTGTCTGCCTACCTTTAAGTCATCAGAAATAATCACCCCTAAATCCCTTTCCTCATATGTTGAGTTTAGGACTCTATCAAATATTCTGTACTCTGCCCTTGGGTTTTTACGTCCAAGATGCATTATCTTGCACTTATCCACATTAAATGTCAGTTGCCACAACTCTGACCATTTTTCTAGTTTACCTAAATAATTTGCAATTTGGCTTATTCTTCCTGGAACATCAATCCTGTTACATATCTTAGTATCATCAGCAAAAATACATACCTTACCATCAAGACCTTCTGCAATATCACTAATAAAAATACAATCCTATCCTTTAACGTGGTTTCCATTACTTCGACTCCTCCCTATTACCTTTCTTGTGAATGGCCACAACATTCGTTAACTTCCAATCTTCTGGGACTACTCCTGTTAACAATGATTGGTTAAATAAATCTGTTAATGGTTTTGCTAGTACACCACTGAGCTCTTTTAATAGCTTTGGGTGTATTCCATCAGGTCCCATTGACTTATTTGTCTTTACTTTTGACAGTTGAAATAGAACCTCTTCCTCTGTAAACTAACATGTAACAAATGACTAATTTCCTTTCCTTCATTTTCATCTGTAAATACTGAACACAAATATTAATTGAGGCAGTCAGCTAAACCTTTATCCTCTTCTACATACCTTCCTTGATTTGGTTTTAATCTAACCTATCCTTGTTCAACTTTCTTTTTTTTTCATTTATATATCTAAAAAATGTTTCGTCCCCTTTTTTACTGACTGTGCGATTTTCTCTTCTGTGTGAGATTTGGAAGCTCTTATAACTTGCTTAGCCTTTTTCTGCCTAATCTTATAGATCATTCTGTCTTCCTCATTCTGGGTTTTTTTATAATTACTAAATGCTAACTTTTAGTTTTTTACTATTTTGGCCACATCTGCGGAGTACCACAGTGGTTTCTTGAATTTTTTGCTTTTACTGACAAGCCTAATGCAATTTTCTGTTGCCTTCAATAGTGCAACTTTTAAATAATCCCATTTCTCTTGGGCTCCATTTAAATTGCTCCAGTCTGATAATGACTCCTTTACACATATCCTAATTTTAGAAAAGTCTGTTTTTCTTAAGTCTAAAACTTTTGTTTTTGTGTGGTGTGACTCGGTCACTGTTCTTATATTAAACCACACTGACTGATGATCACTGGATCCTCAACTTTCACCTACAGTAATATCTGATACCAAATCTCCATTTGTTATCACTAAATCTAGTATGGCCTCTTTTCGAGTTGGTTCCTCAACAACTTGTTTTAGAGACAATCCCAGTAGGGAGTTTAGAATATGTGTCCTCTTGGCACAAGCAGCCAATTTGGTTTTCCAGTTCACATCAGGAAGATTAAAGTCACCCATGGTGATAGCTAAAATGACAATGAAGGGGGAAGTTATTTCCTCAACTAGTAGATTATCTAACTCTTCTATGTATCCTAGGGGCCTATAAATCACACCTACACGAGTTACTGTGTGATTGCCAAATTCTAACGGAACCCAAACAGACTCTATGTTCGCCTCACTAATTTTTATTAGGCTAGATTTTATGCTATCCTTCACATACAGTGCCACCCCTCCCCCCATTCTTGCCTTCCTTATCTTTTCTATATAAAGAGTACCCTGGTATTGCTATGTCCCAGTCATTTTTCTCATTATACCATGTCTCATTAACAGCGACTAAATCTACATTATCAGTTGCCATTATTGCCACAAGTTCATGGATCTTATTCCCTAAACGGCGAGCATTTGTAGACATGACTACGCTTATCAATTTTTAACACACTTGCTACAGGCAACCTCTGTCCTTGTTTTGGGGGACAATTGGATTGATATTTTATCACCCTTCCCCTCCCTCCCTCCCCCCGAGTTTAAATACATCCTAGCAAAACCTCTGAACTGCTCACTGAGAACATTTGTTCCCTTTTGAGAAAGATGCAAACCATCTTTTTTGTACAGGTTATTTCCATTACAAACAGAGCTACCATGAGAAATGAAGCCAAATCCTTGCTCCCAACACCATTCACTAAGCCACAAGTTAAAGTCCGTAATACGCATCCGCCTGTCGTTCTGAATGTTATGCACAGGCAGAACTTCGGGGAATGACAATGTGGAAGCAACCTGCCGCATATCATTGGCAAAAACACTAAAAACTTCCTTTACCTCTGAAACCTCATTGCAAACCAAGTCATTTATCCCTAGATGAACAAGTACATCCAATTCCCCTTCCTACTTTGCTCACTTAATAATATTACAAATAAGTCTCCTGTCTCTGTGAGCAGTAGCTCTGGGAAGACCACTATTGTCCAGCTCCACACCACTTATGATAGAATCCCCCAACTGGCTCAGTGCCTGAGCCAGTCTCCGCTACACTCAGTGCCTGAGCCAGTCTCCGCTACACTCAGTGCCTGAGCCAGTCTCCGCTACACTCAGTGCCTGAGCCTGTCTCCGCTACACTCAGTGCCTGAGCCTGTCTCCGCTACACTCAGTGCCTGAGCCTGTCTCCGCTACACTCAGTGCCTGAGCCTGTCTCCGCTACACTCAGTGCCTGAGCCTGTCTCCGCTACACTCAGTGCCTGAGCCTGTCTCCGCTACACTCAGTGCCTGAGCCTGTCTCCTGCTACACTCAGTGCCTGAGCCTGTCTCCGCTACACTCAGTGCCTGAGCCTGTCTCCGCTACACTCAGTGCCTGAACCTGTCTCCGCTACACTCAGTGCCTGAACCTGTCTCCGCTACACTCAGTGCCTGAACCTGTCTCCGCTACACTCAGTGCCTGAACCTGTCTCCCCAACACCACTACCATCCACTATAACACCCATGTGCAGATATTTGAGCGACTTAACACTTGTATTGCATCACATATTTGTTTACAGTAAGCACTATTGGATATTTTCTTTTTCTTTCATATATCTACCTGTACATCAATATATTCGCCTCATAAGTTATATCCATCAGTGGGGATTATACCGCTGCAAGCAATCTTACTTAGAGCTAGTTTAAGCTCCATAACATGTGAGTGCTACCTCATATACTACTGTTGTGAGTTCTTTTTTTCTGCCAAAACAGTCTGCATTATTATTTGTCACTTTGTGTCTCCCTACATAGATTTGCAAGCACCTTAACCAAGAACCAAACATTCCCTAAGAATCCAGAAACAGCTGGGATTGCGATATTTAGACTTTGAATATTTAGGCTATTTTTATATTTGTATTATTATATTATCCTAATGTTTTGCACCTTTTGGCGCAACCTGTGTTTTTGTATTTTACACTTTAAATAATGCTTTATTGGTATGGCTAAAAATTTAAAAAGTTTGCCAAAGCTATTTTAAACATATATTCTACCCAAATTCAGATATGTTATACAGGCCAGTATTAAATACTGCTTAAATGGAACCTCCTGGCACTGGCATTAAGTTGTTATGGTGCCAAAACATCCCTGGTGCCAGCTTACCTTTAGGGGTAAAATTGTTCACAAAAGGTTTAACCCCAAAGTCTTCGCTCCAATGCAGTTTAGCTCTGCCCCTGTCCTACAAGTTTTCTGAGATTCTTCAAATAGGAAGCCCCAGACATGTGCGCCACTGGGAGAGCCAGCTGACACTCTAAGCTAATCAGCAGCTCCTCATTCATAAAAATGGCCTGAGAAAAACGTATAAATTTCTCACTTGGTTTTATGAATAGTGGACTCAGCAGCGCCCAAGTCCACTGTAGTCAGAGGCTTCTTGTTTGTAAAATCGCAAAGTGAAAAAAGATGGGCAGAGCTAAATGGCATTGGAGAGAAGACTTTGGGGTTAAACCTTCTGCAAACTTTTTTACCCTAAAAGTATTCTGATTGAGTTGTTATGGTGCTCAGAAAGTTCCTTTAATCATATTAGTTCTCTTTTGTGCGCAGTAGATAGTGACACACCTATACATATTTTGCAGCTATTTGCGAGAAATAGTACATACTCTCTTTCAATGATGGCATGTCCGCCTACGTTAATGACGATGTTGGCATGCGCGTGACGTCATGCGGGAGACGCGCGCACGTTTTGGGGTCAAAAGCCATTTTCGGCCCATCAGTACTGTAAAGCACTTATTTAAGCTCTGATTTACTTTTCCTCATTGCCCTGTCGTGGATTCCCTAGTGGTTGTTCTGAGCGTTTATTTCTGGTTATTGACTTTGGCTTTGTTTGACTTCCCTGTATTCTGGATACCTGACTTCTGGCTTTCCCTTATTGTTGTGTCCCGTTCTGTGCCCCCCAACTTTGGCTAGTACGCTGACTACTCTTAGGTACGTTAAGTTCGGCCATTCTAAGGCCCGGTAAGACATTATCGTTTAGTCCTAGGTGTGACACAATCCTACGTGCTGGATCAATCAGTAATCTTGACACCCTCCTCCTCTGAGGAGAGAGGAATTAAATCACAAGGCATCGTAGATTGGTGCCAGAGTCCCAACTTTGGGGTTAAAACGTGCACAACTGCTTAGCCCTTAAAAACGTAAGATACCTCCTGGATAAAGCATCCTCGAACTGCAGAGAAGAAGACAGCTGGGGGCAGATATGCTGGGAGCTGAAACTACAAAATGCAGGCAAGGCTACTCTCCTGTGAGAAAGACAGCACCAGGACACTCCTGTCCCATAACATAAACTTCAACGAGCTAAACTATAATATTCTGCTTTAGTCAATTCTATCCTGAACAGAGTGCATTTATCTTGTCTCCATGTGAAATTATTTCTATAAGCTCTGCCTTTATCTGCTACTTAACATGTGAGGGGAGGAGAAACAAAAACAATGCGTCCATTTCTCCTCCTCCAAAACAATGTGTGCCCAGCTGTGCCTAGACTAAACTCGGTTGTGAGGAGTGTTATATTTAGATTTCTTTAAATAAAGCTAGTGCATCACATGACGTGACAAAATCTTGACACAAGTTAGAGGTATTTTTTCTCTTTAACAGAGTTGCAAGAGACATGTCTTACTGGGCTCGGTGGGAAGATTGGATTCTGGTCATCGGACCACCAAAAATGTTTGACCATGTCTGAGAAGCCCTGGGCTAGGGTGTAGAATCATCAGGAATTTGAAACATTTTATTTTGTCTTGACAGAGATTACCCCACAGGTTAGACAATGCCAAGACTGAGTTCCTGGAGTTTTCCAGCAAGTCACAACTACTGATTGTAGGGTGTCTGCCGACCACAGGTTCTTTTTTTCCTTTTTGTTAAGTTATCAGTCTTGGTATCGCTTTCACTGTACTTGTCCAAGAACTTCCTTGCTCTGTTATTTACATTTAGAAATTCAGACTATCTCCTTCAAATTCCTCTGCACCCAACACAGGATTTTCTAGTAGAGCATGAGCATGTTGGCTCTCACGGGTTCTGATCTGAGCCTGCCACTAAACTTTCCATTCATATAGAAGAGTTGACTTAATACAGTGTCGAACATATACACTCCTACAGAGGAGTTCACGTTGAGAAGTCTGTCACATCACAGTGTTTTCCTGTTATATTGACTACTCCCCTATATTTAACATGTTTGTGAGGTATAAATGCATTTTAAAAATGTATTAATTTACTAAGCTGTATTTAGTTCTATCCTGGGACTGGATACGTCTATCTTGGCTTCCTGTTAATCAAACTTATAATCTATACCCTCTTAGCCCGTCTGCAAAGAGAGAATAATAATGATTTGATTTCTACTCTTCCAATGAAATAGCCAAATAAGTTAAAACCGCAAAATTGTAACAATTGTACTGCATTCATTGTTTAGTGAATAGAGCACTCAGAGGCAGTCTGTAAATCGCTGCGTTAATGTATAACATGATAAATTAAATGAAGAGAAATCAGTGCTGGTCTTTAATCTCCTACAACAGGGCTAGAGTAGCACTCCAGATGTTGTGAACTACATCACCCATGATGCTTTGTCAGCATTATGGCAGTAAGAATATTATGGGAGATGTAGTCCACAACATCTGGAGTAACAAACGTTGCCAGTCGCGGTCCTACAATACTGCAGGACTTCAGTACCTACTTACATAAGGCACCGTATGCATGAGACCCAAATAGAGAGTTATTGGTTTTATCCATACATTCTGTAAATCTACAATTCTTGAAGATTGTACACCGAGAGATCACAGGTTGTGTGACCTATTTTTTTTTTAAAGACAGAAAACATATCCTAATGCAGTGAAATCTTTAAGTCTGTTATTCCAAGCATGTCTTATTGATAGGAATACCGCTTATCAATCCAGCAAATGGAATACAGCACCCTTTCCAATGCCGTGAAAGCCCCATCGGCCTTTGACCCTCAGTGACAAACCCTTACTAGGTCAGTAAGCAACTTGCACAGGACCTTAGCAAGTCAACAATCAGCACTGTGCCGTCATTGAGGGACAACGATCAGAATGCTCTGGCACACGGGACAAAATGAATAAAATACAAGAATCCTTTATCACCAACGAGACACATTACACAGGGTTATTCGCTGACCACATGCCCATATACTATGATGATAATTGAAGAATGGAAACAGATGTACAGCAATGAGTGGGTAGAATGGCTTATTTTCACATAAAAATTTGATGAGGTATTAACACGATTACTCAGAACATTCATCAAAACTGTTGAATGATGTCGTTCTTCAAAAGAGCTGTCTGATTAATTGGAATATTAAATAGCTAGAAATATCAATAATACGGACAGGAGTGTATGAGAGCAAATACAGAGAAGACACACACACACTCAGTTGGCATTGAGTGTTATCACGGAAAGTAAATAAGCAAAGAATTATGTATCCCTGTCAATCTATGTATGTTACATAAATTTGTAATCAACTTATAGAGCTACAGCCACTCATTTGAAAACAACAATGGAAACTAGCCTCTCGCACTATTACTAGAACACTAAAGCCAGTCATAGTGTGCCACCAGCGCACACAGAATTATTTAAAAGACAGGAAGTTGCTTAGTTTGACAATTGACTCTAAACTGACATAAATTATTTCAGGAAGCACAAATTACCCACATAAGTACTTGAGTGATGAAATTACTGGTTTTACGCAGCAATTCATGTATTAGTTCTGCGCAGTTAACACCAACCTCATAAAGGTAGTTTGATATTAAAAAGGCTCACAACAAAATTACACTCCATTAATGCACATTAACACAGAGCCCGATAACATTAACAGAAAAAAAAAAACAGCCAGTGTCCTGTACCACAGCCAACCTCGGTGCCAGTACCAGCCACTGTCACAGGCAGAACCCAACCACTGTGCCAGTGCCAGCCACACTCAGAGCCAGCCAGGGTGCCAGTACCAGTCAGTGTCCTGTGTGACAGCAAGCCACTGTGCCAGTACCAGCCAGTGTCACAACCAGAGCCAACCACATTGCCATGGTGTCACTACCGTAGCCTGATTCCTGGTATGGCGTCACTGCCATAGTCTGATTCCGGATATGGTGACACAGAATGGCATGGAGTCACTACCATAGCCTGGCAGGGTCTGATTCCTGATTTGGTGTCACTACCATAGTCTGATTCCTGATATTGTGTCACAGGATGACATGGTGCCATAGCCTGGCAGGGTCTGATTCCTGATTTGGTGTCACTACCATAGTCTGATTCCTGATATTGTGTCACAGGATGACATGGTGCCATAGCCTGGCAGGGTCTGATTCCTGACATGGTGCCATAGCCTGGTAGGTTCTGATTCTGACATGGTGATACAGTCTGCCATAGACTGATTCCTGACCAGGTGCCATAGCTTGGCAGAGACTGATCCCTGATTTAGTGTCACTACAATAGTCTGATTCCTGATATTGTATAACAGGCTGACACGGTGCCTTAGCCTGGTAGGGTCTGATTGCTGACATAGTAACACAGCCTGGCAGGGTCTGATTGCTGACACGGTGACACAGCCTGGCAGGGTCTGATTGCTGACACGGTGACACAGCCTGGCAGGGTCTGATTGCTGACACGGTGACAGCCTGGCAGGGTCTGATTGCTGACACGGTGACACAGCCTGGCAGGGTCTGATTGCTGGCATGGTGACACAGCCTGGCAGGGTCTGATTGCTGACATGGTGACACAGCCTGGCAGGGTCTGATTGCTGACATGGTGACACAGCCTGGCAGGGTCTGATTGCTGACATGGTGACACAGCCTGGCAGGGTCTGATTGCTGACATGGTGACACAGCCTGGCAGGGTCAGATTGCTGACATAGTGACACAGCCTGGCAGGGTCTGATTGCTGACATGGTGCCATAGCCTTCATATCCCCCCAGAGAGAGGGAGAGGGGGGATATGAAGCCCCCCTCTCCGGGGGGATATGAAGCCCCCCTCTCCCTCTCTCTGGGGGGGATATGAAGCCCCCCTCTCCCTCTCTCTGGGGGGGATATGAAGCCCCCCTCTCCCTCTCTCTGGGGGGGATATGAAGCCCCCCTCTCCCTCTCTGGGGGGATATGAAGCCCCCCTCTCCCTCTCTGGGGGGATATGAAGCCCCCTCCCCCCTCTCCCTCTCTGGGGGGATATGAAGCCCCCTCCCCCGTCCCCCTCTCTGGGGGGATATGAAGCCCCCCTCTCCCTCTCTGGGGGGATATGAAGCCCCCCCCCTCTCCCTCTCTGGGGGATACAGCTTCCCCTGTCCTCTGGGATAAGGAAGCCTGTCCCCTCTGGGATATGAACCGCCCCTCTCTGGGGATATGAAGCCCCCGCCCCCTCTCTGGGATATGAAGCCTCCCCTTCGTCCCTCTGGGGGATACAGCCCCCCGTCCTCCTTTCCCCTGGGGATATGAAGCCCCCTGGGCTCCCTCTCCGGGGGGATATGAAGCCCCCCTCTCCCTCTCTCTGGGGGGGATATGAAGCCCCCCTCTCCCTCTCTCTGGGGGGGATATGAAGCCCCCCTCTCCCTCTCTCTGGGGGGGATATGAAGCCCCCCTCTCCCTCTCTGGGGGGATATGAAGCCCCCCTCTCCCTCTCTGGGGGGATATGAAGCCCCCTCCCCCCTCTCCCTCTCTGGGGGGATATGAAGCCCCCTCCCCCGTCCCCCTCTCTGGGGGGATATGAAGCCCCCCTCTCCCTCTCTGGGGGGATGTGAGCCCCCGTCCCCTCTCTGGGGGATGTGAAGCCCCGTCCCCTCTCTGGGGGGATGTGGAAACCCATCCCTCTCTGGGGATGGCAAACCCGTCCCCTCTGGGGGATGCCAAACCCGTCCCCTCTCTGGGGGGATATGGCCCCCGTCCCCTCTGGGGGATGTAAAACCCGTCCCCCTCTCTGGGGGGATGTGACGCCCCGTCCCCTCTCTGGGGGATGTAAAACCCGATCCCCTCTCTGGGGATGTGAAGCCGTCCCCTCTCTGGGGGATGTATGAAACCGTCCCCTCTCTGGGGGACTGACCCCTCTCTCCCTCTCTGGGGATGTGAGCCCTCCCGTCCCCACTCTCTGGGGGATGGCAAACCCCTCTCCTCTCTCTGGGGGATATGAGCCCCCTCTCCTCTCTGGGGGATGTGGAAGCCCCCTCTCTCCCTCTCTGGGGATGTAGGCCCCCGTCCCCTCTCTGTGGGGGATGTGAAACCCCGATCCCCCCCTCTCTGGGGATATGAAGCCGTCCCCCTCTCTGGGGGATGTAAAACCCCGTCCCCTCTCTGGGGGATGTAGAGCCCCGTCCCTCTCTGGGGATGTGAGCCGTCCCTCTCTTGGGGGATATGAAACCCCTCCTCTCTGGGGGGATGTAAAACCTCCCCTCTCTGGGGGGGATGGAAGCCCTCTTCCTCTCTGGGGGAGTTCAGCAGGCCCCCTCCCTTCTCCTGGGGATATAGGCCCCCCCTCTCTCCACTCTCTCTGGGGGATATGAGACCCCCTCCACTTCTCTGGGGATGTGGAGCCCCCCTCCCTCTCTCTGGGGGATATGAAGCCCCCCTCTCCCTCTCTCTGGGGGATATGAAGCCCCCCTCCCTCTCTCTGGGGGATATGAAGCCCCCCTCTCCCCGGGGAAGGCAGTCAGAGGGCTACTTACCGGTAACTTGGGGTTCACCTCCCCTTTACAATGGTGACAGAAGAACCGATGCTGAGACACGGCCGCCGCCTCCGCCATTTCTCCTCCTGCTCAGGAGTCACGTCAGTCCTCCACCACCAGCGATAGCCCGGCACGAGCGGCGCTGCCCGATGGAGCGCTCTACCCCTCACAGCACCACAGAGTCCAACCCGCAGCCGCGGTCTGTCCTCCAGCACCAGAGAGTTCCTGTCAGGCTGCCCCCCGGCGACACTCTATCCTCGCCAGTACCAGCGAGTTGCAATGCACAGCCGCTCACCGAGCGCTACACAACCATAGAGTTCCCAACAGAGGCGCTCTATCCCAAGCACTCCGAATGTCAATAAACTTTATTGACAAGTTCGGAATTGAACAATTCTGATATCCAGCAGTATGACTGAGAGCGGTTTGTTATTCTCCCCTGAGATCCCAGGATACGCGGAGTGACCTGATACACACAGACACAGACAGACAGAGACACAGACACAGACGGACAGACAGACAGACGGAAGTTGGTATATAGTTACTATGGTGATGTGACTGTCAGCTGACCGGAAGTGGTGCCATGTGACTGTCCAAGGCCTGATACTCAGATGCTGTGTGAGTGACAGCCTCTCTGTGTTATTATACACCGTGTGATATTATATACAGTGTGATATTATACACCGTGTGATATTATATGCAGTGTGATATTATATGCAGTGTGATATTATATGCAGTGTGATATTATATGCAGTGTGTTATTATACTGCGTGTGTTATTATACACCGTGTGATATTATATACAGTGTGTTATTATACACTGTGTGTTATTATACACCGTGTGATATTATATACAGTGTGTTATTATACACCGTGTGATATTATATACAGTGTGTTATTATACATCGTGTGATATTATATGCAGTGTGATATTATATGCAGTGTGTTATTATACACCGTGTGATATTATATACAGTGTGTTATTATACACCGTGTGATATTATATACAGTGTGTTATTATACACCGTGTGATATTATATGCAGTGTGATATTATATGCAGTGTGATATTATATGCAGTGTGTTATTATACACCGTGTGTTATTATACACCGTGTGATATTATATGCAGTGTGTTATTATACACCGTGTGTTATTATACACCGTGTGATATTATATGCAGTGTGTTATTATACACCGTGTGTTATTATACACCGTGTGTTATTATACACCGTGTGTTATTATACACCGTGTGTTATTATACACTGTGTGATATTATACACCGTGTGTTATTATACACCGTGTGATATTATACACCGTGTGTTATTATACACCGTGTGATATTATACACCGTGTGATATTATACACCGTGTGATATTATACACCGTGTGTTATTATACACCGTGTGATATTATACACCGTATGATATACACCGTGTTATATTATATACAGTGTGTTATTATACACCGTGTGATATTATATACAGTGTGTTATTATACATCGTGTGATATTATATACAGTGTGTTATTATACACCGTGTGATATTATATACAGTGTGTTATTATACACCGTGTGATATTATATACAGTGTGTTATTATACACCGTGTGATATTATACACCGTGTGATATTATACACCGTGTGTTATTATACACGTGTGTTATTATACACCGTGTGATATTATACACCGTGTGTTATTATACGCACTGTGATATTATATACAGTGTGTTATTATACGCACTGTGATATTATATACAGTGTGTTATTATACACCGTGTGTTATTATATACCATGTGATATTATATACCGTGTGATATTATACACCGTGTGATATTATATACCGTGTTATCACACGCCGCGTGATATCACACGCCGCGTGATATCACACGCCGCGTGATATCACACGCCGCGTGATATCACACGCCGCGTGATATCATATACAGTGTGTTATTATATACAGTGTGTTATTATATACAGTGTGATATTATATACACTGTGATATATACCGTGTGATATTATATACACTGTGATATTATACTGTGTGTTGATATTATACCGTATGTTATCATCATACCGTGTGTTGTTATCATACCGTGTGAGCGAGCGCTGTGATTTTATACCGTGTGAGCGAGTGCTGTGATTTTATACCGTGTGAGCTGTGATTTTATACCGTGTGAGCTGTGATATTATACCGTGTGAGCGAGCGCTGTGATTTTATACCGTGTGAGCGAGCGCTGTGATTTTATACCGTGTGAGCGAGCGCTGTAATATTATACCGTGTGAGCGAGCGCTGTGATATTATACCGTGTGAGCGGGCACTGTGATATTATACCATGTTTATGTCCTAGCGCTTCTATTATATCACATTAATTGTCGATCTATATAGGCAATAAATGAAAAAAAGCTGCTACAACACAGTCTTTTATCTTTTAACAAATAGTTAAGAAAGTGGAGTGTCTCTGTGAAGCGCTATATTAGTGATAATCAAATAGGAAGGAGTTTATGGTGATATTGCTAATTGCCCAGTGTAAAGGGATATACCTTTTAAAATTAGTTTTCTCATTTTTAGAGGTGTCAGTATATCTGTATTTCCCTTTAAATAGAGAACATAGAAACTGTACAATATTGCCAAGTAACAACTCACAATTTTCTGAGCTAAAAAACTTAGCTCTAGTTCGTGCGTTTTGGGTCCGTAAAGGTGACCCTATCCCTCCTTTGCGTCCAAATTTTCTTAGGATTCTGTCCTAGGTGATTGGCATAAAGGAAACATATATAGTGTAATATAAAGTGCAGTTTGGTACTCACAAACTCAGAGCCTTCCAATAGGCTCAAATTAAGTTGCATATGTGGTTAAGGACCACATTCCTTCTTTATAATTGCAGGAAAAGGTAATGCTGTAAGAGTATAAAAAGTATATACTTTATTACTCTTAAAAAACATATAATATAAAATACACAATAGTTAAGAAATACACTTGTTCGGCTAAAGTCCGAAAATAGAGTCTTAGTGCTCACTGTTCTCCCAGGACGCGTTTCGCCAATAGGCTTCCTCAGCTGGAAAATTCTCTGTCATTGCTAAAGACAATTGTGTTTAATCGAGGGCACCCTACTCTGTGTAAATCCATGTGAATATCAGTGGCTTAATGGCAATTAACACTTTGAAAACATCTCTGTTTCCTTATTTAGATCGGTAAATATGACTCAAGCAGAGGCCAAACTGTGCTCATTATTGCTGCAGGAGCATTACGGGGAGATTGTGGATCGCGTCGGATGTTTTCTCATCCGTACTGGCAGCCAGCCTCTGAGAGTGATTGCTAATGACACAGGCACTCCTTTGGATCAGGTAAGCCTAATGCTTTTATTTTTTTACGTATTATAATTCTACAATTGTCATTCACTTAGGGGCAGATAATGCCTTGCTTTACTCTTGGCAGATCCCTGGGTAGAAGGGGCGTAAACTTGGTAAGTAGTGGCTGGTGATGTGGACCTGTATGAGGTCATTTAAGCTCACTAAGACTTTTATCTTCTGTGCTTTTGATCAGATAGTCCCTTAAATGAAAATTAGACATGGAGACTTTCTCTACTGAATGGAAAGCAATCTGTTAATCTGCCTCTCAATCCCTTGAGACATCATGGTTTACAGAAATCAGGGATAAGGTATTTGTAGTAAACAGTGCTTCAAGGTACATTCACAATATTCTCTTAATCAAGTGAAACTTAACAGGAGCAACTGACCATCAATCAGTAAATCCTCCTGACCAACCTTGAGGTTTTGCTAGCTCATTTTTCTATCATCATTCTCTCTTTTTTTTTTTCTTTCATTGGTGTTATATCTAAAAACAACTTGATAAAGATGCAGATCTAATGTCTGCAGCCTATGCAAGCCCTCCCCTTCTAACCCCGCCCAGACTTTCACTGACTGTCCAACACAGACTTCCCAATATAGCTCAGTGAGAAGTTTTTGCAAGGTAGGTGCCCTTGGCAATTGCTGCCTCTTGAGTTTAGTTCCACTGAGCTAAACAAACCAGGAAGTAACCGGACTGATTGTCTGTCTGATTTTCAAGGGGAGGAGTTTACAAGGTTAATTTATGAAGTGTCAATTTTTATTTAAATTTGCATTTTTTTGTAAAATGGAAAAAAGAGGACATACTCTTCACGCATAAAGCACTTTAGCAAGCTGAAGTGCTATCAGGTTTTGGAGTATCTCTTTTTTAAACAACATCCAAAGTATCCATTTTTAAACAACATCCAAAATATGTTAATATTTATTTCATCTAAGCGAGCTGTCAAAATTACTACCACTTGAACAAATGCTGGACTGTGATCTCATTAATCTCATGCCCAAAGGAAGTTCATGTTGACCTTTTTTAAAATATTTTTTTAACATGCAATAAAGAAAAACCACTCTAGTGGCACTCTAAGCACTATAACCACTTACATTTTTGTAAAGGATCTGGTGCATGGAGTCTTTGGGTGCCATCCTCTCCTTTTCTGCAAAACCATTTTTGAGCTATTTTGTTGTAAAAAAGATTGCCAAAAAATAAAGTTCTACGCTGTTGATAATGCAAATATGATTTCTGGCTAAAGACCTATTTAAATAGTTTTGCAATTCAATGACCTAACTAATTCTACTAATATGGGAATTCTGTGTACAGCCACGTGGCATTATTCCGGTGCCGAACTCTGCACATGGCATCCACAGTCCAAGTCTATCTCCTTATCACCCAAGCCTTGTGTAATAGGTCTAATAAGCAGTTTTGACATTCAGAAATTTGTGTACTTAACACTTATGGGGGTACTGAATCTGTATCAATCTTTCCTGGATTATATAAAATAAAGCTCTACTTCCTTTCTTTATTTAGGAGTTATTTAGTACTATATAACTTATAATGCATTTTATAGCTGTAAACCTTTATAGTTACGTGCTCTGTTTTCCAGGTCAAAAAAGCTCTGTGTGTTCTTATCCAACACAATCTGGTGTCTTACCAAATACACAAACGTGGCTTTGTGGAGTATTTTGCGCACTGCGACCGCTACCTGCGGATCCTCCGGTATCCCCGCTACATTTACACGGCAAAGACTCTTTATGGCGACACCGGTGAACTGATTGTGGAGGAGCTGCTACTGAATGGAAAGATGACATTTAGTGCCGTAGTAAAGAAAGTGGCCGACCGGCTGACAGAAACCATGGAAGGTGAGCTGGTTCACAGGAATCCTCTATATAAATCCTGTAACTAATATAAAGAAGCATTATACTGCTTTGGTTTTTGTCTTTGTAAAATTGTTTGCTTAAATGTACTTAGCGCTGTGGAACTCAAACATGATATTGACCCATGGGGTGCACAGTCAAGTGATGCAACTGGAGAACTTGGCTGAAAGATTATTTGTAGCCCTTCTCTGAACCCTCTCTAAGGTATCAATATCCTTCTGAAGATACAGTCTCCAGTACTGTGTACAATACTCTAAGTGAGGTCTCACCAGTGTTCTGTACAATGGCATGAGCACTTCCCTCTTTCTACTGCTAATACCTCTCCCTATACAACCAAGCATTCTGCTAGCATTTCCTGCTGCTCTGTTACATTGTATGCCTACCTTTAAGTCATCTGAAATAATCACCTCTAAATCCCTTTCCTCATACGTTGAGGTTAGGACTCTATCAACTATTCTGTACTCTGCCCTTGGGTTTTTACGTCCAAGATGCATTATCTTGCACTTATCCACATTAAATGTCAGCTGCCACAACTCTGACGTTTTTTTTTTTTCTAGATTCATATATAGTGGCACTTATAAAGCTTACAGTGTACGGTTTTGTGAGATGTAAATTGAACATTTTCTTTTATTACCTCTTCTTTAAATCTAGTGATTATATATTGTAAGAGTGGCTTCGACTCTAAGCGTAAAGTGGAGTGGCACTCGTTAACTATATTCCATCCTTAGTGACTACAGACCAGGGTAGACCATTCCCATTGATCAATAATTATGAAGAAAGTTGGTCCGGGCACATATAGGTGGGGTTAAGGCAGATTTATTGGAAAACCATACAACGTTTCTGCTGCCACAGGAGCCTTTAGCAAGCTAACACAAACACAGCGTGAACTCATTTATAGCTAATTAGTTAAAGTGCTGTGTGTTTAAAAAAAACTGTGTGTAAAACAATAGTCGTGTTATTATGACATCACACAAAGTGAAATACATCAATTCCATACAAAGAAAATATCATATCAAACTTGTGCATATAATAAAACATCTAATACATTCTCCTTTATTTATTAAAAAATGTTTTAAAACATCAATATTTCTCAGTATCAGGTCACATGATCGGACCCTGACCAGGTGTGATCAGGTGACCTTGATGTTGCATGGCTTTCCAATAAATCTGCCTTAAAACCTCAATGTGCCTGGTCCAACTTTCTTCATAAGTACTAATCATTATTCATGCCACATTAGAGTTAAGCAGCATTGACAGGTTTTTCTGTACCTGGTGGTCTAAAGATGAATATAGTAACAACCTGTTTGTCTGTGCAGATGGGAAAAGTGTGGATTACAGTGAGGTGTCTGGGACATTCTCCAGTTTGGCTGACACACACTTCATACAGAGGTGCCCAGGTCTTCCTGAAATGGAATCCACAAAAGGATCTGACAGCCGCAGACCTGTAGCACCCTCGCTGGTCATCGACGAGAAAGACATGTACACTATTCCCAAAGTAAACATGTTTGGTAAGAAACCAGCCCTGGCAATTTTTTTTTATTTTTATTTTTTTATAAAGACCATCAATATTTCCCAACCCTCTTGGTTTTGCATGGGATATTGCATTCATCAGAATGGGTAAGGGGGTATCTTTCCTTGTGTCGTAATACCCATTGTGGTATGTATACCATTCTTAGGAAGAGGCAAAAGACGCCGGTCTTCTGACGATGAGGAAGAAGGAAATAAGGGGAAGAGACAAAAGAAAGATACAGGCCCAGAGGTGAGTTTAATGACTTATAAAAGTTCAGATCACATAACTCTGTGTTTCTTTCAAAATAAAAGGAACACTACAGGGTCAGGAAAATAAATATGTGTTCCTGACTCTATAGTGGTAAAACTACCATTTAGGTGGCGTACATCCACCCATAGCCACCATAGAAAGGATTAAAACTTGCCTTATTTGCACCGCTGTGCTTGTCCATCAGTGCTGGCCCAGCCACCGATCCGCTTCTTTGGTTGACATCATCAGAACTGATGATCTCAGCCAATCCAAAGCATTGAACTGGCTGAGATCATCAAGGAGGTGGGGCGGGGCCAAACGGCAGCCTGGCCAAACAGCCTTTTCTCATAGAGATGAATTAAATACAGGTGATACTCGAAAAATTTGAATATCGTGCAAAAGTTCATTTATTTCAGTAATGCAACGTAAAAGGGGAAACTAATATATGAGATAGACGCATTACATGCAAAGCAAGATAATTCAAGCCGTGATTTATAATAAGTGCGATGATTATGGCTTACAGCTCATGAAAACCCCAAATCCACACTCTACATAAATTAGAATATTGTGAATAGGTGCAATATTCTAGGCTCACAGTGTCCCACTCTAATCCGCTAAGTAAGCCATAACACCTGCAAAGGGTTTCTGAGCCTTTAAATGGTCTCTGTCTGGTTCAGTAGGAATCACAATCATGGGGAAGACTGCTGACCTGACAGTTGTGCAGAAAACCATCATTGACACCCTCCATGAGGAGGGAAAGCCTCAAAAGGTAATTGCAAAGGAAGTTGGATGTTCCCAAAGTGCTGTATCAAAGCACATTAATAGAAAGGTATGTGGAGGGGAAAAGTGTGAAAGAAAAAGGTGCACAAGCAGCAGGGATGACCGCAGCCTGGAGAGTATTGTCAGGAAAATGCCATTCAAAAGTGTTGGGGACTTTCACAAGGAGTGGACTGAGGCTGGAGTCAGTGCATGAAGAGCCACCACACACAGACGGTTCCTGGACATGGGCTTCAGATGTCTTATTCCTCTTGTCAAGCCGCTCCTGAACAACAAACAACTTCAGAAGCGTCTTACCTGGGCTAAAGAAAAACAGACCTGGTCTGTTGCTCAGTGGTCCAAAGTCCTCCTTTCTGATGAGAGCAACTTTTGCATCTCATTTGGAAACCAAGGAACCAGAGTCTGGAGGAAGAATGGAGAGGCACACACTGCAAGATGCTTGAAGTCCAGTGTGAAGGTTCCACAGTCTGTGTTGATTTGGGGAGCCATGTCATTTGCTGGTGTTGGTCCACTGTGCTTCATTAAGTCCAGGGTCAACGCTGCCGTCTTCCAGGAGATTTTGGAGCACTTCATGCTTCCTTCCACAGACGAGCGTTATGGGGATGCTGACTTCATTTTCCAGCAGGACTTGGCACCTGCCCACACTGCCAAATGCACCAAAGCCTGGTTCAATGACAGTGGGATTACTGTGCTTGATTGGCCAGCAAACTCACCTGACCTGAACCCCGTAGAGAATCTATGGGGCATTGCCAAGAGAAAGATGAGAGACATGAGACCAAACAATGCAGAATTGCTGAATGTCGCTATTGAAGCATCCTGGTCTTCCATAACACCTCAGCAGTGCCACAGGCTGATAGGTATACTTTTCAGAGGTCCGATATTGTTCAATGTACACTCCTTGTTTTATTGATTGCATGTAATATTCTAATTTACTAAGATTGAGGATTTGGGGTTTTCATGAGCTGTAAGCCATAATCATCGCACTTATGACAAATCACGGCTTGAACTATCTTGCTTTGCATGTAATGCGTTTATCTCATATATATTAGTTTCCCGTTTTACATTGCATTAATGAAATAAATGAACTTTTGCACGATATTCTAATTTTTCGAGTATCACCTGTAAATGAATCTCTATGGGGAAAGTTCGGTGTTTCCATGCAGAGGGTGGAGACACTGAACGGCAGTCACACTGTGCAGCACTGACCCAGGAAGCACCTCTAGTAGCCATCTGGGCAGTGGCCAATGGAGGTATCCCTAGGCTGTAATGCAAACACTGCCTTATTTTCTGGGGGCGAAAAACAGTGTTTACTGCAAAAGGCCTGAAGGTAATGATTATACTCACCAGAACCAATACAATTAGCTGTAGTTGTTATGGTGACTATAGTGTCCCTTTAATATCTGCAGAGCACCAGCTTGATCAATTCACCTCCAGGTGAGAGATTTCTCCCTCTCCTGGAATTAATTGATTTCTGTGGAGCCAGTCAGTTTGTATATTCCTAAACAATGAGCCATCTCCTTTTACTGGCATCACCATAGATCAGTGTCACTTTGTGGAAGAACTGTGCAACTTGTTGGCTCATTGCCTGTATTTTTATAACGGCAGCATAGGGTATTTCTTACAAAAAGCAAACACATTAACACTGATAATGTTATTCCATAAATAAATTAAAATACTAAAAACACTGATTAAGAGGGGGGTTGTTGTTTTTTTTTTTTAAAAAAAAAAAAACTAATTCTTAGATTAGGAGCATCACAGTGTTGTATATTGGAAATCTCCTATTAATCTGACGTGCACTCCTCTTTGTTTATCTGCAGTCCAAAGAAGATGACGGAATCTACTGGCAGATTAAAATGGAGCGTTTCCATCAGCACTTCCGAGATCAAGCAGTCATCAGTGCTATATCCAATAAAATGGACCAGGTACAACGAGTACAGTTAACTGTTACGATATATTGCATTCTAGTTCTGGTTGAAGGTAAACATTCTCACATTTCCTCTATAAGGAGATTATAGATATTTTTTAATTTCCACCCTATATGAAAAAGCATAATTAACAAATATAACTGAATGTTTCTGTGCATAGGCTGCATGGACACTTCAAATTGCTCATGTTCACACAAGTGAACCTGTTAAGAACTTACCTGAAATCCGCTCCCCTGTACATCGAATACACAATATATCACAAAGATACATGGTGTATTCATGGTAAAATATAAAATGTAATCACTTTTCCCGCTTCCAGTTCCACTTCACGTGTGTTACTCTTCGTGTAACATCCACCTCCAGGCCGTCCTGCGCTCCTCCTGAAGTCTTCTTTGATTTTCCCTGCTTGGGAAGATTGGCAAATCTTGTCAGTGACATCGGCACGCTGCCTTCGTTGCCAGCATGCCTGCTTCGGAACAGAGTGACATTGCGTCACTCCGTCCCTATACTCCATAACCAGCGCTAGAAGCTCTGTCTAGGAAGATCCCATGATCCATGAGGGATCTCCTGCGCGAGGTCTTTTCTGCTCTCCCTTATCAGTCAATGCATCATCACTCTGACGTATTGACTGACAGCTGGGAGAAAACCAATATAATTAGTATTTGTTTTTTTTCTGCTTATCTACACATTTTCTAGCAAAGTGTATACCGGTAATTACAATCTAATGAGCATAAGTTGTTTGGGGCATGACCGGTTCCTTTTAAAGGGCGTTAGAAAGAAGCCCACTGTTTCCCCATGCTCTGTCTACTATGAGTAGGAGGCTGCTGTGAGTCACAACAGGATGTTAAGCAAGGGGAAGGGATCCAGCCTTCTAAAAACACATCCTATTTCAGGTATTAAGTCTCTTATTTTATAAAAAGTTATTACACATATCTATTTCTGGAATCTTTTATAAAAAGAGAATTGCCTATGTAAGTGTTGTTTTTTTTTATTTTAAAACTGCAGTATGTGCTAAACTGGGATCTACCATCTAACTTTGACCCACCAGCTCTTTGCTGGCAGTGGATTTGGCCATCACGGAGCAGAGAGGGTGCTTATGATAAAGAATTCCACTTATGTCAGTCTTTGTGTTCCTGAAATAACTCCGTATTTCAGACCAGCAGTGAGATCGTCCGGACAATGTTGAGAATGAGCGAGGTCACCACACCTTCCAGTGCTGCCTACACTCACCCGCTGTCATCCAGTGAAGTAGGTTCAACCCTTTTATAGATTTCATAAGTTTTATCTGCTAAATTACCAAGGTTGCTCCTTAAATCTGGAACTCTGAACAGTCAATCGCTTTTAAAAGATGTGTTTTTTCTTTCTCCTTTTTTAGTTCTGCACAACTTATGTTTTTTTTTTTTTTGCAGATCTTCAGATCTTTGCCCACAGGATACAACATCTCAAAACAAGTCTTGGACCAGTACCTTACCCTTTTGGCTGATGACCCGGTACCTATTGCTCTCTCATGTTCATAGATACATCATGGTTAATTTCCAAACATGAATGAGAAAGCACTTTTTTAATTAACTTTATTAGATCAAGAATTTAGTGGGACTCTGGTCTCATCTCATCTTGTAGAGCAGAGGTGGCCCGTCACCTAGCTTGTAATTGTTACAGCTTTCAGCATTTGTATCCAGCCTGTGCCCAGAGGAGTGTATATTTCTGTTGTATGGCAACATTTGCATTTCTTGCACTCCATCAATAAACAATTGACTCCTCGCTTATAGAGTGATCCAGTACGGATTGTGCAATGAAGCAAGAACTGTCCAACTGCTAGGGATCACCACCCCAATCACTCTAAGAAGACTTCAGTATTCATTTCACAGCTTTTTAAAAGTTGCAAATGTCCTTTTACTATAAATCTCAATATCCTGCCATTAACTAGATGAAAGCAACGTGTCGTCCTTTTTTTATATTTTTTTTTTCTTCCTGTTTCAGTTGGAGTTTGTCGGGCGGTCTGGGGACAGCGGTGGAGGGATGTTTGTCATCAGTATCCTTTTTCTAACAGTCAAGTTCTGGGTCAGAATTTCTTTTTACCATACAGGGAATCCCGTTATTGTTGGTGACTTAACATTATATTAGATCTTCACAAGGCAATTGCTTCTCTAGCCACTTCAAACCTGCAATCCATTGTGCAGGAGAGGTAAGTGATGTGTTTTGGTTTCTTGCTATCTCTCAGCATAACATGGCCGCCTAGCAGCCATGTGTCCGTCTTCATTATTCCTTACAATGCACAGCACTAAATGCCTGACTAGCTTTGCCATTATTCGATTGCATCAGACAATTTTCCCAGCTTGAATTCCATTTGGTCACGGCCCATGACATTGGTTTAAATTCAAAGAGGACGGAATGCTATCTATTCATTGTCAGCCAAGTTGATGGCATATTTATAGATAAAATAGCTTTACTAGAAGGTTTCTGTTTTTATCTAGACACTAAATTTAAACTGCAGCTGTTGCCCAAGAGTGGAATGCTTGCATACACCCATGATGCATTATTCGGCCTCCCAGAATGCATTCTGCTCCCAGAATACAAGCAGAGCCAGGTAGCATTCTGAAAGCTGCACTCTCAAGATAGAACAGAAAGTTGGGTAAAATATAAGTACATTTATATATTTGCTGATGATTCAGCCAGTAAAAGGTATTGATGGCCATTTATTTCTTAATCAAACTGAGGTTTTGAGGGTCGTAGTGTAAATCAATACATGATGCGAACTTACTAATCCTGGGTTTTGACAGGTTCGGTTCTAGATGCGCAAGGATTTTCCGGCTTCTCCTCTGCAAGAAACACTTGGAACAGAAGCAAGTGGAAGATTTTGCAATGATCCCAGCCAAGGAGGCGAAGGACATGCTTTATAAAATGCTGTCTGCGAATCTGGTTTACCTACAGGTAGGTGCTCACTACTGATATGTAGCCCAACGGGTTAGCGTATAGTTACCAGCTCGCCAGGTTACTGCTGGGGAGCCTGCAATACAATGCTACATAAATGGGAAGCTCCCATGGTAAGGAATAGCATTAAGGCACATTTATTCTGGAGAAAGAAATGCTTTGGATTTTCATAAACGTGTACTGCATTTAATTCATGCTTTCTATACAATGCATGTTCTTATAGAAAATATTGCATTGCTTCTGGTTACTATGGCAACAAAATACTGCCCCAAAAGCCACTGTTTTATCAGGTCTTGCACCAGTTGACCCAGCAGAACGTAGATAAGAGTAAGCTGCTTTAAAGGGACACTGTAGTCACAATAACCATTTCATCTCTTTGAATGGTTATAGTGTCTGGAGTCCCCTGGCACTGTCCCTCCATTCAGAGTTAAACTACTTTAGAACAGTTTAAAACTAAATAGGGGTCCTTGGACACCCACATTGTGGCCCATTCTGGAGGTGTGGCTAAGGCAGAGATTACACATTTCCTTGTAATCAGACCCTTCATACTGTCACCTGGAGTTCTGAAAGGCTACAAGCAGTCAGCTGAGACTCTCAGCCAATCACAGCAACCCATCAAGCGAATACTTCCACATTTGCCAAATTAGCATAGGTGCTTCTGGGGGCTCTCATATAGCACTGAAACATAAAAACATTTAAAAACTTTTTAATGCTGAATGAATTGATGACACCAGGGGACTCCAGACACTATAACTAGTTTAATGAGAGAAAGCAGACACAGTGCCTACAGTGTCCCTTTAATAATCGTCCAATCAGCATTGCAAAGTTATCGAGACTATTTCTAGAAAGGTGTGTTTAGTTTAAAAGTGAGAAAAAAAGAACAACTTTTATAGAGATCCAAAAATATTAAAAAAAGAAAACCCACTTCCTCCCTGTTTCCCTTTTCCTGTATTTGTCTCTTCCTGATACAACACATAGCGTTCATTTTCTGCCATACAAGGTAAAGAGTCGATCATTTCTCTATGTGAACGGGGTTTTTAGATTTGTTTATCCATGGCATCATGTGATTATATTGACTGTTTGCCGATCACTTTCACTTTTTGTTTTGCACACAGGAAATTCCCAAAACCCCAGATCACGCGCCGGCTCGAACATTCTATCTATACGCAGTGAACACACTGTCCTCTGCTCGCATGTTGTTGCAGAGATGTTACAAGGTATTGTTACCCAGAATCCTCCATTCCTTGTGGCTTAGTCAGACGATGCCCTGGGAGTAGGGAAACCTGTATATGGTTATATTTAGTAAAAATATAATACATAGGCAAATAATTTGATTTCCATAGCATGCACATATTTCACATTAAAAGATTTATGATTTTACTATGAGGCTAATGTTATTCACTAAAATGTGAATTATAGGGAATTCAAAGTTAATTTCAAATTTTAAGCCAAAACAGATTATTTGGGGAAAAAAATTCCATGTTGTTAGTTTTTAACTGTGGCCTAAAATTTCAAATTCATTTAGAATTCCAGAAAATTCAAATGTTCGTGAGTAACTCCGTGAGTTGTAAAATGTAGTAATTTATTAAATCATCTCATAATTAGTTTTTGCCTAATTATCTCTTTAACAAATAAACGTTTTGTTGCTTTGGCCACCCTCCATCCTGTACCCAGGGGGCCTGGCCGCCCTGCGACTCGGTATGTACCCACTGTGGCCAGCCTCTTCTCCTGGGGGGCCCAGGAGCTGGCCACCTCAGGGGCCCCCCGAGGCTGGCCCTGGTATCACCCGGCGGGCAGGCTGGCGTCATCTTCCGGCATCAGTAGGCGGCGAGGGAGCTGAAGAGGAAGCACACAGGGGAGAGTGCTCCCTCGCGCACCTGCCTGCCCGCCAGGTGACCGGCCGCCCAGGAGCACCACTGGACCCCAGGAAATCCCTCAGCTCTCCCTAGGGTAGGGAGGCTGGGGGGTGACATTTAAAAAACAAAACAAGTGTGTGTGTGTTAGAGTTAGAGTGTGTGTGTGTGTGTGTTAGTGTTAGAGTGTGTCAGTGAGTGTGTTACTTTGTGTGTTTGTGTGCGTCAGTGAGTGTGTGTTTTGTAAGTGAGTGTGTCTGTCAGTGAGTGTGTATGTATGTCTGTCACTGAGTGTGTGTCTGTCAGTAAATGTGTGTGTCTGTTAGCTAGTGTGTATGTGTCTGTTCGTGAGAGTGTGTGTGTGTGTGTGTGTCTTAAGCACTTACCTTTCTCCAGCGCCGGACTCTCTTGGCACTGGGGATCTCTACGCCCCGATCCGCTTCTCAGCTCCGAATGCGCATGCGTGGCAAGAACCTCGGGCGCATTCAAACCGCCCATAGGAAAGCATTACTCAATGCTTTCCTATGGACGTTCAGCGTCTTCTCACTGTGACTTTCACAGTGAGAATCGCGGAAGCTCCTCTAGCGGCTGTCAATGAGACAGCCACTAGAGGCTGGATTTAACCCTCAGTGAAACTGCTATGTTTTCAGCTACAGGGTTAAAACTAGAGGGACCTGGCACCTAGACCACTTCATTGAGCTGATGTGATCTGGGTATCTGTAGTGGTCCTTTATGTGTGTGTGTGTATCTGCTTGCACTGGCGTACAGACCGCGGTCGCAGCCTTGCGACCCCTGCGACCAGGTGCCCACCGCCATGTGTTGCGGCCACAGCCCGCGCAGAGTAAGGGGGGGGGGGAGCACACGGATCAGTTTTCGCACCGGGGCCCCATGGGTTGTGTGTACGCCACTGCCTGTACCCATACCTGTTCCTACATCATATAATCTACTTTGAGTTTCTCTGCGGCTGGACGCTTTGTATAGTCACCAGTCATGTTAAAGGAGACTCTACTTGTGACATCTATGACTTCATGACAGAGGCTAATCCAACAGACTAAAGTCAGGGCATCTCAACAAACCCTAATATCTGTATGTTTACTCGTTTGAGCACCACAAGAGCAGAATACAGAAGAAATTATGAAAGAATAGGGTTTTTTTCCCCTGAAAATGTTAGACTTAAAGTGACAAGTTTCTAAACAACACTGGAATTGTGTTAATTTTTTGCAAAGATAAAGGTGGCCCCATCTTTGACAAGTCACTCGCAAAATATTTTATAACTTGATCAGAGGAATCTGCTGGGATTAAGGATTCAATTGATCTTTGTAAAAAGTATCTGTATAAATAATAGGGCTTTAAAAAAAAAAAAAGTCTTGTTTGAGGCAATCTGCTAAATCTTGCACTTAATAAAAGCCCAAGCATACAGATTACATGCGTTGGAGATTGGAATGGAATTAATAAGACCTCTGATGATTATCTTCCTGCGTCTCTCCTCAGACCGTTGCAAACCTGATAGAGCGGAGACAGTATGAGACCAAAGAGAACAAGTAAGTTTGCATTACATTGTTATTAGAGTCTACGTGAAATGTACTCTGGGCCTGACAGGCTGTGAGCTTCAATGCATTCTTTTATCTTGCTCTTAGCTGTGTAGCATGTTTTGGGGGTGATTTGTGGTGCTTTAAATGGACTTATCTAAGCAATATCAATAGATACGGGTTAGCCTTGTCACCTAAACAGCACTCATTGCAACACCCATAGTCTATGACTTTTGTGGACTTGTTTAATTCATGCAGTTAAAATAAGCAATGAGCGTGTGTGAATCTACCAGTAAGTAAAGATAAGGTTCCTTGTTGCAAGAGACTTCAAGTTCAAGAGGTTTAGAAAAGAATCCAATGCATTTTCAGACCATGTAAACCTGTGTCATCACATTACAATGCGTAACCCAGTTGTTTTCAAATTAGCTCATACTGTGTATACTGTAATGGTTGATCATGTCGAGAATACACAGTTCCTGTTAGCCCAGCCAATTAGATCAGCTGCACTCTTTCCATAGACAGATGGCAGAACTTAACTGGGATCCATATCTCATAAGGCATTGATGGCTAACTTTAGCACTGCAGATATTAGCGTACTCCATTTCCCATGATGCCCAGCCAGCCTGTAGACTAGATTGCCATGTTTCAGCGTTTCTTGTCTGATAGATGGGAAAGGCAATTGTCTGTCAAAAAGTTGTATTTTATTTTTAAGGTCCTTAGTTTTACTTTGTATTTCCTCTATTCTGTACAGACGGCTGCTGGAAAAATCTCAGAGGATTGAAGCTATCCTAGCATCCATGCAAGCCACAGGAGCGGAGGAGACTCAGCTGCAGGAGATCGAGGAGATGATCACTGCTCCAGAACGTCAGCAGATTGAGAACCTAAAGCGAAATGTCAATAAGTAAGTCCAGCCGTATTCCATGGACGACTTGTCCCCTTGAGTGCCATGTATATGACCTTGGTATTTGTGTCCACTGCACTTCCAGTATATCAGCTTGGCATCCGAATAAGGATATTCACAGGTGCATATTGACACCATTGCACTTCAAATGGACACCTATGGTTAGGTTTAGAGGTGAAGGCAAAGTATTTACCAGTGTGCAGTAAAGAAGGAGACATTCGTAAACAGGAGTTTTAAAGTTGCCATTTTGTCCATATATTCCATTAAAAGGGAGGGGAAAAGTTGGAAAGTCAAAAGCCCCATAGAAAACTATTCTTCAGCTTGAAAATATAATTTTCTGTGAAATCAAATAACGTTTCATTGGTATGGTAACTTGCATAGGATCCTCTATAAAGGAATATGGAAATTTTTAAGGGATACTTAGTGTGACAAACGCCGCTTTCCACAGATGTTTGCCACGGAGTGTGGAAGCTGGCCTCCTGCCCACCGACTATGGGCCAGGTCAGCAACTGTAAAGACCCATATTTTATTTCCCCTGGTTCGGCACTTTCCATTCGTGTGCATGGAACCGAACGCTAGCTCCCTTGCAGCCGTTTGCATGGACCATAACCGCGAATATACTTAGGGGGACTTAGCCGCGATACTATGGAACTATTTTGGGCATAGGAACATGCATGCGGTCCGTCAAATTATGACTTCCAGGAACTTTTGAGATTTTTGGGAAATGTGTGTGTTTTGTGCCTGGAGATAATTGAGTTTAATACAGTGCTTGACTCCATTATCTCCCAGGCACAGGGGAGGGATTATCATGTTTTGTGTGGTAGTGTCCTGGACCTCAGAACCAATGTAATCGGGTGTATGTTTTTACTGTAGTCTACACTCAGGTCCAGGGGGGAGTGCCCCTTGGATGGGGACCTGCATATAAGGCCAGTTGTGGCTGCCAATAAACGTATTCCAGCTTGTACACCAATAACTATGTGTCATCTGGTTATTGGAAGGGGAAAGGGCTACTCTTTGATCACTGTTCCATTGTGGAGGATTCAATGGGGAAAATCCTTGTAAGGACTAGAGCTCCTAGGACTAAGTGTCGTTCAGTGCCTGGGGGTGTCTAGAACAAATTCTAAATTTGGTTCCAGGACCCCACTCAAGCCATGTCGACTGTGGGCAGAAGTGCTGCGGTTTGTCCCCTGTTCCAACTAGGAAGCTGTCCTTGGAGAAGGTACCCAGCCAGGGGTACAGAGAGCTCCGTTACACTTGGAGATTACATATAAATGTGCTCTTTGACAAAATGAACATGTCTCTCTATTGCATCAGTTGTATCAGGGGAGGGGATTCATTTACCATGAGCCCCAAATTCCCATTATCAAATAGTTGAGCCATATCTCCCTGTAAACTGATTTGTTTAGAAATGTTACAAAATGATTCTGAATCCTGCTTAACCCCACTCCCTTTTCTTTTCCTAGGTTGGACGCCAGTGAAATTCAGGTTGACGATACTATCTTTATTTTAGAATCGTACATCAGTAGCACAAAGACTAAAGTCTGAGAGAGGCTCAGAGGGCAATTGTTTGACCAGGTTTCCACTAACACCTCACACATCCTGTTTGACTTTTGTTTGTTCCACATTGGAAAGCAATAAAGCACTCACTATAAATTATCTAGTTTTTTTTTTAGAACCAAGAGGGCAGAAGCCTGAGTAGATCTGCTAAATACCTTTTCTGTCGAGAGAATATTTCTAACTTATGGCATTGGAGTTCTGTCAAACCACTTATAACATGACATTACACGTTACATTAGTGTATTCGCAATCTAATAACCTCTGTAAAACAACTGCATGGATTGGACATCAAAACTTTTACAGATTTTATCTGCAGCTTCAGTTTCAATTTCTGAGAGGAACCAGACGTATATATATGTGTGTGTGTGTATATATGTATATACACACACATACACAGAGATTAATTTCTACTGGCACTATGGCACACATCTTAATGAAATATAGAGCAAAGTGACCTCACTAATGTCATTTGTGCATATTGTGGCGAAACAACGATTGGTCGATAATCATTATTAATGCCAAGTTTGAAGCCACAAGGCAGCTTGCTGGCTAAGTACATGGAGATTTGGTATCAGATATTACTGTAGGTGAAAGTTTAGGATCCAGTGATCATCAGTCAGTGTGGTTTAATATAAGAACAGTGACTGAGTCACACCACACAAAAACAAAAGTTTTTGTGACTTTTCTAAAATTAGAATATGTGTAGAGGAGTCATTATCAGACTGGAGCAATTTAAATGGAGTCCAAGAGAAATGGGATTATTTAAAAGTTGCACAATTGAAGGCAACTGAAAATTGCATTAGGCTTGTCAGTAAAAGCAAAAAATTCAAGAAACCACTGTGGTACTCCGCAGATGTGGCCAAAATAGTTAAAAACAAAAAGTTAGCATTTAGTAATTATAAAAAAAAAACAGAGTGAGGAAGACAAAATGATCTATAAGATTAGGCAGAAAAAAGGCTAAGCAAGTTATAAGAGCTTCCAAATCACACACAGAAGAGAAAATAGCACAGTCAGTAAAAAAGGGGACAACTTTTTTTAGATACATAAATGAGAAAATATAAGTAAAACAAGGATTAGTTAGATTAAAAACTAAAGAAGGAAGGTATGTAGAAGAGAATAAAGGTCTAGCTGACTGCCTCAATGAATATTTTTGTTCTGTATTTACAGATGAAAATGAAGGAAAGGGACCTCAGTTAAAAAAAATTATAAATGAGTCATTTATTACACGAGTTTACAGAGGAAGAGGTTCTATTTCAACTGTCAAAAGTAAAGCCAAATAAGTCAATGGGACCTGATGGAATACACCCAAAGCTATTAAAAGAGCTTAGTGGTGTACTAGCAAAACCATTAACAGATTTATTTAACCAATCATTGTTAACAGGAGTAGTCCCAGAAGATTGGAAGTTAGCGAATGTTGTGCCCATTTACAAGAAAGGTAATAGGGAGGAGTCGGGCAACTATAGGCCAGTAAGCCTTACTTCAGCAGTGGGGAAAGTGATGGAAACCATGTTAAAGGATAGGATTGTTAAACATCTAAAAACACATGGATTTCAACATGGGTTTACTTCAGGGAGATCATGCCAAATTAATCTTATTGATTTTTTTTGATTGGGTAACTAAAATTATAGATCAGGATGGTGCAGTAGACATTGCTTACCTAGATTTCAGTAAGGCTTTTGACACTGTTGCACATAGAAGGCTTATCAATAAACTGCAATCTTTACGTTTGGATTCCAATATTGTTGAATGAGTAAGGCAGTGGCTGAGTTACAGACAACAGAGGGTTGTAGTTAATGGAGTATATTCGAAGCTTGGATTTGTCACCAGTGGGGTACCTCAGGGATCTGTACTTGGACCCATTCTCTTTAATATTTTTATTAGTGATATTGCAGAAGGTCTTGATGGTAAGGTATGTCTTTTTGCTGATGATACTAAGATATATAACAGGGTTGATGTTCCAGGAGGGATAAGCCAAATGACAAATGATTTAGGTAAACTAGAAAAATGGTCAGAATTGTGGCAACTGACATTTAATGTGGATAAGTGCAAGATAATGCATCTTGGATGTAAAAACCCAAGGGCAGAGTACAGAATATTTGATAGAGTCCTAACCTCAACATATGAAGAAAGGGATTTAGGGGTGATTATTTCTGATGACTTAAAGGTAGGCAGACAATGTAATAGAGCAGCAGGAAATGCTAGCAGAATGCTTGGTTGTATAGGGAGAGGTATTAGCAGTAGAAAGAGGGAAGTGCTCATGCCATTGTACAGAACACTGGTGAGACCTCACTTGGAGTATTGTACGCAGTACTGGAGACCGTATCTTCAGAAGGATATTGATACTTTAGAGAGAGTTCAGAGAAGGGCTACTAAACTGGTTCATGGATTGCAGGATAAAACTTACCAGGAAAGGTTAAAGGATCTTAACATGTATAGCTTAGAGGAAAGACGAGACAGGGGGGATATGATAGAAACATTTAAATACAAAAGGGAATCAACACAGTAAAGGAGGATACTATGTTTAAAAGAAGAAAAACTACCACAACAAGAGGACATAGTCTTAAATTAGAGGGACAAAGGTTTAAAAATATATCAGGAAGTATAACTTTACTGAGAGGGTAGTGGATGCATGGAATAGCCTTTCAGCTGAAGTGGTAGATGTTAACACAGTAAAGGAGTTTAAGCATGCGTGGGATCGGCATAAGGCTATGCTAACTATAAGATAAGGCCAGGGACTAATGAAAGTATTTAGAAAATTGGGCAGACTAGATGGGCCGAATGGTTCTCATCTGCCGTCACATTCTATGTTTCTATACCGACATACCGTTTTCTAATGCCTGACCGATATATGTACCTGCTACTTTATGATAGAGGTTAGTGCCTCGAGGTATTGAAATGCATACGCAGGTCTGACAGCATGAACGGCAACCTTAAATGGAAAAAAATTAATAAAACAGTGACAGACAGATGCAGGTTCTCTGATCTTTCTATACATTTTGCTAGTAAAATTGTCAATAAATAAAATTGTATCTAATATTGCTTTTGCCACTACAAAATGGCCAAGACACATTTCAGAGGCTACAGTCCAGCAGGGATTATGGGATACGCTTTTCAGCTATTACAGCTATTACAGGTACTTTAATTCCTAAAATAAACATGAATAATTCTACTTGGGAAGCTATTGGCAACCACCACAGGTCCTCTGTCAGTTTAATGGCATTATTTTAGTTTTTTTCACTAACCCAGTCAGGACCAGAGGATTAAAAAATCCATTTATCATTTGGCATACCTCGTATGCAACGAATGTCACAGTGTAAATGCAGCTTGGAGATGGTATGCAGCTGCTTGAGACTAAGCATAAAGTTATGGGTAGATTTGTTTGGAAGAAACCAACAAAATTTCGGTGCTGTGTGAGCCTTTAATTAACCCCTTAAGGACCAAACTTCTGGAATAAAAGGGAATCATGACATGTCACACGTCATGTGTCCTTAAGGGGTTAAAGGCTCAATAGAGCCAAAATATTGTTTCCTTCTTCCAAATAAATCTGACTTAGTTTTATGTTATACCAATGCCAAGTCCTTGCTTTGTTTTGGATTAGTAGAGCTCTGCCGTGTCTGCCCTGCAGCCACGGCTGTACAGATAAGATGTGCCTTGCCCTTTTCATCTTACTTTGCAGCTGTCCAACTAAGGGTACCACACATCGTAGATTTTTGGGAGACAAGACATTGAGTGTAGCTCATATATATTCTCTATGTGTAATGTGTGCTAAATGTTATCATTGCATCAAAGGGGCTAAAGCGGGGTTGTAGACCTCCCAACATCTCTCAATACCAATACTAATGATTTAGCAAGGCCTTCATGGTGTCCAATCCAGTACCATAAACTAGCACCGAACTTGACATGGATGCATCAACATAGGAACCAAAGAAAATCTGGAGGAGACAGCCGTTCATAAGAAATCCTAGCCCCACTTAGGGAGCATACATTAAATCATGCATTTTTTTTTTTTTGGGGAAAAAAGTTATCATTAGTCAGTATATTAGTAGAATGGGATAACCAACTCTTTTAAAGTATGTTTTGTTATTCTTATGCACTGAAAGATATGATCTTAAAAGCTACGCCAGATTCCTGAAATCATGCATGAATGCATTCCACATGTGTACACCGAATGCACTATCCCGTAAACGTGTGAAACGTGAATTAAAGAAAAATATCCCTGTTCCATTAGCAAGTAGAAATTCAAGAAACCGAATCATATATGTGCCTCATCTCCTCATCCTCCAAGACCTCTCAAGGTTTGATTCCCACTGAGAGATGCATATCTGTTCCATAAGCAAGTTATCAATCAGATAGCTGTCTACCCCGAATGAAGCTATGTATTGTTGATCTTCTAAGAGAGGAGACAATGTCTCTCCGCTTCATTCGGGGTAGACTCATCGGGGAATTTGGTTACTATGACAACCAAATACAAACGTTGATCCCTCCAATTTGAACCCATTGAATGATTCACTTAGAATAGTGAAAGAGAGAGTCTGTCACCATTAAACAATATTTCTGATTTATCTAATTCTCACTTCATCCACCGCTTTAAGGTAGTAGTAAGGTATTGATAATAAATACTGGATGTGTACCATAGCAGGTCAAAGGAAAGGGTGAACTCTCCATCGGTATAAATGTTGTGAAAAGGACTACTAGATTGGATGCAGGAAGAGCTTGAATTTATTGTAATACATCATCCGAAGATTTAAATGACTTAAGGATACACAGTGACTTTTCCATAGTAACCTCCTCATTTAGTCTGTCAATCCCATCCATGGACATTTAAGGGAGTCCTCAATTTTGTAGGACATCACTCAGTAAACCGTTTTCCATTAAGTCAATTATCTAACCTGTCTTTACAAAGGACTGGCATAATTGGACTATTTCTAGTGTAAACACAGCATCAGTGAAGACAAAACTGCTATAGTAAACAACTTAATAACTCAAAGGGTAAGAACCTTTTTGGTTGCAGACTTTGCCATATATAAAACCAGCATCTCACATGTGGCTTGGGTTCTTACCTAGGTTTGACTAGCAGATCATATTCGGTTAAAAAATCTTACCAATAATCATTTATCAAAAATTGTTACTCTGAATGTAGTTTATGTAGACAATGTTTAAGTGAAATATGAAATATGGTCACACTAAATATATGTATAATTACATAACTTATTGTAAAGGAAAATATTGTACCATATTGCAAAATCTTATTTTTGAAAATATATATGGATGAAATTTTTAAAATGAAAAATAAAAACTTATATAAGTTAAAAAAAAAATTGTTACTCCAAGCACCATAACCACTACAGTGTTCTTACCAGACTCAATTCATGGAGCCCTTTATTCTTATGAGTCAGGGCTACGAGAACATGATAGTTAAGTCAGTAAATTGTTCCTGTCTGCCTCTACTTAACCCCACAAACACCACCCTCCTGCATCCAAATAGTTGGAAAACAGGAGTGTGTCTATAATCAACATGCATGGTATGTAATTCAACCTGTGTATGTGTCTGTGTGCCTGGAAATGAGAAGCTGTGTGTGTCTGTCGGTCTATGAATGTTTATCGCTGTGTGTGTCTGTCTGAGAGTATCAGTTTGTGTAGCTTTGCTTGTCTGTCTAGGATGTGTGTACTTGTGTCTGAGAGTGTAAATCAGGAGGAGCCTGTCTATTTCTTTCGTAAGTGGACTCAACATTAATAATGTCAGCCCCGGTTAAACACCCATTTAAATATTGTGCCCCCTACACTAAGAGATGCTCCTTTGATCTCTAAATTCACAGTTATTAGTATATAACATTTCACTGAAACAAAAAATCATTGCAACTCAACCCATTTTAAAAGATGTCTCCCCCATGTCAACATACTGGGTTTTGTCACCCCAATTAGTACTAGTTTGATTCTTGCCAGCCAGAAATATTATAGCATATAGCAGCTCTGAACTGGCTGGTTCAGGGTTCTCCTGCTTTTCAGCTGTCAATCAATTCTCATCACACACACTATGCCATTAGTATAGCCCTTTATGCCACAAAGCTTTGATAAAACCTATACCTCTGATAGCAAATTTGTTAAAACAAGGCATAGATGGAGTTTAAATGTATGTATCTCAGTATATATTACTGCTGTGTATAGTTTTGTCAAAAAGCAAGTTGACGTGTATATAAAACCAGCTTAACACACTAATAAATAACCGGGTAATGGCCTCTATCCCTGCAAAATATTACCGCTCCTTTCTCAGCGTATATATGTCAGCATGGGGAGATGAAGAATCATTGACATCAACAGGAACTGATACTAGGAAGGCTGTCCATGAAAAGAATTATGGGAAATATAAGATCATTTGCATAAAATGCCCTCCCTCTGCCTTTTTAAAAACAACTTTCATGTATGCCTGAAACTATCTTACTCTAAATATACAGTTATAAAACTGATTAATATAAATAATATACTTTTATTTCCTTGGTTAAAAAAATATTGTATCCAGTATAACTTCCTTATTAATAAGATAAACTTTATAGAAAACATTGCAATGAGGTCTAACCATGGCACTCATATTTGTGATATGTACCAACCCATTAAAATCTCTCCATTTTGCTGAACCATTCTGCTATTTGGCCACCAGAGGGCTTCATTGTCTACTCTCCAGTCACAAAGGATTCTGGGATTGGATTACTTCCTGAATCATGATTCAAAGCTGCAAGTGTTTTATCGAAGGGGTAGTAGACTAGTTGACTGTTCTCCCAGCAGAGGTGGTACAATAAGATAGAGCTGTACCTCTTCACATTCTGTTAATTGATGAATGGTTTGTTTGTTTCCAAACATGGTCTGAGGCTATGACAGCAGGTAGGAGGAAGGTATATCTGTCTGCAGACCTGTGTTTGTGACTGTGTGCCTTTTATTAGCTATTTTTAATGGTAACCCTCCTAACTGTTTATTAATATTATAAATATGATTACCCAGATTTGCATAAAATGCCAGCCTTGTCTGGCACAACCTGGTACACAGTAAAAATTCTAAATGTGGAACAGTCCCATAATGTCTTGCATGTTCAGAGACCCAGGTTAAAATGAAGAAATGGTCATTATTATTATTATTATTATAATTATTTCTGCTGTTGCTCAACTCATTTTAGTAAGTGTTTCCATAATATTTAATGGATTTAAGGAAGCGTTATTATTTCTATAGTGCCAGTTTATAACACAGCACTGTAAGATAGATGTGCAGGAACAGAAGGTACTAGGGAGGACCCTGATCGAATAAAGCGTATATTTAAAGCAGAAATTGCAAACTTTGCACCCCATGCCCCAGCCAGATGTTGATGGCCTACAACTCCCAGAATTCTTTGAATGCAAGAGACGGCCAAAGAATTATGGGAGTTTTTGTTATGCAACATCTGTGATGCTGGATTTTGCCGTCCATTTCAGAAATGCCAATAAAAAAAATGTTCGTTTTGTCTTTTAGGTTGTACCAGTGAGAAGATGATCTAAATAATGCAATTCATTCAACAAGATTGTGACCACACAAAATGGAGTCGGCTAAGCGCGTTCTTGTTTATCTGAGTAAGGAGCGTTCTTTGCTGCAATGTGCAAAGTTCGTCCAGGTGCGTAACACTCTTTCTTCTGACCGTATGCTCTATCGAGATACACTTTTTAGCTAATCTGTGCTATCCTTGCTGTGGGCTTACAGAGGAAGCCGGGAAGTGCCAGAGATTGCCTTGGCGCGATGCCAGGATAAGTTGCTTAACAAAAATAACAAACAAACAAAAAAGCTAAAATAATTATCGGTGGGTAATTTTGATATTGTCACGGTTCTTTTGTAACTTCTACGCATTCTGAATCTGGGAGAAGTAATGTTTAATTTTTTTTTTTCAATGAAGAACGCTGCTAGAGGCAGGGTATGATCTATGATATCTGGGTGACGTCCCACAGTAGCGTAGATGTTTTGTGTTTAGACAGTATTATTGTTTACTAAACGACCACATGAAGTGTTTCTGTATTTCAGAGCATAACGGGGTACTACTCAGGGGGTCAGCAGAACAAGGTGTATGTACATTGTGGACTGGAGCAGAACCAGTTCATTATATCGGATCAGCAATTCAGCAACTCCATTAGCGTTCAGTTAAAGGTAGGTAAATCATGAAACTAATCACCGTACCACCGGTGTCCATGCCCAAGGCAGAACTTTGACTTTTTTTCAATATGGAAGAAGCCATGATTTCCTTCCGTGGATCATCATAATGGTTGTGCTTTGTAGATTTCATGGCACAGATCACCGTGCATATTACTGTGACACACGGCTGAGAGCACTGGTTTATTTCTTAACACTATATTGAACAAGGACAGCACTTACTAGCCAGCAGAACTTGTAGCATTAAGGAGCAGCCCTGTGCCACCAAGTAACTATGAAGTAGAGCCCTATGCCTATTGGTGTATTGTGCTCAGAAACATACCAGCACTGTTGAACCTGTGCATTTGTTTAACCAATAACTTATAACTGATATTGCTGCATTCTATTTCCATTGTGATTCTGATACTGTGTATAAATTAATTTTTTATACACTTGTTCTTGTTCCAAACTGTGAGCATTTGGAACAGTTTTATTGGGGGCACCCAACGACTTTTTTACATTAGTTATATTAGGAGTATTTGGCATGGAAGAATAGTAAAGATCGAAATGTAAGGTAAAGGAATATAAAACCTCACCCTATTACGGGTTCTTGCATACTTCACCTCCTCAATATACTATTCTTTTTATCATTCAGCTCATCTTTATACTATTTTAAGTCCTACTGCCTTTTTTTTTTTCTTCTAGAGTCCAGCCTTCTGTCCAATCAGGAACATCAGCTCATCGCAAGCTGCATCACTTCCTCAGGAAGTTCGGAATCGAGGTGTGGACGTTGGGGTCGCTGTGCTTCTTCAGTCTGTCAATCAGAAAGTTCTTTTAACTAGAAGAACCAAGAACCTGTCCATCTTTCCTAATGTCTGGGTTCCTCCAGGTATCTACAGTCTAAGATTTCTGATTGACGTCTATACGAAAGAATGTTGACATTTCTCTGTGGGAGAAACAAAGATTTCTGTGCCGTCATGTTTGATGTTGAATTTGTCCATATGTTCTCTCATTTAAAAAAAAAAAAAGTATTTATATATTTATTTTTTTAGGGGGTCACATCGAGTCAGGGGAGCAGGTGAGTGGACAATGAATCTGATGTGCTATATCAGTGGAATTATAGTTTTCATAACTACCACACATAGAATACAGATTTTCACTTGTAAAACGCTATAAAGCAGTCATCTCCATAAATTAGCCCCATAAAAGTCGATCTAGCATTGTCCCACCTCTGCAGGAGCCTATGTCATGTTTTTTATGTCCGTCTGTCTGTCGACAGCTCCTTGAAGCAGGACTAAGAGAGCTGCAGGAAGAGACCGGCTTGCAGATCCACACTGAGAGCATCTCCTGGAGCATGCTGGGACTCTGGGAGGTAAGGTTAACTATTAGTGTTCCATTTTGTAATGTTCAAATTATATAGCTTTAACTCGGGCTACATTTATGTTGTGTTTACATTACTTTTTATTAAGTGTTTAGTTTTCAGATACCAACGTCCTAGCATGTTCAGCACCGATCCAATAGTGGTTAATTTGTTTTAAACCATCTTGCTTTTCTAGCAGACATCGTGTGATGTACTATGTGCCAGCATTGCTTGTGATGTGAATTATAAAGGTGAAGAACTTTAATTTAAGTTCGAACCAGTTGCTTAACCACATTATAGTATGCCTCAAACAGGTCAATTCATGCTCTAATGTCCTATTTTCTCCCCACAGTCTGCATTCCCTCCCTTGCTGAGTCAAGGACTACCTAGTCGCCACCACATTGTGGTTTACCTCCTAGTTCTATCCAACGAGACACACCAAGAACTGCAGGTACGTTTGCCAACACCTTCCCCTTGCGTTCCAAAGCTTAAAGGACAACTGTCACCTCAAAAATATTTTTTTCATATAATATTCCTTTCATCATGTTGTGAAAGGAAATATAAATATATATTTAATGAAATCTGTAAAAAAAAAAAAAAGTTAGAAAAACTCCTCCCTACCTATAGTATATGACAGGATCCTTCAGCCATATACATACATATTTTCAAACACTGCCTGACCCAAGGTGCATGTAACCATACCATAGAGACTGTCTGATTTCATAACTGTCTGACCCAAGGTGCATGTAACCGTACCATAGAGACTGTCTGATTTCAAACACTGCCTGACCCATGGTGCATGTAACCGTACCATAGAGACTGTCTGATTTCAAACACTGTCTGACCCAAGGTGCATGTAACCGTACCATAGAGACTGTCTGATATCAAACACTGCCTGACCCAAGGTGCATGTAACCGTACCATAGAGACTGTCTGATTTCAAACTGGTGCATGTAACCGTACCATAGAGACTGTCTGATTTCATACACTGCCTGACCCAAGGTGCATGTAACCGTACCATAGAGACTGTCTGATTTCAAACACTGCCTGACCCAAGGTGCATGTAACCATACCATAGAGACTGTCTGATTCAAAACACTGCCTGACCCAAGGTGCATGTAACCGTACCATAGAGACTGTCTGATATCAAACACTGCCTGACCCATGGTGCATGTTACCATACCATAGAGACTGTCTGATATCAAACACTGCCTGACCCAAGGTGCATGTAACTGTACCATAGAGACTGTCTGATTTCATACACTGCCTGACCCAAGGTGCATGTAACCGTACCATAGAGACTGTCTGATATCAAACACTGCCTGACCCATGGTGCATGTTACCATACCATAGAGACTGTCTGATATCAAACACTGCCTGACCCAAGGTACATGTAACCATACCATAGAGACTGTCTGATTTCATACACTGCCTGACCCAAGGTGCATGTAACCATACCATAGAGACTGTCTGATTTCAAACACTGCTTGACCCAAGGTACATGTAACCATACCATAGAGACTGTCTGATTTCATACACTGCCTGACCCAAGGTGCATGTAACTGTACCATAGAGACTGTCTGATTTCAAACACTGTCTGACCCAAGGTGCATGTAACCGTACCATAGAGACTGTCTGATTCAAAACACTGCCTGACCCAAGGTGCATGTAACCGTACCATAGAGACTGTCTGATATCAAACACTGTCTGACCCAAGGTGCATGTAACCGTACCATAGAGACTGTCTGATTTCAAACACTGCCTGACCCAAGGTGCATGTAACCGTACCATAGAGACTGTCTGATTCCAAACACTGCCTGACCCAAGGTGCATGTAACCGTACCATAGAGACTGTCTGATATCAAACACTGTCTGACCCAAGGTGCATGTAACCATACCATAGAGACTGTCTGATATCAAACACTGCCTGACCCAAGGTGCATGTAACCATACCATAGAGACTGTCTGATATCAAACACTGCTTGACCCAAGGTACATGTAACCATACCATAGAGACTGTCTGATTTCATACACTGCCTGACCCAAGGTGCATGTAACTGTACCATAGAGACTGTCTGATTTCAAACACTGTCTGACCCAAGGTGCATGTAACCGTACCATAGAGACTGTCTGATTTCATACACTGCCTGACCCAAGGTGCATGTAACCGTACCATAGAGACTGTCTGATTTCAAACACTGTCTGACCCAAGGTGCATGTAACCGTACCATAGAGACTGTCTGATTTCAAACACTGTCTGACCCAAGGTGCATGTAACCGTACCATAGAGACTGTCTGATATCAAACACTGCCTGACCCAAGGTACATGTAACTGTACCATAGAGACTGTCTGATTTCATACACTGCCTGACCCATGGTGCATGTTACCATACCATAGAGACTGTCTGATTTCAAACACTGCCTGACCCATGGTGCATGTAACCATACCATAGAGACTGTCTGATATCAAACACTGTCTGACCCAAGGTGCATGTAACCGTACCATAGAGACTGTCTGATATCAAACACTGCCTGACCCAAGGTACATGTAACCATACCGTAGAGACTGTTGGATTTCAAACATTGACCCAAGATGACTGTATGTGGCAGAATGATTGAGTAACTTAGAATACCTGTGCCTCTGAACAGAAATCTTATTAAAGCATTACTGTCTGTTCTAGAGTATTTTGAAAAGAATAAAATATTTATCCAAGATGTAAAAGATTTACATCCTGTCATATACTAAAGATAGGCATGAGTTTTTCAAATTTTCTTACATACACTTTAATTAAAATATATATTTCCTTTTAAAACTTGATGAAAGTATTTTATTAAAAATTTGTTTCGAGGTGACAGTTGTCCACGATTGCCAAGCACTGCTTTAAGCTGTAAACACTGAATCAGTACTGCTATGTGCTTGATTTAGATGGGGGGTATATCCACTTATAGCTAAGCTGTACAAAATACACCAAAATCATAGAATTCTTAAGATTCAATGTGGCCCCATTTGGCACGGTTTGCCTGCACACAACATGATGCAATATATAAATGAGATGGTGAATTATGGCTCATCTCCCACCAATTAGACCGGGATGCTAAGATTGAAACCCATGGAAACTCAAGAGGATATTTGAGGATGAGAAAGGTTCAATCGATAGGTGAAACAAAAAATGTCCACTTCGGAAAGTGGGGAGGGGTTTGGCCATTCAGGGCACGCAAACCAACACTACAGTAATCCCTTCAAATCAAGCCTACAGATTACCCAGCTTGCTTACATTGTAGGAAAAGATGTCTCCAGAAGAGCAGGAAGTGAGCGCTTGTGTATGGCTGGATCCCTACCTGGCAGAACATATTGTTGCAACAGAGGATGGAGAAGAGGATTCTGGGAAGGATATGTCAGACCTGCCAGCCACAATCAGGTAAACTATAGTATTATTTGAAGGACCCATAAAATAGTAATCTCATGCCAAATTAGAGGGATTTTATTTTGTTACAATTGTAATCAAGAGCAGGGTTATTCTGTAAAGTAAGAATTGTTGGGAATTTCAAGTTAAGGCCAAAGTTTTGGCCATATGTTTGAAATTCACTTTGAATGTCGGACATTTCTCACTTTCATAAATAACCCCGGAAGTTTAATGTTTTTTTTAAATATAAAACACAGATTATGCAAAAGTATAACATGACTCATACCATATATAAATACCGTATTTCAGAACTGTGGTGTTGTGTTTAGGCCATTCAAAATGTTAAATTATTTATAGCTTTTATTTCTTTGTTGTATACACATATTTCTGTTTTGTTTTTTGGTAAATTATAACTCATGCCAAAGCCAGTTCCTGTCCCAGTTTCCTGTGAACAAGAGATCATCAGAACTAAAGTTTGAAATCGAACGACTCACCCCAGCATACCATTCTAGTTGCTATTACCTACAAAATAAAAAAACACAACTAAATGAGTACAAATCCTAATACATAGTCATACACAATCGAGATAGCATGTATGTAAAGGCACATATATACCTAGTATTGTCAAACTGTAACAAATCATATTTTGAAAAGCATAAAATATTTATCCAAGACTGAAAAGATTTACATACAACAAAGTGGGGATTACTTTGTCTTCTGTATACGTTGGCGAAATATGTCCATCAGCCATCACTCACGACAGATGGGGTGGGAAAAGCACCTTTTTGTAGGACGTGCAATATGTTCCTGCCATTGCACATGTTTAAGATTATCTCTCGTAGAGTCTGTTTTGTATTATTACTCATGCATGAGAGTACAGGATGATACGGCTTCTGTTGAAATTTAAGTGTGATCACATAAGTTTACATTAAAAAATATCTATCTGAATCACCACCTTGTGACACATAATTACATTTTATTGGTGTGACTTCTGGTACAGAAATGGGGTGTTAACAGGAGGGAGAGCATCAGGGAACTACACCTCCACATTTGTACCCGATTTTCTTTTACCCCCTGATGTGTCTTGAAATGCAGACCTCACAAATGATTGTCCCAGTTTTTAAAACAGGTTAAAATGATAAGTATAACCCTGGTGACTTTCATATCAGTCACAATCCGTATTCCTTACTATTTTGAGGAACTCCGTAGAAAACTGAAATTAAAATATGTTGTACATTGTGTGCCCCACTGATTAAAGGTAATTCATGTTTTATGTCTTTTGTCACTTCCCACCCCGTTCAGTTTTTTCTTTTTCATATTAACAGAATGATCTATAAATGTCAACCAACCAGAGACATTGTCTAATTGAATGTCATCTTCTCGTTAACAGCATCACAGAAGTAAAGGCTGGTTCTCTGACACAGGTAGATAGCACTGTGGAAACATTCCTGAACCGGGCACCGTCTGACGGGGCAGATATAGAACGCGTCAGCACTGGCACCAAATATTCTCTGAGATTGTGGCTGTACACACTATCAAAACAACGTTAAAGGAGTATGTTCAGTGAGAATACTACTGCACAAAAGCATATTCCTTTGCAAGGCAACAACTTCAATAAATGTTTACCAAGCCAATAAGTTATAAGTAGTGGTTTAGACAAAGGACATGAAAAAGTTTGAACAAATAAAATGTTTTATTTACGTTACCACATTTTGTTTATTTCTTTCTTTTTCTGATGGAAGAATTTTTACGGAAATAAATCCTACCACTAAGTTTTCTTTTTGCTTAGGAGTAAAAACCAGAGAGCCAAAATACAGATAACACTATATATATTTACATACATAAATATGTGCAACAAAAATGTCATCATCCTACAGCCTTAATCTATCTTACGCCGCGGGGACCTGGAATATATGCGATGTCTCTTTCTGATGCTGAAAGAGACGGTACCTTCAGATTACAAATAGAGGCGGGTAGGACTTGTAAATATTAAAAGGTAGATAAATATTTTTGTGTAAAAAAAAAAAAAAGCAACTGAAAATATATAAATGTATATTTGCATCAATCTCTGTACAATTTTTGTGTAAATACATTTAGAAGGAAGAAATCATTAGGAAACAAATGGTTTATATACATTAGAACCATACTTATTAATTACAAAATTGCAGGAACAAGGGTCAAAGATGGAAGTCAGGAAGGACACGACAGACCTGTTTCAGTTTTGATATTTCATATGCCAATCCGTATCCTGTGTTTGGTTTTAAGAAATGTTAAATTATTAGCGTGAAAGTATTTTCGGATCATATGTTGATTGGTTTTCAGGTTATGGTTGAAAGCATTGTTAGTGAATAGCTCTATCCGTTGCAGGATGCAGGTTTCGTATTCTCTGTACATGTTGTAAGAGTAGGCTGGAAGCTGTGTCTTAAAATCCTGTAGTTTAATTTGTGAATAGGAAAATCAAAAGTCTCAAGAGCTGTGCTGCGATCAAAACACACGTTGAAACAGGACTATTTCTATAGCTGCCAAAACCAGACCTATAGGTGGAAGCCATTACAATCACGTGACTTGAGATGTTTATCACTTTTATACATTTGTTTTTGAAAAACCGGGAAGTATCTGATAATGAAAGGAGTACTTTTCTTCCATATGATGATGATTATTATTATAATTTCTGGTGGTTAAGCCTTGTTAAAAGAGATACGCAGAACTTAGGGCTCATGGGAGGAGAAAAAAAAAAAAAGCATTTTTTATTTTTTTTTATAAGGATCAAATTATTAATGTTCTATGCCTCCTTTTAAAGTTGATCAATAAAGTCAATACAATAAGATAAAAGGTTTTTTTCGTAAATTTGTCCCTTTAATGGTATAGAGGCTCAAAAAATAAAAAGGCCAAAAATCTAATATTCAGTTATGCTGACCATCGTTTTTAATCATCCCAACTCAGTCACCTGTTTACTAAAGTAAATTTCACATCGTAGGCCGCAACAGCTAAACTTCAAACACCGCTGACGTGTAGTTTTTTTTATATATGGCAGTTTTGCCCTACTATATGCAAATCACTGAGTTCCCAACAATTCACACATTAGGACCTAACCGGGACGAGTTTAAGCTGCTATTGTGTTCTTTTGTTTTGGTTGTTCAAATAGTCTGAGGATATATATATATCCCTTAAGGATTTCTAATCGGTGTCTTTCATAACACGTTGGTGAGACTGTACACTATGTGACTTGCCTCGATGCCACTCTATTCGTTTGTAGACTCTGACCACAGACTCAGAGAGGTAGGAAGTTCTGCAATATTCTGTTATGCAGACATACAATAATCAAGATTCTAAATTATTAAGCAAATTATAGCTCTTTGCTTTCCTGTATACCTGCTCTGAAATGCTCTCAAAACATACTTTAATATTACCCATGATTAATGAATGAACCAAGGATATGCAATAGATTGTCTTTTTTAAGTGTGCTCCAATCACTTGGACCAAAGGACACCATTTAAAAGGGCGGTGCTATTAAACCCCCCATATAAATTGTACTCTGAAATATCTGTGCTTTATTCTGTCACTGGACTTTTGATTGACAGATGAAAGCTAACCTGAATTGAAAGGAAATGTTTTTTTGTGGGATTTCACACACCATTTAAAAGTCAGAGGGTGAATTATATGGGGTGATGGAACACTGAAGTGACATGTGCTTTATTTTTCTGTAACAATATGAGGAATTCCTGTACATTCTCAAAATGTCCTTTTGGAAGATAGCTCAGCTCTGGCACTGAAATGCCATACAAGATGGTAGCCACACAGGATTCTGCCAAATAAAAACAGATAAAGATCCATAAGCCACATTAAGGCTACAAAATGACTGAAGCTGTAGTAAATATAATGCTGTGTTTTCAGAGCCAGGTATATCACCAGCCATTCCTCAATAATGTAGCCGAGCATGTAGGTGCCATACCATGAGAGGGTAAGGAAGGCATGGATTTCGAGCCCTGGTTGGCACATCCTTTCTGTTAGACTCTTTCAACCTACTTTCTGTCCATTCTCCCTTTCACACGAAAAGATTCAGTCCAAAGATATGATGTCAGACCGGCACCCTGGTAGTGTGGAGGTGGCACTTTGGGGCCCGCTGTGATTCTCCCTCAGAGTGCTGGTGGATACAATGCTGCTTATTCGGCTAGCACTGCTGGGAGGCCCATGAGAGCTTGTGATGGCCTGTGTCAGGGGGCTCATGTAGTGGGTGGGGGTTCTGTACTGAAAGAAATGGCTTAGCGCATCTTGTTCATCCAACGATGTGATGACAGAGGGACTGTAATGCTGAGAGGGAAAGACACAAAATATAAGCAGAATGAAGTGGGCATTAAAAGATCTGTGAGCAAACAGAGCTGAGTCATCTTTCTGGAGAAATGATCACAAGGATTTCTTAACAGAGTTCTTTAAACAGTTGGCCGTTAATTTTATGCATAGAACAAGCAGCTTCACACATTCCGAAGAGAAAGTAATTTCTAAAGTCGAGATGGCAAACTGCGAGCTGCTCGAGTACTACAATTCCCATAATGCTTTAGCAGCTAACAATAGCCACAGCGCACACACAGATAATAAATAATGGGAATAAATAGATCATGTAAACCACAGCAAAGTATCACTTCAGCACACGTCAAGTAAAAAAAAAAAAAAAAAATTCACAACAAATGACGAATGTGTCCTACATAGCTAGAAAACACAGGATGGAAGCACTGTAAACTCTGTGTACATTATATTAGGATGCCCTCTGATCAGTGATGGATCAATACGGCAATATAAACACACTGGAGTATACCCAGCATGTAGGTGGACACCATAAAGATGCAGGAGGCATACATGGCACTGGAAAGTAAACATGATCACGGGAAAAACTTACCCATCCCATGTCTTTTATTTTACTTGTAACAATAATATGTAAAATGTTGAAAGCTATGTAAGACGACATTGTAACTCATTTTGCGTGGAGTGCTGATCTCCTTGTTTAACGTGTCACCGCAGTTGTAGTCGTGCATTGAACAATGGAGACATGCCCCTCTCTTCTAAGTTAATCAGAAAAAATAGATTTGGAGAACAAAGGGGCATTCAGCCCAAGCTTTCGGATTATGTGATCTGCATGACTCTGACTGGCAGAGCTAAGAGATGGTTTGAGACAGATAAAATCCTCACCCTTAAATGTGATTAAAATTTCACAAGCTACTATTTCAAAAACTCCAAAACAAAGCAACTCATGGGTTCAGTAGGTCATATGTTCTTGCTTAATCAAAAAACATTCTACACAAACACACATTTCCAGATACCATATTATATATATATATCTCAAGGTACCTACAAAGCAATCAACACATATTCTAAGCTGGAAACTTAGGAAGGACGTGCACACAGAAAAAAACATTGCTCGGGGATGTTTTCCCCAAGAAAGCTAGAAGCTCCAGATGTTTCAAGAGTCACCTGAAAGTATGCAGAATTCAAAGCTGCCAGAGGAAATCAATTATTAATGAATCATGACAAGGATTTGCTGGTCAGCACTACACATGTACCTCCTGCAACTTATAGCAAGCAGACAGCAAAGCCAAACACACATTCCAGTCTGAAGGGTTACTTTACTGCGGTTTGATGTGAAGACACTCACCTGATTATCAGACTGCAAGTAGGAATACAAATCCAGTGCTAGGGAGGAAGAGAAGAGGCAGGTTAGGATTAAATCTCTTTTTTTAAATGCTTTATTTTTGTCCTGCACAAAATTACCAAAGGCTTAAATCTCTTAACACGTCATTAGACGGACAGATATTTATTTTAGAGCAGAAATGTAAAATGACCAAATAAAACATAGGGGCATAGAAAAACTCTCATTGATTTCTTAACACTGAGCCTGGATCTGCATCTTTACAGGATGTGGGTTCCGAAGTATTAGCAATGATGGTTTGCTAGTACGCCTGCCTGCAGGCATTTTGTACGAATAAAGCCCACTAGTGCATGGCCTTCCACATAGTGAATTTACCATCCACCATTACAGTGTCGTACTGGATCTCCCTAAATGTCAGACTGAAATTCCCACAATTTTGTGGCTTACAAGGCATTAAAGGGACACTCCACGGCCCAAATTAAAAATAAATACAAATCAATATTTAGTAGATATACCCCAACTAAAAACTTCATTGGGGATATATCTAAAATCTGTTTGCAAAACATGCAGTTCTCTTGTCTGCTGCCTTTGCAAGCCCTCCCCTTCTAGCCCCACCCAGACATTCTGTGGCTGTCCAATCACAGTCTTCCCAAAACAGCTTAATAAGAAGTCTTTGCAAGTCTAGTGCTCTCTTGAGGTCAGCTGCAAACAAAACCAGAAATAAACATTACCTGCTGTCTGCTTTAAAAAAAAAAAAAACCCATCGGGCTGTAACCAGGTAATTCATAAAAGTGTCAATTTCTATTAAAATCTACACTTTTTGCAAAATGAGAAAAAAACTAAGCTTTTCAGCAAGCTAAATTTGTTTAGGGGTCTGGATTGACCCTTTAAAGGAGTGCACAAGACAGAAGAAAAAAAATCTTTTGAGAATAATCACTTTTTTTTTAAAATCTCTTAAAACACCATGAACATATAAAATGCAAATCTACACAAACTACTTTCTGTTATCGGAGAACCTGGTTTTCCAGAGGTTTATATGTGCAGGTTCTATGGTTCAGAAATGTGTCAGATATTTTAAAGAAGGCTAGCGTTCTAAATGAATGGTAGTGAGCAATAGCCTTGGAGAGTGGCAGTTATCAGTTTAACCATGGGTCGTCAACCTGGTCCCTACCACCCACCAGTGGGTGTTTAAGGATTCCAGGTGGGCAGTAGCAGAATCCTCCCTCCATCCAGAGAGATGAACACTATATTCATCTCTTGCGCACTCAGTGGTAAGCAGGAAGTGTGAGGTTGCAATGCGAGTGCATAAAAGCACGAGCATGTGCCTGAACAAGTGTAACACACGGGTAGAGGAAGGGAAGGAGTTGGAGTAGGTAGGGGGATACACAATAGCAGGGAGTGGAGTACTTGGAAAATAGGAGAAAGGAGCAGAGAAAGGAAATTTTTCCATCAAGAAAGATGCATTCGTGGGCGGTAGGTAGAAAAAGGTTGACTACCCCTGGTTTAAACCAAAACATCCAGGTATCTGGATCAGTGTTCTGACACACACTGGCTGAGGGGTTGCACAATTAACTAGCTCCCTTACCTTGGAGGTCTTGTGGTCCTGCATAGGATCGGTGGTAGTCTGGAAGAGTTAGGCTAGATAAGTAATCAGTGCCTATCGTTGTCATGGAAGGACTTCTCAGGACAGAAGATGCCTGGTGGTCAACACTAATTACCCTGTAATAAAAACATCCCTTGTGATTGACACCAACATATGTAGAAGTAGATTATAACCAAGAGTGTTTAGTTTTCATTTATTATTTACTCTCAATTATCTCCCATGTCTAGTGTTACTTTAACAAATATTTGTATTGAATAGGTTTATGAATCCTCTACATAAATAACCTTTGCCAGCTATTCTGGGAGACTATTTGTGTGCCCACCACTCAACAATACCATTTTACTACAAGTCATTGCCAGCCTCATATCCTTCAGTCACCCACTGCACTGTCCCCTGTTTATCCTGCATAACTTTGTGTGTCAATGAAAATGTCAGTAATAAACGCTCTGCTCCCCTCACCCTTTGGGTCCTGCAGTTGAAGGTATTAGCACAGACGTTACAGGACATGGTTTTTTGGCTGGGGGCTCTTCTTCATCTGACGAACTGTCCAAGGTCAAGTCGATAATCTCCACTTTTCTCTTGGGTTCTGTGTGGTGTTTAACATCTGAGCTTACACTGTAAATTGCGCTCGCTGAAACACAGGGAAGATGGTGGTCAGTGCATGGGACAATTCTAGTGGGACCTTCATGGAGGAGTTTCAGTTGTGCACAAGGAACATGATCTACATTTACAAGACTATGAATGAGACAGGATTGACAGAGTAGGCACTAACGCTTACTTTCTATGCCTCCATAGGATGTAGTTTGGCAGATATCTGCCTTTTCTTTTTTTGGTTTCATAGGACACCAAGACCCGTCTTCCATGAACTGGATCTCGTCACAGTCTGTGCAGGAATTAAGGATCTCCATGAAGAGACTGCAAAAAGAAGACAGACATAACCACTTAAAATATAAGAAGGACCCAGAAAAGGTGGCCATGCTGTGTGCTGAAGTGGATCGGCATGTTAGCCTAATGGATCCTACGTTACATCTGACCCTGATCATTATCTAAATGGTAAATGGTACAGCAGGGGAACAGCACCCAACATAAATATGACATCTACTTTGGCAATATCTGACAAACACAATGTGCGCTTTCAAAAAGCAGGGGGGGTCGCCGTGTCACTCCGATAACATGATTCGTGATATACTTACAGTAATTTGTATCATTCCGAAAGATGTTACACATCATTGAAACAAGTATATAACGAATATTTATTTAGGAGGAATATAGGTAGGCTATTTTTCTACCATTTAGTAGGCCTTCCCTTTTCACTGCATTTTTGTTATTTATACATTTATTTTTGTATGTATGTTCTTTATTCAGTTTGTTATTGGTCACTGGTGGCATTATTTTGTCTTTGTATAGCTAGATCTTTAATAAAGGTTAAGTTTTATATCTTTGCCCAGTCTAATTCAGACTGAATTCGGTATCTTTCCATGTATATACTAGTATTAAAAACTTGCATACCGACTTTTCCACTACTTTTAGGATACTTAGAAATCCTCGTATTCTCTTTCTTTCTTCTTTTGCCAGGTTTTCAACAAGGCTCAATTATTTTTTTTATTTTTTTTAACACACCGCTAGCAAAGCCCTGGAGATTAGAAATTCTCTTGGACTGTATGCTATGGCTTGAAGTGATGAGTATATTTTAAGGACTGGCTAGTAGCATAGGGCTACAGATTACAAGGTCTGTTTTCAAGATAATTTTAAGTATGATTCAAACTTTTTAATTTGCACTGTTCTATTAGAAAGACAAATCAATTCACTATACCAGGAATTCAGAGACATTGACACAGGAATGTGCACGTTTTAAGCCAGAATAATCGATTTGGAGAAATTGATCAGTTTGACTAGTATTCCAAACTGGCACAGAAAGCATGCCACACTCACCCATCAATTATCAGCGTATCATACGGAGCCTTCTTATCGCACACAGGACATGTCCACGTAGGTTTTTTCTCATTCATTTGAAGGTAGAGTGCAGCGTCAAAGCACTGTAGGTGCGTGCAGGTGATGGCTCGGCATGGGACCGTCAAACGCATCTTACCAAGCTGTATAAATACAGAGACACTTCTTAACGTCTAACATTCATACACGAAGGATTGGTTTTCACGAAATCACATTATACTCGCCAAATATAAAGTTGGCATGGCCACTTCTGTAAAATGTACAATCAATAATCTTTCTACAGGCAGATTTAACATTCCTATATGTACAAATAGAGTGTACAAAATAAAAATAATGTGAGCATCCATCTTGCTTTTATATCAGGCTACAGTTGAGACGGTGAATGTTGCTGTCAAAGTGTGTGATAAAGCAGTTTTAGTTTATTTTCTGTAATTTCCATTCTTATAATGGAGAGTAATGTCCCATTTTATAGGAAAAGTGTTATCTTATAAATAGTATTCCATAAAGGTAAAATGGCTGCTCTCTGGTATGAAAAGGAATTACTAAGCTGTCATAACATTAACAACTCACATGAAAGAGAACAATGTACGAAGACCTGTATTACGGAAACATAAATAATAAATATCAGAACATCAATCTCGTCTTTAATGACGTGTTGAAGTGTATCCATAGGTTTTGAAGTCTGACCCTGATCTGAATGAACTAGACCTGAACAGGACCTTGCTAAATGGTAAGATGGACAGATGCCTATAAGTGATGTATATGGAAAAAATGGATCTTGCCGTCAATTAATTGCTGACATAGATATTTCAGTTTTTATAAAAATAAATTTAAAAAATTACATTATATATAAACATAAAAATATTATATGTAATCTATCTAGATTGGATTGCTGCAGGGCATAAGCACAATCTAAATCAAGATGTCATATTTATGTATAAGAAATAGAGATGGCATTATAAACTTAGCTATATCTGTATATCAGAGTGTTACATAACGGTGTGTCTTGAAAACGCAAACAGAAAAATCTGTGATATTGTTTTCTTTGACTTAACTCACCGGACACATCAGAGAGACACGCAGGCTTGTGGTTGCAATTTCGCTATCGGGATCAGCTGTCAGTTTCTCTTTGACTAGTAATAAGAATAAAACAAAGTCAGCTACAAAGCAGGAGTAGTGTGCCACACGGTACATAAATGCAGATAGAATACTGAAATGTCAGTGGCAGGTTGTGCTTCATCTCAATCTTGGCAAGGTTGCCTTGAATGCTTACTGAGAGCTCGAGAATGGTCCGGATTCCTGATTCCTTTGGCGCGGAGTTTTTGCAGTAACGTTACGGATGTCAGCTGCTTCACCAGATACAAGGATAGAGAGTAGTTCTGCATGAAATGTGAAACGGAGAATGTAATTAAAACATTTAGGTAGTGGCCTAATGGTACTGTTGTCCAAATGCTGGCTGACAACTCCCACAAATCTTTGCTAGTCAATAACTACTAAAAAAGGGTTCTGGGAGTTACATAGTTTGCTGCCAGCTGAAGGTATATACACTGAACAAAAGTATAAATGCAACCCTTTTGTTTTTGCCCCCATTTTTCACGAGCTTATCTCAAAGATCTAAGGCTTTTTCTATGTACAAAAAAGGCCTTTTTTTTCCTCAAATATTGTTCACAAATATGTCTAAATCTGTGTTAGTGAGCACTTCTCCTTTGCCGAGATAATCCATCCACCTCACAGGTGTGACATATCAGGATGCTGATTAGACAGCATGATTATTGCACAGGTATGCATTAGGCTGGCCACAATAAAAGGCCACTCTAAAATGTGCAGATTTATCACACAGCACAATGCCACAGATGTCGCAAGTTTTGAGGGAGCGTGCAATTGGCATGCTGACTGCAGGAATGTTCACCAGAGCTGTTGTCCGTGAACTGAATGTTCATTTCTCTACCATAAGCCGTGTCCAATATAGTAAAACTGTACATTTTAGAGTGGCCTTTTATTTTGGCCAGCCTTAGACACACCTGTGCAAAAGAGAAGTGCTCACTAACACAGATTTAGACAGATTTGTGAACAATATTTGAGAGAAATAGGCCTTTTGTGTACATAGAAAAGGTCTTAGATCTTTGAGTCCAGCTCATGAAAAATAGGGGCAAAAACAAAAGGGTTGCTTATATAATTTTGTTTAGTGTACATACATATATATCGGACAACAAGAAGGCAAAGTTAGCTGTACCTATAATCTTACCACAAAGAAGACAAACACCCTGGGCATGATAGAACATGAATAGGAAAATCACTTACTCTGCCAAACTCAGAGGACCAATTCACCACAATGGTGTTGGGTATTGTTGAGGTCAATCGGACGAGTGGAGAAATATTAATGGGCCTACTCGGTCGTTTTGGTTCAGCTCCATTCTTTGTGGGAGGTAAGTAGCCCTAGAGGAAGAAGACGTAATTAACATTAATATATAAATAAAAGTAGCTCAGCCCTTGCAGGGAATAACCTAACATGTAACTCAGAACTAGGAATAACACTTTATATCCTCCTGGAGATCTGCTCTATACAACGGAGCACGAAACGATAAGGTATTGTGTTCAGTTCTATAGAGCAGATCTCCAGGAGGACATAGAGAGGTAGTGATAGTACTTTATAGATCCCTGGTAAGATCTCACCTAGAGTATTGTGTTCAGTTCTATAGAGCAGATCTCCAGGAGGACATAGAGAGGTAGTGATAGTACTTTATAGATCCCTGGTAAGATCTCCTAGAGTATTGTGTTCAGTTCTATAGAGCAGATCTCCAGGAGGATATAGAGAGGTAGTGATAGTACTTTATAGATCCCTGGTAAGATCTCACCTAGAGTATTGTGTTCAGTTCTATAGAGCAGATCTCCAGGAGGGTATAGAGAGGTAGTGATAGTACTTTATAGATCCCTGGTAAGATCTCACCTAGAGTATTGTGTTCAGTTCTATAGAGCAGATCTCCAGGAGGATATAGAGAGGTAGTGATAGTACTTTATAGATCCCTGGTAAGATCTCACCTAGAGTATTGCGTTCAGTTCTATAGAGCAGATCACCAGGAGGATATAGAGAGGTAGCGATAGTACTTTATAGATCTCTGGTAAGATCTCACCTAGAGTATTGTGTTCAGTTCTATAGAGCAGATCTCCAGGAGGATATAGAGAGGTAGTGATAGTACTTTATAGATCCCTGGTAAGATCTCACCTAGAGTATTATGTTCAGTTCTATAGAGCAGATCTCCAGGAGGATATAGAGAGGTAGCGATAGTACTTTATAGATCCCTGGTAAGATCTCACCTAGAGTATTGTGTTCAGTTCTATAGAGCAGATCTCCAGGAGGATATAGAGAGGTAGTGATAGTACTTTATAGATCCCTGGTAAGATCTCACCTAGAGTATTGTGTTCAGTTCTATAGAGCAGATCTCCAGGAGGATATAGAGAGGTAGTGATAGTACTTTATAGATTCCTGGTAAGATCTCACCTAGAGTATTGTGTTCAGTTCTATAGAGCAGATCTCCAGGAGGATATAGAGAGGTAGTGATAGTACTTTATAGATCCCTGGTAAGATCTCACCTAGAGCATTGTGTTCAGTTCTATAGAGCAGATCTCCAGGAGGATATAGAGAGGTAGTGGTAGTACTTTGTAGATCCCTGGTAAGATCTCACCTAGAATATTGTGCTCCGTTCTATAGAGCGGTAGTAATAGTATATAGAGTATATAGCAGATATACCTGAAATTATAGAGAGGTACTGCTAGAACTTGATACAAGTCATATATTAGAGAACTAATATTGTATATCAGAGATGCAGAGTAGCTGGGAGTTAGTAATTTCATAGTGCCGGAGTGATTTAAACAGTGACATCACATGATAATCTTACAGGCAAAGGGCAGAGCTTTCCGTTCACTTTCACAAACAGGTTGGGGGGGAAATAGTCTTCTTGAGGACAACTGGTCTCACACAAGCAGAACCTGAGGGAACAAAAAAATCAAATCCAAGTCTTATTGCGCCATCTTTTGCTGAAGCCATTATTTACTCACACAACAGAATATTAAGGATTTTAAAATGAAATTTTTAGGAGAACAAGGATGGAGGCAGAGGGCAGCCATCTTGATGCATATAAGAATCCGCTTTTATGTTTCTTGCAGTTAAGCTGTATAAACTGCGAGGTCATCTTGATTTACCCAAAATGTAATGCTCTCATACAAAATCCAAAAAAACAAGATGAATACTTCCAGTAATCCCAATCTGCTTGTTATATATAGGGCAGCCGATTGTAGGCTTACTATACATCATTAGCTATGGTTGACCTATTTTCATCATATTTTGTATATTATGATATTCCTCTATCTACCACTATATAAAGAACATACTTTCTACATTTAAAAAAATGATCTTAGTGCTGCTGTCCAGTATGCAAATTATCTTTAAACATACTGAATTTATATGTGAGTACACCCAGTTATCACAAAACTATTTATATTATATATACACACTTAGCAATCCTATAGGAATTGCCTGTCTTTCAGATCTCCTCAGTCTGTTTTAGTATCTCCTCTAGCTCTAGCTTGCTCAAACAGGAGAGATCTGATTCTGCCCTTAGCTGGTCCTCCTTGGCTAATCAGGTTCTTTTCTTAAGATCAGCCTTTACCCTTGCCTCTTTGTTTGTCTCTTGTCAGGATTACAGTTGATCCAGCACGCAGAATAGTATCACACCTAGGACTAAGGAGAACGTCTAACCGGACCTTAGAATGGCCGGACTTAACAAACCAGAGAATAGTCAAAATACTAGCCGAGGTCAGGGACACAGAACGAGACACAGCGATAAGGAAAAGCCAATAGTCAAGGATACCAGAAGTCAGGGAAGTCAAAACAAAGCCAAAGTCAAAAACCAGAAAAACACGATCAGGAACACACTCTCGGATAACCATCTAAGGGAAACCACGACAGGGCAATGAGCTAAAGGAATAAGTGAGTTTAAATAACCCTCTTGCAGATCCGATTGGCCGTACCTAGCCTTTGACCCCAAAACGTGCGTGTACATCTTTTGCGTGACGTCACCTGCACGTCCACGTCGCCTTTAATGTAGACGGACGTGGGGTGGCGTCCACCGACATGTCGCAAAAGCCAGGCATCCTGGCAGAGGACCGCCGAGCGGCACTCCTCTTAATCTTAGGGAGGTAATTATCTCTGTGTTTGTCACATGGAGATGAAGAATACGTGACATCTCTATCCTCGCTTATTGCCTAGATACTCCTGAGCTCCTGCATCTACCAAGGCTGGCAGCAGAAGTCCCAGGGGGTACCTAACTGTAGGCCGAACCTGTGGGGAATGCGGAAGAGAAGACAGAGACTCAGTTGGTTGATGTAGATTAATAGAAACCAAATTGTTTTACTTGCTTCCATTTTATAGAATTGCACGTGTTTGGTTCATCAAATAACAGATGAATCTTGGCAAGGTACATTTCATTGTTTTAAGCCGGATGCTTGGCGGATGCTTGGCAGATGCTTGGTGCCCAAAGTGTATGCGTGGCAATCCTGTGAAATGTATGTAACTGCAAAAATAGTATAATAAGGCATAGACATTTATGTTCGATTAGGAATCTACCATGTCTTCCCCTTGTGTATCGAGGCCTGCCTCTCACCTGTGTATCAAGGCCTGCCTTCCACCTAAGTATCGATGCATGACTTCCTCCTGTGTAACGAGGCCTGCCTACCCAGTGTATCAAAGCTTGCCTTCCACCTGCGTATCGAGGCCTGCCTTCCACCTGCGTATCGAGGCCTGCCTTCCACCTGCGTATCGAGGCCTGCCTTCCACCTGCGTATCGAGGCCTGCCTTCCACCTGCGTATCGAGGCCTGCCTTCCACCTGCGTATCGAGGCCTGCCTTCCACCTGCGTATCGAGGCCTGCTTTCCACCTGTTCCACCCAAGTATCGATGCATGACTTCCTCCTGTGTAACTAGGCCTGCCTACCCCTGTGTCTCAAGGCCTGACTCCTGTACCTCAAGACCTGCCTTCCACCTGTGTCTTGAGGACAGCTTCCCAATGGGTCCGTGTTGCCACATCCTCCACAAAAATTTAGCCCCATTACCTGAAAATTAACCAAAATTAGCCCAATTGTGCCAAAAATAGTATCCTACTCTTTTCCCAGCCCGTCCCTCTGACAGACTCTTCAGCCAGCCAACTGGCACCCCTGACATTGTGGTCTCGGGACGCCCCTGGCCAGGGAGGTCAAAGCAGTTATTATCAAGGGGAAAGGGAGCGTGCGTCCCCTTGGTTACCCAGCCCTGACTCTCCCCTTGGTTATCCAACATGCCCCTCTCCTTGGTTACCCAGCCCTGCCCCTCCCCTTGGTTATCCAACTTGCCCCTCCCCTTGGTTATCCAGCCCTGCCCCTCCCCTTGGTTATCCAGCCCTGCCCCTCCCCTTGGTTATCCAACCTGCCCCTCCCCTTGGTTACCCAGCCCTGCCCCTCCCCTTGGTTATCCAACCTGCCCTCCCCTTGGTTATCCAACCTGCCCCTCCCCTTGGTTATCCAGCCCTGCCCCTCCCCTTGGTTATCCAACCTGCCCCTCCCCTTGGTTACCCAGCCCTGCCCCTCCCCTTGGTTATCCAACCTGCGCCTCCCCTTGGTTATCCAACCTGCCCCTCAGTACTTCAAGTGACCAGCTCCCATCCAGAGTTTCCCTTGTTCACTTTCCTAGAGGTTCTGTTTTATTACAATGTGCTATTGACTCTTTGTTTGCTTTGTGTTGAATCATGAATATATTTGGATTTCGTTTCTCTTCTGCCATCTGTTTTTCCTGCACCTTGAGTTCCTTGTCTTCTAGACAGTCACTGGAGGCAGACTTAACCCTGCAATGAGATGCCGTGGTCTGGGTGCCTATATTGTGCATCTAACTTATAATTCTTTGTCTCAGCACTCCTCCAAACCAACCTTGACACATTATTTTACAGATAGTCACTAAAACCATATAGCCATATAGACTTTTTGGGGCAACACCGAGTACGTGACTGCTCACCATTAGACATCCCAAACATGCACTGCAATAATCATAAGTTAAGCGTGTTTTACCACAATGTTTCTTATCTTATTATTCCTCATGTTTAGCTAGTTACCGAGGCATAGCTGATTAGCTTCTGACCAATGTCGAGATATGAAAGCACAGCCTGAATATGCAACTTTTCTACAAATATAGTCTCAAATGCCTCACAACGGTTTCCCTCTGTCATACGTTATGCTTGCCTATACATTGCAATGCCTATGTGTCTATCTTTCTGCACTACAAAATTAAAGAATTGAGAAAAAAATATATATATTTAAAAAGTTTATTTTACCTCAGTTGTACTTGTACTGTATAATCACACTTGGCTCCGGGTAGAATATCTCTGCAAAAATAAAATAAAAATATCAACGTCTGTACTTTGTAAATGGTTCAAGCAGCAATCAAAAGAAAACTGACTCACAATTTACCAGGAAATTGACTAAAAAAGACCATCATCCAATCAACGAAAGATCACCTCTGATATATTGCGTCTCTCAAAAATGTAGGTTCTCTAACTGTACATAAAAGTGGCAATTTGAGGTTTTCTACAAACCATCAATATAAAGTATACAACGGGATATTTTTCAGACTTTTGAACTGCTTCAAACCATGACTGCACATTGTATCTAAATGGACCTTTTTAAATAGCTTTAAGTGAATACCCAAATTGCAATTTCAGGTCAAATTTGAGAGATTTTCCTTAAATCTTGCAATTCGAAAACATACCTGGCCTATCTGAGCAATTAAAAGTTTTGCATTAACAAAGTATCTCGATCAGTTGCAAAATACTGCCAGAGTTAAACACTAAAGAGGTCGTCCATTTACTAAACAATCAAATTGTGGTTAACGAGAACAGCTAGGTTCCTGACTATATTGCAGAAATAATGCCTACATTTTACAAATCAGATTTCACTTAACCACAATTTGATAAATTGTGGAGAATTAAAAATGAATTTCAAATGTTACATCAAAATTGCCAAATTAGAAAAATTGTTTTCAATTTGGTTTCATTATTGGGAGGCTATGGACATGTAGTGCATATAAATACTATATTATATGCTGATATTACTGAACCTACCTTGAAGTGAGGATCTGATGAACCTGCTGTGGAGTTAATGCAAAATTAAAGTGTGCCTCTTCAAACCGCTGACTGTTCGTGGAGGCTGGAAGACAAACACAGAAACGTCATGAGGTCCTACTGGAGACACTAAAACTTGGCTAAACTTGGATAAGGCTGATGTGTCACATGTTGGTTAAACCTGCCATCTCAGCCATGGTAAAACCTTACATTATTTTGCTGAACCGCTAACAAATCTGTTTGGAGTCTATAGGATGCTCACGTAAAATACACTTTTTTCTATACATTAAACCAAGACGATTGAAGGAATAAAATGCTCTATTTTACCAGCTCTACAAGTAATCATATCTTAACAGTATTAAACTAACCATGGATAATAGAAAGACACATTAAAGGGACAGCAACACATATTAGAAGGTGTCATCTACTTGTAATCATATTTACTATAGTTATATCTTAATGAAGCAGTTTTAATGTACAGAACTAACTCCTGCAGTTTCACTGCTCAATTCTCTGCCATTTAGAAGTTAAATTACTTTTGTTTCTGTCCATGTAGAATTAGCCACAACTCCCCTGGCTGTGACTCACAGCCTGCACAAAAAATGGTTTCATTTTCAATCTGACATTAACATATGTTTTTATCCAGTGCTCTGTAAATTGAACTTTAAAGCAACACTATAGTGTCAGGAACACAAATGTGTATTCCTGACACTATATGTCCAAATGCTCAGTTTAGGTGGCCGTCCCCCCTTGCCCCTGTTAAAAAGGGGAGTTATCTTTTTTCCAACATCCTGCAAGTCTCCTCGTGGCTGGCTCCGCCACCACTCTGCCTCCTTGGCAATCCAATGTTTTTTCAAAAGAAAGCATTGGGAGGCTAATGTGCATGTACGGCAATCAGTATCTCTTCTTAAAGATGCATTGAACCAATACAGCTCTATGAGGAACTTCGGAACCTCTATGCAGGACGTGGAGACGCTGAACGTTGCACTGATCCAGGAAGTACTTCTAGTAGCCGTCTGAGTGACTGCCACTAAATGCGTTACTAGACAGCAATGTAAACACTGCCTATTCTTTGAAAAAGCAGTGTTTGCATTAAAAAGGCTGCAGGGACAGGTTATAGACACCAGAACAATTACATTAAGCTGTAGTTGTTCCGGTGACTATAGTGTCCCTTTAAATCACACACAGGAGGGTTCTGAACAAGAAGCTATTAGCAGAGCAGGAGATAAGAAACTCTAAATTAAACAGACTGTACAATAAAGGAAGGTTAAACTTTAGATCTCTCTTTACAGGAAGTATTTAGGAAGGCTGTGTAAGTCACATGCTCTCAGCCTATCAACACCTCCAAGTCCAATGATTCCTTATCCAAGCTTGGAACTGCAACAGATATTGGTGGAAAGAGCTGACAGGAGCCAGATTCAAAACTCTGCCATAAAACAGCTATCAGTTTAACCTCTTGAGGTAAGCCGGTGTTCTATCATTCTGCTATACTCCGTCAGATTTCTATACCCCCGTCACTTCCGGGGAGGGGAATCAGCTGGATCCTGTGCTGCACATGCGTGCTAGCACTCCTGCTACTCCTCCACAGCAAGGTGCTGGAAGGTAAGTAAAACTAGTTTTACACTTTCATTATAGTTAGTGGATTCACTAAGCTTGGGGTAAGAGTTAAAATAAAGTGTGATAAATCACTATTTAGTGATATTCCCCTAAAGTCCCCAATCCTAACCCTAATTTGAACCCTAACATTAACCCTAAATGTCCCATGTCCTAAGCTTAGTGAATGCACTAACTATAATGAAAGTGTAAAACTAGTTTTACTTACCTTCCAGCACCTTGCTGTGGAGGAGTAGCAGGAGTGCTAGCACGCATGTGCAGCACAGGATCCAGCTGATTCCCCTCCCCGGAAGTGACGGGGGTATAGAAATCTGACTGAGTATAGCAGAATGATAGAACACCGGTACCCAGAGTCGACCTTGAACAATAATAACTACATTCTAATGAAGTTGTTATGGTGCACAGAATGTCCTTTTAAGCATCATGGGGCCTACAAGGGAAAAATACATCCTATTATAGGCACATAAGACCAGCTCGTTGCGGTGGAACACTCACCCAATGTGGTGGGTTTAATGAGCTCATCATAGACCTCATAAAATGGAAGACGTTTCATCTTAACATCAGGATGCAGCGGGTGAATAGCTGGTGAGAGATGCTGGATATCTGTTTCGTGCTTAGGACCCATCATGGGAACTGGAGGCAACATGGAGGAGGTAACGGTGTTTGAATTGGAACTGGCATCATACGCCAGGTGGCACACTGAGCTTTGTGTCAATGAGCTGGTAGATGTCAGGGCACCTGTTTGTATGTGTAACATGGGTAAGCCAGCTGTGTTTAGGATCTTGCGAGGGTACCGTCTCCGGTACAGTTCTTTGATCTTCATTTGCACTGTTGGATTACAGCCGTATCTGACAAGTTGAAGAGCTTTAGCGAGAATCTCCTGCTTTCTTCCAGTCTTGTTCCGGCCAGCAAAACTCAGTAGAACTTGTAGTTCCGATACTCTAAAGTTCATAACCATATGCTGGAAAACGAGAAATGAGCAAAAGTTAGGTAAGGGTAGATGTATAGAGCAGCAAAAGGGGAGCATAAACTATTTTTTAAAAAAAACAAAAAAAAACATTTACAATTTGGATCAGAAAGGGGTATAATCTTACTTGACAGCTACAATGGATAAAAGAAAAAATGCAGAGATATTGCCAGTGCAGTCCACATAAAGAGTCTAAACACAGAAACCACTTGAGCTTGCTGAAGCAGTAATGGCATAAGGGCCAAGTCAATGTACTCTGGATTTTCCTCAAAAGCTCATTGTCCTGCTGTGTGCCCAAGTTTCATCCCTAACACCCAGGCTTCTACAGTTGAGGCCTGATTGCTCTACAGAGCACAAAGCAGAGGCACTCTCATTTGCCAAGTGCGCTCAATGGATGATCTCAGCTAATTTATGCAGCCCTGATTTGCCCCAATGAAAAGATTCATAATTTAATGCAAGCATGGATTCATTGTAGGTATGTCTACTAAGCAGTGACTCTTATTTATTTTGTATTTGGGCAGTGAAGTGTCCCTTTAACAGGACTCTTTCGTCACCAAAGCAAGTTTAGCTCAATGAAGCAGTTTTGGTGTACAATCATAACCCTGCAGGCTCACTACTAAATTCTCTGCCATTTATGAGTTAAAAATAGCTTTTTTTAATGTAGCCCTAGTCACACCTCCCTGCATGGGCACAGCCTCCCCAAACACTTCCTTTACTGCACAGTCTGTTTAATTGAGAATTTATCCCCCTGCTGTGTTAATAGCTTGCAAGACCTTGCAGCACCCTCTCGTGTGTGTGTGATTAAAGGTCAAGTTACAGAGCAGGAGACAAACACTTCTAAAGCAAGAACATCTGATTGAAAATTAAATCTTTTTGTCCCCCCCCATGCAGGGTGTGTGGTAGGGCTATAGACACAGAAACAAAAAGTTATTTAACTCAATGAAAACTGTTCTAGGGACTGACTGAAACTGGACTACAATTCCCATAATCCACCATGAATGGTATTAAAGGGACACTATAGTCACCTGAACAACTTTAGTTTAATGAAGCAGTTTTGGTGTATAGAACATGCCCCTGCAGCCTCGCTGCTCAATCCTCTGCCATTTAGGGGCTAAATCCCTTTGTTTATGAACCCTAGTCACACCTCCCTGCATGTGACTTGCACAGCCTTCCATAAACACTTCCTGTAAAGAGAGCCCTATTTAGGCTTTCTTTATTGCAAGTTCTGTTTAATTAAGATTTTCTTATCCCCTGCTATGTTAATAGCTTGCTAGACCCTGCAAGAGCCTCCTGTATGTGATTAAAGTTCAATTTAGAGATTAAGATACAATTATTTAAGGTAAATCACATCTGTTTGAAAGTGAAACCAGTTTTTTTTTTCATGCAGGTTGTGTCAATCATAGCCAGGGGAGGTGTGGCTAGGGCTGCATAAACAGAAACAAAGTGATTTAACTCCTAAATGACAGTGAATTGAGCAGTGAAATTGCAGGGGAATGATCTATACACTAAAACTGCTTAATTTAGCTAAAGTAATTTAGGTGACTATAGTGTTCCTTTAATGCAAGAGGTAGAGAGAATACATCAGTTACAGACACAGGCCATTTTAATACACTGCATTAATTAGAGCTAAGAAAGAGGTTATTCTCTTTATTCGAAGTAACCGGAACTCTTTTTTCCCATCCCACCACTTGTAATATATAAATATGCCTTAATATACCCTCCCATCTGATATGAAGATACAGTTACAAATAAACAGACATAAGCTTAGAGAGAACAATTATGTATGGTGCACGTGCAATGATATGAAATAACATGTCAACTGGTTTATAATTTGTCAAATTTGAATTGTCCCTTCTTATTATAACTGCATATGGCCTCTGTTAATTACAGATATAGAAACGTATTGGCTACCCGACTGGTAACCATCACAGTAGTTCAGAGGCTAAACAGCTGACAATAATCCCTGTGACTTATTGGCCTCATGGGCCATGGCTGGAGTCAATACAAGTAGCGCAGGGGATCCACAGCTGACAATAATCCTATAGGTACTTTACCACAGACTGTCTACAATTTAATTGACTCATGGGTGACATTGCTGACCACAATCCCTGTGGCTCAGTGGCTGCACAACTGGCAAAAATTACCATGGACAGGGCCCTCACAGGTGGCAACAATCCCTGCAGGTAATAGAGCACAGGCTAGCTACGATCTCAGTAGCTCAGGGGCCACACTGCCCACACAGGTGCCTACCAACCATGTGGCTCCGTGGCTGCACATCCAGGGACAAAATTTATGGCTTAGGGATCACATCACTGGCTACAATCTCCTGGGGCTCGAAGGTCACATGCCTCAATCCCCATAGCTCAGGGGCCAAATGGTTGGCCACAATCCCCATAGTTGTGGGCCTGCATAGCTGGTGACCTCCCTGTCTTGCAAGGCTGGGTAGAATCCATGTGTAGAGATGCATTATAACTAAAATATAAATAGCTAGTTCATTATTAATTGTTAATATCACTGGTTCTACTACGAGCAACATGAATAAGATGAGCTAGTGCTAGGCAGTGACACTATCATGCACTGCTTCACACTGCCCTGTGTATGTTGGTAAACAAATACGTGATATAACTGTATCACAGTTAGTGTAGCATCCACAAGATAGATGACTGCTTTGTGGTCAGGCAGAGACGTCTCTATTCAATAACTGTCTGCAATTAGAGTTGGGAGCTCATATAGCAACACATACATGTGTAGAATATACAGCACACTGAACAGGGTTGTCAATAAACAATACTTTATAAAAGGTGCTGGGTAGAATCCATGTGTAGAGATGCATTATAACTAAAATATAAATAGCTAGTTCATTATTAATTGTTAATATCACTGGTTCTACTACGAGCAACATGAATAAGATGAGCTAGTGCTAGGCAGTGACACTATCATGCACTGCTTCACACTGCCCTGTGTATGTTGGTAAACAAATACGTGATATAACTGTATCACAGTTAGTGTAGCATCCACAAGATAGATGACTGCTTTGTGGTCAGGCAGAGACGTCTCTATTCAATAACTGTCTGCAATTAGAGTTGGGAGCTCATATAGCAACACATACATGTGTAGAATATACAGCACACTGAACATTGTCAATAAACAATACTTTATAAAAGGTGCAGGGTGGGACTAGTTAAATTGGAACAATTTTTTATATATATATATATATATATATATATATATATATATATATATATATATATATATATATGTGTGTGTGTGTATATATATGTATATGTGTGTGTGTGTGTGTGTGTATATACACACACACACACATATACACACACACACACACATAATAAATTATAAACTATTAATATTTGAACACAATAAATATTACACACACAATAAATGTCACACATTATTATTCACTCACACACAATAAATATTACACATTATTCACTCACAAACAAAAAATATTATACATTATACACACACACACACACACACAAATATTACACATTATTATACACACACAATACTACACACTATTATGCACACACACACAATATTACACACCAGTATTACTCTCACACACAGTACATACTACACACTATTATTCAAACACACACAATATTACACACTAGTATTACTCACACACAATAATTACACACTATTATTACTCACACACACACAAATATTACCCACTTATTATTCACACACACACAATAAATATTACACACTATTATTATTCACACACACAATAAATATTACACACTATTATTCACACACACACAATACACAATAAATATTACATACTTATTCACACACACAATAAATATTACACGTTATTATTATTTCATACACAATATTACACACTATTATTATTCACACACACACACACACACAATATTACACATTATTCACACACACAATAGTACACATTATTATTCACACACACACAAAATAAATATCACACACTATTATTATTATTCACACACACACTCAATAATTCACACACACACACAATACACAATGAATATTGTAATAAATATTACATACTTATTCACACACACACAATAAATATTACACATTATTATTCACACACAATATTACACACTTATAAAAACACACACACACAATATTACACTTTATTATTCACACACAATATTACACACACACACACACACACACACAATATTAAACATTATTATTAAACACACTCACACACAATATTACACACACACACACACAATATTAAACATTATTCACACACAATACTCCACACTTTTTATGTACACACACACAATATTACACATTATTATTATTCACACACAATAAATATCACACACTATTATTATTCACACACACACACAATATTACACATTATTCACACAATAAATATCACACACACACACACACACAATATTACACGTTATTATTCACATACAATATTACACATTATTATTATTATACACACACACACACACACACACACACAATATTACACACTATTATGGTGCCCATAGTACAGGGTGTTCTTTTATTATGATTATTATTATTGGTGGGGTCAGTCGGGGGAGGTGCCCATAGTACAGGGTGCTCTATTATTATGATTATTATTATTATTGGTGAGGTCAGTCAGGGGAGGTGCCCATAGTACAGGGTGCTCTATTATTATGATTATTATTATTGGTGGGGTCAGTCAGGGTGCTCTGTTATTATTTATGATTATTTATTATTATTATTAATTATTATGATTATTATTATTGGTGGGGTCAGTCAGGGGAGGTGCCCATAGTACAGGGAGCTCTATTATTATGATTATTATTATTGGTGGGGTCAGTCAGGGGAGGTGTCCATAGTACAGGGTGCTCTATTATTATTATGATTATTATTATTATTTGTGGGGTCAGTCAGGGTGCTCTGTTATTTATTATTATTATTATTATTATTATTGGTGGGGTCAGTCAGGGTGCTCTGTTATTTATTATGATTATTATTATTGGTGGGGTCAGTCGGGGGAGGTGCCCATAGTACAGGGTGATCTATTATTATGATTATTATTATTGGTGGGGTCAGTCAGGGGAGGTGCCCATAGTACAGGGAGCTCTATTATTATTATTATTATTATTATTGGTGGGGTCAGTCAGGGGAGGTGCCCATAGTACAGGGTGATCTATTATTATGATTATTATTATTGGTGGGGTCAGTCGGGGGAGGTGTCCATAGTACAGGGTGCTCTATTATTATGATTATTATTATTATTGGTGAGGTCAGTCAGGGGAGGTGCCCATAGTACAGGGTGCTCTATTATTATGATTATTATTATTATTGGTGGGGACAGTCGGGGGAGGTGCCCATAGTACAGGGAGCTCTATTATTATGATTATTATTATTATTGGTGAGGTCAGTCAGGGGAGGTGTCCATAGTACAGGGAGCTCTATTATTATGATTATTATTATTATTATTGGTGGGGTCAGTCAGGGGAGGTGCCCATAGTACAGGGTGCTCTATTATTATGATTATTATTATTATTGGTGGGGACAGTCGGGGGAGGTGCCCATAGTACAGGGAGCTCTATTATTATGATTATTATTATTGGTGGGGTCAGTCAGGGGAGGTGCCCATAGTACAGGGAGCTCTATTATTATGATTATTATTATTGGTGAGGTCAGTCAGGGGAGGTGTCCATAGTACAGGGAGCTCTATTATTATGATTATTATTATTGGTGGGGTCAGTCAGGGGAGGTGCCCATAGTACAGGGTGCTCTATTATTATGATTATTATTATTATTGGTGAGGTCAGTCAGGGGAGGTGTCCATAGTACAGGGAGCTCTATTATTATGATTATTATTATTGGTGGGGTCAGTCAGGGGAGGTGCCCATAGTACAGGGAGCTCTATTATTATGATTATTATTATTGGTGAGGTCAGTCAGGGGAGGTGCCCATAGTACAGGGTGCTCTATTATTATGATTATTATGATTATTATTATTATTGGTGGGGTCAGTCAGGGGAGGTGCCCATAGTACAGGGAGCTCTATTATTATGATTATTATTATTATTGGTGGGGACAGTCGGGGGAGGTGCCCATAGTACAGGGAGCTCTATTATTATGATTATTATTATTGGTGGGGTCAGTCAGGGGAGGTGCCCATAGTACAGGGAGCTCTATTATTATGATTATTATTATTATTGGTGGGGTCAGTCAGGGGAGGTGTCCATAGTACAGGGAGCTCTATTATTATTATTATTATTATTATTGGTGAGGTCAGTCAGGGGAGGTGCCCATAGTACAGGGAGCTCTATTATTATGATTATTATTATTATTGGTGGGGTCAGTCAGGGGAGGTGCCCATAGTACAGGGTGCTCTATTATTATGATTATTATTATTGGTGGGGTCAGTCAGGGGTGGTGTCCATAGTACAGGGTGCTCTATTATTATGATTATTATTATTATTGGTGGGGTCAGTTGGGGGAGGTGTCCATAGTACAGGGAGCTCTATTATTATGATTATTATTATTGGTGGGGTCAGTCAGGGGAGGTGCCCATAGTACAGGGTGCTCTATTATTATGATTATTATTATTATTGGTGAGGTCAGTCAGGGGAGGTGCCCATAGTACAGGGTGATCTATTATTATGATTATTATTATTATTGGTGAGGTCAGTCAGGGGAGGTGCCCATAGTACAGGGAGCTCTATTATTATGATTATTATTATTGGTGGGGTCAGTCAGGGGAGGTGTCCATAGTACAGGGTGATCTATTATTATGATTATTATTATTATTGGTGAGGTCAGTCAGGGGAGGTGCCCATAGTACAGGGTGCTCTATTATTATGATTATTATTATTGGTGGGGTCAGTCAGGGTGCTCTGTTATTATTTATGATTATTTATTATTATTATTAATTATTATGATTATTATTATTGGTGGGGTCAGTCAGGGGAGGTGCCCATAGTACAGGGAGCTCTATTATTATGATTATTATTATTGGTGGGGTCAGTCAGGGGAGGTGTCCATAGTACAGGGTGCTCTATTATTATTATGATTATTATTTATTTGTGGGGTCAGTCAGGGTGCTCTGTTATTTATTATTATTATTATTATTATTATTGGTGGGGTCAGTCAGGGTGCTCTGTTATTTATTATGATTATTATTATTGGTGGGGTCAGTCGGGGGAGGTGCCCATAGTACAGGGTGATCTATTATTATGATTATTATTATTGGTGGGGTCAGTCAGGGGAGGTGCCCATAGTACAGGGAGCTCTATTATTATTATTATTATTATTATTGGTGGGGTCAGTCAGGGGAGGTGCCCATAGTACAGGGTGATCTATTATTATGATTATTATTATTGGTGGGGTCAGTCGGGGGAGGTGTCCATAGTACAGGGTGCTCTATTATTATGATTATTATTATTATTGGTGAGGTCAGTCAGGGGAGGTGCCCATAGTACAGGGTGCTCTATTATTATGATTATTATTATTATTGGTGGGGACAGTCGGGGGAGGTGCCCATAGTACAGGGAGCTCTATTATTATGATTATTATTATTGGTGGGGTCAGTCAGGGGAGGTGCCCATAGTACAGGGAGCTCTATTATTATGATTATTATTATTATTGGTGGGGTCAGTCAGGGGAGGTGCCCATAGTACAGGGAGCTCTATTATTATGATTATTATTATTATTGGTGGGGTCAGTCAGGGGAGGTGCCCATAGTACAGGGAGCTCTATTATTATGATTATTATTATTGGTGGGGTCAGTCAGGGGAGGTGCCCATAGTACAGGGATCTCTATTATTATGATTATTATTATTGGTGAGGTCAGTCGGGGGAGGTGCCCATAGTACAGGATGCTCTATTATTATGATTATTATTATTATTGGTGGGGTCAGTCAGGGGAGGTGTCCATAGTACAGGGAGCTCTATTATTATGATTATTATTATTATTGGTGGGGTCAGTCAGGGGAGGTGTCCATAGTACAGGGAGCTCTATTATTATTATTATTATTATTATTGGTGAGGTCAGTCAGGGGAGGTGCCCATAGTACAGGGAGCTCTATTATTATGATTATTATTATTATTGGTGAGGTTAGTCAGGGGAGGTGCCCATAGTACAGGGTGCTCTATTATTATGATTATTATTATTATTGGTGAGGTCAGTCAGGGGAGGTGCCCATAGTACAGGGAGCTCTATTATTATGATTATTATTATTATTGGTGGGGACAGTCGGGGGAGGTGCCCATAGTACAGGGAGCTCTATTATTATGATTATTATTATTATTGGTGGGGACAGTCGGGGGAGGTGCCCATAGTACAGGGAGCTCTATTATTATGATTATTATTATTGGTGGGGTCAGTCAGGGGAGGTGCCCATAGTACAGGGTGCTCTATTATTATGATTATTATTATTATTGGTGAGGTCAGTCAGGGGAGGTGCCCATAGTACAGGGTGATCTATTATTATGATTATTATTATTATTGGTGAGGTCAGTCAGGGGAGGTGCCCATAGTACAGGGAGCTCTATTATTATGATTATTATTATTGGTGGGGTCAGTCAGGGGAGGTGTCCATAGTACAGGGTGATCTATTATTATGATTATTATTATTATTGGTGAGGTCAGTCAGGGGAGGTGCCCATAGTACAGGGTGCTCTATTATTATGATTATTATTATTATTATTGGTGAGGTCAGTCAGGGGAGGTGTCCATAGTACAGGGAGCTCTATTATTATGATTATTATTATTATTGGTGGGGTCAGTCAGGGGAGGTGTCCATAGTACAGGGAGCTCTATTATTATTATTATTATTATTATTGGTGAGGTCAGTCAGGGGAGGTGCCCATAGTACAGGGAGCTCTATTATTATGATTATTATTATTATTGGTGGGGTCAGTCAGGGGAGGTGCCCATAGTACAGGGTGCTCTATTATTATGATTATTATTATTATTGGTGAGGTCAGTCAGGGGAGGTGTCCATAGTACAGGGAGCTCTATTATTATGATTATTATTATTGGTGGGGTCAGTCAGGGGAGGTGCCCATAGTACAGGGTGCTCTATTATTATGATTATTATTATTGGTGGGGTCAGTCAGGGTGCTCTGTTATTTATTATTATTATTATGATTATTATTATTGGTGGGGTCAGTCAGGGTGCTCTGTTATTTATTATTATTATTATTAATTATTTATGATTATTTATTATGATGATTGGTGCTGTGTGCTGGCCCCAGCCCGGTGACTGTCAGGTTATTGTCTCCGATAGGCCGCAGTCAGATCCCCGGTGCTCTCCCGCCCTCCTGCCCGTGTTAGCCCTTACTGTGCCCCGCATAGTCTCGCCGCGATGCCCGCTGCTCTCCCCGGTACCTTGAGCTCGGCCAGCTCCGCCATCTTGAGACATGGCTCGGAGACAGGAGAGCCAGGGACCGGGGAGAAAGAGCCATCCCGGCTGGGAGCGGAGGGAGAGGCCGGCTACCCACACTGACATTACACACTGACTGCGGGCTGACACTGAGCACGGGGCTACTGGGAGCACGGGGGGGCTACTGCTAGCCAGTCTGTGGGGCTATTACCAGCCAGACTGTGGGGCTATTACCAGCCAGACTGTGGGGCTATTACCAGCCAGTCTGTGGGGCTATTACTAGCCAGTCTGTGGGGGCTATTACCAGCCAGACTGTGGGGGCTATTACCAGCCAGTCTGTGGGGGCTATTACCAGCCAGACTGTGGGGGCTACTGCTAGCCAGACTGTGGGGCTATTACCAGCCAGTCTGTGGGGGGGCTATTACCAGCCAGTCTGTGGGCTATTACCAGCCAGACTGTGGGGCTATTACCAGCCAGACTGTGGGGCTATTACCAGCCAGACTGTGGGGCTATTACCAGCCAGACTGTGGGGCTATTACCAGCCAGTCTGTGGGGGCTATTACCAGCCAGTCTGTGGGGCTATTACCAGCCAGTCTGTGGGGGCTATTACTAGCCAGTCTGTGGGGCTATTACTAGCCAGTCTGTGGGGGCTATTACTAGCCAGTCTGTGGGGGTGGGAGCACGGGGCTATTACTAGCCAGTCTGTGGGGGTGGGAGCACGGGGCTATTACTAGCCAGTCTGTGGGGGTGGGAGCACGGGGCTATTACTAGCCAGTCTGTGGGGGTGGGAGCACGGGGCTACTACCAGCCAGACTGTGGGGCTACTACCAGCCAGACTGTGGGGGCTATTACCAGCCAGACTGGGGCTACTACAGCCAGACTGTGGGGCTATTACCAGCCAGACTGTGGGGCTATTACCAGCCAGGGGGTGGGAGCACGGGGCTATTACTAGCCGGTCTGAGGGGGTGGGAGCACGGGGCTATTACTAGCCAGTCTGAGGGGGTGGGAGCACGGGGCTATTACTAGCTGGTCTGAGGGGGTGGGAGCACGGGGCTATTACTAGCCAGTCTGAGGGGGTGGGAGCACGGGGCTATTACTAGCCTGTCTATCGGGATGGGAGTGCGGGGCAATTACTCTCCTGTATCTGAGTAAGGGAGTGCGGAGCTACTTATAGCCTGTCTCCAGGTATGGGAGTGCTGGGCTACTACTAGCCTGTCTCTGTGTATGCGGGTATTACTGTGCGTGTAGTGTGTGAGGGTACTACTGTGCGTGTAGTGTGTGAGGGTACTACTGTGCGTGTAGTGTGTGCGGTATTACTGTGCGTGTAGTGTGTGTGCGGGTATTACTGTGTCTGTAGTGTGGGTGCGGGTATTACTGTGAGTGTAGTGTGTGTGCAGGTATTACTGTGTGTGTGTAGTGTGTGTGCGGGTATTACTGTGCCTGTAGTGTGGGTGCGGGTATTACTGTGAGTGTAGTGTGTGTGCAGGTATTACTGTGTGTGTGTAGTGTGTGTGTGGGTATTACTGTGCGTGTAGTGTGTGTGCAGGTATTACTGTGCAACATTTAGTGTGTGTGTGCGGGTATTACTGTGCGTGTAGTGCACCACTAGGCTAGGTAAATGGATTAAACTCTATGTGTATGAGGTTTTACTTTGCGATTTGGCCATTGTTCTTGTGTAGTAGACTTTGGGTGTTCTCACATTACTGTAGGACATCCAACAGGGGGGGGTGGGGGGTGGTAGGTCGTAGCTGTGACATTTAAGTGAGATTTGGTAAAGTTTCTGTCTTGGGGGTTTTACGGTTTGCTTTGATAACACAACCATATGTGATGTTATAACATAGAACTCCATTATCTGCGAGACTGCCCAGCAACGATTAATGTAATGTACCTGAAGTCCAGCTATTAGCTCTCTCCCTGAAAGTTGTACACAGTTTGTTCACAAAAAAAAAAAAAAAAAACCATTAATGAAGTGGTGTTCAACTTTTAGCATCTTTTTATAAGTTATCCTTACAGTTTGCTTTATAGTTTTCAAAATAAACCTGAACTGCAACTCTTTTATTATTGGTATTTATATAGCGCCAGCTTTTTCCTTTTTAGCTTTAAACACAAAAAACACTGCCCTGTGACCCGTCCCTGCCACAGAGAGTTATACGAGTGCCTACCGTCCACTTTTCATTTTGCTTTTTGTCTGGAGACACCAAGCCTTTCATTCCATACAGTGTGACCCAAGGAGACGGGCAATCCTTATTGAGTGTGCCAGCAGATCAATGGTTTTGGCTACCATTTTTTATGACACCTGGATCCCAGCCTTGTCCCATTTTGTGTGTGCCACTGACATGCAAGTCTTGCCTCATCATATGTGGCACCAGAATTCCAGTTTTGTCTCCTGTTCTTCGTGGCAGAACCAATCCCTGGTCTAGAGTGGCACTGCTCTATCCTGGACACGAAAGCAGCTGCAGTGCCCATGAAAACACTGGCATTTCGTCCGCCAGGAATGGAATGAGGATGCTGTCTAAGGCCAACATTTTATGCTTTCCTCGGGGTTGAATAAGGACATCAGCCATTTCCCTTGTCTAGCAAGGTTGAGGCCCTACACATTATTTCGATTTCAGGGTGGGATTAGGACACTGGCCTTTGCCATACAAATAACAATATAAGAAATTCTGATTAGTGGGTGGGCACCTGGGTATTCAGGTTGGCACAGAAGGGAAGCTTGCAGGCACCTGGAAACATGTGACATGATGACAGCACATGATAACTTCATCAATAGCAAACATTACTCATTTCACACACATTACAACACGGTGACACTACTGTGTTTGCAAATTCTATATGAATTAGTGAGCCAACCAAGAAAGATCTATTTTAGAATCTCAGAAACATTAACAGTTCAATGTTTGTCAGTGTGATCAAAGTACATTATTCGCTTAATATTTAAAAAGCACCAACATATTCCACAGCGCAGTACAATAAACTGGTATTGTGTATATTATCAAACCCTAATAATTAACATTAAACACTGCTTATCCTACATGTGATTTTATGTATTTTACTTAAAAATATTTTAGTCTGCAAAAAGCAACTGCTGTATTAAACCTATACATGTGTAGTAACATAGTTGTTGTTGTTTTTTTTATTATTATTATCATTATTATTAATTCCTTGCTGACTGTACATCTATTATATTCCCAATAAATTATTATTTATAATATAAATTCCCTGTAGCTCTCTTGGTGACATTGTACTGTTTAAATGGATTATCAAGCATGGAGGTCAGCTGATGGGAGGGTTAATCTTGCTGGGCTCTGGGCAACAGATGGTTAAACCAAGCCCCGGGAGGTGTCTTTGTTACAAATTCATCATGCAGTCCGCCTAAAATTTAAAGATCCGAGCCCAATCCCAATGCTAAATAATGCTGTCTGCCTCTGGGAGCTCCAGGGTCCTCCAATGCCTGAGGAAAGTTCATGCCAAGGGGTGTAGAGGGACAGGGGGTCTGGGTTTGGAGAGGAAACAGTCGAAGGGGGTAAAAGAGGACTTGATATAATGTATTGTACTTACCCAGAGCAGGGGGTTTAAAAGGACAAGGAGATCCTTGCTGGGGGAAAAAAAGTACAATCCTATTGGGTTCAGCAGCTGAAGAGTTAACTCCAGGGGTGTTGAGGGGCAGATCCAGGCGCAGAGATGAGACCAGAGGGGGTAAAATACATTAAAATCCACAATCCAAGCCGACTTTCACTTTATAGGAGAGCTGGTCTGAATCAGGAAATACACAGGCAGTGAGCTGGCTGCTAGCACCCCTAGTGGCCGGCACAGGCATTGTCTGTGTGACTCCAACTCTATCACACCACATAGTGGAATATTATACTCATCTTTTTTTTTTAATTATTTGGTTTATTCATTTTCTTTGACTGGTTTTCCATCAGGACAATGTCTTTCATCTCATTATTGAATTAAATACCCACATAGCTTGCAACCCAGTGCTAGTATTACATTTAGAAAGCACCAACATATTCTGTAGCGCTGTACAATAGATTAATTCCTTTCCAGTATTTAGTGGCAATTTAGGCATAAAGGGTGATGAGGTAGCGATGTGCCTATATGTATCCAGAATGTTTCCAGGAGTACGAATGGAATTCTATACATTTATACAGCATCTGTAGAGGCAGAAGGTGTGATAGCTTTAGACAGTGGATTGCTAGGTGTTTAATCCATAATTATATGCACTATCTGTAGAGGAAGCAGATAACATACTGGTAAATCAGTCAGAGGGAGCCGAGATTGCCGGTGTACAGTTCATATCTAACTATATACATTATTCGTTGTATGATATATATAGAGTAGCTGTAAAATGTGTAACAGAGCAGACAGGAGGTGGATAGACGTGGCGTAACGTTTGTATCTAATATTATATAGATACACAATGGCTGTACAGTAAGAAGATTAAATAGAGACAGGGCAGATAGTTTAGAAGATATATTGCCAAGTTTACAGTCTGTTTCTACAGATATTATTTACATTTATTAAAGGGTTACTGAATGCACCATGACCACTTTGTTGATTTAAAGTGGTCATGGTGCCTGGAGTTTGCATGTGTAACATTTCGCTGTGAAACGCTGCATATATGGCGATTAAACCCTCGGCAGCTGAAAGTGTAACTCCACCTTTGGCAGCATCATAGAGGTGTCATTAGTCAGCCTCTAATTAGTGTACTGGATGGCTAATATTATTTCTGGGCCAAATTGGTATCTGATGCTACGAAGCACAGCATGCTGGCGCCAGAGAGCCAATGGTAGCACGTACCCATCTCGTGCCACACAGGCTGTCCTTTGTGACTTCTCTATCTTTCCAGCAAGGGTGACGTCAACTGGATGAAGATAGCTCTGAGAACTTGTCTTTGGTGATGGAGAGTTTTCGCGTTTAATTATTATTATTATTTTATTTTTTTTATGGAGGACGGAACTGGCAGGACAAGGGTTACTTTAACCAAAAACAGTATTTTTGTAAAATCCTTAGTTCTTTTAAAGGGGAAGAAGAGTGATCCTAATCACACCTGACTAAATATAGTTTTGTAATGGGGAAATAAATGGCACTACATAAGTCGATATGTCCTATTATTTTTATTTTTTTCATAATTCTCTGTTTATTGAAATGTTATCCAGAAACTTTGGACATACAATACACAGGACCAGAATAGAGCCCCCAAACATAAAATTAACAGCGATTACAACACAGTTTACAATCAACGGGCTGAAGGACCCGCAATTGAATTGGTATAATAACTCCAATTCAATTGTGGGTACATGGCGTGCCTAAATGCATATTTTCATTAGAAAAAGGACAAGTCATGGAGAGATACCCCTCCCTATGTTATGCTTCTTGACCCACCATGATGGTGCCCTATTATTTTAAATGCATTATATTATTGCTTTAAAGTATATGGTGAATGTTATGGCGCCATTCCTTGATTTAATGTCAAACTGTTCAGGAAAGGTTTGAAAGGTTTGCCCTCGACAGCCACCATCTTGGCTATGTTGACCATGCGGAATTAACACTTCTGCATTATCAATGCCAATTATGCTCCACTTTAATGATGGTTATTAGCTGAAAGTGGTGGGGATTGGGTACAAAATATTTTTTTTTAAACAATGTTTAAAAAGAACTTAAAATTTATGTTTGAACATTTGTTAGAAAACCACAGGCTTAGCAGTACATCAATTGACTAAACCGGGAAGTGACTAAGCCAACCATTATATTAAACTAACGCTTTATAGCTGGCTGAGCAGTGAACTGTAGTTAAACAACCTGCTTTCTGCTGTAGATTTCGAGACTTCTTATTGAGCAGTATTTCTGGTTAAAAAATGGAAACATTAATATTTTTGCCAATATTTTTGAATGTATTATATAGATAACCCATTAATTAATATTTGAACATAAAAATCTACACACGCGCACACATATATATCTACTCAACTTTGAAAATGCCCCTTGGTGGAGCACTACATCCACATCCCTCCCATAGCAGGAGATGCTCCAGTCAGAAATGTCTTATTCTAGAATAGGATTCAGTTAAAGGGACACTGTAGGCACACAGACCACTTCAGCTCATTGAAGTGGTGTGGGTGCAATGTTCTATGTCCCTTAACCCTACAGTGGTAATTATTGCAGTTTCCAGGAAACTGCAATAATTACCTCTCAGGGTTAACTCAACTTCTAGTGGCTGTCTACCACACATTCACTTAGGGCCGTCTTTAAGGCGGGGCAAACGGGGCAGCTGCCCTGGGCCCAGTTACTCCGAGGGGTCCACAGGTGGCCCTTAGTAGGAGTCCGGTCGCATGCTCTGGCCATTTAACAGCACAATCCCATATTTTTGTCAACCTGGGAGGACGTGATAGCCGCGCCTCACTTCGTCCTAGTGAAAACACAGAGCCACACAGGAGAGACTATGGAGGCGGTGAGGAGGGGGGTTGGGACAGGAGAGCCAGTCCCTATCTCCTAACAGCCTTAAAGGGATTCTCCAGTGCCAGGAAAACATATTCATTTTCCTGGCACTGCAGGACCCTGTAGTGCCCCTCTTATTACCACCCCCTATCCCAAGTTGCTGTCCCTCTGCGCTGGTTCAGGCTCCACCTACTCTTCTCCCCCATCAACATCAGCCGGCGGGGGATACCTAATGCGCGGCAATGGCCGTGTACGCGCATTAGATCTCCCCATTGGAAAGCATTATTCAATGCTTTCCTATGGGGATTTCGGCAACGTTGGAGGTCCTCACATAGCCTGAGAACGTCCAGCATCGTATAAAACACTTTTCGTGTTCTAAGAACACGGAAGTCCGTCTGATAGACAGCCACTAGAGGAGGGCTTAACCCTGCAAGGTAATTATTGCAGTTTATGAAAACTGCAATATTAACAGTTGCAGGGCTAAGGGTAGTGGGAGTTTGCACCCAGACCACTCCAATGGGCAGAAGTGGCCTGGGTGCCTTTAACCACCACTCTGGACACCAGGGAAAGAATCCTTCAAGGTTAGAAATAGGAGGTTGGTTTAAAAGTGTAAATTGGTAATGTGTGTCAGTATGTCTCTCAGTGTGTGTGTGTGTGTGTGTGTGTCAGTATGTCTTAGTGTATGTGTGTGTCTGTATGTGTGTCCATATGTCTGTGTGTATCAGTATGTTTGTCAGTGAATATATGTGTCAGTATATTTGTGTGTGTGTCAGTATGACTGTCAGTGTATATGTGTAAGTATGTCTTACACCTCTCTACTTTAGTTCCTCCACTGCGTTGGGATGAAATGCGTGCTTGCATGCCTGGGAGTGGGGGTTGGAGGTAGGGTCGAGGTGGCCCAAGAAAGTGCTTCAGCCACTAGAGGGACTTCCGGGTGTTTGACGACTTTTGATCATCTAAATGACGCTGGACATCCTGACACTATGCATGAGGACTTCCAGCTTCTCCTGAATCCCCATAGGAAAGCATTAAATAATGGTTTCCTATGGGGAAATCCTAATGCGAACGCGACTGCTGCACATGTGATTAGGTCTCCCCCGCCGGCTGACGTCGGCGAGGGAGATGCGTGGGCAGAGCCAGACCCAGTGCCGACGTCCCTCGTTTTAACCCCTTCAGCAATATGAGATGGGGGACAGGAGGGGGGCACTCCAGGATTCTCTAGTGCCAGAGAAACGGGTTTGTTTTCCTGGCACTGGAGAATCCCTTTAAAAACACATTACTGGGAGTATTCTTACTGTGGAGCTCTGTTACACACTCAGACACATTACTGGGAGTATTATTACTGTGGAGCTCTGTTACACACTCAGACACATTACTGGGAGTATTATTGCTGTGGAGCTCTGTTACACACTCAGACACATTACTGGGAGTATTATTGCTGTGAGCTCTGTTACACACTCAGACACATTACTGGGAGTATTATTGCTGTGGAGCTCTGTTACACACTCAGACACATTACTGGGAGTATTATTACTGTGGAGCTCTGTTACACACTCAGACACATTACTGGGAGTATTAGTGCTGTGGAGCTCTGTTACACACTCAGACACATTACTGGGAGTATTATTACTGTGGAGCTCTGTTACACACTCAGACACATTACTGGGAGTATTATCAGGGCCGTCTTTAATTTAGATTGGACCCTGGGCGAGCATTTACTTGGGCCCCCTGACTACGTCTAGATACACACAAATACACTACCTGACACACATGCAGATACACACTGACCACATATAGATACACACAAGAACATACAGATACACACAGACTACATATAGATACACTGACACACACATAGACACACACACAGATACAAACACTGACATACATGCAGATACAAAGGTACACACACTGACTACTTATAGATACACCGACACATACACTGACAGACAGACACACAGATACACAACCTGACACACATGCAGATATACAGATACAAACACTGACACATACAGATACACACACAAATACAAATGGACAACATACAGATACAGAGACACATTCTGACAGACGTACTGACACAGACTCACACACAGAAAACCATACTGAAACACACATACACAAAGACATACTGAACCACACAGACACTGATGGACTCTCACACACACAGACATCCTGATACACTGACAGACATACTGGCACATATACACACAGACAGACGGACATACTGAAACACACATACACACAGACATTGACAGACATATTGACAAACACAGACATACAGAACCACACTGACAGACTCACACACAGACATACTGACAGACATACACACATTCTGGCACACAGACACAGACACTGACAGATATACACACATACAGACATTTTGAAACTCACAGACAGCCATACTGAAACACACAGACACTGACAGACTCACACAGACATACTGGCACACAGACAGACATACTGACAGACAAACACACATCCAGACATACAGATACACTGACAGACTTTAATACCCACCCTCCAGTTTCTTACCTTTTCCTGGAGGGTGGCTTCCCTGGGGTTCAGTGGGCCGGCTGGGGTGGCTGGGAGTTAAGCTCCCGGCCTGGCCCCCTCCGGAACAGCTGGTCCGCCTTCCTCCCGCGCGGCTCCAGTTTCTGTGGGAGGAAGTGACGCACGGCTGTCACTTCCTCCCACTGCTGCCGAAAAGCAAGGACCCGGTCGCACTGTTAAAGCGGCACAGCGCCCGACCGGGCCCCTGCTGACACAGTCCCACCGGGTGGCCCTAAGTGCATGGGCCACCCGATGGGCCCCCATAGTTTGCGGGCAGAGGGCAAACAGGGCAGTTACCTCGGGCCCCCCAGCAGGGACAGGGCCCGGGGCAGCTACCCGTTGCCCCAGCGTTAAAACGGCCCTGAGTATTATTGCTGGAGAGCTCTGTTATACACTCAGACACATTACTGGGAGTATTATTGCTGTGGGGCTCTGTTACACACTCAGACACATTACTGGGAGTATTATTGCTGTGGAGCTCTGTTATACACTCAGACACATTACTGGGAGTATTATTACTGTGGAGCTCTGTTGCACACTCAGACACATTACTGGGAGTATTATTGCTGTGGAGCTCTGTTATACACACATACACATTACTGGGAGTATTATCGCTGTGGAGCTCTGTTATACACTCAGACACATTACTGGGAGTATTATTGCTGTGGGGCTCTGTTACACTCAGACACATTACTGGGAGTATTATTGCTGTGGAGCTCTGTTATACACTCAGACACATTACTGGGAGTATTATTACTGTGGAGCTCTGTTACACACTCAGACACATTACTGGGAGTATTATTGCTGTGGAGCTCTGTTATACACTCAGATACATTACTGGGAGTATTATTGCTGTGGAGCTCTGTTATACAATCAGACACATTACTGGGAGTATTATTACTGTGGGCTCATTTACACCTCCAGACACATTACTGGGGTGTGTGCTGTGGAGCTCTGTTACACACTCAGACACATTACTGGGGTGTGTGCTGTGGAGCTCTGTTATACACTCAGACACATTACTGGGAGTATTATTGTTGTGGAGCTCTGTTATACACTCAGACACATTGCTGGGAGTATTATTACTGTGGAGCTCTGTTATACACTCAGACATTACTGGGAGTATTATTGCTGTGGGGCTCTGTTATACACTCAGACACATTACTGGGAATATTATTGCTGTGGGGCTCTGTTATACACTCAGACACATTACTGGGAGTATTATTGCTGTGGAGCTCTGTTATACACTCAGACACATTACTGGGAGTATTATTGCTGTAGGGCTCTGTTATACACTCAGACACATTACTGGGAGTATTATTGCTGTGGAGCTCTGTTATACACTCAGACACATTACTGGGAGTATTATTGCTGTGGAGCTCTGTTATACACTCAGACACATTACTGGGAGTATTATTGCTGTGGAGCTCTGTTATACACTCAGACACATTACTAGGAGTATTATTGCTGTGGGCTCTGTTATACACTCAGACACATTACTGGGAGTATTATTGCTGTGGAGCTCTGTTATACACTCAGACACATTACTGGGAGTATTATTGCTGTAGGGCTCTGTTATACACTCAGACACATTACTGGGAGTATTATTGCTGTGGAGCTCTGTTATACACTCAGACACATTACTGGAATTATTATTGCTGTGGAGCTCTGTTATACACTCAGACACATTACTGGGAGTATTATTGCTTTGGAGCTCTGTTATACCTCAGACACATTACTGGGAGTATTATTGCTGTGGGTTCTGTTATACACTCAGACACATTACTGGGAGTGTGTGCTGTGGAGCTCTGTTATACACTCAGACACATTACTGGAATTATTATTGCTGTGGAGCTCTGTTATACACTCAGACACATTACTGGGAGTATTATTGCTGTGGAGCTCTGGTATACACTCAGACACATTACTGGAGTATTATTGCTGTGGAGCTCTGTTATACACTCAGACACATTACTGGGAGTATTATTGCTGTGGAGCTCTGTTATACACTCAGACACATTACTGGGAAGTATTATTGCTGTGGAGCTCTGTTATACACTCAGACACATTACTGGGAGTATTATTGCTGTGGAGCTCTGTTATATACTCAGACACTCCAACAATATGGAAACTCCTAGAAAAGAGGGACAAAGGGATTTATGCTCAAAATATGGACTGCCCTCCTAAATAGGGACACCAAGGAGGTATGTATGCAGGCCGCCTTCTGTGCTATACAGAGCATACTGATGAAACCAGGTGGTTGTTTGATTAACTTTTGGGCCTGATTACCCACCTGAGTTCTAGATGGAAAGACTGAGATTGTGCTCCGATCTTCAGCCTCAAAAGGTCGGTACCATCTAAATCTACTAGAAGTCTATCAATCCAATGTTTTACATAGCTATATTCCCCTTGATCTTCAGACACCCTAATTTTACTAGGCATAGTTCAGTTTTTGTCATCAGGTTCATCCCTCAAAATAATCAAATAATTACATGGTAACCAACATAGTGGTCAATTCTGTCAGGGCCACTTGTACAATGTGCAGAATATTTTAATGTGATACTGCTATATACAATGTTTACATAAACTGCCATTTTAATTGTGATAAAGTTGCACTGCAGAGAGCATTATAATGGAGGATTAATAGGATGTTTTGCATTATTATGCTTTATTTCCTGCAGTGGTAAAAGTAGTGTAAAAGCAGTTGTTTTGTACAATACTTGTTCTGATCTTTATTTGAGAAAATTGTCAATATTAGTTTTGGTTTCTATAGTAAGCCGTGGATTGTGGTGAATTTAAAAGTGATTTGCAAAGTATCTGACTTGGAAACGCTTCCAAACCTGACTAATCTCACAGCGTGGCTGTCTTACTCTTAACTTTGCAATTTATTGCATTTTTAAAAATATTAACTATGAAATGGTGTCCGTAATTCATTAATATTCGGATATAACAGATGTCGGTTGACTACAATTAGATTTTTAGATAATAAATATAATTCCCATCTTTTCCAAGCCAATTTGTCCCATTCGCTACAAGGAATGGGCTAATGGGGATTCTGACATATTTTTATGTTTGTTGCAAATTATTTTTCAGTAATTTGTCAGGCTTATTTAATAAAGTGTTAATTGTCAGGCATTCAGAGTGAATTTCAAATTTAGGCCATAGTATCCAAATTAAAAATAAAGTAGTAAAATGGCACTACATATTAAAAGAGGGGGATGATGATGATATGCAAGAAGTAACTACAGTTAAAACTATTCTAAACAAAATGCTAGGAATTGGTAGTAAGACTAATTGGATTGTTAGGCACTGTAATCACCCACCTGTGAAACCACATGCATCATTATTACACCAGTGGCATCACATTCCTTACAACCACTCTCCCCTGACACTGCATGCATTATACCTGCCCTACTCTGGTACTGCTTGCCCTCTAACCATCCCTTTCCCTTGGCACTGCATGACCAACCTTTTCCCCCTGGCACTGCTTGTCCTGTGACCATCATTTTCACTGCATGTTTTATAACTGCTCATTCCCCTGGCACTGCATGCCTTGGTGTGCATCTCTTAATCCTGGCACAGCATGCCCTGTGACCAGCCTTTTCCCCTGGCACAGCAGGAACTATGACCATTACTTTCCCCTGGTACTGCATGCCTTGTGTGCATCTCTTAATCCTGGCACTGCATTCCTTGTGACCAGCCTTTTCCCCTGGCACAGCAGGAACTATGGCCATTACTTTCCCCTGGCACTGCTTGCCCTGTGACATCCTCTCTTCTGGCACTGCGTGCCCTGTGACCAGCCTTTTCCCATGGCACTGCATTGCCACGTATGTAATCTCCATATCCCCTAGCACTGTATTCATTGCAACTACCTGTACCTGGCACTGTAACCATTTTACCTGGCACTGTAACCATTGATACCTATCCTTCCTCTGCACAGTGTATTCATTGTAATTACCTGTGCCTGGCACTGTAACCATTATACCTGGCACTGTAACCATTATACCTATCCTTCCCCTGCGCAGTGTATTAATTCCCTCCACCATTCTATACTCATTCACCCCTGCTCCAGCAGAAGATGTTTCTGCTCTGCTTCGGTCCTCCCGCCCCACCACCTGTTCCCTCGATCCTATTCCCTCGCATCTCATCCGCACTTTGTCTCCCTCTGTTGCTCTTCCTCTCACTAAAATATTCAATCTCTCCCTTTCCTCTGGCACATTTCCCTCACCCTTCAAACATGCAACTGTAACCCTGATTCTGAAAAAGCCCAGCCTTGACCCCAACTCCTCATCCAACTACAGCCCTATCACGCTACTGATTTTCTTGAATCCAACTCTCTGATTGACCCCCTTCAGTCTGGATTCCAGACTGGTCATTCTGTCAAAACGGCTGTGATCAAACTATCCAAGGATTTAATTGCTGCTAAATCTCGCGGCCACTACTCTATCATAATTCTCCTTGATCTTTCTGCTGCCTTTGACACTGTTGATCATCAACAGCTTCTCCGCATTCTCCGTAATTTTGGTCTACGAGATACTGCTCTCTCCTGGTGCTCCTTCTACCTCTCCCAGCGCTCTTTCAGTGTTTCTTTCTCTGACTCTGCCTCTTCCACCTCCCCCCCCAACCACTCTGTCGGCGTCCCCCAAGGTTCTGTACTTGGTCCCCTACTGTTCTCTAACTATACTGACTCCCTTGGTAAACTTATCAGCTCCTTTTGGCTTCCGTTATCATTTCTATGTGGATGACACGCAAATCTACCTGTCCTCTCCTGATCTCTCTCGCCCATCTTGACTCGTGTCTCTGACTGCCTCTCTTCAATCTCCAGCTGGATGGCTGCTCACTTCATTAAACTCAGCCTGTCCAAAACAGAACTTCTGGTCTTTCCTCCCTCAAGTGTTACTACTCCTGTGTCTGTCTCCCTCCAAGTCAATGGCGCTACCATCACCTCTACCTTGAAGGCTTGCTGCCTCGGTGTTCTTTTTGACTCCAAACTCTCCTTCACCCCTCCTATCTAATCAATCGTCAAATCCTGTAGCATCCATCTCAAAAACATAGTGCGCATTCGCCCCTATTTAACCCCGGATGTAGCTAAGGTGCTGGTCCATGCTCTTGTTCTCTCTCGCCTGGACTACTGCAATACTCTTCTCAGTGGTCTTACGTGTTCCCAGATTGCACCGCTGCAATCTATAATGAATGGGGCTGTGGCAAACCTAGCCACTTACAGAGTATTATGTATATATATGCCTGATGTTTGTTTCTATTGTGTCTCTATTCGTGAGCCACTTAACCCCTGTTATATTTATCCGTATGCAAAGATTTTCACCTAATGTTCATATGCATTCGTGCGTTACAGCACATGAATACCGCTAACACGCTGTTGCAAGTTTCACGAACAGTGGATTCAAACCCTGTTCGTGAAACGAACCAAAATACCGAATGGGAAACCACCCCAGAAAGTCGTGTGCCACTCGTTAGTAAAACCGAAACACTGTATCCATCTGTTAATGAGCGTTCTGTGTGTGGCCACCATTCCTGTAACGAACACATGGCGGCGGCCATCTTTGCTTTGTAAGAGTTCAGCGGTGTTTGGTCGTCGAGTGCCTGGAACCAAAATCGGCTATTTGATTTCCAAACACCGCTGGACTTCCATAGCGGTCGGGAAACTCCTCTCTCCTTCCGGAAAATAAAACCATTCGTGAGTTTTCTCTGCTAAAACCCCGTTCGGGTAAATGTTACTTGCGAGCAGCATTCGGTTGTTTCTGCAGGGATCAGAGCGGTACTTCGGTAGATTGTACCGACCGATCCCTGCAATCTAATGAGGGGTCATTCGGTAAAATATGTGGGGAATTGCCAAAGTTAGCGAATTTAATGTAAAATGTTACTTTTAACTGTGCCTGTTAATAACGTAATTATTTCTCTGGTATAGCAGTGTGTGCTGGGTAATCAGACTGTAAGCTCAGTCCCCCATGTAGTCCACTACTGAACAACCCCTCTTATGTGATTTGGGAAACCCCTTACATTTGTAACCGCATATATACTGTGACCTGTGATTAAAACCTCAGTTGACCTCCAAGCTATGTGTTGTCTAGTTCTTGGGAGAATGCTACCTGCATTTTGCCTACTTTGTACCTGCTTCATCCTGTCTACCAGCGGAGATACCATGGATAAAACTACTACTCCGCTACGGGGCGGTGAGGCTCATTTTTCAGTTTGCCCGAACCTCCCACTCCTCCTCCTCTGTCAGTCCCTACATTGGCTTCCAGTTAGATATAGGGCTCAATTTAAAATTCTGGTGCTTGCTTACAATTCCCTACATAATGCTGCTCCAACCTACCTATCCTCCATAATATACAAGTATGTCCTGTTGAGGCCCCTACGCTCTGCCAAAGACCCACGTATATCCTCTGTCCGTACTCCCACCTCTAATGCTCGCCTCCAAGACTTTTCCAGGGCTGCACCCCTTCTCTTCTATTTAAGACTTTCACCTAGTCTCCACTCATTCAAAAAATCATTGAAAACTCACTTCTTCAAGAAAGCATATCAATTAAAGGGACACTCCAGGTAACCAGACCACTTCTGCCCATTGGAGTGGTCTGAGTGTGAACTCCCACTACACTTAACCCTGCAACTGTAATTACATAGAAACATAGAATGTGACGGCAGATAAGAACCATTCGGCCCATCTAGTCTGCCCATAAACTGCAATAATTACCTTGCAGGGTTAACTCCACCTCTAGTGGCTGTCTACTAGACAGCCACTAGAGGGCACTTCCTGCTCTATAGCACAGAAAACCTGTGCTAGAGCGTCACTGTGTGAGGAACTCCAGTGTCACTCAATTCCCCATATGAAAGCATCTTTAATCATTTCCTATGGGGAGCTCTAATGCGCATGCACGGCATTGCCACGTATGCACATTAGGTCTCCCCGGCCGGTGGGCAGGATCAGTCTCGCCCACCGACTGACGTAATGATGGGGAGGAGCGGCGGTGAACAGAAACCACCGCTGAGGGACATCGGTGGGGTCTCAGGTAAGTGACCTGAAGGGGTTTTCACCCCTCCAGCAATCGGGGACTGGGAGGTGGGAGGGAGAGGGGACCTGCAGTGCCAGGAAAACTGATTGTTTTCTGGAGTTTCCCTTTAAACTGTTAGCAGGTTTTTATCCCCCACCTTCCATGACTCCCCTCCTGCAACTGTCAAAAATGACCTACTAAGCCCTCAATGAATACTTTTCTAACTATGTATTTCATACCCCTACTATTACCCTCTGTGTCACAATACCCCACTCTCTCTACAATGTAAGCTCATGGAGCAGGGCCCTCAACCCCTATGTTGTCTGGTTACAATTACATGTCTGTTAGTCCACCCATTGTACAACACTACGGAATGTGATGGCACCATATAAATAACAATAATAATAATTGTATCTACCTGTGCCTGGCACTGCAACCATTATACCTATCCTTCCTTTGCACGGTGTATTCATTGAAACTACCTGTGCCTGGCACTGTATCCATTATACCTGGCACTGTATCCATTATACCTGGCACTGTATCCATTATACCTGGTACGTAACCATCATACCTCACACTGTATCCATTATACCTGGCACTGTATCCATTATACCTGGCACTGTAACCATTATACCTGACACTGTGATCATTATACCTGGCACTGTATCCATTATACCCGGCACTGTAACCATTATACCTCACACTGTATCCATTATACCTGACACTGTGATCATTATACCTGGCACTGTATCCATTATACCCGGCACTGTAACCATTATACCTCACACTGTATCCATTATACCTGACACTGTGATCATTATACCGGGCACTGTATCCATTATACCTCACACTGTAACCATTATACCTGGCACTGTAACCATTATACCTGGCACTGTAACCATTATACCTGGCACTGTAACCATTATACCTGGCAGTGTGACCATTATACCCGGCAGTGTGACCATTATACCTGGCACTGTATCCATTATACCTGGCACTGTATCCATTATACCTGGCACTGTAAGCATTATACCTGGCACTGTATCCATTATACCCGGCAGTGTATCCATTATACCCGGCAGTGTATCCATTATACCCGGCAGTGTATCCATTATACCTGACACTGTATCCATTATACCAGTGTATCCATTATACCCGGCACTGTAACCATTACGCCTGGCACTGTATCCATTACGCCTGACACTGTATCCATTATACCCGGCACTGTAACCATTATACCTGGCACTGTATCCATTATACCTGGCACTGTATCCATTATACCTGGCACTGTATCCATTATACCCGGCAGTGTAACCATTATACCTGGTACTGTATCCATTATACCTGGCCCTGTATCCATTATACCTGGCCCTGTATCCATTATACCTGGCCCTGTATCCATTATACCTGGCCCTGTATCCATTATACCTGGCCCTGTATCCATTATACCTGGCCCTGTATCCATTATACCTGGCCCTGTAACCATTATACCCGGCACTGTAACCATTATACCTCACACTGTATCCATTATACCTGACACTGTGATCATTATACCTGGCACTGTATCCATTATACCCGGCACTGTAACCATTATACCTCACACTGTATCCATTATACCGGGCACTGTATCCATTATACCCGGCACTGTATCCATTATACCTCACACTGTAACCATTATACCTGGCACTGTAACCATTATACCTGACACTGTGACCATTATACCCGGCAGTGTGACCATTATACCCGGCAGTGTGACCATTATACCCGGCAGTGTATCCATTATACCCGGCAGTGTATCCATTATACCCGGCACTGTATCCATTATACCTGGCACTGTAAGCATTATACCTGGCACTGTAAGCATTATACCTGGCACTGTATCCATTATACCCGGCACTGTATCCATTATACCCGGCACTGTATCCATTATACCCGGCACTGTATCCATTATACCCGGCACTGTATCCATTATACCCGGCAGTGTAACCATTATACCTGGCCCTGTATCCATTATACCCGGCAGTGTAACCATTATACCCGGCAGTGTATCCATTATACCCGGCAGTGTATCCATTATACCCGGCACTGTATCCATTATACCCGGCCCTGTAACCATTATACCCGGCACTGTATCCATTATACCCGGCACTGTATCCATTATACCCGGCCCTGTAACCATTATACCCGGCCCTGTAACCATTATACCCGGCACTGTATCCATTATACCCGGCAGTGTAACCATTATACCCGGCACTGTAACCATTATACCTATCCTGCCTCTGCTCAGTGTATCCCCTCTGCCCTGCACTGCACACATAAGACAATATCTACATTTTCCTTTCGAGTTTGCTTTTTGCAGACAGTCCCTAACCTCAGCCAACAATAAGTCCCCTGGCTCCTCCCCAGCATCACCATGGAAACGACTGCCTGGGGTGTGGCAAAGCATTGTGGGAGTTGGGCAGTAGTGAGCAGAGGGGGTTGTGGCTGTCACTCTCCTGTATTCATAGTCCATAGGATATGAGAGGCCCAATAGTCAGATATATGTTAATATTGGCTAAATGGCAATCCAATCTGACATTGCAATTAATATAACGCACGTTTAATTAGAGATTCTTGGAAAAGTGTGTATTGTCACATGGCAATGATATAAACAAAACCAACCACAGTAAAAATAAAAAGTCCATGCCCCCTACAAACCCACTGATAAATGGAGGTAGTCGTACAGAGTGTATATTTAAAACGTTGCAATATACAGAACTCCCAGTCAGTACACACCCAGAATGCTAAGCAATATGTGTGAATGCGTCAGATTTTCAGAACTTGTCACATTTCTATAGGTTCCCAAAATAGCCACATGGGGGAGTTGGTTGTGTGTGTGTGTATAATCACGATTTCCTTTCTAACTCAGATATCTTGACTTAAAGGGACTTTAAAGCATTTGGAGTACAAATTTGTATTCTCAATGCTTTCGTTTTTCCGTTCGTAGTTGGATAGGTGCTCCTGTCTCCCCCATGTGTGCCATAGAAATTAATCGTATACATTATTTACTTTTACCTTTTTCCAATGCCTTGTCCCCCTCAGCACTGCTTACTTCTCTGCCTACCACTACACCATGGCCACCTCAATTTTTGACACAACTTAGTGCAGCCTCGTTGGGGAGCATTGGGGGCCCAATGTGCATGCGCAGTGAGTGCACACATCCAAGCTTCCCCATAGGAAAACACTGGTACAATGGCTGTGAAGGATGGGGGGTGGACAATGCCGGCAGGTTTACTCCAAACATAAAACTGTGTTTTATTAAAATACTGTTTTGATTGCAATAAACAAAGCAGAAAATGAAAGGGTAGGCACAATTTGTGGAAAGAGAAGATAGCGGCCTAGTGCTCGTTCAACAAACCTGCACCAATGTTTACATTCAGGAAAACAGTTTATATTAGCAATGTGTGATGTTGTTACTGCTGGCAGGATTTTATATTAAGATCTTTGAGTCAACAAAACGTTATTGTAATAGTGATGGTATTTACACCATTGTAGCTAATCTTAAAATTCACTGTGAACATACAGCTCTTTATCAGATTTTGGTGCAAGGCCTCTCATTATAGCAGTAGACCGTAAGCTTCTTAGAACAGGATCTTACATTAAACCACTAGATTCTAAACTCCTTGGGACAGGGTCACCCATTACACTCCTAGACTGTAATTCCTCCAGGCGATGTTTCTCATAGTGTCGTAACAACTTACAGCATGATTGTCCCCTGATGAATGTGTAGGTCAAAAAAACTAGGCAGTCATTTGAATAAGAATAATTTTATTGAATGAAAAATATATGCAAACAGCACAATTTTTAGTATAATACACAGCCGTTGGGTTATTCTAAACCCTTCTGAATTGACACAAAGTTTGCGGTTTGACCTCTGCTCAAAATATAACGCCCACTACAAAAAAAATAATATATGTATATATAAATAAAAAATACAATTCTCATTTACTGTAAGCATCTGACATTTTCTTTTAAAAATTCGTACAATAAAAAATATATTTAACTTATTCAACTATAAATACAAACAAAACACAATCATTCCCTAGACCTGTAATGGCCAAACTTTGCCACCCCACGCACTTTGTTTTCAGCCATGGAGCATCATGGAAAATGTAGTTTGCAAACATCTGTGGGAGCCAAGATTAGTCATTACTGCCTTTTAGCAGGTATAATTAGTAACTGTTTAAATGGGATTGTGCTGTTCATCTGCATGTTTGTGTATAGCTCTTGGAATTCCAGTAAAATAGGACAGTTGGTGAATTAATCACTGAGCTCCCAGCTTTGGCTACTGAACTGGGTGTTCTGGCAGATGAACAAGTTGTTTTAATGTATTTTCAGAGTCAATACATCGAGACCCCACAGTAGAGTTTGCGTTGAAAGGGTCTATTATTTCACACATATACAAAAAATCCTCCAAGTTCATTTGCATTCTAAGATATGCTCCACAGTAGCGATTACTGAGAATTAACAAAGGCTAAAAAGTACGTTTACCAGTAAACACTGGTTTTAGTAAGTATATACCAGCTTCAAAATGGAAGGTATATTTTGCAGCTTAACTTGCACACTTGGGCTGAGGTTTTCAGTTCATGGTAAGGTAAGGCCACAGAAACAAAATGGAGGATGATTGTGGTGGTGGTGGTGGATATTCAGAGTTTTAATTTTGAAAGCTTCCAAAAATATATTGTTTAGAAGAAGAGATCTGAATTTTTATTAGAATTTCTTCTTCGTGGTATTTTTATTTGTCTGTAGTCTGCTGTTTTTTATGTAAACATTCAATAGAATTTCCTGGCTGATTTTTAGAACTTCTCTTTTATACGGATGTGTGAAGCAGATGTATATTTATAAAACGAGAGAGCCTCAGAACAAAAAATAACGTTGTGCTGCACTATAAAACAGGATCTGACATATTTTGGCGAGTGAAGGCATTGATTTTTTTTTTAGATGACGGGGCAATGAATCCTGTCTAAAACAGCGTTTTATTAATGACCTCACACACTTACTTTCCAGGATGTAAAACCGTCACTGATCGCAATCCGTAAAGCACAGCTTTAAATAGCTTTTCAGCGCTTTGAATTAGTTATGTCTGCACCTTTTTCTCTGGGTGTTCATGAATAGTTTTCCCATGAAAATGTAATTTCATAATGCTGTGCATTAATTGAGCAATGCTATAATGGCTATGCTTTAAAAAAAAAAAAAAAAACACACGTCATCAGTACAGTACTGTTTATAAATCATGCCATTTTTAAAGGATTAAAAGGTGTGTTTCTGTTAGCCCTTACTATAATAAAGTGGGGTTTTTAGCAAAGAGTCTAAGGGGAGCTCAATGTGCAAAATTGCAAATGGCAGTTTCTCATGGCTGGAAAAATATTCTATTCTGATGTCACCAAAATGCAGTGCCCTATTAAGAACGTATTGCCTTGCTGCGTGGAAACTACTACGTAATACTACTGTGCTTTTCATGAGCTAACAGACTATTTACACAGGAGAAGCACTCTGTACAGAATAGGCTAAATACATAGACGTGGGGCTATATTATTAACCATAAGGTCAGTATTGGAAATTAACTCATATTGGTAAAAATTTAAAATCTGAATAAATATACTGCATATATTCACTAATCAGAGCAGCAGGGAATTAGTGCTGATAAGTCTTATTTCTTTGATAAATTTGGTAGTAAAAAATACAAAACTATTAAAATCGCTCGTGGTATTGTCACATTCCCTGGGACACAGTGAAGACATAACAATTATATTGCTTTTTTGTCACAGAATAATGACATCACTGAGGCCTGAGTTTAGTCTCCAGGTGCGTTCTAAAATAACATAAAATAAAAATTCTATTTTTAGCTAGTGATCTGGAAGTTGCACTCAAATTCTTATTTTATTATTCAGCTACGGTTACATATTTCACACGCCCTGTTAATGTCAAACGCATTTTTGGCATTTTGACAGCACCTGCAACAGTGCACTTTAAACTTCATGTTTAGACAAATTCAATTTGATGTAACTAAACATTCCACTTAGTTAATAAATATAATATTACCGAATAAGCAAAATAATGCCTGTGTTTGACTGGCAATGGAGACAGTAGTTTCTCAGTCTATTGGCCATGAAAGGTGTAAATAATGGGATTCTGTCCTATTTTAGGGATAGGGTAACGTGTTTCTTATTTTTAATGACTCTCTCTTTTTTTTACAGACATTTAAATTGGCACCAAATGCAGCATTTGTTTAGTACTGGGCATATCTCCATTAATACAGCTTTCAGTTTTAGGCACATGTCCCATTTTATATACTTGGCCACCAACTCAATTTAGTAAACAACATCACTTTGCATCTTCAGTATCCAATGCAATGTAAGATGGACATCTTCATCCATTAAGCCCTGTTAAGCAGAAACGAAAGCATTTGAAAAGCCTTTCAACAGGTTTACATACAATAGATTGCAAAATCAGTAAGTTACAGGAGTGAATTTTACACATAGCCGTATTCTGGGAGAGATCTTACCAGGGATCTATAAAGTACTATCACTACCTCTCTATATCCTCCTGGAGATCTGCTCTATAGAACTGAACACAATACTCTAGGTGAGATCTTACCAGGGATCTATAAAGTACTATCACTACCTCTCTATATCCTCCTGGAGATCTGCCCTATAGAACTGAACACAATACTCTAGGTGAGATCTTACCAGGGATCTATAAAGTACTATCACTACCTCTCTATATCCTCCTGGAGATCTGCTCTATAAAACTGAACACAATACTCTAGGTGAGATCTTACTAGGGATCTATAAAGTACTATCACTACCTCTCTATATCCTCCTGGAGATCTGCTCTATAGAACTGAACACAATACTCTATCTGAGATCTTACCGGTGATTTAATTTGTTTATTTTTTGCTGGTATTTATAGCTATAAGTGATAAAAAAGTTAAAACTCTCTTTTATTCTAGCGCCTCACAACTCCGCAGGCTCGACTCCACCTCCTTGGCTGAGATAATCATAATTGATCATCTCAGCCAATCCATCACACAGCGTTGAACCAAACAGCATCTCCCCATAGAGATGCATATCTATAAGGAACGTTCAGCGCCTCCATACAGGTGGTGGAGACACTGAACGTCAGTGCTGCATGAATCACCTTTAATGGTCGTCTGAGTGACTGCCAATATAGGTGTTACTAGGCAGTAATGTAAACATTGTCTTTTATCTAAAAAAGGCAGCGTTCACATTGAAAAACCTAAAGCACAGGTGACACCAGGAATACTTCATAAAGCTGTAGTTGTTCTGGTGCCTATAGTGTCCCTTTTAAGTTAAACAATGAATTGTAGTGAACTTTTGGGAAATATAGTCAAGCTGAGACTGCAGCTGGCTCGTAGATTTTTTTTCCAATTTGTTAGTTTTTGCCTAAATGCTAGTTTGTTTCAATTCATTACAGTTAACTGTAACCTGAATGTGCTCCAATGGATTCTGGACTGTAATCCCATTTATGAGGGCTATTTTTATTAATCCGTATCTTTCTCCTCTTTTTCATTCTGCATATCTGGTTTTTAACCGGATGAATGCCCGTTTCAGTCACTCGTATAGATGTCCTTACCTGAGCAGCGTTGAGCAGGTGAGTTCTGTAAATCGAAACAATTTCCTGGTGTCGTTTGTTTGTCTCCTGCAAAAGACAGCACGAGTTATAGACTAAACGTGGTAGTTTAGCCAAGGCTAGTCTAAAGAAAAATCTGACGTATGGTTATTGTAGGGTGAACCAGTTCTCTTCTACTCTAACTGTGGCCGGGAAATGTAGTGATCAAGGTATTTCATCACATTCTATGTGACTGCATGTGCTGGGATATTGCTTGCATCTCCTTCAATTGCATCTAGTTTATATACACTGCCACGAGGCCAGGCAGGCTCAGCCCATGACAGACTGCCATACAACCAGCTATTGGAACTCAAAGAAAACATAGCGGATACATCTGTACACCTAGATCATGACAAAGTACGCTCTGTTCAAAATAAGATCGTTAAAGCATATAAACAGGTAATATCCCATGAGCTCACATGGTCAGGAAAAAACTGGTAAAGCGGAGGGAGGAGAGAAGGGAGAATGAAAAAGAGTCACAAGAAAAAATGAGATGGAATGCACAAAGCCATGAATCTAAACACATTGGGAGAGCGTGGTACCACCGGTATGCATTGGTAGACTTAAACATGAAAAGTACATTGTGAAGCAAACAAAGCACAGAATGGGTGCCGCTAGGACACCCCTAGAACAAGATATTGTTTTACTTGTACAAGTAGTGTAGTGATGTTGTTTTTTTTTCCCTTCCCTATTTATTGTGGAGAGGGACTGATAAGTATCCTTATTCTAAGAGTGAGCAGCAGCTCTCTGCTTGCCATTTCCCACAGTACAGTTTAGTTGTTTTTTTAATTTTTTTTATGCTGGGTATCAGCTGACTTTAGTTAAAGGGAAACTATAGCGCCTGTAAAACAAAGTTGTGTTCCCGGCACTATCACTTCCTATGATGCTCCCAACCCTCCCCGTGGTGCAGGGTCAAAAACCTCTTCTGTCACTTAAATCAGTCCAGCGCCCATGTCCCTTGGCACTGGCTCGGACTCTGCCACTGCAGGTTCATGGGTGTTGTAGTTCAATGACAGTTGGCCACCCTGGGTCCTAGTCATTACCTCAAGTTCGGCATTCAGATGGTCGTATTTCCTCTGCAGCTCACGGACTTCCTTTGCCAGTGAATCCAGTTCCTTCAACGATTCCTCCATCTTTATTTTAAAATAAATAAATAAAAATGAATAAAATTTTGGTTAAATAAATAATTCTGCACCGTATGCCATTCATGTCTGTATTCGTTTACTCTTTAAAGGATTAATGAAATTCTGCACCATTTACACGATTCCTACAACTCTACGTCAGCTTTTCCTTCATTAACCAAGTTTAAATTTCCATTCAATAAAGTATTTCTAAAGGAGTAACTGTAACAGACTTATACAAACTCATTGGGTTAATATTATTTCTATTAATATCTATATTCTATTTACAGACTTTTTTTTTTTTTCTATTTTTGATTCCAAGCATTTAAACAAAAGATAAAAAATGTTGTTAGACATGGGCATCGTGCATTGCTAATAACTGCCTAAAAAGGTTGACCAGTTGCCCAAGTAGGAAAACAAGCACAATTTAACAAATCGTTTGTCCCACTAATATTGCTAGCTCTTCAAGTATAACTTTGGCATACTTCCCAACAGTTTTGAATTTGGCGGGAATGTCCCGATAACAAGGTCCTGTCTCAATATCACAATATGTTCCAGGTTAACTGTCTCTAGCGGGTGTAATGTGCTACGGGCACTAGGACCGACTGCTTTAGCAGTGCTCTGTGCCAGGTCTACCCTGAGTGGGCGTCTGTTAGTAAGCCTGCCCTGCATTCCTGTTGTATATCGAGACAAGACTGACCATTTTGGGTCTTAAGTGATGCACGTGTCGTCATGTCAAGCCCATTTAATCTTGCCCACCTGGTATGTTCGGAGTTCATAACTCCCAATGTTGGGAGGTATGTGTTGGTGTGCATGCCTTTGCTTGACTATAAAAATACTATATAAAAAGAAAGGGAGAAGGATTTAACAATTTTATATATATATTTTTTTAAATGGCATTCCATTCGCACTTCCTGCATTGATGAGCAACAGCCTGTATTAGTACGTATTGTGGTGAAATGCATTTGCCGATTGCTGAGAATTAACAGAATTTCAAGTCTCCAAAAGGGATAAGTATGCCTGTATGAAGGGCCATGATATATGCATATATGTTTTAGAACTCAAAACATTATATGTCACATAGTCCATAGTCATCTAAAGTCTCTGGAATTTGGGCAAACACACAAAGATAAAACCACTCGTTAAAGAGTGCGTTACAAATTTAGGTTGGCTATTTTAACCTAAAATTAGTATTGCATCCTGGAGACACGTCGGTGGAAAAAAAAGAGTACACGTTACTTTAATGGAAACATTGTAAGCGGTTTTGGACAAAGTGAGGTTTATTCGCTAAATTTACAGTTTCCTTAGCAGTTCCCAGACCTTCTGGTTTAGTGAATAGATCGGAGTATGTTTCACATATGAATGGAACGTAGTAACAGAGCAAATTAAATATCTGATGTTATTTCACGTGTACTCAACCTGTAATGAATATTCCTTGCCTGGCATGCCATAGGACTTGTATAAAGTTATATACAGTTAAAAGCCCAGAGCTAGTGTCAATATAGTAATCTGATATCAATACAGTTGAAGTAATAGTATGAGTGACCTTAAAGGACTGTCACCCATTTATTATTATTTTAGATTAAAGATGACATATTGTATAACCACTTTGTGTGATGTAATACTAACAAATAAGTAAAAAATAAATAATCTTTTCAATGCATTTTCTGGCTTATCCATATTTTGTGGAAGCAGCCATCTTTAGTCATCAAATCACAAGCACAATTTAGCGAACCCCAAACCATACAGGTATTCAAGAGATAATGTGTTTTCACAAATCCTACTGTCTTGGCCAAACGCAGGCCATCTCAAACATGAACTCTGTGCACTTTCAGACCTTCAAACTATCCATAAAGTTGGCATACAAGAAATGTTTCTGACCGAAGAGGAATTAAAATGGCTGCTCCATGGAGTTTAGGGTAAACCAAGGGATTCAAAGTTAAATTACATGCACTCATTACAAAGATATCCTAACATGGTTATCGGGGCTCGCGGCCCGCACACAAAGCGTGTCTTGTCCTCAAGTGGCCCCAGGACATAATATAAGTCTCCCAAAGAGTACTCTCACCTGGAAAAGCAATGTAGGGCTTGACTTGCTTAATATTGAAAAACTTGCATTTTATTTTAAATAATCATCTTATTTGTGGTGCATTGTTGCTTTAATGGAACACCCCAAGCACCATAACCACTACAATGGGGGGAGTACCCTGTCATGCCCCATTATAAGTAGTCTAACTGGTTTTAGAACGGTTGGAGATCTTACCGGGTGTCCACATGGCACTGCTCGCAGTCTACACTGGGAGCCGGAAGCTCCTCATCAAGTCTTGAATTGTCCATAGCTAAGCCTTGCAGTGGAGCACTGTCTCATTGACTGAGAACATTAGCTGATCGCCCTGAGACAGTGAGCCAAGTCTTTAACCACCAGATATAAGCTTTCAGAGCCTTGTCTGAAGTAGTGCCGGTGTGGATTAGCACCTGGAGAATCCAGATAAAAAGTCAAACTGTTAAAAAAAAAAAAAAAAAAAAAAATTGTTTGGCGGGGCGGAGCCTGGATGCAGAGCTGATCAAACGTGCATCGCCTGGGCTCCACAGACTGGGACTGATAAACTACGAATCACCAGGACCACTCGCCAATCCGACCAGCCACCGACGACTACCCAGATAAGGGAACGACGGTGCATCCAGGGATACCAAAATCCAGCCGTTTCGGCACTGAAAAGCCGTCGTTCAGGCTTGCGGCCTACACAAACGTGGGCAGAGAAGAGGCGGCCACTCTCCAAGCCCTATACCCAGCGGAGTGCAAATAGCTCCAAGCTGTCCCCTCCCCCCCCCTCCCGGACCTGTGGGGGTCATCCCGATCCCCCTCCCCCCCCCCGACATACCCAGCATCAACAAGCCGGCTACAAGAAGCCATCAAGCAACAAGATTAAACAGCAACCATCAAACAAAATGGCGGACACTCCTGACATGGAACAAATTGCGATGTCACTCCAGAGCACATGTGAGAGTCTGCTCCACAACGTAGATAGGCTCTTTACAAACTTCTGGGCAAAGTTAGAGGCCCTCGCCATGGAGACACCATGTCAGAACCAAGAGCACAGCAGAGTGAAGCGGGATGTGAGCAGGCCCCCTCAAGGCGAACTCACACATCAAATGCCTGACACAGCGCAAACTGACCAGACAAGGCCCAAGGCCACCCAGACATCTGCTGCGGAGGCTGAGAATCCCCCGCCGCTGGCGGCAACGCTACAGCAGGAGCACGAGCCGTCCCTTACATCAAAGAGACTTGGCCTCAAGACAGAGGACCCGAACCTCTAGCCCCGCGATGCTGCTCTTCACCACGACCCAGAGCTGGAGAGCATTCAAGCCCAGCTTCCACATGGCACAACCCATGGACAGCCTCCATTCCCCCCCCCCAAGTCTGGGCATTGGCTGACGCTGGAATCTTTGACCAAGCCACCCTTATTCTGACACCATAATACCAGAGAATAAGGCGTAAAGTATTTTCTGTCCCATTTTTTTGTGTTTCATTTCCATTTTTCTGAGACCTCTCACTCTGCTTTTCATATAAACTCTAACAATGCTGTCACTAGGAATCCTGAGAAAACATGCATAATGTAGTTTTGCTTAAGAGTATACAGCCTAGGGGGTTACTCATACTAGCCATGCAGCCACGCCTGACTACTCACATACCTAATCTACTTAATACTATACATGTCTGCTGTACCCTAGGATTGTCCCACAAGTTTTGTTTTTCAACCAGAATTGTATGCCAAGCTTTTAAATATACTGCGATAGGATACAGTAAAACTACTAACTCACCCGCAAGCTAACTACATTGCAGTTATCGTTAACCAATGTTAGGCCTGTTATACCACCTTTGTTAATATTTTTTAAAAATGTGCACGCCCTCATGCCACGAATAAGTTTATATGAATGTCTATAAGTCTATATGCATGCTGTTGTGGCGTATGGAATTGTCATGTACCTACCTGCACAATAAAAATACAGAATTAAAAAAAAATTAAAAAATGTTTGATTACTTACACTAGGGGATCACAATGGCACTTCTGGCACCATAACCACTATAGTGCCCTGTAGTGCTTATGGTCCTTGGAGTGTTCTTTTTTAAGAATGCTTTTAGTGCAGGGTAATAATGTTGTAGATTTGTAAGCTGCAATATTACACTTTTCTTTCAACCTCTATTAAAATAAATAAATCAACAACTTTGGTCCTTTTTCTGCAATTAATAGCTAACCTTGCCACTCCAGATGTCTGTGAAGTACATTTCAAGTTAATGCCCAGACAGTTTAGATGGTCATATATGTGATGGAAGCGCACTCATCCCTTCGTCCTGGAATCCTGGGTTCTATGCTGGACAAGTCCCAGTACCAAAGAGGACCAAATGTAGAATTTGAATATAGAAAATAATCCAGGCACTCCAACAAATTCCAAACAAGGCAATTTTATTGGAACCACAGAGTAAAAAGCAACGTTTCAACCCCTTAGGGCCTTTGTCAAGCCTAAGGGGTTGAAACGTTGCTTTTTGCTCTGTGGTTCCAATAAAATTGCCTTGTTTGGAATATGCTGGCGTGCCTGGATTATTTTCTATATTCAGACATTTTAGATTGGCTGAGCTTCATGGTAAATGAAATCGGCCAATATCTGCCATGCCAAGATTAGCATTCATTGATCTAGAATCTGAGTGTTTGTGAGAGCAAAGATTTATGTCCCAGTAATTTACCTTCTTGTTTTTCTCCTGCAATTCTCTGTTCAGATCGTCGCATGTTCTCTCCAGACACCGATTTTCTTCTTCACAGTTGTGTGTCTTTATTTTTAGCTCTGCCGCGCCTCTCTCCAGATCTTTCATGCTCTCTTCAAGCTTCATGGACCTATCCCTCTCAGAGGAAAACAGGCCATTGGAGCTCAAAGCTTCTCTGGAGGCCTCTGTAATTTTCTCTTTTAAGATCTGGATTTCCTCCCTGGAACTTTGGAGCTGGACCTCAAGCCTGCTCTTGAGTTGTTCATAATTGGTTAAGCTCTCTGCTTCTCTAGATTTTATTGTCTGTAACTCCTCTACTTTCTGCTCAAGTTGCTCTTTCAGCAGCACCTTTTCCTCATTTTTATTTTCTAGCTCAAGTTTACACGCTTGATTCTCTTCCCTTATAGATGCCACTGTTTTTTCCAGACTTGCCACCTCCTTTCCATGTTCTTCTATGGTTATGGAGTTTGTGGCTTGATTCTCAAGTTGATCCCTTAGCTCTACAATGTTCCCCATGGCTTGGAAGAGTTTCTGCTTCATCATATCTGTTTCTTTGATCTGTGTGTCCAATTTGTTTGTTACTTCATTAAGTATATTGTTGTGCTCGGTTATTGGTATAATCTGAGTCTGACTTTCTTTGAGCTGTTGATTGTCTTTTTGTAATGCTTCCTTCTGCTTCAAGACCTCACTATATTTCATTACTAGAGTGCCTACGTTCCAATACAGCTCCTCCAAAATGTCCGATTTGAACATCTCCCCTCTATTCATGTGTTCCTCTTTCAGTATTTCAGGAGGGAAACTGTCTCTCAATGTAAGCATTTCATTCTCCTGGGCTGCAAGTCTTAAATTCAGCTGATGGAGCTTTCGTCGTTCTGCCACCAGTTCATCTGTCAAGAGAAGAATTTGTTGCTTGTAGTCTTTGCATTGACCATCCATTTCTTGCCTCAAAGCATACTCTCCCTGTAGACGTTCCTGCAGGGCAAGAAGACCTTCTTCTAAGTTCTGCTTCTCCTGACTGTTAAGGTTCATCTGCGTGATGACTTGGTCATGCGACACTTTGAGACCTGACAACTCAACCTGTAGCTCCTGAATGTTATTTTTTAATGAATCAATGTTGTCCTTGTAATCAGTGCTTGAGTGCTTAATTTCCGGTGTAGCTGTGATATTCAAAATATGAGGAGTTCCTAGTGCTTTACATTCAGTTTTGGTGGCCTGGCCTCCAGAAGAATGTGTAAATCCACTTTGGGAATAAGGCAAGTTTAAGTCCACCTTTTGTATTAATTGATGATAAAGTCCTCCATTTATATTTTTATGTCTTTCCTTGTGCTCACCTACTGTATCGGGTAGACCCAATCCTGAGTCAGGTCTCTCTGATAAACTTACAGACATATTAATCTGACTTTTATCGATACTGGTAAGATATTTCTCCATGTCCGTAATAGTCTTGTTAAAATTCCCTGCGTTTTTTTCTAAAACGTCCCCAGGCACAAAACCCGAGCAACTCTTTAAATTCTCACTTCCAACTTGCAAACTTGAGGTTTTATTCTGTAAATTGCTATAGTCTGTTCTCAATTTCTGTAGAAATTCCTTCAACACAGTGATGTTGGTTTTCTCCAAGATGTGGTCATTATGAAGTCTCTCTTTCTTGTGGTCATCCATAGTATCTTCCTGTTCCTGAAGGTTTTTCAGTAACATCTCCAGCTCCTCCTTTTCTTTAATAACCTCTGAGATCTGTTCCTGCAGATCCTCCACCACAGTACTCTGTATCCTCTTCCTCTTCTCGAATTGAGACAGCACCTCCCTCATGTTCTCCAGATGACCTTCCAACTCCACTACTCTTTGACGTGCCCAATCTTCATTTTCTCTTGCAGCAGTTGCCGCTTCTTGAAGTTGTTTCACTTCTTCTTGGTGTTTCACTTGGAGTTCTTTAATGTCCGCAGTTTGCTCTGTGAGAATTTTTATTTTTTCCTCCTGTAGCTTTCTTTCAGTTTGCTGATGTTCGTTATTTTTTTTCGCTTGCTCTACTACCCGATTAAGAAGACCACATAAGTCCGACGTGTAAAATTCTTGTCCTGTAGCACCTTGCCTTTCTGTTTGTCCATCAAGAAGACCATTCAGCTCCTCCACCATCTTCCTCATCTTGATCTTCTCCTGTCTGCTCTCTTCTGAAGCACTTTCCAGTTCCTGGGTTTTTACCATCAAGTCTCCTTGAAGCCAAAGGCCCCTCTTCTGCTCTTCCTCAAATCGCTTCTTCCACATGTTTGTCAACTCCTGTTCCCGGATGATAGTCTGTGAATGTATCTGAAAGCATAGTGGTATCGTTAATGAGTGAATTTAAAATGCTACTACAGTCAAAACATTTTCTGGACATATTTTGCCTTTACATCCGTGGTATGAATTTTAACCCCTTAAGGACCAAACTTCTGGAAGAAAAGGGAATCATGACATGTCACACGTCCTTAAGGGGTTAAAGAGTCTTGCCATCATGGTCAAGAAAATCTGTTTCCTGAGCTATGATTTGGTGTTTTTGTAAATACTGATCTGTTTGTCTGACTATGGATTTGTAAAAAAGGCTGAGAACTAAAATACACTGGAAATCACTGGATACAATTCCGGTTCTTTTTATTGATGTGGTGTTATAACAGGCAGTTATGACTACTGAAACCTAAAATAAACTTAAGCAACCGAGCAGGTCATTTTGGGAGAGACAGAGGTCCTGGCACTCCTTGATTCAAGACAGGTACTATATTAGGAACCACAACAGCAACGTTTCGACCCCAAAAGGTGTCTGTCAAGCTTGGCCATTTCAACGGATTTATGAATATTTCCTCCACTTTTTCTAACGGTAAAGTTTTTCTGTCACTTTAAATTTGGAGTTTTTCTGAAATGGAAATTTCTGTAAAAACTAGCAGAATATACAATGCAGAAAACCGCCACTTTGATATATGCAGATTACTTTTTATAGTTAGTTTTGTGACCTAACTTTGAACTCTATTTCTATCTTTATATTTCTACTTACATACTTGATCAGCTATAGAATATCTCTGTTGGATGCCCAAGTGTGAACATGCACACGTGAGGCATCACGGAACCACAAAGAAACTGCAACACATGTGCAATAGCGTGTGTTTCTTTTACTTATTTTTTTCTCCTCCCCTTACCTCTACTTCGTTATTTATCCCAGTAAATGCTCAAGGAATGAAGGAACGAGGAAGTGACAGATTTATGTGAAAAAAAGTTCTAATGATCATTGCGCTTTTAAAGAAACACCATAAGCACTCCAACCCACTGTAGTGGTAATGGTGATAGTAATTTTCTGACACCCTCCCAGAGTGATTTTGTCAAACTGTACATTTAGAATGCTTTGATAAATTACCTGGGTCCCCCTGGCTCTCAGAGCCGCAGCCATGCGTCCAGAGTCTCTTGCAAGAAGATTCTGGTTCTCTCCACTGAACTAGTGCAGGGTTGCTCTCATCGGCTGAGAAAGTCAGCTGAGCACACTCAAACATTAAGCGTGCTCCAGGATCTGGCTGTACTTTGCTCAGGGGAGAAATTTGGCTTCTCCTGCAGACAAAGGTGGATGTGGTGTGGGTCCCCAGGTAAGTTGCCAAACAGTGTTTAAATGGTTTGATTACTTACTCTAGAAGTGCTCCAGGCCACTTCTAGATCCATGACCCTAATACGGGCTGTAATGGTTATGGCGCTTAGAGTGTTCCTTTAAGATAATTAAACCACAAGTGATACAACCTCTTAGACTTATTACAAAGTAAGTTAACAATTTACCATACCTTGCATGCAGACAGGCTTTCCTGATGAGAATCTTCCTCTGTTGGGGAAAGTGGAAAAATTATTAATATTTAACAAAATATATGGAGCCAGAAACACAGATTCCACAGAGTTCATGATCAGACATAATCGGTCAACAATAAACTTAGGATAGAATTCAAGGAAATAAAGACAGAATTATGGCAGTTATTTTACATGCTGGCCCAATATAGTATTAATAAAGCTGGCGAGGTAGCTCAGTTGGTAAATTCCCTGACTACAAAACCTGTTCACAAATCCCTTCTGAGGTCGATAAAATGAGTACCATCAATCTTCTGAGGTCGATAAAATGAGCACCATCAATTAGGGTATGTCAGGGATCCGCGGGCGGCTAGGAGGGTAGGCTGCACGCCACTTGCAGCACTCACCCTCAGTCCGTCGCCGCCCGTGGTCTCCCCTCCGCTTACCTGTCGGCGAGCGGCGTCTCCTCTCTGCCGCTCGCGTCCTCCACGCCCCCCCCCAGCGGCAGCATGCATAACGCTGCACGCTGGGAGGTCACTGAATTATGTAAACGCCGGGGTCACGTGAGTGACCCGGCGTTAAAGGAACAGTACCACAATCACAGTGGGAGGTATAGATATCCCCCACGTGTGATTGTTAATTCTGATTGGAAGTTATCCAATCAGAATTAAACCAAGGGTATTTATACTTACCTTTCCTGTCCCTCAGTGCCCTGTTGTGGTCTTGTGATACCTGTAGCGTAGTGTTCTCGTCTTGCTCTCTGGTTACTGATTATTTGGCTCGTTATTCCGATTATCCTGTCTTCTCCACTCCTTTGACCTCGGCTTGTTTCTCGTTCTCCCGTTTTCTGGCTGCCTTTACTTGGCTTGTCTCCTGACTATTCTTAGTGTGCTTAGCCCGGCCACTCTAAGGACCGGTACAGCACCCTTACTCTCTGTGACCTGTTAGCGTGTTAGGTTCCCGAATCGTGACAGGGTAATAACATCCATTACTATTCAGCTGCTGATTTAGTTAATTCCAAGAGCGTGCGCTGAAAAGCTTTGAGTCCCACTGGGAGAAAGACCCGATATAAATACTAATTATTATTATTATAATCATTATAATAAATGTTAAAGATTATAAAATAGCTGGGGGTAAGGTCCAGCACCGCTACCAGCATTCACTTGTGCTGCTGTTACTGTAACCTTTTGGCACTCTCTAACCGGCATGGTCTCACGCTGTCTCCCTGACAGAGCCCCTGCCCTTAAAATACCACCATCCTGAGCTGCAGTAATTTCATGGATTTGGAGGACAGACTCCGTACCTGTTATTCAGATCTTGTACCGATATTGTACTCTCAATAAAGCCATATATATTTGTGGACTTTTTTTTACTAGACCAGACAAAATGCTGTGCAAATGTTATTACCCATGGTGGATCCTCTTTTTCCACCCATAGAATGAATCTGCATGTTGGCCACACACTTACCACTTTTCCTTCTATCCAGTGCAGTCTGGACCCGTTTCCTGAGAGACTCATCTCTGGACTGGGTGGCATAAGCCAGTGCATCGCATCCCCGGTTATCTTTAGGCCATGGATCAGCTCCCTTTGCTATTAGCGCCTCTGCCGCCTGGATGTTGCTTTTCTCACATGCCAATATCAAGGCGGTTCTGATAAAGAAGAACACTTTAAGTCTAAATGTTATTCCAGGTATACCCATTACCAGATGTTTGCTGTATGAAATGTACAAGGTCCTATTTCAGTGATGGCTGACTGTGCCACTCTACAAGTCTTTGGACTACATTCATTGAAATGCCCAGCCGACTTTAGGGCTACAGCTGTACCATTAGAAATAAAGGCAACACTTGGGGATTTCTCTATCTCACTGTCTGGCTTTCTGAATTTTCTATGATTTGTGTGGGTTTTGTTTTTTTGAAGGATACTTGCATGGTGCTTGAGGGTTATTGCATTAAACAGTACAGCCATTCACACTGTAAGGTATCATGGAAATGTAGCCAAAGATGGTCAGAAATGCACGTCATGAATGGCACTGTCTTTTAAAGAGACTGTCCACTCTGTAAAATAGAAGCAAATGCAGTTGGTGGCTCGTGTTACGGTTCTTCAGCTTTGTTTATCAGCATGATTAATGCATGGTCTGCAGTTGCCACTGATTGTTAGAATGCAGTCTGAGAGTTTCTGTCCTTGTGTGTTTGTGTGTGTGTATTTCTGTGTGATAAACTACGTTAAGGGATGTTATAGATTGTAACATTATGGACTCACTTGTTTTCTCGGTCGGTCAGATTAGCCTGAGCGCCACGGTCTAAAAGGAGAGCGCAAACTGTGGGATGATTACGCTCCGCTGCTACCATCAGTGGGGTTCGACCATCCTATAAAGAGAGAGGTAAAAGAGAAGCAGTATAAATAAATCTTTAAGCTTTTTCTATTTATTTTTTTTCTGCAAAAACACACACACTGTACTTTGATGCTCAATAAAACCCACTATAATGTTGAATCTTGATCCAACGTCCCCATGCCAAGCTAACTCAAGTGCTCTCTATGGGACACAAATCATGCTGTCTTTTCCTACCCCCTGTGTATCTTTGCAGTGAGCTGACTTTTCCGTGTGCATGTAAGGACATCACGGACTAGGAAGAATATGGAAATAAATACCAGGAATGTTTATATAATTGTCTTGGCATATTAACAGACTATTTTAGTAAAAGGAGGATATTGTAACATCTTTAGGAAAATTCAACACACTACAAAAGATAGACGACACTCCACAAGGATAAATAAGTGGGTGCGTCAGGTCAAGCATTATAAAGCCCAAATCGTAAACTAAATTAGGTGGGAGAATATGTAAATGTATGTCTACAATAGTTAGTTATTATTTCAGAATTAATTCCCTATAGAACGGTCTCTTTCCTCTCCTTGCTGTTAAAAATACTCTTTTCTGTTAGGCTGCAGTCATGGAGCACACAACCCCTGTGTTTGTTCTGTGTAGGATGCCATTTGTCTTCTGGAATATGTTGCCTCTCAGACATTTTGAACCTTGACCCCCTTCTCTTCCCCCATAAGCTGGAAATCACGATATCGGTCATGTTTGTGAGCATATTTTGTAGAAGACCGCAGCAATTCTCTGCATTTCCTGTTCTTAGAATCGAGAGGTCAGAACTTGTTAGGCAAGCTCTGCCCCGAGCATCCAGTTTTTGCTAAATGAAACTCTCATTATGGTCAGCCAGCTTCTGAGTGTTCCCTATATCATAGATTAACCCATTCAGTAAAGAATTCATGTCAACAGTAAGAAGAGTTAAACGTACATCATCTGCAGCATCGAGGACGGTGTCTTCTGAATCACACAGGAGTACCACGCTGGAGACACATCCAGAGGCAGCTGAAATAGAGAATTTATGTTTAAGGTGATCCTTCTCTCTACACAAGAGTGAGCGACAAAAGATATTGCTGCTCGTCAGATAACAAGCAAATCCATGACCTTAATATTTCATCTATGTGGGTGGAATGGAAATGAATTGCTGAATAACAAATAGTTAAAGGATCCTCTAAGTACCATAACAGCACTTTCTTCTTGCCCAGGTTACAAATATATCTGCACCTGTAAGCCCACCCTGTGAATGATGATTTTACAGGATAGAGCTATTCTACCTCTTCTACTTAAACAAATAATTGTAAGGCATTTGCACACTTTAAAGGCCCCCCTCCATTTTTTAACAGAATCTTTCACAGTAAACTGTGATGGCGCCTGAGCTTCAATCACATCGGACAGCTCTGCTCTCCAAACTGTAAACGGAATGCAGCAACAGTGAAGCTGAAATTAGCAGAGGTAGAAGTTCTGTAACTTCTTCTGGGAAGAATAAGGGATAAGCGAAAATAATGTACTCCAGGCAGTTTCTTTGGGATTCCTTCTTGGTTGTCAGACTGTTTTTCCTCCTGCATCATATGAAGCCTACATACAGAGGGGCAGCATTTTACACTTACTACCATACAGCATGCTGACATTTCAAGTGACTAGAAAAATATATACGATCTGTAGTCTCTGTGTGCGCACAACCTACGTCCCAGAAAGGTAGACCGACACAGTGATACAAAGAAAAACTAAACATTTACTAAATATTAACATGTGGATCAAATTGTAGAATGTACTCCAAAATAGCAGCAAATTTATTTCTATTTGGGTTGATTTTTGTTAACCATCTCCCATGTCGGCAGGTCCCTTCTTTCCTACTCACTTCTTCTTCTAATGTTATCTATCAACATTTATTAAAGGGATAAAATACTGAATGGGGAGAAATTCTGAAAATCAGTCAAACGTGGTGACCTCCGGTAAATATAGTATTTAGGAAGATGACAGACTCCTGTATTCCCATAACGAGTTTACTCACACCAAAGCTGACCTTCTTTTGCCTCTACTAACCTGCACAGTGTAAAGGTGTCTGGCTGTGGAAATCTATGGAGTCCTCATGGGCACCGCGCTGTGAAAACAAACATGACCGTGATTTAATGAAACCTCCGGCAACTGCAGGAATGAAACGCAAAACGATGAGAATCTAGAACTGGAACTTTAAGATCAAAAGTGGAAATGTGAAAATTGTTACCATCACAAAAAAATGATATTGCTTAAAGGGACACTATAGTCACCAGAAGCACTACAACTTAATGTAGTTGTTCTGGTGTCTATAGCCTTCCCTGCAGACTCCGAGAAAAGGCAGTGTTTGCATTGCTGCCTAGTAACAGTCACTCAGACAGCGACTATAGGTGCTTCCTGGGTCAGTGTTGCACAGTGTGCAGCACCTACGGTCAGTGTCTCCGCGCTCTGCATGGAGATGTTGAACGCTCCCTATAGAGATGCACTGATTGATGTATTTTATCATTTGAAAGCTTTGTTTTTTTTATTTGTTATTTAAAGATTTTTGTCATGTGTTTAAACACCATATCCCCCTCATGCACAGATTTTCTCCCAGTATACAGAGAGCAGGTGTTGATGGATATTCTAGAAGTCACTGCTTCACACAGATGAAATGTGGGTGCACATGGTTCAGACGTACCTGGAGCAGAAGCTTGACACAATCTGGATGGCAGTTACTGGCTGCCAAATGCAAAGCGGTGTAACCTGCAAACATATCGTTAGTTATATTACAATGTGGGACATATAACATGAATAGATACATATGTGATAGATTTAAATGACCCTAGCCTGAAACTGATTTTTTTTTCGTTTACAATGTGGAAATGTTTCTTTCATTGAAGCATACTTCCCCAACATTTCAAATGTGGACACTTTAATTTTAGAGGTGTCGAGACGTGGCCAGGACTGTTCTGGGAAATAGGTGAAATAATAACAATTTATGTAACTAAAATGTAATTTAGTTTTAAACTCTCTCTTACTGTCTGGACTAGAGCCTCACAACAGGAAGTGATGGGTTTTAAACTGTCTGGGACCGGAAGTAACGCTGGCTAGCTCGGAAAGTGATGGGTTTGGCCCCCCAATCACCACTAGACTTGATGGGAATGGCCCTTTTTTTCAGAAGGAAGGAGTATTAACTCAGATCACTTTATAACCTTCTTGTTGAAAGCATTATAAACAAAGCCTATACTATCCCTTTTACCAGGGGCCTTAAGCAAAAGAGGAGACTAATTAAAGGATGGCATTAATTTACCATCATCGGTTTTGGCGTTGATTTCCACTTTGTGAGATACAATTGCATTTAGGCAGTCGGTGTGGCCCTTGGATGCGGCAAGGTGGAACCTGTAAATTCAAAATGATCATTAGATGAGTCTCGGACTGTGGGGTAATCACTTAATTGATTATTCAATATAATACCAACGCAAGCTAACATTGCTAAAACATGGTGGAAAGGTCATATTAAGCTCGTTTGAGCAGGGTCCCCAACTACCTATTGTTCCGGTTACATTTTGTAATTGTCTCATTTGGTAAATTCCCCTCTTATTGTAAAGCGCTGCGGAATAAGCTGGCCCTATATAAATACCAATAATAATAATATTTGCCTTTAACACCCATATTGCTAACCAGCTCTTCACATGGAGTACTACATTAAGAGGTCCTCAGGAAGTGTCAAACATACACATTTCACACACATTGCCAGAATTTTCTCAGGTATTCAATGGAACTGAGACACAAAAGAACAGGACTGTTCTCCCAGATCCAGGACACTTGGTAGGTATAAAGGTGAAGGTGGAAATATTTTTCACCAAAACACAAACTGTACCTTCACCCACTGAACTAAAATAAACGGGATACTTTCCCTGACAGCATAATGTGCTTCAGGGGTAATCAGAATCCTCACTAACTGATACCACAAAACAGAGGACAAGCTGAAAAAGATAGAATTCAACAGCTTTTCCTCAGTCTCAGCTTTTCTTCTGTTTTTTTTGAAATATTTTTAGCTTGTTTTTTTTTCTAATTAGTTTTTTTTTTCTTACGTCAAGCTGCAGCAACTTACTGTTTAGTGAATAAAAACTTATATTTAGGAAGTAATCATTTAAAAATGTACTATCGACAGACAGCTATTTATAAGAACATATTGACTAATTCAATATGTTTTTTAATGCAGTTTTTGCAAAAAAAAACATCATCCTTAGGAGGGGGGAAAAGCCAGTAAGTTTGGAGGGTACCTGATTTGCCCCTTCAGCAGATAGTAGGAATACATTTAAAGTTGCTCTCTAATAAACATCGGCTTCTGATATAAAGAAACTGCTCACAATGTCTGATCACATGAGCATAACAGAAGAGAGCCACATAAGGAATGGTCTGGATTATAAATATATACATATTTTCATCTTCGAAATGTGACTGAATTATCATAACTCCCATCACTAGAGTTGTTGTTAGGTTCCATAAACACCTGGGGCTTGAGCCCCACAAAAGATCCCATGACACCTACTTGACATATTTCTATGTTACACCCCATCTTCTCTACCTGTGAACTGTGTGCCGCTGCTCTCTGGGATCTCAATGGAAGCATAGCCACAAAGAAGCACATGTTGCGCAGCCTGGTATTCAATTCATTCCCACCACACTATCTAACTAGTAGAGGGGTGTGTAGCAAAGTTCTGTTCCCTGGTACTGCTTCCTGACAGTCATCTGGGGGGCACCACTGCCTCCCCCTTAGTAGTCTGGCAGAGTATTATAACAGTGTGCTTTCTTTTCATATTAACCAGCTGCTTGGAGTAACTGTAAACTCTCCAACCCCCCAAAAAAAACCTGTTTAGAATGGCATGGAGTTGGCAACTCCATGTTCTTGTATCATATCTTTAAATGTTTACATTTCAATACATGACACAATCTGTCTGCTATCTTTATGATTATTTTAAGTGTTTGATTTCCCTTTTCAGGTGAGCTCTATAGTAAACAGCACCCACCAGGCTCCCAGAGATATTTAAAACAAACGTACGCAGATTGTCCTTTCGGGCTTGCCTTGGTGGGTCGGATGGGCTTCTTGGCAAGAACAGATGAAACTCTCTTGGCATCTCCTTTCTCCACCGCTTCAAAGAGCTTCTGGTCATGTCGGTTCCATTTGTCCACCTGTAGAAGACGAAGTCCAGGTATGTCACTATTTTCATATTCACAAAAAAATTGAATGACAAGAAAGCCCTCCTCCCATAGCAGTTTGAGGGTAACCAAGATCCCATATATAGAGAGACTGAAATACATTTATATGGCATTTTCTGTAGATAAATACATTTAAGGTACATTGAGCAAAATGTCTGGTCTATATGCTTGGTTTGGTTTTTCAACTATGCCTCCATAGCTGAAGATGGGTACTTTGTGAATTCCATACCACTCGTTGAATTTCAACGATGGTTTGCTTATATAGATGAGATTGATGAGAACCGAATTATTGCTGTTTTTTGTAACTCTTCTTAAATTCATTCACACAATGGGAAAATGGAAACTGTATAGGACTGACAAGAGAATGACAAACTATGAATGCTTCGTAACCACATGTGTCATTTCCTGGTTAATCCACTAGAATTGTAAATAAACTCAAGTATCCAACGCCGATAATATGTTTTGAACTAAAATGGGTCTGTCAACGAAGGCTGGTGTTAAGTGACCCACCAAGGTAGGTTAAGGTAGGTCAATTTCCTTGATCAAAGGTACAAAATCTAACTTCTGACATTTTCTGTCTATTTATTTAGAGCAATAATACTTGGCTCCTGGGCTAAAACTCCCAAAATTGTTCCCAGAGCTATTTTAATGGGTTAGAATGGGTTAGAATAGGAAAACCTATTCATGACAAAGTACCCTTAATAAATTTGGTTTTGGTTTCTATCAATCAGCCCTGCCCTTCTTCAGTGAATGGGGATACTTTGACACCACAAACAGTTTGATAGCTTACCCAGAGTTTATTTTATTTCCTCTATCACCATCATTTTATTTATTTATTTATTTATTTATAGTGAAACGAGTTGCCAAACTAAAGGCATTGTCAAATTCTTGTTCCAGTGGAAAAAAGTATAACTTCACATTTTCTTAAACTAAAAGCTACTAATTGCGATCACGTTACAACTTTTTGTTTGTGGACATAGAGAGGCCAATGCTGTCTATCCTTAATCAGACCTCATATAGTTATGAGATAAATCTACAATCAACCATTGTTCTCTGAGCTAAACAATGGGTTAAATTTCTACACATTTGCCAGTTCATTGTTTTGATATCGGAATGTATTTATTTTTCAGGTAATATACTTGATGAGCTGCTTCTTGCCTTTATCTCTGTACCTTTTCCCTTTAAACATTCTTAAAGAAATACATTGTGTTTGTTGTTGATACATCGCTTAGATCTTGTCAAGCCTAGGCTTTCCACTTGTTAATCTGCTTCAGATTTGATTTCTGGACCATGAATGCATCACAAACTCTTTGCAGACCTCACCTCCCACTAACTTTCTAACAAAGGACACAAAGGCACAAAGCAAGAGGTGTAACTAGTGTGTACTTTTGTTCCCCCCACTCACAGCAGACGGTAGGCTCTGAGCCACCTCCCCATGCCCAGCTGCTCAGGGCGTCACAAACTATACAGAAGATAAGACCTGGTAGGTTGCTGGCATCTGTTCCATACGTGGCCTGTCTCCAGAACCAGGCAGATGACTGGGCACAGTGTCACCAGCAACGGTTGGCAGTAAATAGATTAGGCAAAATGTCACTGTCCTTTTCCACAAAATATTAACTGAATATTGGATGTAAATAATATTTCAGTTTTAAAATATGTAGGTTTATTGCATGCTAACCATCATTTGTGATTATACAACATATTTGTGGCAACAATAGATTTATCAATCTTTCTGCTATTTTTTGCAACCGAAAAGTGTTCTGTTTCACTTCCCTTTTTTCCGTCACTATAAATTGGGTGGTTTTCCGAAATGGAAATTTTTCTGCAAAAGCTGGCATTGTTTATTATGAGGAACACGGTCCCCTTTTATAACACTTTATTCAATATTATCAAAGTAAACACGGAGTTTAACTGCCACTTTTTAGAACACTTTTATAAATATCTCCCATAGAAGTTGACTGGCTAAATCACGGACTGTCCTCTCTCTCTTGGCAGCGCTGTATACTGCCAGCAACCGTAATTTGCTCCTACCAGGGATTGGTGATTGGCTGGTCAGAGCAAATCTGATCTCCCCACCAGTCTGTGAAGCTACAGAGTGCCCCACAAGGACCAGTGGTTTAATCAAACGTCTAATTGACCATACATACTACAGTGGTATAGGAAAAAAAATATCGCATGCATTCATTAGGTTTTTCTTTACAGTACCATGCTTTCTTGGGTGCAATAAGAATTCAATTTAATTGTAAATAGGTCTGTCTGGGTTTGAAATGTCTTGGAGAGCAGTGTTAGAACTGGATAGAAGGAACACAGACCCGGAGAGCAGTGTTAGAACCGGATAGAAGGAACACAGACCCTGAGAGCAGTGATAGAACCGGATAGAAGGAACACAAACCCAGAGAGCAGTGTTAGAACCGGATAGAAGGAACACAGACCCGGAGAGCAGTGATAGAACCGGATAGAAGGAACACAGACCCGGAGAGCAGTGATAGAACCGGATAGAAGGAACACAGACCCGGAGAGCAGTGATAGAACCGGATAGAAGGAACACAGACCCTGAGAGCAGTGTTAGATCTGGATGGAAGGAACACAGACCCGGAGAGCAGTGTTAGAACCAGATAGAAGGAACACAGACCCGGAGAGCAGTGATAGAACCGGATAGAAGGAACACAGACCCGGAGAGCAGTGTTAGATCTGGATGGAAGGAACACAGACCCGGAGAGCAGTGTTAGAACTGGATAGAAGGAACACAGACCCTGAGAGCAGTGTTAGATCTGGATGGAAGGAACACAGACCCGGAGAGCAGTGATAGAACTAGATAGAAGGAACACAGACCCGGAGAGCAGTGATAGAACTGGATAGAAGGAACACAGACCCTGAGAGCAATGTTAGAACTGGATAGAAGGAACACGGACCCTGTGAGCAATGTTAGAACCGGATAGAAGGAACACAGACCCGGAGAGCAGTGATAGAACCAGATAGAAGGAACACAGACCCTGAGAGCAGTGTTAGATCTGGATGGAAGGAACACAGACCCGGAGAGCAGTGATAGAACTAGATAGAAGGAACACAGACCCGGAGAGAAGTGATAGAACTGGATAGAAGGAACACAGACCCTGAGAGCAATGTTAGAACTGGATAGAAGGAACACGGACCCTGTGAGCAATGTTAGAACCGGATAGAAGGAACACGGACCCTGAGAGCAATGTTAGAACCGGATAGAAGGAACAGGTACACTTTAATAAGTTTAAAGAGAAGGAGATTGTTGATCAATATGGTTCTGTAAGATAACTCGGAAACACTACAATTTTACAAATACAAATCAAGATCTTTTCTTAATATTATTGTTCTTATTAATTAGTTTGTTACCCGATTATTTATTCTAGAAACCAGTAATTAATACCTTCAATATGCAAAACCTGTTTGTTCTGGGGGAGGGGGGACTGGTTTGGAACACTCCCCTCCTCTTGTGAGCAACTGTCCATGATGACTTATAATTAGAACAGCTACTGTTTTACATTTCCTATAAACCGCATATTAGAGTGATCTGAATGTAAAATATAAAAAAACATAATTCATAATCCATACATGGGTTAGCTTTCAGGGTGGTAATCTGTCTGATCATGTGCTACGTAAAGTCTTAGACAGGTAACGCTCAGGGCTACCAACCAAACCCCTCCTTTTTAACAGCTAACACGTGTAATATATTAGTATGTATTTCCTCCTGTGTAATTATTTTCTACTTCATTTAGATTGTAAGCTTTGTTGGTCTGCTCACCTTGTTTTATATTCCTGGTGTAGAGCAGCACAGAATTTGTTGGTGCTATTTAATCCAGGGCTTGACAAATTTTGCTTTGAATCTAGGAGCCAGCTAAAAAAGTTAAGAGCCAGTTTGTTTTTGTAAACTTACAAGGCTTTATCTTCAATGACAAAAATACAATTCTTAAAGGGACACTATAGTCATCAGGACCACTACAGCTTCATGTACTTGTTTGGGTGTCTACAGCCTGTCTTTGCAGGCTTTATAATGTAAACACTGCCTTTTTAGAGAAAAGGCAGTGTTTACGGTGCTGCATAGTAACACTTCTAGTAGCCGTCACTCAGACGACCACTAGAGGTGCTTCTTATTTCAGTGCTGCATTGTGTGCGACACCTACATTTAGCATCTCCCTGCTTTGCATGGAGGCACCAATGTTCCCCATAGAAATGCATTGATTCAATACATCTCTATGAGGAGATACTGATTGGTGCAGCGTTTGGCAGCGCATGCGCAATAGCTTCCAAATACTTTCCTATGGGAAAGCATTGGATTGGCTGAGATCAAGCTTGATAATCTCAGCCATAGAGGCAGGGCCAGCTGCAGAGAGACTGGCACGGCGTGGGAAATAAGGGGAGTTAAAAAAAACAAAAAACTTTTGTATGTGTTCAGAAGGGGGCTAGTCACCTAAAAAATACACACTCACTGAGATACACATGCTGACAGACACACTCACAAATTATTTTATGTTTTAATTCAACTTAAATCCACCCAGCCTTCCTACCTTTGGGACAGCTAGAGTGGATCGGCTTACCCTGGAGTCGAGTGGGCGGCCGGCTGGGGGAGAGTGAAGGCGGACAGTGAGGGAGCTGTGATGTTCCACCTCTGCTCCCTCGCCTGCCGCTTAGTTATACCGGGGCCGGAGTGATGTCGTATTCCAACTAGAATCTTCACTCTGACATCAAACATGCCTTCTGATATATGATACAGAAAGAACATTAGTTAATTCTAATGAACTTGTTGAACTGTTTTGGTAGAATGACGTTTTATGAGTTCACGTTTTCTCTTCCTTGATACGGTACCTCAGGAAAAGATATTTCAGCAGCAAGCATCTTGTGCTTTACAGGGATCGAGATCTTATTTGAAGGAACTCAAAGCACCATAACTACTACAGCCTTATTTAGTGGTTATGGTGCCAGGACTGTCCTGGCACCCTACTAGTGTAAGTAGTAAAACTATCTGTGAATAGTTTGACAACTTACCTGGGATCTCCTGGGTGCAGGTCACCTCCTCATCTGCACCCAGAAGCTCTCTGCATTGAACTAATCAAAGGGTGCCATCAATGGCTGAGAGTGTTCAGCTGACGGTCTCAGCAAATGAGCCGGCCCTGGATGTGCAGGACTTAGCTCAGTAGAGCCAACTGAAGCTCCTTGCTCCCCCTGGGTGGTCCCCAGCTAAGTTACAAAACTGTTTATAAGCAATCTGACTACTTACCCTGAGAGTGCGCCAGGATAATCACTACGGGTACCCCTTTGTCATTCACTGGTTTATAATATTATTCCATTAAAAAAAAAATTGGAAGACAAATTTCAACAATATGGTGCTGGAATATATATTTAGGTCCCCGTACCCCCTTTCTGTGGAGATAAAAGATTTTAAACTTACCATTTCTCAATAGCTGTGCTACCTCCATGGCTGAGATCAGCAATCTTAATGATCTCATCCTATCCAATGCTTTACCATAGGGAAGCATTGGGAGGCTACTGTACATGCACATCAAAATGTCACACTGCACCAATCAGCACAATTTGCATGGTTGAACATAGACCCTTGTTTTACAGAGGGGTTTGTCATTGACGTCCATTACTGAAACATCCAACACAAAAAAAAAAAAAAAAAACTTAAGAAAAAATCATTTGTATCACTCCTGCAGTATAAAGCACACATGGTGTCTGTAAATATTACCATTCAGTTATTTATTTATTTCTATGGAATATAGAACCTTTTTCAAGCTCTGTTTTGTTGAATGATAGTTCAGGGAGGTCCTAATCACAAGAGCCTTTAATCGAAAGGTTTGGTTGGACTTTCTTGTGTCTTGCAGAAAACCAAAGTGTATCCGCAAGAGTCTGCGGTGGTTTGCGGGTTACCTAATCTACACTTTTTACAGCTTTCACACTTTTTGTGAGTGTAATATGTGCAGTTATCCATGAACACAACGCTAATTCTAAAATTGTGAGATGTATGAGGCGCCTAACGGAACGCACAAAAAAAAGTGACATTTGTGTTTTGGAATCCAACTGACATTCATCGGAGACCTTTAGGTCAATGGACATGGTACAAATAAATATTTGATTTGCGCTGGAGCAGGACAGGAGTTTGGTCTGTAGACAAACATAACCGTTAAAAAAATAATAATTTGGATAGCACAGTTTATTCTTTCCACTAAACTAGTCTAGAATTTATGGTGTTTTCTAATGCAACTAAATTAGTACCTTCTCTGTTTAACTTATTCCAGGAAAACATCATTTTGTACATTCCCTAGGTCAATGGCATTTGTTACAGACACACACTGAATGCGGATCAAAGGTCTTTTCATGTACAAAAATCTCCCAATTACAGCCAAAATCTATTTATACTTGCATCCGCAATCAGGGTGCCAAAAATATTTTTCTTCTGGCAGCAACCATTATTTAATAATTTTAAAGCAATAAACTGGAGGATGGGATTTTTTTTTGTTTTTTTTCCTCTTTGTCATTGAGAGCAGTGCACAGATTGATTGCAGACAAGGAGGTTCGATCCATCTGTGGACATGGGGTCCCTACATGGGATTGTTTGCAAATGCTAGGGATGTTTAGAAGGGTACCTTTTGAAGAGCAGATTCTCGGAATAGCTGGTGCAAACCTGTAGGAACTGTATATGGTGCAACTGCATTTTGCCAATGTTTTGTTTCCCTCCCGCCGCCCCACTCCCTTTGGTTTTTTTTTTTTAATAGATGTTGAGAAACCATGCAGCGTTTTCAAATGTAAGCTCTTGTGTTCAGAGCCCAGTTAGCTTTTTGTTCCATTATCTATGTTTGAAAATGTCACTAATTGACATGAATGCCCTTATGTAGGCCATGTACAGTAATGCAGGACACGCTGGCGTCTTTAGAAATGCACAAAACGTAATAAACTGCTTCTGATCGGGAACTCATTTTCATTCTCTTTCAGGGATAAGAGTTCTACGTTTATAACCTGCTAAAATTATAAAATGATTTACTGTGCTTTAAAACATTTTAGGGAGCTCTCTTTGCTTATATATATAAAAAAAAAACAACAGCTTTAACAACAAAGTAAAATGGAGGTTAGCATGTGCATTTATAAAGTATGAGTACAGTCAACACAAAGTATGTCCCCCCAACTTATAAAATAAATGAATATCACTCAGTCAGAGCATTGCCAGACAGAATGAAAAAAATGGGACATGACTCTAACTCCAAGTTTTTACAACAGGGGTGCCCAAAAGGTAGATCCCCAGATGTTGGAGAATTACAACTTCCTTAATGCTTTGCATGCCTTTACAATGACAAAGCATCATGTAAGCTGTAGTTCTAAAACATCTGGGGGGGGTCTACCTTTTGGGCACCCCTGCTCTAGATGATATTCACAGTAAATACAAAGCCAGCGATATGAACCTCTCACACCCATCTGGTGATTGCATTAACCATGCACCCAGAAGAATGTTGACACCGATTGAATATTATGAGTTGAACCTATAAACTATCATTAAACTACACCGTGAAAGGACAAATGCTCCAATTATTTACCTGACAATCAACAAAGGAGAGTATCTCAGCAACATGACATATGTATCAAACGCTGGATAAAAGTTTATTTTACGTGAGAAAGAAAACAATCCTATGTTCTCTGTGTATTTTCTCTTAAATCTTGACAGAAATATGCATGATCAGTCCAGAATATGGATTAGAAATCATATATTTGCCCTCACGCTGCATTGCCTTAAGCACCTGCAATTGGGCTTGAAACCTAGCCACCGGCATGTACACTCTGTTCGAGTAATGGTCTACAGTTATTGCACTATTTCCAGAAAGATTATTATTTATTTTCATTATATTTTTATTGTTCTACATTTATACACCTATGGTACTGCTGTGCCTAAGAACAGATTAATATCATTAAACTTAGTGACTGGCATCACATATTGATTTATCGGCATGCTTGATGAACCAGCCTCATTGTGCCCAAGGCTGCCATACCACCCAAAATGGGGCGCAGATCTGAGACTGGCATGTTGGGTATGTCATACCAATTCCCTGTTAGCAAATACCCATCATACTTTGCACTTATTCTATCATACAAATTATATAGGTATGAGTTTGATAATTTCTACTTCTCAGATTGATGGCGCCACAAGTGCGCAGCTCGTACGAAGTACGTAATAACCAAGGGAGTTGATACAGTTACCCTTTTGGGAGACTAAGCAACAAAGCAGTCAGAGGCAATTAAGTGAAATTAAGAGTGAGAAAAGAAAAATCTGCAATTTTGACGCCTTTTGAAAGCGTTTAGAAGTAATGTGAGCAGGCCTGTTGGAACAACCGGTCATTAGGTGCTAAAAACCTTCCCAGCCATGTAATTCAATGCACACACCTTCTACAGCATTACATACACAGTGTAAATACTATGCACTTTATTTACTGAACCAGGAATGGAGGAGGAATGTAAATGGGTTTGCAAATTGTACAACAGAATAGTTGAATTAGGAAGAATGTTGAAATTTGCTCTAGTGTACCTACTCTGGCACAGTGTTGGCAATTCCTTTGTCAATTCTACAGGACACTCAACGTAGGGAATAAACTTGTTTTTATTTAATCTCTATCAATGGATCGTCTGTGATTTTTGAAAATAGGAGTTTGTAAACACTCTCTCTCCTTTTAGTGCAGATGTTGGGTAGTCCTCATTTCCCCTTTAGTAATGAAGACTGATGAAAGACGTCTAGCACTGGATTGAATTAAAATCCTGGCTCCCCGAGCAATGTCATGCCAGGATTTAAAGGGGCATTCTGGTCGTTCCCCCATAACACAGACCATTAAAATACTCTGGATACAAATGAAGCATAATCTAAATATGGATTGTCCCACAGAAGTCAGTTTTCGAAGTGGAAAACCAGTTTAGAATTGGGTGGCATCACGAAGCACCAACTGTTGTTGAACTTTCTTCCTTGTGATTCTATGGCAGCCATATACTCTTTGGTAGAGAAAGATGTAATACCATCTCTTGCAGTATGTAAATTCCCTCTCAAACCAAGAATGGACTTGCCTTAGAGCACACCGAACAAATGCCAAGTAAACTGCTGATGTCACACACACACACACTCTCAGTCTCGTCACTTGAGCAATGCCAATGTCCACTCAGGACAATGCTGGAAATTCCTAGGCTTGGTCGGGACAGTGCTAGGAACCCCCAACCAGATTTAATAAATCAATTCTAAACCAGCCTGAAACTCTCAATGTTATTACATACATTTTTCAACGTTTGTGTTTAAAGATTTAACTAAAAAAGTAGTCAAACAACGTTTGCAATGTTCGAATTCCATCACAGACTGCATCATAATGCGTGACAAGATCTGTCATTTTTGAAACCACTTTACTTTTCAACTGTAACCTGCGACTTGTTTGTAAACAGCACTACATGTATCTTAACGTTTGCATTATTATAAATATTTGCCTGTCAGCTTGGCCTAATAACTCTTTCTATTCGTATACAACAAACATGATGCATCTCGTCTCACCATGTCTACAGCAACAGTTCTTAGGAGACGTTTGTTAGTTACTGGGGTTTAAATGTTAATTGCCCTATGCTTAATTTCCAAATACATGGCAGGGTTTTTTTAAATTCTATCCTAATGGGTATTTGTTTTCTAAAAGACTGGTGTGTTTCAAGTTCTGAAAGAATAAAAAAAAAGTTGCACTCGTTATAGAACATTACGTTGAAATAGTTTACACTGATTGTGTGCTCTGAATCACAGCCATATTTGCAGACACACAGACGTGATGTCACACAAGATTAATTCTTCTTCCTTGAACCGATACACAGGCACAATGTTCGTGGCCAGTTAAATATTAGATGTTTAGCCCAGTACACACCACCATTAATACTTATTTTGATCAACTCCGTTGACCCACTTTTAAAAATTTTTATGAGCAAACAATTTGAAGTTTAATTATCTTTAAATCTATTTTGCAGCTTCATAACCTACCAATGGAGTGCACAAAGGCCAGCAGTGTTAGAGAAAGGGTAGAAGATACACGGACTAGCCACCTGGTTGAAGCAGTAAAGGTGAACAGCGATTATAGAACAGGTAGTAGTTACCTGAAACAGTCTTGCATCAAGAGCTATAAGAAGCTGTGATCAACAGAGGTTGATAGATATCTGAAATGGTTTTGCAATAAAAACCATAAACGATAAACAAACTAAATACAGAAAGTGTAGTAGCTACTTGGAATAGCCTTCCAGTGGAAGTAGTAAATAAGACCACAGTAAAGGAAATGAAGAATAATTAGGAAGGATAGAATAAATCAATAAAAGTTTAGAAATAGGCTCACTTCTACTGACTCAAACATTACTTTTATATGTTCTCCTTCCCGTACATGTAACCAGGTCAGTGATTGTTGATTCTGGAGTGCAAGGACTTCCTTTTCAACCTTTCGCTAGTAAGTGATAAAGAAACACTTATTTAAACAACCCTTTTAAATGCTCATTTTTCCATTGCCTCCTTCCTATCCAAATCAATAATAAATTAGCACCTACCACCTCTGCTGAAAGGCTGTTCTATACATCCACACTCTACATAAGGAAAATAAGTGTGTTTTCTGTATTTTCCAACTTCTAACTTGGCAGCCTTGCCACTTGCTCTTGCCATCTTTGTTTCTCTTGGCTCCCCTTGTGCCAGCGCCTACAGACTGGGCAAAGCTGCTTCAAATCACTGCCAAACCTAGCTGCTCTTAAAGCAAGACCCCAAACTCACAGTGGCGGAGGTGGCATTATAAATACCCACAGGGACTTGCGACGTGGAGCAGGAGAAGATCTTCTTCATGTTTCTCGCCGGCTTCTGTCTTTCACTTTTCTCATCCGAGCTCAAAGGGGAAAGTTTCCTGTGACGGTCGGCTAGGCGCTCATCTTTAAATCCTGGGGACGGGATATCCTGGTTGTGACCAGCTTGCCATGGCTGATGTGACACCGCAGCAAGCACAGCAGAGAGTCAATGACAGCCTCTCCGGGAAACAGCCTGAGTGTGGAGCTGGGAGAAAGCACTCCCACTGGATCTCACATGTCTGTGTGTGTTGCAACAAGAGAGTGTTTAACACCTTGCATGCCACGCTTCAGCAGCAAGCTCCTTGGAGTGTGCTTGTCACAGCTGGCTAGGGTAACCTTTTCAGTGCCAGAGTGCAGAGCAACACCTTGCAGGGGAACACACAGAGTGCTCCTCGTCTGCCCAAAAGCTAAAGGCGTGCCAGTTTATAGATGTTGTTTTATTATTCTTATCAAAGAGACAAAGTATTCTGCTGCTCTGTACATTGGCTAGACAAAACATACAAGTCTGTGATGACCTATTTAGGGCAAACAGGAACAAGAGGATATATGCGCCCATGATCTAAATAAGTGCCAGTGATGTAGAGTTAACTCTTTGAGCAAAAGACTGGTGCCAAGTTATCTGCAGTGAGCGTCAAGGTGTTAGTCATGAGACTGGCAGCCTGGGAGTTAATTCTTTGCTTGAGCCATAAATCTGCTCAACAGAACGTGAGGTTAACTCTTTGAAAAAATTTTTTTTTTAAATAATAAAAGGGGGAAAGGTTTTCCCCCTTAACCCTTTTAAGGGCCAGGGGTTAGGCAAATCATATTTAGAATTTTCACACTCCAGCGAGGCATTTTTCACAAGTGTTCGACCCCTTAAAGGGAACACTCGATAACCCCATGCTATAATGGGAACCTGGTCATATTACATGGGGATTTGGGGATTAGGTCTAGAGTGTTTTGAACAACAGGGATACTTAAATACCTGTGACATTATGGAATGTCCCTTGACTTTGTTTGACAGTGCAAAGCGTTAATATCTAGACAAGGTGCTGTGCCCCTGGGGTCATACCACTCATACTGTATTTTTTACGCACTCAAAGTCCTAGAGGCAGAAATAGGTGTTTGACAACAGCAAATATGGGGCAAAGAGTGCAGTGGGTCCTAATCCTGCAAGACTGAGTGAAGTTATATTATTTTTATATGAGCGCAGCGATGATTAGAAAGGTAGGGTACAGGATAGTACTGGGTTAGAATCCTGTATAGGGTTTATATCGAGTTAAGGAAGGATTATATAGGGATGGATTGGCACTGGATTTTTTTTTTTTTTTGATGGAGCAGAATGGTTTGAGTCTGTTATATTGCTATCGGATAGAGCAGCTCTAGGTGCTGTATTATATGGGATGGGGGAAAAGCACAGGTTGCTGGCATATGGGGAACCATTGAAGAGGGATACAGTAGTTGAGGATGGTATTTTATACAGTGCAGAATAGTACAAGGTTTTGTGTTGCATAATGCCGAAATATGTCAGGGTGAAGAGTTAGATGGGGCAGAGGAGGTCAGGGTGGAGCGTTAGATGGGGCAGAGGAGGTCAGGGTGGAGCGTTAGATGGGGCACAGTAGGTCAGGGTGGAGATTTAGATGGGGCAGAGTAGGTCAGGGTGGAGCGTTAGATGGGGCAGAGTAGGTTAGGGTGGAGCGTTAGATGGGGCAGAGTAGGTCAGGGTGGAGAGTTTGATGGGGCAGAGTAGGTTAGGGTGGAGCGTTAGATGGGGCAGAGGAGGTCAGGGTGGAGCGTTAGATGGGGCAGAGTAGGTCAGGGTGGAGCGTTAGATTGGGCAGAGGAGGTCAGGGTGGAGAGTTTGATGGGGCAGAGTAGGTCAGTGTGAAGAGCTATATAAGGGGCAGAGTAGGGCATAATAAGGAAGAAAAGATCAGGGTGGAGAGATAGATGAGGCAGAATAGGTCAGTGTGTGCAGAATGGTCCAGGTTGGAGTGATATACAGGAGTGCTGTTTGACAAAGATATCTGGTTCAAAATGAAAAAGAATGATGTGCATGGTTGTAGGGTGTAGAGTATAATAAGGGGGGTACAAAACAAGAAAATGTAGAACATGGAAATATGATATAGGGGGCCTGGGGGGCCTTGCAATGTCCTGCTCTGTGGTTAGACTCAATTGCTTTCATGTATTCTATATAGCCACATGGAGCCAGTGTACCAGTTTACACTGCATAATAGAATAGAGTCAGAACAGAAAATTATAGGAAAATCCAATTCCATGGCTTATATGCTACTATTTATAGTCCAGTGAGCAGCTGGAGGACTTAAACCCTTCCATTGCCGCAGGGGCGAGAAGCGTCACTCAGTGGAATGTGTTGCACTCAACAGGTTAATGTGCACATATATTTATTCAACATTTCTTATATCGCATTCTTGTCCTTAAAGAATACCTAGAATTAAAGTGCCACAAGAAAGGGTTAAATCAGGACGCCAGCCTCAGTTTCGTTGCTGCGCCAGGGTCTGTGTCCTGTATCCCACCACGCCTGCCCTCCCCCTTAACATATCCGTGTCCCGTTGAGACAGGAACCCGGCCTGCCCTGCAGGTGATTTGAGAGCCATTATTTCCTTGATAAAGCAGAGCAAACACCCTTCTGAGAGAGTGAAACCCAAGCAGTCAGGTTGGGACATGTGGAGCGAGACGGCTTTTGGGGTTGGCAGATAATCTGTAGCTTTCTCAGAACGCACAACATGTATGTCCTTGCCGAGACTTTCACAGTAACCACGCTATATCCCGCATCACTCGACACCGCCAACGCTACCGAGCTGCTGAATGATAACAAAACTTGCTAGCTTTATCAATGTTTGCCAAGCCCTGTGTTCCTTAAATACATCACGTCAGATGATTTAACATTGTTTAAATTTGCTTTTATCTTTTTTTTTTTTTTTTAAGTAGAACTCGGCAAAGGAACTTGGAAGGTTCGGCTGAGTTCAATGTTGCCTAGTTGGACAAGCTGCTGTTTGAAGATGAATACAGCATTATCGAGTTCACTTTCAAACACTTTTGCAATCAAATAATTATTGGTTAAAACTCTGCAATGCACACGATTACCAGCCACAAGGAAATTACAATTATTGTTCAAGTGTACCTAGTTCTGTGTACATTGGGAGATGGACCTCCGTTATATTCTCTGCATGCTGCAAAGGCAACAAGAAAGATTCATCAGAACTCCAAGTTCTGGAAGATGTTGGAGCAGTCACCAATTGGAATGAAGTGCTGGTTTTCATGCTGATTGGTCTACTTTTCGGACTTCCCTACATCACAGATCAAAACACGTCTTTTTAAATCTCCACCCAAGAGTCTTACGGCTGGTAGATTTACAGTAAACAAGAACCTAGAGTTCTGATGAAAAATGACTAATCGCTATCCAGTTGATGGCAAAATAAAGCTTTGACTAGTACACTCACCTTTACTGTAAACTAATTTGGCTATAAAAAAAAATAATAATAATTTTGTGTATGCAAAATGTATTCCGTTTATTCAACACCACATGGGGTAAAAGCTTTACCTTTTTGCATTCAGAAGTGCATAGACCTGATTTACTATGTCATATGAAGCACACGCTTAATCACAAGTGAAGTTTACATCCCAAAATGCATTGTGACTGATATATTGGATTGCTGTTCGCTATATTCACAAGAGCACACAAAATATACACACGTTCATAAATACATGGAAAAACTGTCAGTGGTGGTGGTGGAAATGCTCATATACAGCGTAAATTCCAATCGCTCCTATGATGTATGTACTGGTTCGGTACATGTAAACAAATTCTAGTTAAACTGCTACGTTCTTTACACTGATTGCCATTTTCTGCATTACATGAAACGTCTTGGATGCATTTAAAACCGAATAGCTTTTTATATAGCAGTAATTGCATTGGCTTTCAGCGCGGTCTCATTAATTTTCATGGACGGATTTAGATGCACGTTTAATATAGATTACACAAGTGTAATTATGACTTTACTGCCATGGGGCATTCTGACACACTGACACACAATACACAGTGCCAGCATCAGCCAGGGTAGGAAACGGGTGGAGGGTTACAAAACAATACAAAGAGTTAGAAAACACTTTTGAACTCTCTTTGGGATAACTCGTTAAAAGAGGGAATTGTGGAGGGAAAAAACATTCCAGAATTGTAGACGAAAATAGCAAAACTATAAAAAAAAAAATGGCTAAATCAGCTGTTTTCCCAGATTACATATTTTGACTCAAATGGCCTCCTACACTAATTAGACGATGGCCAATCTTAGCTCTGCATAGTCAATTTCCTGTCTTTGTGAATGCCAAGTTTGGACCTCCTTCCATTAGATTCTCTGTATTGTTATTCAGTATGCAAAGTAATCTGGGAGCAGACTGTCCTGATTCCGGCCCTCCTTTGCATAGCCCAAAACATTGGCAGTGTTAGACGGTCAAGATGTTCCTCTGAATGGAAATTGTATTTATATTGACTGGTGGAGATACCACAATCTTCCAGCAAATAGGAGGGGTGGGGGGAGCTGGAATATGAAGGTTCTTTTAGTCAGGGGTCGCTAATAATCTGTAGCTTAGCAGATAAACCTATACTTGCACAATTCAGTCATTTCTGGAGACCTCCTTGCACCATAACAACTTCATTCCAGTTAAGTTGTTATGGTGCCCGGAGTTTGTTATTTGAAAAGTTTCAATAGATATTCATACGTTGGCTTCATACATATTTACTGAAAGCGGGACACTAGGGCTCAAATTGAACAATTTGTAATTCAGTGCTTTCTTATTTAACAGATGTTAAGAATGTTCGGAATACTTGAGTGCCTGGATGTGCAGCTCATTGTATGCAGAGTATGTTAGAATCCGTGGCATGTTGCGTGCTGTGTGTTGACACCTGTGGTGTAGTGCCTGCAGAGTGTGTCAGGACCTGCATGTACTGTGTGTCTAGACCAGTGATGCATTGCGTGCAAAGTGCGTCTGAACCTGCAATGC